CTTCGATTCTTCTCCCGTCCACATCTAAAAACTGAAAAAGCTTTGTGCCGGGAGATTATTTGTGATAAATACTCACCAACAGCTTCGTAGGAAACTCGGAATCCAGGGTATGGGTATCCCTCATCAGTGTTAAAATAAATCTGTAGATGGGGACCTGTTGAAAATACAATCTTTTCTGATCTTCTCTCACCACACATGCGCACGATGGCATCGCTGGATGGCAAGGGGCCATCGTTGACCTGAACAAAGTCAGTGTCACAACTATTAGAGAGTTCCAGGTGAAATGCGGTGAAATGGAGTTTTATCTGATTTCCTGTTACTGCTGTTATGTTCCAAAGAATGCTTAATTTATCCGGATACAATCTTGGAAAGTTTGGGCTTGTTATTGTGCCATTGTCGCCATAAATTTGATGAGAGTCTGAATTAAGAATTCCTGTTGAAGGGGGAAGAGACTAGTTAACTTTTTTAGATTAAAACCTTTTATTTTTGGTTTCAGATTAGCTGGTATACATTTCTGTGGATGTTTTAACAGTATCGATGCCTAGGAATAAAGTAAAGTAAGGATTGAATAAGTGAAAAGTTGCTCACCGAAACATACTTGAGAGAATGCCTGTATTACCATGAAGAAAAATGACATATTAACTCATCTGCGTTGAACCTGGAAAATATTGAGAACAAAAACAAATGCTCCTTGCTCACAGGACGAAACAACAAGGTTCCGATCATGAAATAGTTGCGGAAACTTTTGCTCTGATCTCTCCTTAGTTGTGAGATGTTTTGAATGTTGCGAAAGACTACGATACAACCATTGATTTTTTGGTTATCTGCAGATTTTGTCAACTTTTTGTGTAATGAGTGAAAAATGCAAGCATCTTACAAATATTTTTTGGAAGATGTGTTTAAGCTGTACGGCTTGTAAATCAACGAATCTCTCCTTGTTTCATCTAAAAAATAAAAATAGATTTTCGGTGGTTAAAGATGGTATAGACCATTAGAATTCGATAAGGGTCTCATGTGATGTCTATATAGACGAACAACACATGACAGCACAACAAATGATTAACAACAACACAAGCACAGAACTGTAGTAATGGCAACATCAACGTTTCAAAACAAGAAGAAAGAGAGAAAAGGGAATGGAGTGGAGAGAAAAAAACATTTAAACACAGCAGCAAATTGTAGCGATGGTCAGCACAACACAGCACAGAAAATCACCAAAGGAAATGGCCCAGGGAAAGCATAAGACATCACGAACCCCTACACATTAAAGACATAGGTGTTTTTCATCTTTTTACTGTCATTGTATTAGACGTTACAGTCAACAATAAATCGCAACTTGCCTGTTGGTTTGTGTCCTTCTCTTATGCTGAAGAAAATCCTCTTGCTTCAGTTATCAGTTTTTTCTTCTTTTAAATGCTCTTCTTGGACTAAGATTATTTTGGCTTGGTTTCTAACGAGTTGTTTTAATTTATGAGAAGCTCAAATAACTTAATTGTTAAAAAACAAAGTAAGCAGCTGCAACTGTCTAAGTTTAAATCTTCTTCTCTCAAAGTGCTTCAAGTGATTAATGTCAAATCAGCCTTAGCAAACCCTAAGCAAAAGAAATATAAATTGGAAATTTCATCGGTCAAGATCTAGTATCTATTACTAATAAATCCGCGACATAATTGATTTCATGCACAACACCAGCTAAATCATTATTAAAAATCTCATCTTCAACAAATATGAAATACTCTTTGACATTATTAGTTTTCTTCAGTGATACCCTATTGTCATTCTCCTACTGATCATGTATTTCTCGGAAGCACAAAGCAAAACAATTCTGGGAATATTTTTCATGAACTATCAAAATCCCCTGCAGACCTTTTCAGCCGCACTGCCACAGTTTTGCACCATGCATTTGGCCATAACACTCCAAAGCTTGCACTTACTGATATGGGTTGCAATTTTCTTCAATTTAGGAAAATATTTCTTTTCGAGAAAGTCGCTCGTGTTTCGTGAGCACTCGAATTAAGGTGTAATAACCCTTTCCTTTTTTTTGCATGAAGTTGTCATAATTTCAAATTCAAGCGGTTTCTCTGTAACTATAAAATGTAGCCAGTATTAATGGTGATATTCTTAAATTCATCAAAAAGAGGCTAAACGAGTTGAATACTAAAACGAGAACGACTGTTTTAGTACTGCCTAGAAGAGCTTAAAATGAAATAAACTTGAGATTTTCCGTTCAATTTCTAATTGCTCGGCTCGACAATGGAATGATAAAATAACATAATCTGCCGAAAACGTGACTTTCCTATTTCGCAAATTTTTAATTGACACAGTAATAGCACATATGCTTGGCGCCAAGAGATATCTTTGTAATTAAGCAACAGAGGAAAAGCTGCCGTAAAACGCTCAGTGCGATTTTATTCTAGTCAAATAAGATAGGTGGGTGGCAGTGGAAGTTAAATAAAAATGATATGCTTCGTGTTGCCTTCATTACAGAATTACAAATCTTAACATTCTGTTCGCTTTCATACTTATATTGTTGGGCCCCGTTCACTTCCCTTTCAGTTTGTAAAGTTGGCTAATTGCTATTTGTGAAGATATTTCGAGACGGATATTTGCAGATCTGCGAAAACAAGTTACAGCTGTAAATGGATCCGGAAAAATAGGATTCAGTCCAAAGTAAGTAGGGTTGGGGGAGGCTTTCGTTTGATTTTGTTGTTGTTCCTGCACTCTTCAAGCACTTAGAATTACCCTCTAAGATGTTTATGAAATCATAATATGCATTTGATATGTTGCTACACCTCAAAAGGTAATAAAAGTTGAAGATATCACATGTACTGCCTGCTGAAACAAAAACATCGCAAAAATTGGTTTCCAGTGCAAAATTCGGCCATTACGAACAGTTTGCATTTGCAACCATAAAGTATGAAGCATCGTCAATACACAATATAATACTCCCTCAAATTTTCCTACACGAAATTTGCAACAGGTTCAAAATCGATATACATACTGCAAGCGTGAATTCTTATTAAAATAATGAACAGTTGTAATTAAACACGCCCAGAAAGTGCAATTTAGCGTCCAAAAAAAGCAGGAAAGTAACCTTAATCTTAATTCTATGAATCTTGGTCAGACTTCCTTTAGTCTTAAAAACATTTTTAAAGTGTCACTATTTCAATAATTTACTTTCATGAGACACACATGCCTCCTCAGCCCTTTTGCAGAGCGTAAAAGAAAAGAAAAGGCGAACTGCAGTAGGAGATAGCTCAGTTGTCTCTGTTCCAACTAAACTGAAACAGTAATTGCTTTTCATGATGTGGAATCAAAGTTATGGAACAAGTTTTTGTTTGGTTTGCCTCTGCATACTAAAATAAATAACAAAATGAAGTTACCAAATGGTTCAGTTGCCTTCCCGACTTTTTGCGTATCGAATTTTAAATTAACTTTTTAAAAGACTGATCCGACTTTAAACTCAAAGATGCTTTAAAAAGAATATCTAAGTTCTTCTTAAACTGCAGAAACGAAAGTTTCCTCGAATGTAAATTCAGTCACCTGACATGCAAGCGAAAGTTATTAGACGAAAGTAAGATGAAAATTTAATTAGAATAGTTTTATTGCGACTAATGTTGACTTGTCGGGCAAAAGTGAATCTAAAGGTGGAAAATTGCACTATTTGAATCCTTTGTTTCATATTTAAAGACAAACATTGAAGGAGAAGAGTGGCAGTGATACAAAAGAAGTAAAAGGGTATACGTACCACTTATCACCTTTAGAGGATCTATGATAACTATGATCTATGATCTATGATCTATGATCTATGATCTATGATCTATAACAACCTTTAAGGTTGAGTGAGCTTGTTAATTGTAAACAAATCATACGAATTTGTTTGTTCTTTACTCTTCATTCTGCACCGAACTTTTCACCATTGTTGATTAGTTTTTTCGTTCTTAACTATTACTTTAGCACAAAGCATGACCATTGGCAGTGATAATCATCCCAGCAAAAGATTTACCAAGCGCAGTCTTTATGGGCCATGGTACTAGAAAAGAATCTTGACATGTAAACTGTAGACCTTGAAGTTATCATTGAGCCTGACTGGACAGATTCTTCATTCTTATTTCAGTGTTTACGTTTCCTGTCGTTTCGTGCAGGTCCACCTATGTTCAACCCAATATTTTCAGTGAAGCGCCACTGTTCGGTCGAGCAAAACTGTACATGATGACATTTCTGAATAATCCTTATCATAGAATCAACTATACCTTCATTTATAATAATTATTTAAGCTGTTTTTTTTTTTTTTTTTTTTTTGCAAGTCGGAATGAAGTATCGAACCTCTCTAGACCGATCTATAGAGTCTGTATAAGAAATATTTCCTTTGCGACTATAGTTTTCATTGCTCCACCAAAGTAGAGCACTCATTAAGGTGTGAGGAAACATATACGCACTTTTTTTTAAACAAATTTATCGATTCATTCATATATCCATCAATTTCTTTTTGTCCCTTTGTTTTTAAACCCGCTCGCTCGTATCTCCGAGAAAGGTAAATAGAAACGACGATAGAAAAATAATCCAGCCCGCCGGTGTTAGCGAACGAGGAACAAGAAGTTATGCAATCATATTTTCCTTTAATTTTTATGTTAATGATAACTTGCAACAGTACTCTCCCACAGAGAAATGAAAGCTAAAGAAAAACCCCCAAAAAATGATTTCCTTCAAATGTTTTAAACTGAATAAATTAGTTCGATTTAATATTTCTCCAATTTGCATAAATTTGTTGACATATTGGTCAACTCAAATTTCCTTCTAAGAATAATTTGAACAAGGTCATTCAGCTGTTTTTAGTTGACTATTCTCGAACGGACGTTACCGGTGCCGTCAATTAGTAGATTGTCTTTTACAAGGATCACTTGCGTTCGGTCCGGTTTTAAAAAGGTAGCATTAAAAAAAATCTGACGTAAAATGAAGAGCTTCTTCAGAGTTGAAAAAAGAAATAAACACATGCAGTGATGATGAATTGGACCAGTTGTGGGCCAACAACACCAGATGAGGAGCCACCAGACGATAACATAAAAAAAACAGTTACTGTTATCCTTGTGATCCTTATAATCGCTATCGCCATTGGCAACTCGCTTCTGTTTAAAGCTTTTCACAAATTTCCAAGCCTCAGAACTGCGTCTAACAGCATTCTAATGAGTTTGAGTGCAGCCGACAGTTTAACAGTGGTTGTTTTTACCTTGGATATCTCCTTCTTGGCTCTTAAAACAAAAAATGGTCTCGTGTGTACAGTTAGTGCAGGTTTGACCATTTTACTCATATCAGTTATTATCGTGCATCTCACTCTTATCAGCGTCGAACGCTTCATCGCCGTGAAGTTCGCATTGAGATATCAAAGCATTGTAACAACCCGCCGCACAGTGCTCGCCTCCTTCGCTGTGTGGCTGTGGGCTCTTGCTGTTACAGTTATATTACCACACACGCTCCGCACAGAAGACGGCAATATTTTTAAAGGGCTTTACCACGCTCTGCATCCATGTTCTAAATGCTCTCTAGAAAAGGGGAAACCAATGCCTCATGCAGCCATGGGATATCTCATCTTCTGGGTGATGTCGGTTCTTGTCATACCAATACTGGTCATACTATGCTCCTACGGATACATCTTCCTCATTTCTCGTAAACACAGGCGGGAAATCAAAGATCAAGTAAATATTCAAGGAGCTGCCACCACTAAGGAAGAAATGAAAGGCGCTCGCACTGTGGCTATTGTGGTGGGAGGGTGCCTCGTCAGTTTTGTCCCGTTGTTAGTCGTAACCAGTTTACGTTTCCGTGGCGAGTCTTATCACAAAACCCACAGGAAAAGAGTTGTGAAACACCTGGTTTTTGTCTTCGCACTCGGGTTTAACGCCTGCCTAAACCCAATAATTTACGGCTGGAGAAATTCAAATTTTAGAAGCGCTTTCCTTGCAATCCTGAGATGTGCTTAACAATCGTTCGATTCGTTTTTCCGTGTGCTTTGCCCAAAGACAGGGATAAGCGTTTGTAACAGACATTTCCTGGTTTTACTCAGACCAAGGATTATTGCTACGTTTAAGAGACTAATTTTTGACCAATGTTCTTTGTACAACGCATTAACAAGAGCATGTGCGAACTTTATTGATGTGAGAGAGCCTGAATGTGTTACATTTAGCAAATTGTAAAGACCAACTGGATTGTGTTCTGATAATCTAAGTTTAAAGCTCAGTGAAGTCTTCGTGCTTAGCTTGTAGAATTCACGTTTTTGTAGTAAGTAGTATGCGCCGAAGGACTCGCTCGCGTCTAAATAAATCATGTTCCTGTTGGCGTACCAGTTAAATTATGATGGATGAAAAAACGGAATTCTACACTGAATTGATGGAAATTAGCAAGGTGTGCTTCGCAAACTGCATTGACAATCGGTTGAGAAAATGAACTACTGACATTCTAGACGTGTTTTCTTCGACTCAGTATATTGCATCCATTGATTGTGTGTTGGTTGCCACGTTTTACAGCCACAGGCTGTTAAAAATGTGTGAGGTTCACCCAATGTGCAATAGTGAGCCATAAGTAAACGTTGCCTAACATGTTACTAAATTGGAATGCGTCATGGGTAACTTTTTAGCTTAACAGCGGAAAACCGAAATTAATAATTTATTTCGCCACACTCTTGATGAAGATATAACGATACAGAGTATATATCTGACTGAAGCCATGAAGTCGCTAATTAAACAATAAATTCTACATGCCTCCTGCAATTATTAATACCCAACTTCTTTGGGGATGTCATTGCACTTCACGGACGGTTCACTTGCGGCGTAAGCAACCGACTTTTGCCACTAAACTTTTCAACCAAGGATGTTGGGAACAAATCAAAATTAGATTGATATCTTTTAGGATTTGAGGTATATTGATTACTATGGAGTTTAAAGGAGAAGGAGATGGGGTGGTACAGGTACGACATATTAAAATTTTCGTCCCACAAACAAGTAAACCTTTGCCAATTTCCAATTTCAACCAGAATTCGATAGAAAGAAGATCAATGAAAAAGCGTTGACTGCTATAAAGAATTATAAGATATTGGTTGTCTCTGCTGACAGTTGTTTTAAATGTTGCATGGATTCAAACACGAAAGGGACGGATGGCTGATATCTGTTTCTTTTATGTTTTCGTGAAGTTTAAATTATCATATAAAATTTGTGCTCTATTGATGAAGGCGAATAAACACATGCTCATCGTTTATTTTTACTGAAGCACGTTCGCAAAAATCAACGGTTATTTAGACGGACGGACCCTCAGAGCGAGTCTTATTAATTCTTTGTAAACTCCCCCAAACGATATCTAAGCCTCCATCAAAATAAACAGAAAGTTAAACAAGTTAACAAACGATACCATGCAAAAGCAATTTTAACAGAGGCAGCTCATTTGCATGCTTTTAGAGTTATGTTCTATTTGAGATCACCACCTGCTCACGTAAAGGGGTCCTATTCGCTGTAGGCGTTTAGTATACCTCTATCTGCTACGAAATAAAGGAGTAAAAACCGTGAATTTTCAAATAATCTATAAATTGTCGATACTCCAGACAATTTACGGAGGGTCTCAATGGGGTGATGGCTTTTACCGCTAACGGTTAGAATTTTGGCTAATTTACGACTAACGGATGATATCTTAGAATTGTTGCCACCAGGAAATTGTTTACTGTTAACTTTTTTTACAACTAACGGTTAAAATTTGCCAATTGTTACGACCAAATTTTTTGGCAGTTGTGCGGCTAACTGTTAACCCCATTAAGACCTTCTTTACACGTTTCCGACTTTCGCTTCCCATTTCCTTTTTTAAAGTCAGGAACCTTCTGATAAAAACTTGATGTGTTTTGATAGTATTCTATCATACTATCGGTGCATTCAATAACCTGCATACGGTTTGACCATCACATAACGCCAATAAATATGAACACTGAATGAAGATAAAAAATTTCATAAAATGAATGCACGGCCATTTTAGAGAAGTCAGTTCGCTATCAATTGAAAAATTTTCCCAAAATAGGAAAAAACAACATCTTTCAAACTGAAAATTAATTGCTTTTCCAACATGACAATTCGCAGAGCAGCTGTTTCAACTTAGTTTCTAAAATTAAAATTCAAGTAGGCAGGTCCACCATTGCCAAGAAAAAAAACTAATCATTTTGTTTTGTTTCAGGGTATTAATTTATCTATGAAACTGGATGAACGTTTATGGAGTTTACATACTTTCCTTTAAAAGGCTACTAATCAGCCGGCTCTTCATAGCTGCTGCAGCTGTTTCTTCTTCGATGAGCGTGAAAATTTTTTATTTTGTGAAATATAAAAGTTATGAAAATCACGGAAGAAAATTATATTTTAGGAACCTCATGAACCAAAGTGAAAAGTAAATGTTACAGATGACGCGAATTTGTAATTTATCTTTATTCAGTCTTCGCATGATCAATAAACTGACTGCCCTGACATACATAGCCGGCCTGACATACATAGGCTGGATGACACTTTCTTCTTACCTCTACTTCTAGAAGAAGAGAAGAGAAAGGAAAAGAATCCTTTAGGTCGATTCAAAGTGGTTGTACCTTGCGTTATTTTCATAATTATCTTTGATAATTATCATCATAATTTCCTGTTTTGAAAGTATAAACACTGTAATGACGTCTCTAAGCTTACACGTCACAGCCCCATCTAATATGAAATTTTCTCTCTATTTCTGAAGTTTCGATCACAACTCGCGGCTTAAAGGTCGTTATCAATGAGTCAGACGACTGATATTTTACCTTCTACCAGCCCTCGTCTACGAACGTTCATTCCGCGAAATGGCATTTCACTCGTCTTCTCCTCCTCCGGAAAACGAGAAAAGCCTGCCGACTGAGATGAAGGCCTTGGTTGTTACAATCCTCGTTACCATCACAATTGTCTCAATCTTTGGCAATACGATGGTGATCAGGGCGTTTTATAAATTTTCAAACTTGCGAAATGCAGCTAATGTTATAGTGGTGAGTTTGTCAGTGGCTGGCATTTCAATGTCGGTGCCCTTCGTATTACACATTGCTACCATTTTGGTCGGTAAGAAGGTACCTCCTCACCAACTGTGTGCTCCAGCATCGATAATCAACCTTACTCTTATCGGCATCGTCATTCTACACTTGACTTTAATCAGCGTTGAACGTTTTATCGCCGTTAAGTTCGCTATGACATATCACACAATAGTGACAAACCGCCGAACAGTGATTGCTTCCACGGTGGCTTGGCTATGGGGAGTTTGTGCCGTAAATGCCTTTCCCGAGGCATTCAAGGCGACTGATAAAGTGTTTGGAGGTTATCACGCTGGCTTGACACCGTGCTCACGTCAATTCTCTCGTTCTCGCATGGAGAACTCTGTTAAGACGTACCTGTTTTTTCTGGTGATATCAACGTTACTCGTGCCCATTATGATTATCATTGCATCATACAGTTACATATTCAAAATCGCTTGGAAACAGCGACGACAGATCAATGAAGAGATCCATGGAAAGCTGACCAGAAGATCACACGAAATGAAAGGTGCTTATACAGTGGCCATTATTGTGGGGACATGTCTCGTCAGTTTCATTCCGCTGGTTGTTGTCTTGTGCCTCAAATTCCTGAGTTCAACATCGATTGGAAAGGAACACATGCACCTAGTGTATTTAGTGGCCAGTTTGAATGCTTGTTGGAATCCCATGATCTACTGCTGGAGAAACGAAAACTTTAGAAATAATTTTAAAAGGCTTTTAAAGTGCAAACCAGATGATTGAAGAGAAATTAGACTGGAGAGAAAAAAAAACAACGGAACATTTCACATTAGACAGGTCCTTTTCGTTCATACTATCCGCTGGGCTTTACCAGGCTCTCGTCCGTATAAGTTAAAATATCTGTCGGACTTGTCTTTATATACGCTGCTTGTGAGCCCAGTTTTTTTCCTATTACAAGTAATAAGAGTATACGATCAAATGCAAGTTGTTACCAGTTTTATTCCCCTTTCAAGAAGGATCGAACTGTAACGAGGTAAAAGTACCCCCGTAAAACTTTCTTGGAAATAATAATAATACATAGAGAACATTACCAATATTATTATAAGGAGAGGTGTTCATTATGTAGTAAAAAATGGTGTATGGAAGTAAATGTAGTGTGAAAGTGATCAGGCCTGGTGTTATGGCAAGCACTTTTGTTGGGGAGGGGGAGGGGTCATGTAGGGTTCCTGACATAGTTAGAACATAAAAAAAAATGGTAAATATCCTCAGAAAGGTTCTTGGAGTATGATTGCAGGGTAGTAGAACAGGAAATCCAGCTGAAAAGTACACATTAGCAGAAAAAGAAGTATTTCCTTAATGATGATTAATAACACTGATAATAATAACAAAAAAGATGATAATTTTTAAATTAATGATGGGGCAAGGAAGAACGAGGCCACAACCATAGTACAGAAATTGGTTTTGTATGAGGCACAACCGGCAGAGATCGTCAAGCCGGTCCTTGGTCCTTTGCAACTGGAATATTAATTTATATTAATTTTAATACTTAAGACAAGCATAGATACAATGATCATGAGATAATGTTTATATAAGACTAGTAAGAACGAAAATTATAACAATTTCAATAAAAGCAATGATAGAAATAACAATTTAATATTGATGATGAGGAGTTCCACAGAAAATTGCTGAATAATACTTTGTGGCTGATTCCCTCTAAAAATAAATAAATGAAAAATTGTGGTGCTCGCATGCCAAGCGGCTGTGTGGCTGACGCTTCTGTTAAAATGAGCGTCTGTTACAAATAACGAAAACTGCCCGAGCCGCAGAGATCCAACGCGTGAAAAATTACAACACGCACGAAATGTACTGAAAACGAAGTTGAAACTGTTTTTATAAAAACAAAAAGGAAACTTCTAAACGTTTCATCGTCGCAGAATTAATGACTTACTTTCTGAGTGTGTTTTGCATATTGCGAGTGCAATTAATTATTGATGTGAAGAACTATGTAGCACGTCAAGATGTTTTAACGTGTCCAAGCAATTACCGTGGGTTTTTCCCTCGGCGAAGTCTTTGTTTTAAGCTTTGCTTTCAAAGTACCTTTCCAAGAAAGAAAAAGCTTGCATTTGTAATGAACAAAGTCATAATCCACGTATGAAGGCCATAATGAGCGAAAAGATGCAGTTATCTTCTGTTAACACGAGCTGACAATTGAAGCTCATTATTATTGTATTGTCTTTGCTATTTTGGCTGGTCCGAGTCATTCTGGTGCAAAGATCAAAATATAAATCATGCTCACCTAAAATCCACTGAGCCATATAAAACGGTGTGAGCGACAAGTATTTAAATTGAAAGAGGCCGCCCACTATTTTAATATCGCCCATAGAACATTAAGTTCTAACAGCCATAGCAAACAGCATCTCTTCCTTCTCATATCTCGATCCCACAACCATAAAAATTTAATCATTGACAATCCTTATGAAAAATATTCGCATTTTGAGATTATTATTGGGGTTAGTGTTTGAGCTTGTTTACAGCTTTTAGCACGGCATGTGTTGGGGTAATTCAGGTAACTTGGTTTTATTAAGAAAATATCATTAATATTGAATGAGCAGGATGACATGTAATTCTCACAGCATTCGCTTGAAAAATATCATTCGAGCTCAAAGCCATACTGGCAAATACTATCAAAATCTTCTCCAAAATGTTGGTTCTGGGGATCGGTTGTTCGCTCTTAATCGCAGCCATAATATCAGGTAAACTCCTATGAAGAAAAATGTTATAGTCACTCTGCAATACTGCTGAAAATAATGAATCTTTAACACGGTCAGTTCGGCTTTATTGTGAAGTTGAAAATAGTACCCCAGAACATTTACAATTCGTTCCCTCGATAAGATTTGCATTTGGCCAAATGGAGCCCGAAAAATTTAGATGGTTTCATTTACATTAATGCTGGTGATTGCGAATTTAAATTTTTACTAAATTCTACACCTGATGATTTAAAACTGATATCTGTCTATTTTTCTCAGTTGATGTTTCCACCGCTAGCAGCCAAAAGGTAAAGCAACACCACAGATATTTATACAAACATATTTTAAATGAGCTAGCTAGTAAGTTTGTATATGTTATTTTTTTGAAGTGAATCTCGCGCGGAAATTTTAACGCGACAAAATGGAATATAAATAGCGTTTGGTCGTATTATGCTGAATCATTCCGTAGAACCAATAACGTGCCTTTAGTTTCTCTTGGTAGAACACAATAGGTGTGGAAAAAGTGTTTAGGTTTGACAGGAGAAGTAAATGTTATTCATGGTCTTCTCCGTTTGTAGGCCTCCTGGTTTTAAAAGCATCATTGAAATATAATCACACGCTATCGATGTGTTTTTATTATGTACAATTAATACAACCCGGAATTTTTGCGACATCATACAAGAATCATGCATTCCTAAAAATTGAAATCTAAATTATGCTTTTCAGTTCACAGAGGAAGAACGGGAGAGAATTCCCTATTTTCCATGAAATAGCAGTACAAAAGTCTTATGAAAAGTAACTGTCATGTTTCGAAAGCTGGTTGATTCACGTGAAAATGTTGTTAACTAATGTTATACCTTTTTAGGCAATTAATTTAGGGAGCGCTTCAAGACGACATGGCTTAGTTTCTAACATTTTTTATGAATAATTTCCTTGTCGGGATTTTTATCCAAGGAAGAGCATATTTTTGACACCTAACGGAAGTCGTAAATGGTTTACAGTAGTTTCCAAGCAACAACTTGTCATTTAAAATTCAACAACAAAACACTGAAATCAATAATTTTGGTTTAAAAGTCTGTGTGCTCTATATGAATGAATAGGGTTAGACTTATGAATTTATGTAATTATCTATTTTAAACCTGAAGTGATTTCTAAAATATTCCAGAAGATCGATATTGTGCGTTTAACGACACACAATTTGTTCCTTGAGACATTTTACAAAATGTCCACAAAGGCTTCGAATTCGCCCTTCGATCAAACACGCAAATTAATATCTTGCTCCCATTTCCTGCTCTCTCACTTAATCCTTAAGTTTCGTGATATGCATGTCCTCAGTGAGAGAGCACTGGCCTAAAATACAATACAGACCGAAATTGAATTTTTTTTCCAATAATAGATTGGTTCCTTACAAAGCTAACAATTTCTTTGAACACTTCCGGGATTTAGAATCGATTTTACAATTTCAAAATAGGTTACTCAGCGGAAAACTAGGATTAAAAGTTCGGCGCTTTGCTCGCGTCGCAGTGACTCGATAGGCAAGTAAGATGTTTTTGTAGTTGGGTCTCCATGGGGTTAACTTTCAATCATCCAAAATTGAAAATCTCGACTGTCGCCAATGAATTAAGTCAAGAAATCAATAATTAGCTAAGCATTTTCCAACTCTTCCATTAAAGGTTTCAACAGCAGCAAATACTGATGTAAATCCGCAAACAGTAGACAGGAGCTTTGGTAATCCCTTTAATCGATATATTGCTGCAGCTCTCGCTCTTACGCCAAGTGAGAGTATCGAATTGTCAAGCATGTAATAAATGATTGAAGCCGATAGTCCGGGAGCCGTGTTTTTAAGCCGCCAGCCGTCAGCCCCCCACCAGCTTCAGAAAGACTTTCTTACTGATGTCGAGCTGAATGTTAGAGAAATAAATTTAGCCAAACATTACTCTTTTTTAATTAGTTTAATTGCAGTTTGCCCGAGGTGCTGGGATGTGTTGAAAAAGTCGATAATTTAACAGAATGTAACTGCACAGGACAAAATCAAACCTACTGCCTGCATAACAAAACGTGTCTCACTCAACATCATTACAACGAGACACTGTGTTGGAAAACCATAAGATGTGTTCCAGGTGAGGTTCATCATCAGTTCTTAAAGAATAATTTTCCAGACGGGCCCCAATAGCTCTCTTGTCCACACTCGAACGGTTAACGAATAGAGAAAACAAATCAGTCAAAGTATCGTCCTATAAGTACTGTTCTATACGCATTGTTCTATCAGCTGAAAAACTGAGCACTGTTCACGGTGGAGTTTCCTATCACCTTTGTGTCAGTATATCCATATCTATATCTGCATTCAAGTCAGTGCGAAATAATCTAACCATTGACGCTGAATTGATTATAGGCAATTTAAATTTGTTCCTGTGAATGAATTATTGCTAAAGACTTAGCATTCAGCGTACGTATCAAAACTTACATGTAACTGCTTTTTTTTCGCCTTGTCAGCCCATGCAACTTCGACCACAGTACACAGTTCAGCAACTGTGTCTATCGGTGAGTTAAAATAAAAATATCCTAAGATGTATAAGGTGATATATCTCGGTATGATGTATCGAGGGACATGAAGTAATGGTAGCATAAGGGATCACTTTACTTGATTCAACATTAACTTTTCCTTCCTCCATCCAATTGCATGCCACTTCTATAATGGCTTAATTCTCGAGATGAATTGCTTGAGGTCTTTAAATTTTACTTCTTATCATCACTTCTACATAAACACGTGCATAAGCCTTTCTAGAGGATCATTTTTTGTTAATTTTAAAGATGTTTAATTTGTACAAAAGGGGCTTATTACGCAACCCGGCAAAGAAAAAATGTTTCCCAGATATTAGATGACCAGAGAGAGAAATTATGGGTAATTCATTTTTGCAAATTAAGTTAAGAAAGGGAGACTACAGGGATAATTTCATAAGGGAAGAGCTATTCTTACAAAATATTTGAATAAGTCGGTCCAGCTTTGTAAGGGGCTGGGCAGTGACTTAATGCTTTCACTGTTGGAGATTATAATCATACTCAGACAAGAGAGAATGAGACAATTATCCCTTTACTGCGGCAGTAACAATTATGACATGTTTTTGGCATACGCCACGTCAAAATTTGCCTAAGGACTGGCTTTTCAATGCCTCTTAGAAGCAGGCCGAAATCTAATTTTTATCAGTGTTTATGGAAACGATGTAAAATATTTCTGAAGAGAGTTGGATATTGCAAAAGGAAACATTATCACCGAGAATAGTTTATTTTAATTCGCCACAAAGCATATATTTCATCACAAAAGTGAAAGCCTAAGTAGTGTACGCTTTTCACTTCAGCATCAACAGCCAGTCTGTCAGTGATTGCAAGCACCAGTGTTGCACCTGACATCAGTCACGTGTCAACCACATATGCCCCAACGACTTATCACCCATTGGAAACTAACTACAAGCCAATCATAATTAGCTTAGCAGTGGGATTTGCTTGCTTTGTTGTTTTTGTGTGCTGCATGTGTGCCATTCACTCCTGGTGGCTTAAACGAAACAAATTCACCGGGGTAAACAGCACGCCGATGAAAGACCTGGAAAGGAAGAAAAGAAAGCAGGAGCAGAGAGAGATGAAACGGCGTGCTAAAGGTATCATAAATATCTTCTTGTATTGACTAAACAAGTAATTTATTTGACCTTTTCCAAAATGTTCCTATTGTTAAATGAAACTGGGTAAATTGTTCATTATCCAATTAGACTTCTCCTCCAAACTCTACTTCAAAGGTTTTTGAAGGAAGTAACCCTGTTCATTTTTAATTTCATGGAATCCGTTAACTCATAAAAGGTTTCACCGAGACTTTTTCAAATTTAGAATTTCTCAAAACAGTGAGTTCCTTGTCCAAAATCTAAGCTGAAAGTGATAATATCATGAAGAAGATTCATCAAGTTTACCTGCAACCTTAACTCAAATTAGATTACTCATCCACAGAAGCAGAAGCAAAGGAGCTTTCCAAATTTGATATGGGATACAAAAAGCCCCCCAAAGTGAACGAACGCGCCTTGGCCAGCTATGACTGGGCCCGAACCTCATACCTACCTGGAATGCTTGAACCCAGCCAGGAGCCGGTCGGGCCTGCGGATTTTACTCCAAAACTTATTTGTGATGATGAAGACACAGAGGCAGGCGACCAACATGCGCTTGGTGACCACAACCAAGGGTACGAGTCAGAAGGGGAGAACCAATATGGGTCTCGTGATGTATCTACCCCTTCCTCTCTGTTTGCACCAACAACAATAGAGCCACAAGAGCCAATCATGGTCGAACCTGAGATCATTGAGAATAAAGAGCAGTTTCCACGCTCTGTATCTGACGGGAACATGACGGAGTTTAATCCTCAGGCTCATTCTAATTCTCAGGATTATTTTAAGATGATGGGACGGTTTTAAACACAGGTCTTCAACACTTTTAGGAAAGCTTCCCTCAAAAGATCTTACTAGCCAAAGGGAAACAACAGATCGTAAGACTTAAATGATAAGGATAGGCTAGCCCTTATTTTTGTATAAAAATGGTTACAATGAGTATTGTTATTATCTCGAGCAGTATTCCTTGTTCAAGATTTGCATCGCAAGTTCGTTGCTCGATTCTTCGAAATAGTATTAAATAGAAAGTATGCCAAAATACTTCCATGCTCATTCCCAGTTGGATACAAAATTTTACATTTTTTTTCAAGCTGAAAAAAAATTTGACCGCATTGAAGCGAAAGTTTTGTAAATGAAACAATTTGTCCTATCATCCACTGATTATCATTTGTTTTTAATTTTTTCTTTGTTGATGCATGTATTAAAAATGTTGAAGAGATCACGACTTGTATTAAGTCGAACCCCCTTTTTATTCCCACAAGATCCACTGATATTTACATTGTTTACATGTCTATGTAGATTTCAAACTTTCCTCCATTTTGCTCACAACAAATGAAATATAATGACATAAAACAAGAAGTAAGATAAAATAAGGTAAGACTAGTTGAAATCAACGGCGTGTTTCGAAATAAGTTTAGTTTTGGTTTCATGATGAAGTAGGAAGTATTTTCAAGAAAGTTTTCTGCAAACATTAGTTGTCCCAACACTTAAACAGTCGTACCACATGTAAATTATACCGTTTTTATACGAGTGCTTTTTTTTAAGGGCCATATATGATAAATTTAAATGGAACTAGGTATAAATAAAGCCAGATTTGATGTTTAAATGTTTCGATGTCGTATTTTTGCACGTTACTCCATGATTTAAGAAATCATCGAAATTTAATGCACGCATAAACAAATCTGTAATTTCAGATTCCAGCTCACGTGAGAAAGGTTATGTTAAAGGTTTGGTAATATTTATTGATTCAACCAAAACAATAGTCTTACCCCGTCGGGTTATTCGAGATTTGAATAGATCGAGAATCGTAATTTTTTATTGAATTTCGATAACCTGGTAATGAAAAAGTGTGGTGAAAAAAGCGTTGCGATTGATGCTAAGAGAGATAATGCAAACTTTGAAAGGAGAAAGTGTAACATGACTATACATTTTATAGCAGAGATGCTTCCAAAAGGGTTTTACTGGGCACACATAGCTGCAACGGGAAATGCAGTCAGGCTGACTAACTTCTAGCACCAATATCTTATATTTCTTGCTCCAATATTTAATAAGAAAGAAATTCGCTTCATTTTGAGTTTTATCAATTTATTCTCGGTTAAATACAAAAAAAGGTTCATAGTCACAGAAGCCTAAGAGGTTATGGGGTTACTTACCTCCAAGCTTTGGGCTTGACTATAACGCAGTAGGAAATTTACGTAAGGAGGGTGTCTCAGTTATGAGCCACAAAAGCTGACAAATATATGCTGCGCTGGGGGGCTACAGGAATAACGCTACATGTATGTACTAAAAAGTTCAGATTCAATTACCTTATGGCCATGGAGGAAATGATGACATAAATGGATTAAGTGTTACCCCATAATCTTTTTACCTTTATACAGTGAAATTTGACATCCACAACAAACGAAAGTAGTATAAATGATAAGTGGAGTAACAATCTTATGGTTCATCTTGTGCGATCTTCACGCTATTGGTGTCATCGTCGTTTTGTGTTGATCAGTTTTTCTGATTTACCTTATGTTCTCTTTAAAGTTATCACAAGTAAGGAATTCAATTCACAAAAGGGCAACTGTTTGCATAATAGCATGATACTACTGTAGACTTCAAAACATCGAAAACAGATCAGACCAGGTAACAAACGGGATCGACCTATTTGGGAAGAATATCCTGTATTGGCCGGAGTTCATCTTACGTCATCTTAACTTGTTCGTATCTACGATTCCTCTACTGACTTGGCGAACTAACCATGTTGGATCTTGGGCTAAGATTAGTGAAAAAAATCAGATTTACAACGAAATTCCTGATCATAGCCGTGCGAGAAAAACCTGGCAGTTCAGCCACAAAATCTGGTAACGAGCCCAGAATGGTGATTAATAATACTGTTTGACTAGATATGCAACTATGTTGGATAATTAATGAGTAAAACGTTCATATTGAGAGCTTGAGATAACAGCTGCGCACGGACACTGCGGCATCCACGTCACCTGTGGCTTTAGTGCAAGTCTTCAGCAATGGTCAGGGTGATATGGCGTCCCTGGCAAATCGACTGAAAAAGACGAACATGCAAATACAATTTTGACAAGTTTAATTTTAAATTTCATATCCATTGTTGAATTTTTTCCTCCTTCTTTTCCAGTAATCTTAGAGAGAAACACCCTTACTTCAAACCAAGCGCAAAAAAATTGCCTTTCAGATGAGAATTAGTTACGTTCCTTACCTTCCTCTCTAAATTCCATCATGGGAAACTGATTACTCTGTTCGTAATCTGCCAGAAAGAAGGAATGAAATTTTAGCCTTTACATTGAGAAAATTTAAACATTTGGGCTTACTTTTCCAGTATTTCAAAGTGCCGTGATTTAAAAGTTTACCTTGTGAATTTTCTTGCTTTATCCCTCTATTATCGTGGCCTATGAATGAGACAAAGAAGATCACTTAATATCACATATAGGTATACTCCGACCTTTTTCGATCTCAAGTTGTCTGAAGCTATGATTTTCAAAAAGTCTATTGCGAAAATAGAAATGTTTTACAATGGTTTTCTTAGTGTTAGGTATTACGCTTGGATTCAGCACTCATCAAAAACTAACAATAACTATAAATTTCATTACCAATTGAGTTTCGAGGCGAGATCGTCAATTTTAGCTGAGAATTACAAATATCTTCCACAACTTTGCCTTTGCTATTTCTAAATCTGATCACAATCACACCAACAATAACGAAAACCACGCCAACCACGGAGCCCACGATGATGCCGACCAGAGTGCTAGTGCTGAGACCCCTTGAAGTCTCGATTAGTTCATCACGTGTTGTTGTGGGTCTGATGTATTGAGGTGTTGATGCTGTCGAGGGCCACCCAGTTGAAGACGTCAGGAAAGACGTAGAATCTGCCACCAGCTTCCTTTCATCGGTCAGAATGAAAGAGAAAGTGCCACCCATTACCTGATCCTTTAGTTCTGTCATAGCCATGGAAACACTTATCTCCCCAGGACCTCCCGGTAACAGGGTGAAAGAGACGAGAATGCTTCCTGGCTGAACAACGACATCTGCAATTCGAGATTTGTTGATTGATATAGCATCGGCTATTTTTTGCGTAAAATCTATTATAAATTCTGTTTTCTTCTCATCATTGGGAATGATTTCTTCAAAATTGGCAACAAACTTAAACTGTATGTAAACCAGTTGTTCGGTGTTGAGATGTCGAGAGGACACTGTGAGAGGTTGAGAGGTGGAAGTCTGCGCTGATTGAATTGAAGAGTTGACAGCAAAAATAGTGATGAATCCAAGCTTTTGATATTGACATTCAACTGATACTCCTCCGTTTCCAATTTGGGATGTTGCGCCAGTAATTATGTCCTCTGTGGTCCACAACGAACTTAAGGGGTCCCAAACGTGGCACTAGGGTCGAGATAAGTGTTCATGGAAGTTAAAAATTGTCCTGAGGTCGACATAAGTGTTCATGCAGGTGAAAACGGACTTAAGGTCGAGATAAGTGTTCATACGAGTTAAAAACGGTCTTAAGGTCGAGATAAGTGTTCATTTGAGTTAAAAACGGTCTTAAGGTCGAGATAAGTGTTCATATGAGTTAAAAACGGTCTTAAGGTCGAGATAAGTGTTCATACGAGTCAAAAATGGTCTTAAGGTCGAGATAAGTGTTCATATGAGTTACAAATGGTCTAAAGGTCGAGATAAGTGTACATATGAATTAAAAGTGGTTTTAAGGTCGAGAGAAATGTTAGCACGAGTTAAAAATGGTCTTAAGGGTCGAGATAAGTGTTCATACGAGTTAAAAATGGTATTAAAGTCGAGATAAGTGTTTCTTAGGGTTAGGAATTAGACACGCTTTACAAAGAAACAGCTCGCAGGCTTATGTAATTCTAGTGTCTTGTTACAAAATAATTAACTGACCACAGGGACTGTGTCATTAGACTTGCTGTATCTATGCAGTGGAATCCTGAATCTGACAGCATCAGAAAGATCACTAACTGGCAAGTTGGCTGCATTCTCTGGGTTGAAGAGTTTGACGTAAACAACGTCACTGATAGAGCTTCTGTTGTTGAATGTAGCTAGAAGGTCGTACGGATACTGCAAGGATTCATGTTCAAGTCCATTAATCTAGATTTCAGGCTCAGTTTATTTAAAACAAGCGTAAAGGTAAGTAATATTACAGTCTTCCCGTCAAAATTTATATCGCCACTGTGATTATTACAGTCACACGTAATTCATGTCACAGTTGAATTTAACCACTTTCACCTATTTGGGAGGTTTCCCTTGATTTTACGTGACTAATTATATCATTTTAAAATCTTAAAAAAATCATCATATTTTGAATCGGGAAAAAATGAAATCACATTGCTTTTTTCCACTGAAGTATAACTTAAGTCTGACAGAACAGAGAGTTGTATCGGCAGAATTATAAAGGAACGGCTCATTAACATTTGAATACTAGATGTTTACTCCTTCGTAAGAAGCGCATCAAGCAACAATTTTCTCAGCTGCAGTAACGGCTCGCGATATTTCACTTAACTACGTGTGCTGTACTCGCCAGTTCAATTCAATTCGTATGCTCTCGGGAATGAACTCGACTTTGTGTATGTAAAACTGAACTTTCCTGCTTACCCCTGGATGTAACTAATTATCTGTCAATGATCATAACTTTTTTACATCTATTTCGTACATCTTCAAGCCGTGGTGTTACACAATTTGTTATTATATACCGTCTTTATGAATTAAGTGTGTTACAAACCCACCTGAGCAGACACGATACACGCGCCATTACAACCATCTTGGTCACAGTCCCAGCTTTGGTAGAGGTCCTTCAAAGCTTTTCCAAGCAGGACCTGTGCACTGATTTGAACAGAGCTACAATTTTCACATGCGATGTGAGTGAAGTTAACATCTACATCATCAAAACTGTTCTGTTCACTTTTGATAACAACGATGTTTGACTCAGCAATGACAGCTTCCTCTCCAGTACTAATTCCTTGGCACATGGAACGCCCGAGTTCATCAACGAGAGACACAAGGTCCCCTTTCACTAACATGGAGGCATCGGTAAAGTTGTTGGGGTCGATAAGTGTATTGTAAATACTCAGAACGGTTTCAACCTGTGGAAGGGGAGAGTATCACATTTTAGACAACAGCTTAACCCGGAAAGGAAAAATTTCAACTGGATTTACCATTTTCCGGTGACATAAAGTAAACTTTTGGCGAATAATAGAACGAAACACCAGCATACCTTTGCTGTGCTAACGCAAATACATGTCCGGCTTAATTTTAAAGGCTCAGGCCTCTGCGGTAAGTCTCATGAAACTCTAGTTAATTCACTGATTAAAATGTGAGGACCAACCTATGGACTCAATATCGTTCCCCAACATTTAATATAAAAACCTCAGAACTTGGGAAATCAAATCCCAATCTTTTAAAACTAATCGTTTGTTTACGAACGTTTTCATACGATGAGAATTTAAATTACGCCAGACTACCATGACAAACCTCATCTGCTGTCTTCATCATAACTTCTCCCTCTCCTTCACTGCTGCCATCATCAGCTGCCCGTCGTTTTCGACGAGGATTAAAATCGCTTTCTCCAGGCTGAGGAAAATTCATTTCACGAACATTTCCAGATATTTCTTTGAAATTTATCTCTGCATTGCCCTTCTTGGCTGCATCCACAGTGACCTTCACTGCTCTCATTATTCCTGCGTCGCCATCGGGGTCAGGAGTTTTCCCTCTCCGTTGTACCATGAGTTCATTGAGCTATAATTGAAAGGAACACGTGGATTTTTTACTATCGTTATAAGGAAATAGCGGAGACAGTGAGGAATAAAATTAAAATTCAAAAATTCAATTGTCGGAGGTTTATCTGTATTCTGAATTTCCTTACCCCATTTGCAGCTTCCTTTACACCTTCCTTAAGAGCATCAGAGCTGCCGTTATCATTGTTGTCTGCACATTGTGCTATTAACTGAAGCTCCGCTGGAAATGGACCAATTTAATCGGTGAAAAGACATGATATGATTAAAAAAGTTATGAACAAAGTTAAAAACTCCCAAGGAAGAAGTATGTCAAAACAATCGAACCAAACGTACTTTGAGCAAGTTTCTTTTGGGCGTGGATTGTTTTGATTTTTTCTTGTTACGAGACAATTTAAGTAATAATATTGTACTCACCGGTAGTTTCAGGTATTTCGCCCAGGCTAACCCGTTCCTTGAGGTCGTCGACTTCTCTTGTTATTTCCTCCGCTTTGCAAAGCGATTCTCGCGGAGTAACAGTTGCTGAACATTCACTGAGTGTTTTAGCTCCCTGCATATCTTTCGCTTCTACGAAACACTTTATGTCGTAATTGTTGACCTCTTCACCTGTAAAAGGGCCCAAAGGATTATATGAAACCATGAAACATTCTGTCTACCGTCCTACCTTTAGCACTGAAAATATCAGATCAGCGTTATGATTTGTTTTCTCGCCTTCCTCGATATATTCGCAAGAAAAAGGTATATTTTATATGAATTACCGTTTGAGTATTATCAACGTAAGATACAGAAACTTGCCGAAATTCGATTTTAAAAAAGGGCAGGAAGAAAAAAATTGCATATTCCAGTAAGTCAAGGTCGTTCAATCTAATGACCTTCTCTACACAATTGGAATTGCAACTAGCTTGACCGCAAGCAAGACTGTCTACAACTGAAGTAACTTCAAAGCACGACATTCATTCTGTTAGAATGACCAAGAGACCACTTATAACTTAGATCTATACATTAATAAAGGAAAGATTTTTGCAAATTTCGGTTCAGTGTTGGTTAAACGCAGACTATGCTGGATGATATAAGAAGTCGATTAAAAAAGACCTTCATATATGCTATCCAGACACGTCCACACTTCCCTAGGCCACTCTAGGACAAAGTTCCTACCTTCAGGTAAAAGGACGTCTTCACAAGTGTTGTCCATAGACCAGGAAGAAATGGCGTGGTATTTGGTTTTCTCGCCTTCCTCGATATATCCGCAACGGTACGACAACTCCTCGCCTTCAGGGTCTTCAAAACCTTGACCTGTTAACGAAATTTTTCCATCCTCTGATTTCTCAACTAAACCTAGAAAAGGAAGAAAAAAATGATTAAAATGAAAGGAATAATACTTCATTGAAATGTGAATTTTTGCAAGCGTTTAAAGCTTGTACACCAATCTTTGAAACGAAGCAAGTCATTGTACTCAAAAGGAGCGTTAGCATTATAACTATATTTGACCAAGGTACCATTTATTTTGCTTACTTGTTCCTTCCAAAGGTGGCTCATTAACATCAAGCTCCTCCTCAACGAAAGCTTCCAGTTCCTCGTGGGATACCTGACATTTGCATCTTAACTTTATTCCATCTGGCAGGTTTTTCAGAACAAGCGACACTTTCTGCTTGATAATGAGTCTATTCGGTCTCTTCTTGACGATAAGGACTGATCGCGTGCGAGCAAAATCTTCAAGATCAACGTCGATCATTTTTCCTAATGAGAATATAATAATTTAGTCTCTTTATGTTAATTCACCGATAGACATTACATTCATTTGCAAAACACGAAAGAAACCATTTAGACCACAAACGGCCCTTCTCTCTCAACGTAATCTACTGTACGAACCAGTTCAAACAGGTGGAAAAAATACCTCAGTGCTGCGAGAACTTCAACAAAAGAGGCGTCTTTTCCTTCAACTTCTATCGACAATTTCTTTTCTGATAGAAATTAAATTTCTTACCTTGTGTATAATGCAGTAAAACCAAAGCTGCAGTTAGCCTACGAGAAGTCCTTCTTTCTCCTCGTAGTCTGGCTGTATTGCATGTGTTCATATCTAATATTTGGCCGATTTGAAGCAAATTTGGGTAACTTTGCTTGATTTGCCTTAGCTGATATATTTCTCATCATTCCTTGCTAAGTTTGACCGGTTAACAGGTGTCGCTCTTAAGCATTAATCGTGACTAAGTCAAGTAACTCACCTTCGTCGTCTCTCTCTTTACACGACCATTTAACTGTTACTTCAGGTAGCTTGGTCTTCAAGACAACTCGGAATATCACCTTGTTACCAGTGAGAATTCGAGCGACTCGAAGCATCTTTACCTCGGGAATTTCCCTTCCTTTCAGTTCATAGTACACGGATGCAGAGGCGTTCATGTCGTCCTTGTAATAATTCAGTGTCACAGCACAACTGTTGGTTCAATGTGAAATTCCACTATTTGATATTAAGATATTTCAATCTTTCAACCCTATCTCGTATGAATTTCAAAATGAGGAAGGAATGAAACAAGAAACAATCTATTCTTACGTTTTATCAGCAGGTAATGTGTCTGGTGGAATACGGACAACTGCTGTTCGTGGTAAAATGAGCCGTTGAATCTTTTCGCTTGTCTTGTTTCTATAAAATGTTGGATACCATTTGTCCCCTTCTTTGCAATTTGCCATCCACACGTAAATGGGATTTCCACGTAAGTTGTTAGGATCTTTGGAGTCGCTCCCATCACACACTGCCTCTTGGTGGACACTTAACGATACTTTTTCTCCACCTGTAAAGGGGTTATGGTCAGGTGAAACGAAGTTCTGTCAAAATTTCAATGGCCTCTGTTGTGTATAACAGGAGCCGTTCTCTATTTAATGTCACAGATCCTCCAGTTACCGTGGTACTTTATTTACCGACGTTATTCACTCAAGTTAAGAGTAAGTAAGTGAAAACCTGGACTTAAGTTAGCTTAGAAGTCAGAATGACTCTCTTTTCTCCACAATACTTTGACAACAGTTGCCAAACAGCGTTTGCTCATTTGCTATACTTTGCAGCCACGGGCTTAACAAAAACTTTTGAGTAGATGTTCAGCCTTCCGCTGCTAGTTCCGCTTGTACTGCCGTACCTTTAATCTTGGCGACAATAGGTACTCTCTTTGTCATAATGGTGACTTTGTCATCCGAAAACAGTTTGTCATCACCTTTGACATACACTGTCAGAGTGAATTCATATTTCTGCAAGATCAATTAAAAGCAAAAATATTTGGGCTTTAAGTGAGACGCTTAAAACACTCCCAACCACCCAACACGGACCGTGGATATGTTTGCAAAATTACCATTAAAACCCACAGCAATATAATAGCAATACCAGAAACGCATTGAACCAAGTATAGCAAACATAATATTTTTCATGGAAAAAAAGCCAAACTACATCAAATAGACGGTAGTTTCACTTAAATTTAGGTTTTGGTTTTGGCTCCATAGTCAGCACCTTCTCTAGAAATGAACCCTTCCCTCTGGCTTCTACGCACGGACAAATGATGACCAGACTCAAGAAAGCGGCAAAAATAAAGCAAGTAAGGTTGAATGACTTCACCGTGCTTTTCGGCAACAGCTTCGGCAACACCATGAAATATACTCACTCATGTACGTCCAACTCTGAACGTACCTCACATAAAGATTATACTTCTTATTTTCCTTACAATTTAAATTCTTCACAGCACAAAATTTGTAAGCATTTTCTACAAGCAATTTTAATGCAATATCTAGCAAGAGGGAGATGTTATCACAATACAAAACCAAATCCCCCCAGCCGATCTTTAAGGTGATATAGAACAGCTGAAAGGGAAAAATACTAATTACAGTCGATGACTTGGAAGTTTAAAGTCAAACAACTCACTTTCCCAGAAGTCCACTGATCATCTTTTATTTCAAGCACCGGGCTGCTGTCATCAAACTCCATATTTGGGTCGTCACATGACCATATAAATGACAAATAACGCATGTCTGATGTGGCGCACGAAGAGGCACGAACATTTGCTGCCAGCGAAAACATAGAAGTAGCAGTTCGATGGCAATCGATAAATATTGATTCAACCAGCACATGCAGCTTTGAGCTCAATCTTATAATACTCAAACTAAGAAAAAGCAAAAATGAAGCTTATGAAAGTTTTTATTGCTCTCCGAAATATTTGAGCAAACATAAAAAATAATGGCTGCGTCGTCTATGTTTCCCAAACTTTAGAAGAGATCGTTCCACAACCTGCTTTTCTGAAATCCTGCCAAGCCTTAATTGTTCTCAGTGTATAATTGTATTGATTTTTAATGAAGATCTAGTTTCATCATAAATATCTAGTATATGGCCATGAATAATCTTGAAATTACCAAGGATGATTTTTAAATATAGTCCTAATACTAAGCTACTTTAACAATAAGGATTCATTTTAGAACATAACTTAGAGTACAAACAGGCTATAATTTATTCGATGCGTCTTCCTGAAAGAAAGTTGGCTTTCTTTCATCCTCAGAGTGTAGGGTCAACGAGAAAAAAATTAAGTAAAAAGCTATTCTGTCTTAAACTCATGGGTCCCTACAGCGAATGAATTGTCCAACTCACCGCGTAGCTTCAGTGTTCGAGAGGGACTAATTTCCATTGTCGCCTTAGCAAACTTGATCTTTGGAATTTCTTTACCAACTCGCTCGGTGATGATGGAATCACAAGCCATTTCCATTTTTTCTGTGAGACGTTCCTGGGCACACACTGTTATGTTGTATTTTGCTCCCTCTATGACATTGCTCGCATTAAGTCGTATTCTAGTTTGATTGGATGGCAAGTATTTGAATCTGTTGTTCAGTTCCTGCACGTTAGCGGTGTGCCTAGATGCTGCCGGTGAATCGATTACAGCCACTGTCCAATTCATATTTGCTGGCATGTTTGTCTTTGCGGAAATCACTAATGAATTGCACCGTCCTACAAAAAAACAAAAGACATCTAAATTCCATTAAATGATAACGAATCTCCACGTTTCGCTTCCCGATTTAACACACAGCTCGCATCCAAATTATCTTCCCTCTGCTTTTAAAAGGTCTTGGCTCATCAACTCAACTAAACAACCTGCAACAAACTACAACCTCATTTGCAAATGGGGTGGCATGCAAAATCTAAACATGCTGTTACTTTCTTGTCGTTTCATTCATTTATATCACCAAATCAAAAGTTTGGATCTCCAGGTCCTGCTATGCGACTTTACAATTACTATCAGTTTTTTAATACATCCGAGTTTATATCACTTTGATCTCACATCGCGTTTTGGGTGAAATCCCTTTGTACATACCTACTTTCTTTGGGCCAGAAATCTCGACCGAGAGATTCACACCATCTTCTAAGTTGCACGTGACATTCTTTTTATCTGAAGGAAAATGTTTAGTATAACTTGACCATTTGCTTTTAAAACTCTTCAGGTCAAGTTCCACTTCCTCTCCGGGGCGAAGTCGGGAATTTTGCGGGAGGCTGATGATAAGTTTTTTATTTTTACAGCGAGCCTTTGACGCTTTAGTTATTTTTTCCAGAGCACTGCCTGTTATGAAGCGGTCGCCACTCTCCCACTTGTCGGTGCAGTCAACCAGTCTATCAAAACGGATGGATATGAAGCGAGCAGACGCCCTAAACTTGCATTCCAAAGGCTTAGGTACGCGATCGTAGAAATTAAACTTAACTGCAATATCTCTGGATATTTTTTCGTTTTCTGCTCCGATGGCAAAGAGAATGCTGATCGTTCCGCGTTGCGCCTTAATGAAACGCTTCAGAATACAGACAATGGTTGTTGGGTTGACGTAAAGGGCTGGAATCTTCTGTAAGCTCTCCTCCTCTTTCTGGTTTTTTTCTTTGGAAATCACACATGCTAAAGAGGTAGTCTTGAAAAATCCTCTACCTGTGAGTGTTACATTTCTTTCGGTGTTGATTTCAGTTTCATTCGGGCTGGCCTCGATGATATCAGGTTTTCCATAAACCAGGATCCTAAACTTGTCGAATCCCAGTTTGTTTTTGTTCCCGTCAAAAGAACAGTTAAGTGAATAGTTACCAGTTCTCATACTTGGTGTTTTTACTATAACTTTCCTCCTTGAAAGAGCCTTCACAAACGTCAAGTCGTATTTTCTGTAAACAACGAATTAGCACAAGAATTATTTTGTTTTTCTTAATTCAAATAATCGAAGATCCTGAAAAACTGCCTCTCACCGAATTTTTGCCAATAATGTCACATTATTATATTAATGTGACATTAATGGTTATAATCTTCGATGGGAATCCGAGTTGTCCTAACAATCCAATCCTCTAAATATGCCTTGCTTCCAAAGTGTGCTTTATAGCTCAGTTCTTAGTAGCGCCCAAATAGTATCTGAGAGGCATGAATTCGAATTCCCTCGAAGCCTGAATTTTCTCCAGGCTTCCTTTTGTGGAATTGTTAAAATTTCGGCTAACCTACGACGACCATAGCTTTACTTGATTTTCATCTGTAGGTCAAATGAAATTTATTCAATTGAAAAAAATTGATTCCAAAACGTGTACAATGAAATTGCAATCAAATATCAAAATCTTCTCGGCTTCCTTTCATATGCACATCTATGGACAAACGTTCTGAACAGTTACCAAAAACCTAAAACCTAAAACCCAGTCAATGTCAGGGGGGTGAGAATACTGGTGGCCCTAAATTAGAACTGCTATTGCTTTAACTAACGTATAAATTGATCGTAAACTCTCCTTCTATTACCGCACGGAAAGTCCTTTACAGACCGTTGTTTTACGGTCAAGTTACACGGGTGAACAGGAAATGGATAACTTTGATCCTTTGAACCGAGGGGAATCAGATAAAAAATTGCAGAGCGCATACAGACCTTTCAGCGTCCTTGTAGAGATAGCAGGTGATCTTTTTGGCCATCCCAGTAACTCTCAGGCTCATCAATGTTTGTTGATTTGAAGGTAAGGCTCTGGAATCACAATCAAGGATTTTCGGACATTTATCAAAGTTTTTCGTGTCTTGAGGATCTGCACAATTACCACATGAATCCTTCGTTTTGTTTCCATGTGGTACTCCTTCACAGTCAACACACGTCGAATTATCTCCGCCGCAAACTCCGCACTCGTCTTTTCCCCAAAGCAATGGCTTCATAGTTTTCCCGCCAACACAAACAGTAGTATTGCAATCAGACTGTCACATAAAATAGGAAGAGAACTGAATGGTAAGCTTACAGTTCTCACAGTATTAAAAATAGATTATTTGCTCACATGTTTTCACATACCCATTTTGCTTTACCGTTGCAGTCACCATTGCAGTCTTTGAAATTGATGACATTGTCGTTGGACTGGCAAATGTTACATTCATCTACGTAAGATGGTATCAAGCAGCTCCCAGAACAGAATGAAGTAGTCTTGTTGTCGCATCTGTTACACTCATCTTCAAAACAAAAAATTTATAATTTAGTCTCCTTAAGTAGCCTGGCCATCCCCCACTAACCCTTTTTCTTAAACACTTTAAACAAAAGATAATGACTGACCTTTTTTCTTATTTGAGTAAGGTATGTTATCGCATCCAAGGCAGCTATTTTCCTTGACACCTCTCCTGGGGCACTGATTACATTTGTCTCTTTTCTTCCTTGACCAGGCCACATTATCACACCCAAGCTGAGCTGCTACGAACTTGACACTCTCCCGTGATAAAGATGTATCCAACTCTAAGGCGGTGGAATTCATTTCGTAGTATCCTGATGATTTGTTATCTGAGTTGTCGTAAGCTTTAACCATCAAAAATATCGATTTCCTTGATTGATCCTTTGTCCAAGATACGTTTCTGCGGGGCTTTAAGGCGATGCAATCATTTGGTCCTAAGAGAAGCATCATCCCTGAAGTCAAATTTATCTCTTGTAGAGGGCCATTTTCGATCCTGAATTTCCAAGCGACATACTTCTGTGGTGGTGCATGCAATACAGCCAATCCAATCTCAGAGTCATCAGGATCAGCTACAACAGTGAATGGGCGGCGATTCGGGTTAAGCGGCTTCACTTTTATAAAGTCCTTGGGAACCTCTTTCCTTTCAAAGACGTATCTGACATACTCCGAGCTCATCTTCGTCAAGTTTCCAACTCGCCAACATCTGATATCAGCGTCACTAAAGTTCTCCCGAACTGGCGGGAAAGGAATTAATTTCTCACGATTTTCCAATTGAAACTTGGGAGGGTCGTTCAAGGATAATATTCTGACTTGTAGCCGAGCCATTCCTGATCCTATGTGGCATTTGCCCTCTTGTGATCCTGCACAGCTTCCCTAAGATACACATGAGATAACTTTAAAAATACAAATACTTTTAATGCTTTATGTAGGATTGTGTGAATATCAAAATGTCGACAATAAGTTAGTGATTATAAAAGTCCGATAACTTGATTACATTTTGACAGTTAGATTAAAATCTAAAAGCAACCCAAATTAAAGTATGATCTCGTGAAAGTTTGGCTTTAAAGAAATGTAAAGAGCTTTTAAATTCCACTATTTCTTGCTTATGATCTTATTCTCCAATGGCCGCTGTCTTTCCTTTTTGGGGTTTCCTAAGTTTTCTATATAGATATTTCCATTTATAATTGAGGCATCCTCAAGCCAAAGCTGTATGAGAAATAACACAAGCCAATGATGCCCGTTAGAGTCCTACAAATTACCTTTACATCCGGCACAATGAAAGACCTCACAAAATTTACAATCTTTCTCTTCAAGTTAACATTGGTTCCTCTCTGTAGTCGATCTATAAGTTTCTCGATGGCTTCCTCAATGCGCCCATTCTCAATCCTACGCAAGATACTGCTATATTCTTTCTCGGATATTTCCCTGAGCCACGTGGGTTTTTCTTATGAGATTCAAAACCACGCTCATTATGTACATTTATCACATTCGGAGTTGGTCATTGTGGAAATAATCGGGTGAAAATCTTATAATGGACCCGTTGGAACGCTCTCCTCATACACTAACCATAAACAAATTTTTCCATAAAATAAAAGGAGTCAGCTGATGCAGACCTTTGTAAAACCAGGTGAACTCACTTCATTTAAGTCGACTGGAGAATGCGCTGGTACTCTGCAGGCAGGAGCTAATGTAAGGTTAACATTACCAAACATATTTGGAGACGGCTCCATTACACAGGTCCAATCCGGCGCGAAAAATACAGACTTGGAACTTGGTCCATTCGGAGTAACTTCAAGAAGCTTCCTGGATCTTTTAATGGAGCATCTTAGTCGCACTGTAGAGAGGATAAAAATAATATGAAGCTCGTATCTAGATAATCAAAAAGTATCTGTACTCTAAGGAATCAAAATAAACAAACGTTAATACACCTCGCGTCACTATCGTGTTGCAATAAAGAAAAATAAATGATTGTTGTCTTCAATGGATTTTTTTTCTTTTATTTACCTTTATTTAAGGGCTTCGTTTTTGTTATGACCACCCCGGTAATCTTCTGTTGCAGCTGTTTCACTGCTTGGTTGTATAGTGAAGTAAACTTTTTGGGAACCCGACAGGCCAGCGATTTATTTAGTTTTAATTCACTGCAGTTTGTCGGATGACTTGTAACGTTGACATATTTGGAAAACTGGGAAATAAAAATTAACATGGTTTAGTAACACTCCCTATAATACCTGCAAAGAAACGCAAAATCTGGGATGGTTTTTAAAATCTTTCCATGGGGACATGGCGTGACAAGTATCCGTAGGAAAATTACAGGTAGGGGGTTTTACTTTTCTCACAATAAAGCCCAAACGGACCCCATATTCAGCAGACCCGATATCATTAGAAAACACTGTGTTAAGTGGAGTCTAAACAAAGTCACAAGCTTGTCGTCCCATATGTCCTTGTGATGTAAACTTGTATTCAGTGAACACCTCACTAGCCGTCTGCTAACATCAGATTGACTCCCAATTGGGAGCCAAAAGCTGCATTTAACCAAGTGGTTGCATTAAATTTTTAGATTTGAAGAAAATATATGACATTTTTTTAAAAAAAGTTTCGACATTTCTTCTGTCATCTTTAGTTCTGATTTATACGAAGTACAAAGTTGAATTTAAAGTGAATAACAGAACACTCATTGGACAAAACAAACAATAGAAATAAAACAATGCATGTAATTACAAGAAAAGTTTTAAATTAACGGAGCCCATGAGGGATAGGGTCTTTCACACCAAACCTAATACCTCTTTTAGAAGATGAAAAAACCAACTTAATATCTAGATGGCGAACCCTTTTTTGCGAGACAAAAAAAAAAGAGGGTTCGCCACTTTGCTAAGCGTTATGGTAATAACAAAGATATCAACTTGGTTTTTTCATCTTTTGAAATAGGTAACATGTTTAGTGTGAAAGACCCTGTGAAAGACCCTGTCGAAACATTTTTTTTTTAATTGTCGTATATTTTCTTAAATTCGTGACATATCTGCTGCTATTCAGACAAATTTTTAGATAATGGGAAAAATTAACAGATTTTAAATCTTGTCTTGTTAACATGTTTAATTTTCATACTACCTGATATCGCAAGCCGCGACTTTAAGCGTTTGCAACACACCAAACAAAGTGCATCTATAGAAGTTCCACCACGTTTGCAATCAAATTCTCACTTCAAACAATCCCCTTTATATGCAAATAGTATACAATGTGTACAAATAAAAAAAAATTTGATTTGCTGAAGTAGCCAATTATGAATATGGATGAATATGGTTAACGCTGTACCAAACCGAAACTTTAACCTCTCGTTCTATCATTGAAAAAACTTCTATAATCTGTTTCTGATGGACACCTTCCTCTTAACGGACACTATAAAGAGCCTGTCATTACTATTTGATAGCCTGCATTCATGAATCATATCATCAACTACTGGCACCTGTTCTTTCTGCGAGGAATGATCCTCTCTCAAAATAATTTTTGGACGAATAACATTGATGTCCAGACCAGCGGCGCAGTTTGGCATCAAAACCATGACAACTACGTCTCTCTGTCGAACCGATGCCGAAATGTCTACACATTGCCCATGTGCGGAATTCCTCGGTCCAATTTCAATTTCAAAGGACAAGAAGCCATGTGCACAACGTTGAAACCTTTGATAAAAAAGATAAGAAAATAAGATTAGCTAGTAAATTAAAGAATTATCAATCCACGAGTGAAAAGATGCTGAGGTTTGTTGTTACTGCTATAATAATTGTTACAGCTATTCCTTTTTGTACGGGTGATAAGATGATTTTGGGTATAATTTGGTGTTAACAAGCCAGGGTTTAAATTTTTTTAAGAAAACAAAATTTACAAGTGCTTCTTTACGTCAAGTTGAACAAAAAATCATGTTATCACTCATCAACAACTTACAGAAAGTAACGACAAACGAAATTTTTTCAGCGCACGCGCACTTTTTATAATTTGCACTCGTGTTGCATGAAAAATGCACTCGTTTTTAGGCAATCAGTGGCACGTAATTTTCTCCTGTGTAATATTAGTTACTTAAAATGTACCTTAAAGCGCTGTCAGTTGACACCACTAGCATTTGATCATCTGCACATCCTTTGTACGGCCTCCATTCATTATCAGCTTCTGATTTGAACTCCAGGCTGGAACTGTATTTATTCCTAACCGCGAACAGCCCGATAAGATCTGGAACTTCACTGGCCGAAAATAGATTTTTGAGGGGTTCTTTGGACCACAGCATTCGCGCCTCTGGGTCTGACGAGTTGCAGAGAGGATATTGAGTGGGTGTGGGTTTCTTGTGCTCCGGTTGTCTCTGTCGAATGCCACTACAGTTTCCTCTAGGAGCACATCTGATGAAACGAAAAAAAAGAAGGGATTAATAAATTTACTGTTGACCCTGTTTACAATGTTAATACAGAAAGTGTCAGCATATTTTTTCTCCATTTTCTTTAAGATGTTATTCTCACAACTAAAGATGTGATTGTTTCATTAAGCGAGTCATTCTTCTGCTGGGTGAATCATCACGCACGACTGTTGTCCTCAAACGGACTATGTAAAGTAGTAAATAGACACTAGAAAATAGATAAAAATTTCCTCCACACGATTTTGGACCCATAAAGCTCTCACCTACTTTAGTAATGGCGAGGGGCAAAGAGAGACCAATGGCAAAAATGAAACGGTTAAGTTTTCTGGAATTAAACTGCTAACTTTATACTGAAACAGATGAGGAGTATGGTAAAACTTTGGGAGAATGGAATGGCGTAAAATTTGACCGTCATGAAATCCATGCTTTCCTAATTCTGCTTCAACCATTTGAATTCAATTGATACAATCATTAAATTCATTTTTCACCAGAGTGGGACAGATAACAACTCTAGAGAGCTGTAACACTAGATTCTCTTACCGTCCTAGGCGGCGGCAGAACTGTTGTTCGTCTGTGCAACTGATGTCAGCCCGACAGGTTTCGTCTGATTTTGATAGAAACTGTTTGCATTTCTTGAGACCATACTCTAGTCTTACCGTAAAGGGGCGGAGGACTTGACAAAAAGCTGCCCAGCCTGTGTGGCAAAGGAAAGAAAACTGAGCTACCAGAGCTGCACATCCACCGACAAATAACAAATACCCTATGTTTGGTATTTTTATAACATTATTATAAACGACGGCACAAACTTCAATGGTCGCTAATGAAAGTTAATCAAATGTCAAAAGAAGATTCCCTTCAAAATCCTTTTCATACCAGCGCTAATCTTTATTCTAGCAGATGAGTTTCTTTAGCGTGTCAACGCAGGTCAGAGTGGTGGCAAGCATGAAAAATTATTTTTGATCCAGCAGCAAAATTGCTTTACATCACACGATGATAAACGAGATCTTTGTTCTCAGTTTTAGTTTAGAGCTCAGTAATCTTCAGAGAAAAGTTACGAAAGGAAGTAACTGGTCTCTTTGCGATACATCTTAGTCTTTACCTTAGATCGCGTCTAACCATGTCAGCCCGACTGACTGTTCCCTATTCCTGCTGAAAAGTTTGATAGTGAGGTGTACCTACCCTTACATACAGAATGAAGACAGAATTGCTTTCAAGTTTTCGAATTTTCGTCAAATTTGTATGGTGGTACAGTCATAAGAGTGTTAGTGATGAGGTCAGTACTGTCTGTAATGCAGACGACTATAAGTATTTTGATATGGAAAATATTTATAATTATGGGCAATGAAATATCGTAAATAAGAAAGCGTACACCTACCGCTCCTGTTAGCAAACGCACTGACAGAGAAGTAATCAAACATATTCGGCTTGGTGCAGTTGAAATGTTTAGGGAGGCAATCGTGTTGGCGTGGACAAGACTCTTGATTATCAGGCTTGCACGAAGCTTTTTGGTCAGGCTGACCATTCATCTGGTCTTTGCCATTTGGATCAACGCATTTCATGGCCGAGACAGAAAAAACCTCATCTTTTGGACAACATCTAAGTTTAGGACCAAAAGGTGAGCAGCTTTTGTTTTTTCGTGTTTGCCACTGAAGCCATGTGCCAAAAGAACACGAACCATTTCTAGCAAGGCTAAAAGATTTTTAGAAGTTAATTGAAAATAGAAGATTAAAAGAAATCTTTTTGTTCAGTTTTTCTCACATTCAGTTATACCATTAAAACTGGTTTTAATTAACCACCTCATGTTATAGCTCAATCCAGCTTATTAGTAAACAAAAAACCTCAAAATGTTTTTATACCATTTTAATTTTGTAACAGTTTCTCCGTTTTACAAGACAATGACAAGTTAATTGTTATACCCTCAAATTGTGAATCGTGCATATGAATTATTATAATGGATTAAAATTTCAAAACGCTGATTGTGCCCATGTTCTTTTGATGGATGAGTTTTCACGAAAACCGTTATGTCTCGGCGTAGCTTAACATAATTTTCATACCTCATAGTCAGCATACAAAATCCTGCATCGTCTCTGCGTGTTTTGTTTTTGTCCCACGGCTCTTTCTCCATTCCCAGTTGAAAAAACTGCCTGTTTGCAGTGCAGTTGGATAAACTACCTTTGGGTACGCAGCCCAACGAAGTAGGACAATAAACCTCTTCTTCAGAACAATTGCCTCCAAATGGCGTCTTTGTAGACCGGTTCTTAATAACCCTCGCAAACCTACTTGCATTTTTCCTGAGGAGGTTGCACAGATGGCAATTCTCAGCGGAGAAAGGACAAGCGACGTCAACGATCTTTTGGCAGAAAGTTTTACCAGAGAGGCAACTCATGTGTGATTCGTACCCAGCTTCACGACAGTGAACTTCACGTGACATGCAATCTTTGAGCTGCTCCAAAATGCAAGTCAACAAGGCCTTTCTAACAAAGCAGAATGAAGCCCATCCTGATAGTCATAAAATTTTTAACAGAAGGTTAACGTGTTATCCTGAACTAAATCGTGATTACCAAATATGAATTAAAAAGGTTGATAAACCGCCGTGACGAATTTTGATGGAAAAAAATTACGAGGCTGCTACCAAACCCATCGCCAGACATTTTAACCTTCCTTGTGACTCACTTAAAAACATGGTTTTCTGTGGACTTTCTCTGCGTCAAAATTTATCTTTGAAACTAACACCTTGCTCCCCATTTAATCAATTTATTTATTCCCGCATCAATTTTGACATGATTACCAATGGCATAACTGCATTCTCCACTATGTAAACACACCAATAATCCTTAATCACTCGATCGGCTCCGTAAAGAGCTAAAGCTGTCTTTATCACCATATATTTATCAACAAACGGTGGGAATTTCACGCGACAGCAGAAGCAAAATAATAGTTTCTCGAGAAACTAATAACCAGTTTCATAGACAAGCTCATTAAATCGACTCTCAGTGAGGTTATGATCTAGATAAGTCACCAAATCTTCCCTACAACTTCAGTTCCATTAGGACAAACTAACTTCGTGAAAAAAGGCAGTGGGTAAACGGATCTCACACATTACCTGATTTAGATAGTAAACGCATTGTCTTGTTTTGAATATTTCCTGAAAAGAAAGGAAAGAAAAATTTTGTTTTCATTTTCGAAGCTGAGCTTCGCTCAAGTCATGGAAGAATATTTGAGTGCGCTTATAAGAAACAAGAAAATTGCAGGAAGCCTCATATGAGCCTCTAACAAAATTCAATTCATTAACAATCATCAAAATGACTGATCGCGATTAGCTCTTCGTCAAGAGCTGCGGTCCAAAACAATCAACAAAATCAACAATTGTTCCAAGATGATTCGACACTCATTAAATGGGATTCTTAATGCAGATTTTTATCAAAGAAATGGAATTTGGGATAAGGGTTGATCTTGGAATTCAAGCGGTGTACGAATGTTTTAGCTTTTGGTTTCTTTGTCATGATCCATCGGTAGAGATTTCTTTTGATCAAAACTTTTAATGTTGACAACACAACTCATCGCACCTGGATCAATTGAGAGCGCTGCTTGGCGCAATGCTCTGCTCATGTTTGCTTCTTTTGAACATTCGTTTTTCTTCAAGCGGCATCCAGCTCCACAGCCGAGACAGAGATGTTCTGAGGAATTGCAAAGGTTCTTTGACGCCCACTTTTTCAGCTTCTCAGCGTGACACCCGCGTTCTTCTGTTCTACAGTCGAAGGACGAAGGACAAAACGTCTTTCCTATTGGACAGTGTTTCACCGAACGGGAAACGTTGTATTTCTCCACCAACCAACGCACAAGACGACGAGAAGAAAGCGGTTTTTTGTCATTAACGTTTTTCTTGACGATTTCACAAAAACTATGTTCTTTTTCAGATCTGTTTTTTGACGAAGTCCACCGGTGTTCTTCGGGAACATTGTCATCTGAGCGATTCATCGGAATGCATCCACCATTATCCTTGAAAACAAAACTCAGAGGAGAAAACTTCTTTCCAGGAGGACAATCAGTAAACTTTCGACTGATATTTTGTAAACTTTTGACGAACTGAAGAGGTTCCTGAGTCATCCTGCAGCATTCCCCATCCAGGTCTTTGAACAACATCAAATTCGCCAAGTTGGATCTAATGCAGTGGGAATATCGTCTGTCGCATGCCTTCTGATTCTTGACATCTTTTTTATCATATGTCACGTTAGAACGACGCCCTTGCCCAATTATCTCATCAATCATAGAAGGGTTGAAAGACCGCCCCAAAATTCTCCTCAACCTTGTATCATTCAACATAATACTTGTCTCATTTCGCTGAAAGTCATGCTGACCATCTCGAGCCTCCTCAGCTGAGAACGGGTTTGCATCGTCTTGCGAACGACGGTGGTGTTGAACGTTAACTTGGGAGACGTTACGATCAATTTTACTCATGGGGAGACTTTCATTCAATTTGGAGGGGATGCTGTTATTCCGCTTGAGACTGGAATTATGTCCTCTGAAATCCTTGGGACCACCCAGAGGATGACATTGCTGATTTTCAGGTTCACAATTCATTTCCTGGGGTGGACCACAGAGTTTTTCGTTACTTGCGCACGAGTTGTTTCCACAAGTGAACCCCGAGCGATTGACACATTGACTCGTAGGTTCACAAAAAACCTGAAGAAAAAGAAAATCACTGATGACGAGTCACGTGCTAGGCCAGCCTATTTTCAATTCAGTTGAAGGTTTACGTAGTTAAGGTGTGAATTAGCGTCACACTACACGGGAGCCTTTCAACTGACCAAGAAGTTGAAACAAATGTAATTGTAATCAGTTTTTTCTTTAATTCTGTTGTAGGCCTAAGCTCTGATTAGTTCTTCATCTTTGGCTGGAATTCATCGTCCGTTCGCGGTAATCTTATTCATAGGTTTTGTTTCACCGACCCGTTAACAGCTGGTAATCTCAATGCAAATCTACAATTTCCCTTTCGACGCGACTTTGCCTTTCGTGTTGACAAAACTTAGCTCTTTCAGGATCAACAACATTGAGGGACTACGGAGTAAATTCTAAGTTTGCGAACAAAGCGGAAATCACTCTACAAGATCAGTATTTGAGTTCCAAATATTGAAATGTATAATTTATCCTTAATAGATACTTAAAGCTATTCAATTTTACGCTGGAAAAAGGTAAAAGCTCCAAAATCAAATGAACTGAAAGGATGTTTGCCAGTCAACAATGAAATTTAATTTCATGCAAGTTTTGAAAAGTTTCAACTTTGCTAGAAGAAAAAACTAATCTGCCTTAATGATAATTTTCAGTTATTCAATAAAGGCCCGGCAGGGAAACAAACCTTGGAAACGAATAAATATTTTTGGGGCAGTTCTCAATAATTTATCTGTTAGCAATTCATGTATCCGACAACGATAAAGGTATCTGTCAACAGTGAAGGTTAATGCACGAAGATGAAAGATAGTCTTTTTTCCCGCCATTATTGCCACTGTCTTTTACCTACTCTATCATGTTTTGGGGAAATGCACGCCATTTGCGCGACCCCTGACGAAACTTTGGTTACTTTACACGAATTTTTGACAGGCGCAACGAAAACGATTCCGAGAAGAATTTCAAATCTTCATTTCTCTGTAGTTTTTCACAATTTGACGAGGAAGTAAATTTGTATGGAATTGTACACACAATTTTGTAAGGGTTGGCCCACATTTTCTACAGTTTCCTTTGCACTGAATTTTTTTGCTCAGCTAAAGACCAACTTATTATCAACACCTGCTACACAAATCCGCTTAAGCTGAGAATTGTGAAATATGAAGCATAACCAAGGAAAAATTAAACAACGTTTGACATTTCCGGATTTGATAGACTTAAAACCCTGACGAGAAAAAGAGTCGTTGAAAGAAAAACTAATTCTTAACTCTTTCCAGTTTTCTTGTGAAAGCCCAGAGTTAAGTTAAGCTCCTTCAACGTAATAATTTGGGAATATGGTACAATAATTCAAATAAACAGTAAAGTTTTTGAAGATTAATCTTAAAAGATCGTTTATTTGTGGCATACCACAACGTTTGCACAATAATTCATGCACGTCAGGGATCAAGCAATAAATAACCTGAGTCAACACACCGATCAACGATAAAAGAGGCCACGGACAAAGGTAAAAGATGGCGGTTGCTCGCATACGCGAAAGGGCGTCGAAATACAGTGATGAGGCAAAACACACCAAATGATTTTCGAAATAAACCAGCTCTTACATCGATACTCCTTACCCGTAAGCGAAATCTTCGAAATAAGTCTTAAAACTAGAAATGAAAAATGATTTGAAAGGACATCTGAACAATGCTGAAGGAAAACTGAGTAAAAGGAAAGTTCTTTCTGTGCAATAGATCTTACATCTATGCAGGAAAATTAAAACTCTCTCAAATAATTGACTTGAAAACGCAACATTTTAATAGATAAGCATATCATCGCAAACACAAATTAAGATAAATAACTAAAAAACCACAAACAAACCGGGAAAAGTTTATAAAAAGTTCATTCCGTGTTTTTAAAAATTCACTGAAATAATTTTTGAACAAGATACAAAGTTAGACTCTAAAGGAAAAGTAATGATACGTTCACGGACAGATATATCAGTAATATCACGATTTTAAAAATTTCAATATTTATTACGATTAACTGGCAAAAAGTAACTATAGTTTATAGCATTTCCTGTTCAAAACGTCCGGAAGATTTGCTAAGAGTAGTGTGAATTTACACGCAGCTTTCAAAACCAATATTTCTTCAATTCTTTACACCTTAATGAAGAGCCTTTTATCTTCCACTGGTGCAAATATTACTTCATTGCAGCTTGACAAAATGTTAAGGTTATGCTAATTCAAAACATGTTCTGTGTTCATTACACAACAAAAAATGAACTTCAAAGAAAGATGCATACCGATAAAGAATTCTCGAACAAAAACCTCCACAAAAAAACTGATATGCAGATAATGGCGAACAAGGCTCCGCTATAACCTGCATGTAAATATACATACGAAAACGTATTTGACAAAGTTAAAGTTTTCACACCTGACGAGAAGGACAGTGGTTAGGGTTGGTCGGACTGTTACTCGGACTCTGACCGCTTTTGGAGCGAGTACAATTCACATCTGCAGAAAACAACAGAACGAATCCAAAGCAAGCCCAGAACTCTGCAAAAAGAAGAAAAAACATAAGTATTAGCTAAGTTAAGCGACCGAAGCATATATCGCACAAGTCTTATAAACACGACCGCTTGTCTGTTTTAATGCACCTTTTAGCTGCATGTTATTGATTCATTCACTTCTGCAGGCCTTCTCGTTGGACTAAACTGCCACTTGTTTTACAAAGTCAACATATAAACTTGAGCCTTCACCAAATTGCAATCACAATTTATATGCTGCTTTCGTCCTTTGCAGTCGTTTAATAATAAATGAACTTTAATTGTAGAAGTCACATGTGCCACTCACTTGATCCGGCCTCTTCATGATGGTAATATGACGTGCTACTTAAAGCAGAACACCCTTATTGTTTCCTTTAGAAGAAGAAACAAAACATTATTTCTTATTCGAACTGGTCTGGATCAATACCAGTCATTGGGCACAGCCACCCATGAAAAAGTCCCCTTCATAAAGTTATCAAAACCACCCTTCATAATCAAGGCGTTTTGAATTGCTCTTTGCAACTCGATCGGAACCGTTATTTACATACATCAGTATATGTGTACACACTATGCCTAAGGTTTCCTTTTAAGCTTCCTAAGAATTTGCCACTTTTAACGTTCTTGAAGTGCCACTTTAATAGTTCCAAAAATCACCATTATTACCGTCCCTGTAAAACAACCACTTTCAACTTCCAATAAAATCGCCACTTTTAACGATCTCCCCTAAGATCAGAAGATCATTTTCTATATTGTTATAACTGACGACATTTATGGGCTTATGAACCATACAGAGCGATGGAAAACATCTTTATTATGCAGAGTCGCTCTGATAACTTTATTTGGAAAGTTTCTTCGAGGGGGGTACTGTACACAAATGATTACAGAAAGTTCCTTGAAAATGTCTTTCCTAACCCCATGATAACAGGACTAAAAGAAACTAAAGAAACTGCAAACTTTTTTTTATCTTTCAACAGAAAATATCAGAAAAGCAAGACTTAAGGAAATTATCAGCTTGACTTTGTCCCATAATGTTTGCTGACAAGACTTCTAATACTGCGCGTGATCAGAATCAATGAGGGATGCAGGGAAGTTTATTAACTTCCCTAACTGCTTTTAAAATTAGAAAATTAAAAACAATTTGAATTGCTTAGCTCACTCCAGACGTAAACACTGCGTGATCCGAACCTAATTAGCCAGTTTCCTTGCGGAAATCGGAAGAAAGTAATTACAAACGCGTGGAAACTTGAAGGCAATCTTTCTGGTCTTCTACGGAACATCTTTGCGACTCGGTGCACCCAGAAATGCGTACAAAAGTGATTGTTCAATAACTACAACTCATTAATGGTTCTAGCATAGGTTAATAGTTGCTTCCTCTCAGCAATAAAGATCCAAATCACGTCAAAATATGTTCTACCGCGGGTAATGTTACATATTCTACTCTACATAATTTTTCTTTTCTATAATTTCGTTCCCTCCTGATAGATTCACTCTACAACAGGTAATGCTAAGTCTTATTTTGTTTCTTTCGCTGTACAAGGCGTTTGTTTATACATTCCACAACATAACTCTTAATGTTTCCACTGATCCCCTCAAGTACCTATTTACACAATGAATTTTTTTTTTAATTTTTCACTAAATACATTGCAAAAGAATGATTGATATTTTCTCATTAATTCAAAGAATTTAACTAGATTTATAGATAAATAATAATAATAACAATAATAATAATGACAGGAAAGAAACAGAATTTCCGTTTCAATTGCTTACTTTATGTCACTATTTTCACTAAAAATTTACATTTTAAGCCATTGTTCAACTGGCACAGGAAATTTCCCACATTAAAGCCCAATGTTATTTATTTTGCAGTATTTTATACCAGCGTGCAACTATTCATTGCATCATCAGTGTATACATGTTTAGTGCTTCCTAACCAATTCATATTTGAAATTCATTTTTTTACCTCTTCCCTCCCTCATAACAGCAGCATTACAATTGGGATGACCTGAGATAGAAGAGGTTTTTATCTATCAATCACTTCCTGAGCTAATACATTTAAGATTAATGATTCTTGTGTGTTTAGACATTACAGCTCATGTCAGCCTAGGTTTCATCCTTCCATGAACTTTCTCAAAGTCAGCCACAATTTCTTCCCAGGCCTGATCATCACACAGCACATCTAATGCTGTCATGGCCATGACTTTAGCTTGAGTAACTGCCCTATCATGAGCTTCTGTCCTCCCTGATGCTGCAGTAAACTCATGAGTGTGATTTGCAGCAGATGTTTCAATGTCAAAGTATGGGTGAATGGAAGGTTTAACATGTGACACATTTCCCATGTCTGTGGAACCAAATGATGCCTTTACTTGTTCTTCACGTGGTGGAAATGTTAAGCCAAAGTCCTGTGCATTTGCTCCATAGAGCTCTGCAAGCTGTTTATTGGTTGCCAAGTTGGAATAGAACATAGAATCCCAATGAATGTCCACAGTGCAACCTACAGTTACGTGAACATAACAAAAAGTGTTGCAAAAATTAAACTCTGGACAAAAATTTTTAGAAATTTGATTGAAACAATAAAAGTACACTAAGACTAAGTAACTGAAATAAATCTGTCCATTTAAACATAATTTAATTACTGTTTACATCTCTGAGTGAGAGACACCACTGTGTAATAGCAGACACACTTGGTCAAGAGGTCCAAGTTAAAGCCCAGGTAAGGTCATTGTACTTTGCAACCCTAATACATTTACTCAAATGGGGGAGAGAGGGAATGGCAAATAGTAATACCCCTTCCTTAATATTGAAAAGAGGATAGGCTTCTAGGCTGTGGGGCACTGAGCCTAAATTTACCCTTTACTTTAACCAAGTATCTGAGTTCTTCATTTCAGATGTTTGCACAAACTGAGACAAGTTTAAAGACAATTCAACCCTTTCAATAAAATAAATATTAACCAAACCACATTATCAAATTATTTTACTGCTGTAAAAATAGATATGTGATTTGCCTGGCTTGGTCTGCATTTGGTACAACTGCTTAGGGCAAGGAAACTAGTTTTTCTTAGTATGGACTAATCTGAGATAGCAGATAATAAGGACTATGCATCATTCACACACCAGTGGCCTGAGCTGCAGACTCGAAACATCTATGTGCTTTGCTACGAAGAACCATTAATTCTTCCTCAGTTGGAGTTCTCACATAATATGCCAATGAAGCCTTTTCAGGAATAATGTTTGGCTTATTTCCTCCATCTGTGATGACACCATGTAGACGCCATGTTGGTTTAAGCTGCTGCCGCAAAACACTGACAGCATTATAAGCCATGACAGCAGCATCCAATGCATTAACACCCTCCCAAGGGAAAGCGCTTGCATGGGAGGATACTCCATGATATGTGACCTGAACAGCTTGCATTGCCAAGCATGTTGGATAAATACAGCTAAAAGATTTAGGATGAGCCATCAAACAAAAATCTACTTCCTCAAAGCAACCATTTTCAATCATTTTAATTTTGCCTCCACCACCTTCTTCTGCTGGAGTTCCAAGAACTACAACTTTCCCCAGGTCTTGCTTAATTGCATCAAGTGCTGCCTTCACACCTGAAGTTGAACAGAAATGTTATTACTTGCAAGCTGCAATACACTGTGTGTACACTTAGTGAAAAAAAATTAACAAATAGAGAAGCCTTGCTTGTGCTGCAGTGGACCTCAGCTTCACGTCGTGGTTTCCTACGCTTATCTCGTGTTCTCCCAACCTCCCGCATGTTTACATCAGGCTATGTAAACACAGAAATCATTTTACATTTCTTCAGTAACAATATGATTTCAAGTGAAATTCGGTGTTATCATTAAGCAGAAGTAAATTTTTCAAGGACAACAAAATTGTACAAGCCTGTAGGGCAAGTGCAACTTGTAGCCTTTGAAAAATTTACCAGTGCTTAGTTACACCAAATTGTACAAGAAATCATGCTGTTACTTGTTAATAATTTACATGAAAAGCACATCATAGAAAGTCAAGATGGACAAAATTTTAGCATCGCATGTGCTAGTAGTAATTTACATTTTGTTATAACTTTGCATTAGTGTTACATAAAAAATGTACTCGCTTTCAACCAACCAGACGCGCATTAATTTTTCATCTATACTATTAATAAATATAATAACCCTCACTTATATGTACTGTTGTGCAATGGATTATGTGAGGAAAGAGGAACTATGCAAACTCTAGTTTAGATGGATACAGTGAAGCCTAAAAGCTTTATAATCAAATTGAGGGGATAAGATATATCTAGAACCATTGAAAAAAAACAACAACAACAATGACAACTCTAAGGTCCAGAGTAATTTCGAAAACAACGTCGAAGGGCTCGAGGTAAGTCTTCATTTCCGAAGCACAGCCCACAATTGTGTTACATAATGTAAAGTCGGTGGTTTTAACTTACCCAGTGCGGCACCTACCCCAACCTCGGCGATCAGGTTATGACCACAAGCATGCCCTATACCAGGTAAAGCATCGTACTCACAAATAAACCCTACAACTCGTCTGGTACATCGACCACTGGCTGCTCGGAATGCCGTATCCAGAGTATGATGGGGTGTTACCTCGAATCCCTTATCACTTAAGAATTTAGTTAACACTTCATGCGCATACTTTTCTTGGTAACCAAGTTCTGGCTTTTTCCAAATCTTCTGGTTCAGCTCATAAAGTTCAGACGCCAAGTTGTCTATAGTACGAAGTGCCACATCTTTTAAACCCCTAAGAGCCGCCACCGCCGCCATGTTTAACCTCGTTCTCAAGATTCAAAAGACTCACTTATGACGAAGAGGAGAGGGGAAACGAAGGTCAAATAAAGGCTTTGATTGTCAAAATTTTCCAAGTCCACATGACAAAAAAGTCTTAGGTAAGGAGATCTTCTAAACAAACTTTTTAGTCTATTAGTTGCCATCTACGAACCAGTATCACACCCAAAAGAGTTTTCCAGAAATTAGTATAGGGTATTAAAGTGAAAGTATTTTAGAAATGTTTGTTTTAAGCAAAATCTAACTTAAACGACTTCATCATTTCAAATAGTTTCCTTCCTTACCTGTTGTTACCATTTTCCCGAAAAATTTGATGCTGATCTCATATAGGGTAAGGTATGTCAATTAATTACGTCAGAGGCAACCCAACAGACCCTAACCCAGTCCCCCACCCACAAATGTATCCACAATAGAGACATTTCAGCTGTATCAGACAACAACCGATCATTTAAAAAGAGGAGCAGAACTGTAAATGTCATTTCTGCGTTTTGAATTCTCTCATGATCCTCTGAATAATTTTGCACAAAGGAATTCTGTGTATCACTCAACAAGACACATTCCATTCAAAGGATCTCTTGCTCAAACATGAAATTTTATTTACCATCCAGTGAGAATAATTGTAGGGTTGAAGCTCCATCTTACACAAACTTGGAAACACAAATTCTAAAACCTACTTCATTTGATTTTTGTGGCTACATTATGGAGACACTTATTCAATAAAAGTGTACACAATGGAAACAAAGCAAAAATAAATTCCACACAACACAATACATCCAATGGCACAGAGGCATTCTCCGAATCCCCACTAGTGACCACATCAAAGACCTTACATTACATGCAAAGCTGTTGTTTGACAAAACAACTCACATCAATATGGTAAACAGAAATTACAAGATTGATAGCCTGAAGACGGAAAGAACACTATTGCTCTTTATATTTTTTGGCCATTGAAAATTAATAAAGCCATCTCTACATGCCACCATTCAATATCTCAAAAGAAAACTCTTAATACCCAATAAAAAATTCACAACAAAAGAGGTTTGGTGCCTTTTTATCACACCATTCTCCCTTCAATTAATGTGCAAACTGACAACAATTAATGAATTGAGGTTATTTCAAATCAGCATGTAATCAGCACAAATATTCATATTTATGATTATATCACAAGTTCTAAAGAGTACAAAGGAAAGATTTGTGTCCTCTGCCTCCTTCTGATCCTAATACTAGAAACCTTTTCTGGTGTGAATAGTTTGTGAGTAATTGCTGATTCAAAATTCATACAATAAATTTGCTGCAATAGACAATCATTTTATGTACACTGGATGCACTGCTGTAGAATAGGTTAGTTAAAAAGGAAGAATGGTGTGAAACAGAGGAAGAATCACACTTTATAGTTACCTCTGCTTAAAATGACTTATGATACATGTATATAATTTAATAAATGTTCTGGGGTTCATAAAGACCTCTTGAAATGTAATACTGGCTATAAACAATTTTAAACCATCATTGGTGATCAAAAAAATGTCTGGAGGCACTGTTGTTGTAAATAGCACAAAATGCTTCCATCAAACACATGGCCTGTAGTTGATGGGATACTTACTTTACATTTAGCTCATAACAAAACAAAACTACACTAGAAGCCAGGGTCTTGGTTGAACAAGTGAACTACTTCACAACATGATGTCAAATATGACAAGTTTCAGAAAATTTATGTCAAAAAGGAATTGAAATTATTTTAACTCTAGAATGCCCAAATAGCTCACAGGAACAGGCTTAAAATGCTGCCAGGCAAAGTAGTTCCTTAAAGAGTTCTAATTACTGATGTGCACACTGCACACGAGGTCCATGGCCTGCTTCATCATCACTGCCATCCTCATATGCTTCTCTCCTTTTTTGACTGTATCTTGGATCAAGTTCCATGAGGTCCACTTCTTCCGCATCCTCAGCTGGTGATGGTTGTTTAGGCCGACTAGGAAGTAATGATTCTAGTAACTGGTATGAGGAAAAGCAAGAATAACTTAATATGATGTTTTCTGCATAATTAACCAAAATACAATTGAAAAGTGTTTTATGTGCAATCCTCCTGTATTGTTTGCTTGTGAAAGGTAAATAAAAAGTGCATAAAACAAACATTTCTCCCAGAATAAAGGTGACGACATGTAACTAGGCAAGTGACTTTGATTTCAAAAGTTAATCTGAAATTGATATTGGGAGAGGAAAAAGAAAGAATAACACGCTCAAAATTATTACCATCACTTGCCCCTAACAGTTGAATGTATGAACTCAAAACAAATTATTTCAACAATTTGTTAATGCTGAAGAACTTAAATAGCTTCTTGCATGATAAATAACCGTTGCTGTTTGATAAAAATCACATCATAACAAGTACAGACATTTCCTTGGGTGAATTTTTTGCTTTTTCACTTTGAGAGCAATATTAACCTAAACATAAATATGAGTTTAGAGTGACAAATGGGAGCCAACGGAAATATGTTGGAGGACTTTTCTATGAGATAACAGCCAATGTATTCCACTGAAAACCTTGCAATACCACTCATAGTAGAATTTCTACATCATGACTCTTCCAACATGAAGGATGCTGATACCAAATAAGAGAAGATCTTGAATAGTGGAAAATCTTAGAAAATTGGTGAACACACAAAAAATAGGTACTCACAGAAATTTTGTCACCCGGTATGAAATTGTTTGGAGGAAATTCAATTTCAAATTTAACATAGAGATTTCCCCTGTCATAGGGTCTTCTGTACGCTGGCATACCCTCTCCAACCACACCTCTTATGCAACCTAAGCCATGGAAAAATACAACAAAAATAGCTGCTTTATTACCGAAAAATCCTTTATGATGAATCAACAATACAAAAAAATACATTGATGTAAATAAATTCTCTTTGTCTAAAAGGAAAAGTATTCAATACAGCCACCATTAAAACTCAACAATGACAGTTGATGAATGGAAAGACAGCAGCACAAATGGATAGACATACAGTTTCAAATCTAACCTGGTTCAATAACCTGTCCAGCAGGGTATTTTACAACTAAATTTCTTTTATCCAAGTGTTTGATCACCATATGGAAGCCACACAGAGCTTCTGCCAGATGAATTTTCTTGGTCATAAACAAATCATCACCCTGACGTGTAAACAATTCATGATCTTTCTGTTGTAGTACCAGAATAACATCACCGGGTTCAACACCAGGCTGTGTGAAGGACAAAACCTTTAAATAAGTACAAATCCTGTCCAACACTAAAAGGTGGACAAAAAATCCTATTCACATTTTCTTTCAATGATGCATGCAAGATACCACAGACATATCAAAGCCATAATAAGAATAAGTAGCTCTGATCTAAATAACAAATGTACAGATCTGACTTGTTTGGTGACTGCGACAAATGAAACATTTAGTAAAAATACAATGTACTTCTTTTTTCTTAGCTTCAGCTTTCGATTCAATTTGATAAGCTTCAAAAACAACAGCTGGAGCAGACAAAGGAAAATGTAGTACACACCACTAAAGTGTAATCAAGTGTTTTTGATTCTGATGCATCAAGAAATCCCTCCTGAATTGAACACATTGTCACACATGATTTGAGACATCAGTTTGCACTGATGCATAGCCAGAATAGATACCATTTGAGTACACCTCTCGAGGTTATGTGATAAGTGCTTCATTTTTTTGTTTGCCAAGTTCTTAGTACTTGCTTAAATTTGGACAGCTAATAATGTGTTAATAAGGCTAATATGTGTTAGTTTAGACTACCGTCATGCTTATTTTAACGTTCTCTTGAACCTTTGTACATTAAAAAAAAACAGATGATAAAAGGATTAGATTTGCTTGAATGGTAAACATCAATTCAGCAATCATCATACCCTTAATGCTCACCTCCTGGTCTCCCTCTCCTCTAAATGTTATTTTTTGACTGTCATTCATACCCCTGTCTACATGAACCTGCAAGAAACCGAGAAAACTTTTGAGATACAAGGCTCACTTTTACAATGGTCCATTCTAAGTACAAAGATAATTAACATGATAATTTTCAGGTTTTTTTGTATACTCCAGTTGTAGATAATTAAAAATATCATTCATTTTTCACTAGCATATCACATATGAAACAAGTATACAATTTTGCAATCCAAAGACTTCTCTAAAACTCAAAGGTAGCGCACCTAGCAGCAAAATAGAGAGTCTCGCATGTAATTCTTGAATACTTTGGAGGGTGTCACTTTTTTCTTTGTTCCATGCTCATACAAATGAATATCACCATTCTCTTTACATTTCATTCTGTAATTAGAATAGCATCTCCAACAAATGATCACAGTTTTTCGATTTACCATTTACAACTTTCACCCATCCAATTATTTTTTTCTAGTAAGTGGTGAACCATAACTCAGTACTTTACCTCTAATATTTTGCTTTCTTTAACAACTTTTTTCCCCTGGCATTTTTTACACCTGTCCTTGGGATTGAGTACTTCACCTGAAAAGTTATTAATAGAGCAACAGGAACAAAGTTTGTACAGAAGTAATCAAAACATCACATAACATCTACATGAATGCATTTCATTTCTCTTACTAAATCCTAGTCACACAATCAACTTGAATAGCAAAGTGCATTTGATTAAGGAATGAACTCAAATTGATCAAATAATTCACAATTAACTGGCTCTCCATATGGGAATGAGTATTCCATCTACTCATTCAAGGTCATCATAAATTACCACCATCCAATTTTTCCCTGGTCTTGTGTGGTGTTGAGGGTGACCTGTGTGCAATCAGCAGGAAGGCAGCATGGAAATTTCGTCAAACAAAGCTGTCAGACTTTTAATTTAGCCCATGGTTCTTCATCATTTTGCACATTCTTACAACAAATCAAAGTACCTAAGGTATATCCTCAGTCTCACCATTCCCTTACCTTCCCCACTGCATTCATTACAGGTAGACTGCATCTGCTGAACCATTCCAGGACCAATTTGGCGAATAGTCACTTTTATTCCCCTCCCTTTACACCCCTGACATGTTCGCACAGCTCCAGCTTTTCCACCAACCCTGCAATACATGCATGGTTGTAAACATTGGATTATTGCGGCAGTAATTAAAAAAAATGTGTTTCAAGCAATTTCCATTGACTCACAGACATTTGAGTTTTTAAAAGTAAGCCTGTGGATAGTCATCTCACATTAAGAAAAAACTTGAAGTATGAACACATTGCTTAAATATGTTTCACATGCTGAATGATATATAATGTGGCATTATGAAAATCTCAAAAGCTTGTCAAAAACTTCATTGTTGTTCAGAAATTGATAGTTGTTGATGGTAATTAAAAACATTTCAGTTACTGCAAATAAATGACAATTACCGATGAACTGTTGATAGTGTATGACCAAAGTTAAACAATGAGTAACCTTACCCCTTACATACTGCACAGATCACATTCTTACTGAGTTGTAATTTGGTTGACTTTCCATTGTAAAGATCTTCTAATGTAACCCTACAGAATCAAATACAAAAAGCTAAATTTGATTGAAACACATACTAAAAAATTATTGCTCAAATTATACAATACACAACATAACTCAGATACAGTGCTGTAGGGATTACTACATAAGACATGCAATTTGTGCTGGCATTTTCTCTGATTGTACACTACATCCAATTGTGCATCCATGTTCTCTGGGAAAGTAGGGTGTTCAATAATGAGCCAAAGCTCTTTATACAGGTCTTTAATTCTGTGATTTTTTTGACAATTGTAAAAAATTACAATAATTAAGTCCAGCAAAAATAAGTAACAATATGGTAATACCCAATGAGAAAAACAGAAAAGAATTATCTTTACTTTAGAGGATGGAAGAGATCTTCTCCTCGCCTTCTTCTTTGTCTGAGTCCTCCACCACCTTAAAAATACAACAAATTGAACAAAAATAATTCACTACTGTTATGATTTATAGTACTTTAAAAGTTCTCTTTTGACAGACATCTTGTAACAACCAAAGGGGCCAGATTTAAAATACAAGTTGTACTGTTATGACCTACTTGAAATTCTGCATCCATGTAAAAAGGAGGAACAGTGATCACTTGTGCAAAAGTGTGAGGAAAAAGGGGTTGGAATTTAAGCAAATTTCCTTAACAACAATACGAGGCTCCTCCGAACTTAAATTATATAACTTTTAATTTCAAACTGACAAAAATTCAGTTGCCAAGGTGGCGACCAGACCAAAACTTTTAGTTGCTAGCAAGGAAATGTTATTTGCAATGGTTCCAGTATCAGTCACAATCTTAAGCCATGCACCTTGGGAACAGATGAAAGAGGCCAATGTAAAGAGCTAGCTATCATATATAGGATGCTACAGGGTTTAGGGTATAATAAAATGGTCGTTTTTAAAAGTTAAAAAATCTAACCCAAAATTAAGAACAAGATTGTTCTTATTCCTGAAGACAAAAGTCTTGAACTTTTCTACACTATTCATCTATCAGTGACTTAGTGGCCACTCATTGTTTAGAATTACTTTCAGGGCTGTTGCCATAGCTTTTCACATAACTGCTGCTTAATACATAATGCAAAATATTGACAGATATGATCAAAAATATGACTAGATATGATCAAAAATGTGACTAGATATGATCAAATGCAATACCCCCACCATACTAAGTTAAATCAAAGAACTTCAAAGAGATATTTACAACACTAATACGAATAATAAGTAAGAAAATATATACTTGTTGTATAATCATACTTCAGAAGTTTAAAATGAACTGATGTAAAATAATACATTTAAAATGGTTTCTTGATATTGTTCACATTCTTCTCAGCCTTATGATTGGTTGATAGACCATTTGAAAGGGTTTTCATTAGAGTAGTAACCATTGAGGAAAGATAACTTATGGGCAAATCCTACTATACAAAAAATTGGGCGGTTACACAGCCATGGCATGGTGTAAATGAATACCGGTGAACAATGACAACAAATGACAAATTCCTATTAAAAACCAAAAGGAATCAAAAAGCTCCCACTAACTCAATTCATTTGCAAATTGCAAATACACAGGTACATTAAAAGAGAACTTGAAAAACCTGGCCTTCCAAATTTGGCAGTTTCATGTAGCTCAATTGTATTAAGATCTAGACCCTTCAAGGTTTAATTACAACATAATTCTGAAATTCTTCAGAAGATAAAATGGTGAACACAGCTAAATATTAAAAAATAATTAAATTCAGAGATAGCTTTCATCCAGCAAAACCAATTTAAAAATTCCCTTGATGTTCAGACAGGCATGATATTGCTTAATCTTTTAGAAATCTCGCACAGCTGCATGGTTAACAGTACATGTGCAAGTGTAACAAATATGTTCCATTAAAATTGCACTTTTGATGCAGAACAATATTTGAATAAGAGAACTCATTTTGGCTTTGAATGTTTGTAACTAAAGATTAGTGATTAAAAGTTGGGCTTCTTCAACATAAATTTAATTTGATCCCTGATTTCGCAGAATTAAATATAAAGTGTCAAAGGGTTAAAACAAAACTGTTGCTAAAAATAATGAAACGCTATACATGATTAAACTTTCACAGAAGAACTGATCTACAAAGATCTACTTAAAACATAATGGGAAGACTATATGATCAGTGAGAAAGTTCAAAGGAGTGTTGTTATCTCAACATGACAGAGCATAACTGAAGTACAGTTATTACAACTAATATTTGACTAAATCTAATCAAATTTAACAGAGATCATGTAAACTAGGCTTTGTTTAGGAGACCTCAAAATCATGACACCTTCATAGCACTAGTTACCTTGGAGACAAGACATATTTGTTACATTAAGAAGAGCGTGTTATTTTTCAGCATAAAGAAACAAAATACATTTGTAAAGGCCATGGTCATCAATTTTCCACAGATAGACAACACAATAAAGTCTACTTTCTGAATGTATACATTATAAATAATGACACTTACAGCTATATTACGATTCCATAAAATAAGGTTATTTTTAGTAACCGTGGTTGCACAACAAATTCATTTAAAGCCAAAATTCTATCCATAATGTGAGCTCATCTATACTTATATCATACCGATTTTTAGCCCATTAAAGGGTAGAAATTTCGCGATAACTAAGCATTACAGAAATTCCCCCAGCTAAACAAGATAAAAGGATTATTCAATGACGTAGCAACCCAAAGGAGCCGAAAATTTGGATGGAATGTTCTTAATACATCACCGACTTTCAAAACTTGGGCTGATATCGAACTCTCGACAACAATATCTCTCTAAAAGACGACTTCATACTGTCAATTGAGTGGCTTTAGCAAGGCATGGCCGAACCATCTTTCAATAAACACGAATTTATACGGGAAAATGTTTCCAAATTGTTACCAATTTTATATTTACGACCTACTAGAGTCATGAAATGTCCACAAGAAATGTCAGTTTCTTCAGTTCTTAGCTTTAATCCACTTCCGGTAAAGTTGGTTTTTTTGGCATTTTCGTCCATTCTAAACATGCTTAGAGCAGTAAATGTTACGGCGCCAACACGATCAAAATATCGACTTACCGAACATTCCACCGCCAAAACCACCGAAAATATGCGACAAAAGATCGTCCATACCCCCACCTGAGGAAATGAAAAGGGAAAAAGGTTTATGATATTATAAGAAGAGAAGCATGCTGATGCAAATCGGAGACAATTCAAGGTTCGTTTCAGCCAAAGTAAAATACATCACGTCACGTTTCAAGTGGAGATTTAATAATGAGCAATTTCAGTTTCTGAGCATGAAAAGATCAGTCCAAATGCAGCTAAAATAAGGAACCGAGCGGTGTCAAAATTACTTACCCATACCAGCGCCTTCGCGTAATCCCTTCTCTCCATATTTGTCATAAAGTTCGCGTTTCTCAGGGTTCGAAAGTACCTCGTGAGCGAAGCTTATTTCCTTAAACTAGAGACAAGAAGTTGACGTTAGAAGGACAAGAAGGCAAATAACGAGTTCAAAACATTAACAAATTCAAAGACAACTAACTTACTCTATCGCCTGCGTCAGGGTTTTTGTCGGGGTGATACTCTTTCGCGAGCTTCCTGTAAGCCTAACAAATTAGACGATTTTGACAAAGTTAACGTCAGATAAATCGTTTATGAAGCCCCCAAGTACTATTCTTAATTTCATAAATCTTCCTAGTTTACCTTTTTTATCTCCACATCGCTCGCACTCGGCGAAACACCGAGAATTTCATAGAGCCGCGTGTCCGCCATATTGGGCAATAAAAGGCAACTGTTGTGTGACTAGCGACCATGTGATGACGTAATAATGCACGTGCTCGTACCCAGGTAGGCACGGTAGACGATGTAAATATCGTGTGTGTCGAGGATGGATGAGGGAGGAAGTCACGAAAAGAAATTTTGAGACGTGAAATATACGAAAGCACTGAAAAACACACAAAGGTGTTTCCTGTAAGATCTCGTTTATCCTTTGAACTGTTTGATCTGATGATTTTTCTCGTCTTTACTCTAATTTTTAGTTTCGTGCTGCTTGTATAGCTTTTAGCGCCATGTTGACAATTCTGAATACATCATCGAAGTCTCAATGCTTTCTAAATGTCGATTTGGCCGGAGAAATCCCATTAGTAAATACTAGTTCGCGTCTCACGATCCTTTTTTCTGCGAAAACACCGAAAATATATTTATTTGTAGGATTCTTATTTAATCAGTTTGACGCGTGACTTTTGTACCAGGAACACAAGCAAAAGCAACGAGTTCGTGCGAAAATGAAGTGGATTTGTCAAAGTGTTTGCTTTTTTAAAGTGCGAGGGAAAAGTGAAAAAACCTGAGGAGCACAGAGTAAACAATAATGACTGGCTTTTGTTCCCTTTTTCTCTGTTAATCGTTGTGGCCCAAGACAGCTGTGAATAATTCACAGCCATATCGGGAGTTCCTCGTCGATCTGCACGCAATGCAGGATTTATTTCCTTCCTCTTTTACAAGAGATTTGCCCATGCATGCGTTGTCAATTCAGAACATTGCTCAGTTTTTGTAAACGAAATATGAAAATAAACCAACGAGAGCATCACATTTCACCCACACATGAAATCCGCCCTTCGTCGCAAGAGTTGTCACTGGAAAAACTGTTCACATGATTGATTTAAACAGAATAAAGATTGGGATACAAGGATTAATTAACTGAATTTCAGAAAAGGTTTTTGATATGTAAATTACCATAACCTTCACTCGAAAAACAGAATGGTAAAATTTTTGGATGTTTATTCAGAGTCTCCGTACCTTACGTGCGTCTGCCCATCGCCCAAGGTTTTTTTGAGGACCCTAAAGCTATCAAGGTAGGATCTCGTTAACAACAAGTTGATGGCTTTGAAAAAGAAAATGGAGACTGTCATAGACATCCGCGACCCAATGAATAGACACTTGAACAGACAATTCAGAGAGCGCCTAAATTACCGCCATAGAAATTGAAAGAATATATTGAGCTGCTGAACTAGAAAGAAAAACTTGATAAAAGCAGATTGATGCTAAACATTTTAAAATGAAAGGATAATGACTTTCGTATACAAGCCGATAAAACTCGCTGTTAGTACAAATATTTTGTAGGATAGAGCTATATCTGTAGCGATCAAAATAAGAAAAAAAACCGATCATATGGCAACATATCCATTCACAAAAAGTTCATCGTTTTGACATAGTGTCCTCTATATTCTGGATTGAAAAAAAGAAATAAAAAGAACGTGTATAAAAAATGAAAATGAAAGAAATAATGACATGTATAGTTTCTTAATACTTGAGATTCAGCGGCTGACCGTACCCACGTTTTAGTCTCAGTCGGATTACATGTAGTCATTATGATATTCTCCGATAAGTTTTATCATTCTTTATTTGTTAAACCTTAAAAAAATTTCAAGGTAGGTGAACGCAACTGTTCCTACCTCCTTTTCTTTTCGTTGACAATAAAAGAGAATTCTCTAACCATGTGGGTTTTCAAGTGACCATCGCACCGATTAACTGTTTACTGAAATAATCCGTCGGCAATCGGGGTAGGAAGGAAGAGTTTTAACCTACTCTAGCACCGGCTTAACTTTCATTTGGTTTGAAAACATGCATATAAAATTAACAATCTTTAGTCCCCCACCGCCCCGGGGCAAATAAACGGTCTCAGTCGTTTCAGAATGAGCGTGTCTTTGGCGCGTAGAGATAAAACAACTCGAAGATATCTCCCTTCAGTTCACGCAATGAGAATTTCAATGCATATCGATAAAATTTGTCAGTAGTGATTATCTTTTCTTTACCAGAGAAGAGTGTTGTCATATTCTAGAATTGATTGCTGGATGTACCTTTGTAAGGGTTATGCTCGGCCGGAGAACTTGCTTTTTCTATTTACTTTCAAAGCAAGCTGTCAGAATAACATTAACACGAAAAACATGTTAGTGATTTTTGTACTGTTGTTAAAGAAATTTTAACGTAAATATCAGAAGTTAAAGAGAGGAAACTGATGCAGAGATACTTCTCGTGCGTGCGGTACTGAAAACTTTACACTCATTGGATTATTAGTTGAGTTTCATTAGTAAATTAACCGTCCTAGTGAATATGACTGCTGATTGTTTATCTTCTGTGAATATCGATCGAAGGTTTGGTTTTCTTAAAAAGTCTGTTAAAATGCTTGGAAAACCGGGCCATCAGTTGCTTAACTGACTTTAAAAGAACGACAGGAAGAAAATGTCCGTTTTGTAGTTTTATAGACGAGAATCGTTGTGACTTTTCTGTAATCTGCAAGATTCAAATAGAAAAAAATTAAATGTGTAAAAAGAAACTGGGATAAGCTACTAATTCAAACAAATCGATGCTTTTTTTTTCTTTTCGTTCTTGGGCTCCTCATCCTCTGTGCTACAGAGGTGTACTTGTTCTGTTGCAAGATTTAGTTTGATCAATTACTGATCTCTCATTTTAAGTATTTTTTTTTAAGTGTTAATGTTGTTGAAGCGACAGTGTTTATGCTCTCTGCTCGGTTTCAAGATACAACCGGAAAATAAAGAAAACACAACGGAAGACGTAAGATATCACACTTTGCTAATAGATCGCCAGATTTAGCGGAAAAATTTCGCGGTTATTAATTGAAATTGCATGTAGTATATAATTTCAAATTCAATTTTATACACGACTGAATACGGCAATTATCTACGAAACGCAGAGTTTTCGGCGCACCACTCGGTTCACGGACACTAAGGTAAATAATTAAGGGAATTACTAAAATATTATTTGATAATCCCCTGCCGCTTTTAAGTTAAACAGCGGCCAAAGCAAACAAAAGTCACACCCATTGTTAGCTATTTTCCATACAGTCTGATGAACTTGAAATCCTTGGACGCATAGATCGGGCAGTGGTTCATATTGTTTAGCAAAAGAAATGAAAGTAAACCAGAAGACCCTTTTGTCACCTCCGTCGACACTGAATCAAACTAGAAGACTGTTGACTTTGCGGAATCAAATATATCGTCGCGAGGGTTTCCGATTCTAAGCTTGATTCTATTTTTAAAAAATTGTAGTATTTTTGAATCAAGAATCGTGATTTTATTTAACCACCTGGGGTTATATTTCTTTCAATTGTTGAAAGATGTAATGAAAGTTAAAAAAGACGACATCCTCCGTGATCAATCATGTCGTTGAAAAAATAAATGAGTTAAAACAGGAATTCCGCTTTCTGGGTTTTCGGAGAACAGATTTACAACAAAGTAATCAGTTATTTTTAAAAAGTTGTCCTTTGTCAAGTTATTTTGTGAAAAATTCCATGCCCCAGGTAAGCTGCAAATCTATACATTACTGTTAATCAAAGGAACCCTGTCTTATCGGTATAAACACATTACTGTATCGTCATGGACTGAACTATTTTTTGGGGGGGTCTGGCGGATTTTGCGGGTGTCTGCAGCACGAGTTCAAGGTTTCGTGCAAGGTTCTCGAGGCATTAATGAATAATAATTTTAATATAAGTGCACACTTGAAACCTTGTGATCCGTGAGATACCAAATCTTATTTCAAACATTATTTTACGCCTTTCTCTTTTCGCTCTTAGGCTAAAAATGTTCTTCTCTGGCGTTAAAAAATGTTTGATGTAAAGTTCTCCCGTGTTTCGTGCGTTCTTTCTCCTCAACCACTTATACTATACAAAGTTGTCAATCCACAAACAAAGAAGCTATTAGAGAAAAGAATTTAATGAGATTAAGTGGTTTTCCTAGCTTCCTTCTCTCGATAAGAGTCAAAAACTTCACTTCAGTGAACTGCACGCAATCAAAAATGAATGCAAATTGGGAAATCATGTAAATGTAAGTTGTTATAAGCTCCAATTTTTCGTTTCTTAACTCCAAACGCCCAAAATGGAAAAAACCACGATCAACGTGCCAAAGTAGTACTGCTTCCCAGAAAAGAGTTGACCCTCGAGCCATTTGCTCCGATATAGCTCATTTCATCAGCAGATCACGACAAATATTACGTTAAGGCTGTCTTTATGTTGAAAAATAACCTCAACTGACTAGAGCACACTTCCTAATCTATTTCCATGTAAACACGTGACTCTCACATACTCATGAAAAGGATGCACTACAGCTAGTACAACAACGCCATTGACTGGGTGTAAACTGAACACTAACCGGCTAGGTTAAGCTGAACGGCAGACAGCCCTTTAAGAATATTATTCAATGATATTCAAATGGCTTGAGGCGATTTTTTTGTCTTGGGGCAATTCAAATGTAACCGTGACACTAGGGTGATAAAAACCTTTAGTCAAAATAATCTTGCATCTGTTTATTTAATCAGAGCCACTTAACATGGAGACGAAAAAGTTATCTTTGCCACATGGCTCAGGCAGTACCAACCTCGATAGTTTGAAGACACTTCAGATAATAATTACCATCGTTTGCTGAGACATGACATCGCAGATCAATTAACAAGAATGGTGAAAAGTAGTTTGATACATGAAGAGTCCCACAGGACAGCCATATTGATTTGACATGGCACTTACTCGAAATGTCATTGACAGGAGAGATTCGCTCATCCTCCACAATTTATTCCCGCGCGTGTCTTACCTTAAAGCGCATGCAAGGTTCCATTTCGGAGTTTTGAAAAAACCTTTAAATCTTTCACCACAGTCTCTTTTGAGGGCGGAGTCCAATTACAATAAGAAAGGGGCTATAGACCTGATAGAATACAAGGGATATCTGGTGATAGACCTGCGTCTAAATTAAATTGAAGGATGTACATCTTACTGTACTCTAAGCTGAATTATGGCTGGCTTGGGGAAACTCTGACTATCACTATTACAGTGGACTAAACTGTTCGAATTCAGACGTTCAGATCGGAAACGAGGCGGCATCAGATGTGCAGAGCGTATGAAGAAGGGAATCTTCAGCCGGCCTCAACCTCTCTCGTATTTTTTGCGCTGCACTACAAACGTACCCGCTAACTAATTAAATATGAACAGACTACTAAGGAATGACCAGCAGGTGAAATAATCTTTTCTATCATCCACTTTGTTCTATCATTAACTCTTAAGTAGAACAATACTTCTAACATTTAACAAAGCCCAGTCGTTCCGTCTGTTGATTTCGTCTTTTCTGTCGCCAAAGACACGGCGATAAATAACAAAAACAACGTCAAATAGACCGTTTGAATAGTATTACGGTATTTTTTTTAACAAAAAATATATATATTGTAAACGTGTGGAGGTGACTGAGTTCTAGTCGGTCAAAAAGGAAACATTTTTTTTACGGCACAGAGGCAATACATACAGGAACTAAACAGCGATTAACTTTCGTTGTATTTGGTTGTAGACAATATTGAAGTCAGCGGTGACATCAGATGAGGTCTTAAAATCCGGCCACTTACAGCTAATATAAACTTTCAACTTGACATGCTCTGAAGATAAAAAATTTTTTTTTCGTCTTACTTCGACGCAGTTTTTTTGGGAAAACAGATAGGTGTTTCTGCCAATCTTATCTTCTGTCAGTGTCATATTTCCTAAACTAAAGTTTGCACGCAGTAGTGGATTACACAGCATGGCCTACATATCACTCAGACAGAATGGCTTGTTAATGAGTATCAGGCCAATATCGTCTCCGTTCACTCACGTACATATATTCAACACTAAATATGAGTTTCTAACGAGTTTGTTTACTTCACATACCATGGAGACCATCATGACTCTACTGAGTTTCTTTTAACTTTACTATCAGTTTACCTAAAAGTTGTTATTTCCTCTGTAAGCTACTGAGAGTACACCTCTGTCAATTCATTGCAACCTACAAAAGGCTAAAAAGAGAAAAGACAGTAAACAAAAAAAAAACAAAAACAAAAAAAACGTTCCATAATTACTGGGTGTTGTCTAAGCCATCTTCGCGTGACTTTGGCCAACCCCACCTTGACCTCTTCAGCCCTCTGTATTTGTAGTTCGTATTTTCTCTCACATCCATTAGTCTGTTTTTAAAAAGGCTGCAAACCAGTTGAGAGCCTTAAAATCAGACAAATCTCTATTAATGGAGGACAACAAAAAGATTCGTAATGACTGATGAAACAGAGTTCTATCAGTGATAGTCAGAAGTGAATATGATAATTGGCAATATATTAATCAAATTGTAAAAGGAAAGTAAGAATGGTAAAATGTGACTGTCGCGAACTGAAAGCCTTTTTGACATGACGTGTTAGATCAGTCCACGCCATGTAACACCGCTAATCTTCTCTGGTAAATCGAGCAAAAAAGGCAACGATGGTACTCTTCCCATGAGCAAAAGGTAGAAAAGCGATGTGAAAAGTTTAAAATCTGATCATTTATTGCCCCATGTTTTCCTAAACACGCGTTAAGGTCTGGGTTATTCAGCGTTCGCTGGGAGCCTTAAGCTGTCAGTGAAAGTAACTGATAAAACAGGGGACTGCAAAGAGACGTCGACATTTAAGATAGACTTTGCCGCTAAATGAGCAGAGCACCGAACAACCCTGATTGAGTGGGCTCATGTACTGACGTATGGCTGTACCATGTGTAAAGAAATAAATAAGCGGTAACTACTCGGTGCAGTTATCCTATCGGCCTTATAGTGCCCACGAGAGATCAACCCAGACTTGTTAATCCAAACACACATTTAGTGAAGAAGCAAATTAGAAAATAAAAGTCTAAATTGACGATTGTTACTGGAAGCGCAAGTTCCTCTCCGCAAAATGAGAAAGGATGTATCATGCTGAGAGCTGGTTGTGAAATTGTTTTGGAAACTACCGAACCAAAACAAGTTATTTAAAGGCATCTACACTGAAAGGAAATGGTGGTTTCCATTGATCTACTTCTTCTAATATAAACAATTTCCGCTTATGATCACGCAATATCTATTTGTACAAGCTTACATTGTGCTGTGAGGCATTCACGACTGTGAACACCGGTATTACAAGAACACCAACAGCTCTCTCCCCTTTTTTTTAAATTTCACTCAGCAGCTTAAGCTATATGGAAGTCTTAAATGAATTGGCCCGTAAAATTCCGATTTATTAAAAGACAGGATTTGCAATAATTGTTGCATATACATTTAACTGTAATTTCGTTATTCGCTTTTTTAGTCGCTTAATTCAATTCGCAGCCGTAGTTTCGACAGCCACATCCGCTATTCGTCGTTCAGCGTCCGTTTTTTCACTCGCCTCCACCGACTGAGAGCCTGGAACTGGTTAGGCATCAGGCCGCCCGCAACCTGTTTCTTAATGAAGCATCGACCTGAATGGCCTATGGCAGCAGATATTCAATGGGCTAGATACTTCGGGGAGTGGGGGTTGGTACTCCTTTAACCAATATGTGTTATCTATTGCCTTGAAAAGAGTCCTTTTCTTTTCAACCGGGTTTGAAGGATCAGCGGTGTTCACGTGTCTGTCTAAATATGTGTGAAGTGGCCTTCTGGGGTCGCTGTGCCTCAATTTACAATAATGTAATTTTAACCGGACCAAGGTTTACCACAGTTAAAGAGCCTTGGTCGCACGCTATCCTGCAAATCCATTCAGTTGTCCCCTCACTCTACTCCAAGCTAACTACAGGCTAAATAATCAGTTGAAGCTATTTGTTACTGATAGTATGGTCTACGAAAAAGACATACTGCAAACAACAAACCCAAAAATTAAGAGCTGTTGAAAAGTTTGGGTGTGTAATAATAAAAATGATTTTCTTCATCATAAATAGCTTCAGATAATACTGCAGGCTAGCGGGAAGGAAAAACGCTTTAACGGTCATACTCCAGCGTGTTTTTTCATTTAACTTTTTCGTCGCTGCGAGAAAGTCCTGAAGTACTAAGCGAATACACTTTTGCGAGAGCAAAATAATTCCCACGAGTTATTTTCAAGAATTTACGAGAAGAGAGAAGCATATACCGCAGTAAAGTCTGAAAACCTTTCGAACGTTTAAGAATTTTGTTTATCAAGGTTGTTTAGCCTGGCGGTACTTTTGACTTTTATTTGTTTGGGATAGGTGTGGCAAGGGCGCAGTTTCCTGTACAGTTACCAGGCAAAGAGCAGCTCACTTGTACAGATCAATATTGTTAACAGAAGATGTGATTTAAGTAATATACGTTGAAAATTAAAATTAAATCCAGCCCGATAAGTTGGCTGGAAAAAAATATTTGCAAAAGAAAACAAATGGAATACCGACCACAGCTACCAGCTGTCTATAATCGTGTTGACAAGCGTGTGACAGTTTAAACCCCTTTAACTTCCAAAGTCGTATCACGTTTCCATCCGTTGTTACGGGTCGTTTGAGGCCAGTGAGTCGATTGTAAGTTCTTCTGATGTTATTTACACAGTAACGAATGAAAAGAACGCTATGGATATGGCAGCGATCACGACAGTTGAGGCCATCTATGTACCAGACAACCTTGATGGGAAGAGATACATGAAAAACCAACAATGGCGGCTTCGAATTTGGATTTGCGCTGGAATATCTAGTTTGGTCGTGTTATCAGCAGCATTGGCATTTATTATTCTTATTTTGAACTTCTCAGCTTTTCTGTCGCAAACCTATGATCTCACTCAAGGTGATATGAGGCTGATATCGGTATCTACGGCTTTCTGTGAAGACATATCGCTTGGACAAGATTCCTCGAAACGGAAATTGTGGATTCTGCCGTCTTCACGCGTAAGTCCCCAACTGCGAAGAACAAATATTTCCACAGATGTATTAGTGTCAAAATTTAATTATTGGTACAAGAGTTTCTATTTACTAGAAGGATCTTCTGTCGTTATAAATGCCGAGTCTAATAGACTGTTGAAGCTTTTTATTTTCAAGGACAGAAAAAGACTTGATGAATGGATCCTTCAAAATGGGGATTCTTCGGAGGAAAGCGGCCTCTCTGAGGAGGAATCCTTCTCGCAGCCTTCCAGAATATCTTACACTCTTTCCGCAAAAGAAACAGGCTACTTCTTTATTCTTTTTAAATACTCCAAAAAAGAGAACGAAGTTTCAAAAATGAACCTTGGTATGATTATAAGCCGCAAAGTGTACGATGTGGATTCTTCAGTTTTCAGTTGTAGCGCTGGTGCGGACGAAGCATGTTCGGCGAGATTACTGTTTGGGTCATCCGAGGTCGGCGTGCTTGAAGTAACACAGAACCTTGATTATCACAGTAATGACCTTGTAACAACTTGGCGTTGTGAGCCCCGTATTTGGTTTTACTTGGCGGTCTTTGCTGGACCTGTTTTGCTTTTCACTGTTGGAAGCTTTTTGTTTTATTTTGTATTTATCAACCGAAAGAGAGACAGCATTATTCAGAGACTTGCGTTTCACAGACAGAACGCACTTAGGCGAGCAAGTGGTAGTGACCGATGTAACACCCTTGGCAATAAGAGTTTAAACGGTTCGCTGAGGCCAACAAGTCGAACCTCAAGTATACGTAGCCTGGGCAATCAAACTGACGTGTCACGCACCGCTTCTCTGCAGCCTGTTGTGACAACTATGTATACTGGAAACGCAGCAAGCGAAGACAGCGGTCACGACACTGATGACGATAACAAAAGGATCAGCAACACTTGTCGCGGCTCTAAAAGGCGAACATCTTCAGTTGACGGAGCGTCTTTAGTGTCTCAAGAAAGTGTTTCTAGAAGACCCAGCTTCAGCACATTCCAAGGGAGTGACGATGAACGCACAAATGCCGTTGGAAATCATATGCGGCAAAGTGAATCAGCGCGCAAAGGGCTCACTGATGACAGAGCACGTAAGAAAAGATCAGATCGTCGTGAAATGCTGGAGAAAATTCCTGATGGCACTGTTCCTAGAAACCATTCAACTCGGCGAAACTCCAACGAGAAATTGATTGAGCACACAATTCGCACGTTGCCATTCGACCGAAGCAACACCCCACGGGCTGGACACTCTGACAGTCACCTTGAACTTGAGCTGCTACACAAACCTAGGAACTCGTCATCTCGGCGATATTCCAGTGAAGAATTACTTGACCACGCATTGCCACGTAACGGTAACTACTCAGCAGCTAGTGGCCGACTTGATCGTCAACCACAGACTGAGATTGAAAGCCCGATCAGTAAACCTGACAATGATAAATCCAAGGGGACCTCAACTCGTAGACACTTAAGTGATAAGTTATATAACGACGCAGCTATAACATTGCCGCGTAACCGAGGCAATACAGTACCCACTAGCCACTTTAACAGTCATCTTGAGCCTGAACACGATAGACCCGCCTCTCTTCCATCTTTGCAGTGCCCTGATGGTGCGTGGGGACTCCCTTTGGATTTGATACCTGAATCCCAACAAAAAGCTCGCTCTGAGCTGTCGTTTATCCCACCTCGAGAGGAAGACAGTGATGTCTTGGAGCCTCAGAAGATCAAATTACGGACAAGTTCCGGGCGACGACGGGACATGGGATGGACTCCGAGATTGTCCATCGTCTCTGAGGCTTAAGAGAAATCAGTTCGTCATGTTAGACTCTAGCGTGCCAAGATTGTGAGGAAATCAATAGATTTAGATGAAAGCAGATAGCCTGATTATTCTCTCTGTATTTAGGCGTTTACAGACTGATTTGCAAATGTGTTTGATGCAACTTACGTTGAACGAACGATCAAGCAAACGAGCAAACAATCAAAGAGGCTGTAGCTTGTAGTGTTCCCAAATAATACGATAGTTGAGATTTTGTGCGCTCTCTGCAAGAACGACAACGTTCGGTTTCGTTTCAACGTGATTTTGGAGAAGGCCTATTCATCCTCTCTACAACTGACTCGGAATGAAAATTTTAAAAGAAGCCATTTGCTTTCGCTCAGAGATTTTTTGTCGTCTTTAATTTTATTCAACGTGGATGCCCCCATTTGCTTCTATAACTAGTTCTAGACCCCGCGCCTTGATCTCTTGGTGACTGCTCCGCCCACTGCTTTGTGAACCCATGATCGCAGCAAAACTGGTTCATGTTTCCCGCCGTTCATTATCCCATTCAAGATCAAAAGAGGTAAAATAATTCTAACAAGGATGGGGGGTCCGCCTTTTTCCCTGACTAAAATGAAACCAAGGGAAGTATTTCCCAGATTGCATTGGACTGACATTAGTTAACGAACGTACTCGGTCACCATCAATTATCTTGCATTGGAAGCACGTGGTGACGGTAATCTCGATTTGTCCCGGGGCCGCGGAACAGACTAGCCTGTGTCAGGCTCTCAGCTGGCCAAGCAAATGAGTAAGGGAGAAAAAAAATTATCGCGCTCTTTGTCCTTTATTCCATGTCTTTAGTCCCCCCTTCCGATTTTCTTCACTCCTCAAATTAATGACTGTGAAATTTCTGCTTTGTCGGTGGGGCCGGGCCAGTCCAGTCTGCGGTTTATTTCTGGGTAATTAAGTGCTATCAGTTGAGTTGATAACGTAAATTGGCCACTGTAAAGAGTTTAAAGGCTGACATTTCGTCAGAACGATTGACGGAGGGCTAACGCTCGAAATGTCAACCTTTAAACTCTTTACTTTAGCCAATTTACGTCATCAACTCAGTTGATAACACTTAATTACCCTGTTACACTCTCTTACCAGCGCAGCACAAAAGTTTATTTAAAAACATCCCTTTTATTCATTTGTGCTTTATTTCTGTCTATCTTACCCGGAGCACAGCTATTCTTGTTCCTGATATTTTTCTATAGATTTATTATATTTCTGAAATCCAAAAATGATATTTGCAAATACCAACGAAGACCCAAATGAGTGTCTTTAGTGGATCAAGAAGTCGCAAAGTGAGCCTGTCAGTGATTATTTGTGGTGGAACACTTGGTAAAGTATGCGCGCGCAGCCACATTTCTAATGTTTTTCAATGTCTGCAAAGAGGGTGACGTTTACCTATCCATGAAAATTTTCTACTGAGACGTCGAATTCTCCCCTTTCATGATGAAATCACCGCTACGGAAAGCTGTGGTCGTTGTCCTAGTTGTCTACGCCAGCGTTTCATGGTGTGAGGATATTCCATCAGAAACTCCGTCACGAACGAACAGTTCAATTGGGTGAGCCACTTGGAATATGACTCTTGTACCAGTCGAAAATATTAAATGTTTACACGGGTCACTAATTCATCTGAAGTATTTTTACACCCATTGATTGTGATCACAGTTATCAACACTTCATTGTTTAATTCATTTTTTAGCATGAACAACACAGAGGGAGAAGTAAATGCGACAAAAACTACACCAGTTACTACAACACAACCTCCAACAACCACTGAGGCGCCGATCGAGGAAATACCCGAACCACCTGAGGTCGAACAACACAGTTCGATGACAATTTTTTTCATTCTTCTCGTTGTAGGTATGATATTTAAATCTTCGTATCCACAGTTATCTGTGTGTGGCTGTTGGAGCGAGATGTACACATTTTACTAATATTTTCAGTCAGTGTCAGCTGTCATTCTTCGAGGCAACTAATTCACATTTTTATTTTATATTCTAAAATTATTTGAGCAGCTGCTAATCTCCAATTCTTAAGATGATGTGATTTTTTTATTTAAGTAGAGATAACTTTCAGTGGTCAATAAGAACAGCTGGTGACACCACGACAGAAAAGATATCACTAAATGTCACATGTTTATGAAAATCCTACTTACACCCATTAGTAGTACAAACAAAAACAGCATATTATTTTAATTGTTGAAACCTCACTGAAATGATCCTTGCTATCAGCTGAAACTGGTCTCAACAATAATTTCTTGAGCTGCAACAGAATTTAAAACTTATCTGGAATGATTTGGCCCAGTTTCCACTGTGCTTTGGCATAGATAGAGGCAGAGTGTTTCCACTCTTTAAAAAAAGCTAAGTTAGCTTTTAGGATAAAGAATCTGCCTATTACAAGGAAAAGTGGGAAAAAATTAAAAAGAAAGACATATCTACACTGGAACTATATTATTTGGTACAAATACAGTTTATACAGTTAGTGAAACCCTTCCTTTCCAATTGATCAGATCAGTGTTTTCTTCTGTGACTAACTGTTTTACACACAAATACATAATACATTATTTATGTTACATTCTCAAGAAAGTGATATTGTGAATGTACTGAGAATGTCTGAGTGCAATATCTTTCCCTTCTCATTTCTTTTGTCTTTAGCAATTTATGCTCTGGTACATTTCTATTTGAGGTGAAGTTTGGTGAAAAGAAAACTTTTTTGAAAAGATATGTGAATTAGGATGACTCATCTCCTAATATATAGATTTAGCCAAGCCTAAAAGTGGAACTTGCATTTTTTTTCCCGCACGTCTCAAGGGCGCATTGCCAGGACTAGAACCCGGGTCATCCAAATCAGAGCCCAGTGCACTGACCACTGTACTATTGAACAAAGCCGTGGCACTTGTGTACCCATGGTATAGTTGACCACGCATGTTAAAAGTAGCGCCTTGTACGGTCGTATGGTCATACAGTCGTATGATCGTACATCCAACTTTTTTTGGCTTGATGAGTTACTACTATTTTGTATAATTATGGGGCTATGCTCTGCAAGCTCTGCTAAAATATTTACATCTATGTATAAATATTGTATATACTTATATTTCAATAGTTTTTTAAAATAAAAATATCAATTCTTGATTACTTTGCATTCGGTTTCATTTTAGCCCTTTGTATTTTGTTGATCCACTTTTTACTGAAGACTAAATTTCACTACCTTCCTGAAAGTGTAGCTGTTGTTTTCCTGGGTAAGTTGCATTATCTCTGGATAGTATTTCAGATAGTTTTTGGAGTGAATGCAATGCTCACAACCTACTCTAGAGACAGTACTATATTTATCTACTTTTTGAAACTTGACACTTTCATACATAAGATGTACATAATTAATCTTTCTCCTTTACATCAAACCTTGAATGAACAGTTGTTGGTTGTTCTATTGCAGGTGCACTAGTTGGTTTGGTTATAAAAGCCTTAAGCCATTTTGCTCTTGGAGACTGGAGGGTTTGTTTCAGTTTTCTGCTTTGCTGATATTAATGATAAATTATTCTACTATAGTTGCTCATTAAAGGTGCCAGCTCTAATTTTTTGAGGATTACATTTATTTGTATCTTGCCTCAGTCACCCTATATGGAATGAGTTCACCAATTGTTTGGCAACTAGGCAGAATTGTCCAGCTAAACCTGAACATTCTGGCTAAGTTTTCATTTGGACATGAAAAATGTCCTCCTGTTTCTTTTCACTTCTCTCCTTCTTCTTCATATCTCAATGTAGACCTTGTGCATGACTTCTAAGTTCCATTAAGTTTGTATTAAAGGTGACAACATGTACCACAGTTGTATGCTCATCCATTTTTCTAAATTTTCCTAAGTGCCAGTTCTGCATAATTTTGGCATTATTTTTAAATTTGCAAGTGCATCTTATCTTTGTGTCATTTAACATGACAAAAAATTGATTGGTTTTTTAATATTCTTATGAAGTATCACATTCAGGAATCCACCCCTTCAAAACAAAACAATTGTTGCTTTCTTTTGAATTATTATATTTGAGTGAAGACTTTTTTCACAGGCAGAATATTTATATTCTGTTTATTCCTTTCTCTTTTTGGCTTTAAATAGAAAGAGGAACACTTCAATCCTACAGCATTTTTCCTGATTTTGTTGCCACCAATAATTTTTGAATCTGGGTATTCACTCCATAAGGTAAGAGTATCATCCAGATAACAAGAAGAGACTTTTCATTTTAAAATTAACATAAAATTATCTTAAAAAGTTTCAAAGTTTTGAATTTTCTTTTTCAAATCAGTTCACTGTATGTGTTCCTCTATGGTTATTATGATGTGTACCACTAAAGGTTTGCATTAAAATCTGACTTTTTGTGTAGAATTCTGAGCCACTTGGTTATTAAGACATTGAATGGTACATGCATTATGTAATTATGAGATGACTAACTATGAAATGTCGTCAGTGAACTCTGAACTTACGTCACGGAAAGACAACTTCTCACCCATTCAGTGGTACTAAGAATTTGTTTTGTTAGGCTATTCTTCAACCTTCAATATATATGGTTTAAAAAAGAAGGCTACAAATTCTTAGCTTTCAGTACAGAAAGCTGTTTTTCTATGTTGGAAACAAAGTCTTTGTAATTTATTTTATTATTTGTTTAAATGGCTATGAAAACAAAACACACTAGACATGAAGTATTTTTCAAGTTGTGGAAATAAAATTCATGGATTTTTTTATAAGCACAATGTCTCTGCCAAATTATTCCTGTTAAATATGCCCCTTCCACAGTTGTGAAGTAAAGTACCTCATGTTCTATAAAACTTGATTTCACATCCAAATTTAACATTTTAAGAGCCAAAGATGAACTTTACCATCTAAATGAGGGATTGGATGATTTTAGCACTTCACTTTCCTTAGAACATTTTAATTCAGCAGTTACTTTCCTTTTTCAGGGTAATTTTTTTGCCAACATAGGCTCGATTATTGTTTTTGCTATTTTTGGAACAGCTGTATCAGCTATTGTTATTGGAGGTGGTATCTATTTATTGGGAAAGGTGAGTGGTTTCTCTGTCTTTAAAAGGACCTTCCTGAAAAACCAGTTTTGGGTGATCAGCAACCACTTGATGAAAGATCAGTTAGAATTACAACAATACTGATCATAATAAATTTATTGGCATGCTTTATGCTTAATTGTATAAATTGAAAAGTGGTACTTTAGTGTTGGAACTGAAATCTGCTCTTATCTCAGGAATCTTTATGACCATCTGTTGTACCTAAGTGGTCCTTTAGGAAGCAAACAATTCGTACAGCAAATAGATCATCACAAAACAAAACAGATTTTCAGTTTTTGAATGTAAGAGGCAATCATAATTACTGGTACTCTGTGCTTTACATCATGATCTTTTTCATCAGATTAAATTGGAGCTCTATATTTACATGTATTTTAGCGAAGATAAAAGTGATATTTCCATATGACTGCAGCTGCATAAAATATTGTTTCCTTGTTCATTTCAATTAATGGACATCTTACAAGACATCTCTCTTTTATGATTTGTCCATTTAGGGTGGTGTAGCATTTCAACTTGATTTAAGAGAAAGGTGAGGTTTTATAATGTTTGGTTAGGTTTTTACCTGCAAACATGTGAGCTGCTGTACATTTATAAGCTCAATTTAGGTCTTTTTTCTGATGCTGACCCTGTTTCCAGGGCTTGTGAACTGTAATGGTACTTACTGTAGTTCTAACTTGTAGTGTTACAATGTAATGATAGACAGTGATGCTTTGATTTTTAGTTTAAGTTTCCCACTATACATGTTGAAAATTCTTTTGAAGGTGACTTCAAGGTTTACCCAAGTTTTCTTTTCACAGCTTTGCCTTTGGCTCCCTGATTTCAGCAGTGGATCCTGTAGCAACACTGGCAATCTTCCATGCATTGGATGTTGATCCAACATTAAACATGTTGGTGTTTGGCGAGAGTATTCTTAATGATGCTGTTTCTATCGTCATGACCAAGTAAGTGGGTGTTCTATATTCAATACAATATTCCTTTGTCATGTTATTCATTTCTCTTTAAACTTTGATGTGCTATTCTATGCTTTTTTCCTTATAGTGAGCTGTGTGTTTGAATTTAATGAGAAATTATTTTTGAAAGTAGGTCACATGTCATCTCAAGTTATTGTGGGGACTAGAATCCTGCCTTTGGCATTCAGGTGCTTCTAGGCTGCATGAGGAATGAACACGAGGATTGAATATGAGGAATGAACATACAGGAGAAGAACCCATTGCATTTTGCATGGTTTATTCATCATGACCACAGAATCGTCTCAGTTACACTTTTTCATTTAGGAAAATATATAAACCCTTTCCTCTAACTTTAAGTAAAACCCTTATTGAAATATTTATCTTGTTATTTTCAGTACTATCTTAGAGATGGGAGCTGCACAATACGCTGATAGTAGTTCTTTTGAGACATTCTTCTCAGCTGTGGGGAATTTTCTTGTAATGTTCTGTGGTTCAGCAGGCATTGGGATCCTATTTGCTCTCATAAGTGCATTTATATCCTTGAAAATTGTGATGTTCTAGTTTTGCAGTGTTGTTTGATTTTTGTTCTGAGGAAAATTATTTGTTCAGAGCAATACCTTGAAGACACAGAACTAGTTACTAAAATGTTTTTTCCTTGACAATGCTGTCACCTTTTGAAGCATGTTGATTTGCGAACCACTCCTTCTTTAGAACTTGGTACCATGTTAATATTTTCCTATGCACCTTATGGTTTGGCAGAGGGCCTAAAACTATCAGGTAAGTTAATTTTACTCAGTCTATAGATGTTGAATGATATTTCTTAAATACAATTTAACATCAGGGCGAAATTGGCGGTTGCACAGTTGCCAGTGGCGAGTTAAAACTGACCAGGGTCACCAAAAGTTAAGGTTTGAATGCCCAATGTGTGACTATGCTACAGAATTTCAAAAAGTTGCAATGTAACTTATGTGAAGTACAAAGTTAAAAATAAAACTCAATATGTAGTTTAATTGGACTACCCTTCCCTTCATTTCTTTGCCTGGACTCTACGATCATCCATTTTAGCGATCATCCATTTTAACAGTGATTTCGTGAGGTTGTTCTTTCCTTTTAGTTAACACTCTGTTAAAAGCCATGGGGCATTTATACAAGTTTTTCATTTTAAACTAGAGGAAATCAAGGGCAACTCCATTTTGGAATGGGCCTCTAAGAATTCAAGGAAACTGGCCTGACTGGCCACCAAGCTCTGGAGTTAATTTTAAGCCCTGTAACATGATTAACTACTGCATGGGATTTTAGTTTAAGTGACCATAAAATAGAATAAAAACGACTTCCCAAACTGCACATTATATAAAGAAAGGTGTCACATTTCCGTTCAATTGATCATGTAATAATTTTAGTAGAAAATATTCATGGAGGTCAACTATTCAAGCAAGAAGATAACTTGAGGAAGAGTTATTCAGTTATGAATGACCCCTGAGGTGAATTTCCCTCTCATGCATGTATTACCTACCATGCACCCAGATGACCAATTTCTTATGTTCTGTTTGACTGCAGGAATCATGGCTATTTTATTCTGTGGCATTGTTATGTCTCACTACACCCATTTTAATTTGTCACCCATGACTCAAATTACAGTACAACAGATTTTTCGTACAACAGCTTTTATGGCAGGTATGTTTAATTCATATTCCTGAGATAAAAAATGGTTTACAGAGAGTGGATGAGTGATGTAATGACTCAGATAAGAGGTAAACCTGAGGTTTGGAACTCTGTGGACCCATGATGTGGTTACTGTTGTTTATATACTAAGGGGGCATTGCTGTGTGGTTGGGATGCAGAACTTGTCACATGATGATGTTGAGTTTAGCTTCCTAGTTGCACTCTGTTCATAGCCAAATGGCTTGCCTCTAGACAGAGGGGATATTAAGTTGTTAAATAATTGTATACATCATGCTCATTGACCCTGATTGGCCTTATTTGGGGGATGATTGGTGTGAATATCAGCACCTAGATAAAGCCTCTGAACACAGTTATTGTAAATTATTTCTACAGGAAACATGTGATTATAAAATTATTTTTTTTTCATATTGACTTTAATGAAGAACTTTGAGAAGCTTTGATTTGTTTGTCATTGCCTTGAATGTTAATTTACTAAACCTTTTTTTTTTATTTCAGAAACATGTGTATTTGCTTATTTAGGAATGGCAATCTTTAGTTTCAAACATCAATTTAGACCAGCATTTGTTATATGGACTATAGTAAGTATTGTGAAAGGAAGATTGTTCCCACGGAAAAATGTGCAGAAATTTCTACCTGATTGTTTTACAAATAGTTTTCTAAGAATTTGGTTACTGAGGCTATTTTATGTCAACCCATAACCATTCATACCCTTCTAGATTTTACAAGACAGTGTTCAATCTTTTTTGATGCATTCACATTTATTTTTATTTTTACATTTTGCCATGTTTAAATTTTGTTAAAATACTTATTTCTTGCTTTTATATTGTTACTTACTAGATTCTTTGTTTACTTGGAAGAGCAGTGAATATTTACCCACTATCTTCCCTTGTAAACCAATTCAGAGATATTAGAATCTCTCGCAAAACTCAGTTCATAATGTGGTTTAGTGGTACGTATGTAAGCAATAGAAATACTTTGTCTGTATGAGTTATTCTTTGGTTACATGCACAATGTTAAAGAGTATGCACATAACTTAATCTTGAGTTATTATCCCTGAATGTTCCCTTCTAAATAATGTCACTGTGAAACTAAGAGAACTTGAAGTAACGTGAATAATTTTTTGTGACTGTCTGTTATAATAATAGTTATAATAATAATAATAATAATAATAATAATAATAATAATAATAATAATAATAATAATAATAATGACTTTATTGGATAACACAATTACTGGTAGAACCAGTAGTTCTCATTGTGGTCCATGACCACATGACCAATGACATTTTAGATCAAGACACAGGCTAAACCACAAACCTGTAACCAATGTAATTATGTGCAGTTAAGTTGCATCAAGTCTGGTTGACTCCTTCCCTTTAATATAGCAAAAGGTCTGGAATTTTCCTTTTATCATACAGTTCCTGTAAAAGAGATCTAAAGAACCTTAATCACAAACTGTATGTTTGTAATTGTTCTCTGATTGAAAGCAAGCACTCTAAGAGATATCATGGAATCAACAGACTAAATGATACTGTCAGTGCTTATTTCTGCAAAGTAGATGTAATGACATTTGATACTATCCTCAGGTTTACGGGGGGCTGTGGCCTTTGCTCTTGTGCTCCATCTTCAGTTGGATGATGAAAAGCGACATGTCCTCATCACCTCTACACTCATTATAATCATGTTCACAATTCTGTGTTTAGGCGGATCAACTCTTCCATTGTTAAAGGTGAATTGAACTTCAATACATTGTAAATGATGATTGTATAGTCTAAATCAATTCTATTAGGCTTTCAATTCATGCACAGTATGTGTGGTTGGAAAAGCTGAAATGGTGGAAATAGTTTTAATGAATAAAAGAAAACCTAATTTTTTTTCCTGTCGTACATTTTACATTGTAGTTACTCAAAGCAGATCAAGGATTGGAAAAGAGTTTAACACTTAGTAAAACACAGACAGAGGTAAGTCATGAAATGATTACAACTTGGGCATGACCATGCACCCCTCATCTCTCTACTGCCTTTCTTCTCCATTGTGTGCTGTTCCTCTTTTCCTCCAGCCAGTATACTTACAGAGCAGTAAGCCAACATTTGTTAATCCACAGGGTAAAGCAGTGGATGCAGATCAACTGACTGATGATGAATGGAGAATAAGCAGCAGGAAAGCTTTGAAGGGCTTCTCTCGGCTTGATGCTAAGTATTTCATTCCATTCTTCACCAGAAAGTTTACAAGACAGGTAAAATACAGCACTGCTGGGTCATTATTGCTACAGCTGATTGCTGCTGTGCTTACCCTTCTTTTTCCTGCATTGTTCTTTCAGGAGGTCCGCAATGCACATGAAGAAATGCAGCGCTTAACAAGTCAGTTATACAGTGAAGTACACAGTGACTTGGCATCTGAAGATGAAGCAGAGAACAAACTCTAAATTACATATTTGTCTCACAATGAAGCAATTTGGGAGGGGTAAATGAATGCAAATTTAGATCTAGTAGATCACTAATTAAGGGTAAGGACATAGTGATGTGTTGTTACACTTATGGATATTTATTTCTGGGGTTTTTTTTGAAATACAAGCTAAATATTTCATGTTTTAGATTATCTCATAACTTGAAACTACAATCACTGTTGTGAATAACATTCCTTTTCAAAGCTCTGACAGAAGGCTGATGCTCAAACATCACCTTTTGAAGCTCTTTACAGTGGCTAATTTACATTACTAACTCAGTTGATAAAACCAAATTACCTTTTCAAAGCTTCTCTTACTTGTATGATCAGACCACACAATCAAAGTTCAATATAGGAGGAACCATTATTCAGCACTAATGGCCGGCTCATTAGCTCTCGTCTTAATGGAACCACTTAAATGCAGTCCTAAGTTGCCAAGACTACAAACTCTATAAATACATTAAAGAGGATTATTTAAGTGTACATTGTACAAAAGAATTAGTACATTGTGGCTGAGGCAATTTTTTGTCTCAGTGATTTTCTGACATTTCCATGACTTAGTAGATGATGAAATATAAATTTATGTTAAGTATTATTTGTAAATATGTATATTAAAGTTTGATAACTTATACAGAAGTTTTTGAATATTCAAGGAGAAATTGGCTAGAAATTTGTGAATAATATATTTGAAAGTTTTAAATGTGGGGGCAAAGTGGAGTTACTCTTAAGATTATTACTTTTGGCAGGTAGCACTCTTGAAATACACTGTGAGTAAATGCCCAGTAGCTGGCCACGGTCTCCTAAATGCCCGGCAGAAAGAAATTTTCACAGATTTTCCAGAAAAAGGGTTCTCTCAAACCTCTTTTGAATATCAGGAGCTTTTCCAGAAATGTTAAATGATTCCAAAAATTAATTTGGATTTTCAGCTTAAGCATACTAAAATATTGCTCAGTTTTCAACACTAAGGAATTGCACACCTCTTATCACACTACTGGGCTTGGGTCTCAAATGGAATAAATGCCCAGAAGTCAGAAACTTTAAATAAAATGCCTCTGAAAAATTCATACAAACTTATTGAGTAAATTTGTTGTTTGTTTAGAAATGTTGGTTTTTCAGTGGTCAAGCTGGAACGTACCATACTAAAACACATTAATATTTTAACCAGTTGAACCATTAACAGACTTAACATTATATTACATTATAGTATGCAAAAACTCGGAAAATTTGTCCACTTAAGAACCAAGAACTCAATTTTTGGAATCACTTGACATTCTAAACAAAAATCTGATACTAGGAACTTTTCAGTGGCATTTTGATAATTTCTGACTGCTAAGAAGTTAGTCCATTCAAGACCATGTCCAGCAACCTGATTGGAGGTGTGCAATTTTTGAGAAATAACCTTTCTGTGAAAAGTCTCTAAAAGCTTTTGACTGTCAGGCATTTACTCTTTTGGAAACTGCACGCGGCTGTGGTGCATTTAGTTGCAGTGCACAATATATATTTGTACACCTGTACAAATAAACCATGTTTCTTATTTTTCACTTGTAGCAACAGTATTTCCTCTGAAAGAACTTGAAGTAAAAGTCAGATTTCAGTGGTTCTTGAAGTATTTTGTTGTTGTTTGTTGTTTTTCAACAAGTCAAGGTTGCCCATGGTAACTTCTTGTTGATCTATTCCTCACTCCCTTTACCTTTTTACCGCCTACCACAGTACAGAGTGCCATTTCAGCCCAAATTTTAAAATTTTATCCATATTATAGTCTGGAAAACAGAACAGAAGGGGACGCATCTGTTCTTATAAAAACAACGAAATTTGATACAAACGATAAATAAGTGCGACGCTTTAGTAAGTTTTACATGACCAGCCCTCCTTTCAAGTTGGTAAACGCTTACATCATCCTATTGCACTTTCTTGTGCAATGCATGCGGTTTCGTGTTCTTTACTTCCTTTGACCCTCAATAGTTTTCCCTAATTCTCAATCAGTTTTGTCATTTTCGTGACTCGGAACCTAACTACAGAAAACAGGCATTTCAAACATGGCGGTGAGAGCGAAATTTGAAAACAGCAATGAAGTTGGGGTTTTCGCGAAGTTGACGAACGCGTATTGCCTCGTGGGAATCGGTGCTTCAGAGAACTTCTACAGGCAAGTAGCACAAGTACTTTGAAAGCTTACTGGTCGAAGAAGTGTGTAGCTTGGTATTTGAATTTTACGGAATAGAATTCTTTTGCAAGAAACGGGAAAGAGCGAAATGGAAAAGGGAATCAGAAATCGCACTTCACATGAAAAAGACGATAGAAATGGTTCAAGAGCATTTAAGTCTGTACAGTGCTCTGTTTCTAGTCCGCAATAGCACATTCTTAAGCACATCCTTATCTTTGGGAATTTATACAACCACTGATCCCTAATCATTGTTTATGTGCGTAGGGTCATGGGTAAAGCTGTGTGGCTTATCTCTCTGTTATTTCAGCCATGCCCACTGCAATAGACGGTGTTAGGAGATACATCGTTTTGTTATTATTCCTATTATTCGGTTCGTCTTGTATCTGATCATCGACTCTTTTGAAAAATTTGCTTAGAAATAGGACCAAACTTTGTTGTCATATTTTCTTTTTTGTCATTTATGAATTTAGTACTAACACTGAAATTAATAAAGGGGCACTTCCTGGCCTTGAAGTGTGCCTTTCATTGTGAACTTCAAGGGAGGAGTGGGTTCAGTGGAGTAAAATAGGAAGGGAGTCAACCACAGAAACATTCTAATTTTTTGGGCTATTTGATCCTCTTACACTTTCCCTCCTTTGTTTGAGGTCAATCTTTAGCTTTGAAAGCCTTCCTCAGTAAGAATGCACTTGGTGGCTAGTGTTGAACAAGATCAGTTTCTGATCAAGATGTTAACATATTTTTGTGTTGTATAAATTGCAAATATAAAAAAGAAAGGTGGAAGGATTCTTTGATAAAATACATGAATTAAGGGTTAGTGAATGGTCACCCAAAAGAACTTGATATCTGAACAACTTGCAGTTAGTATTACCATGAATACCATTGTACCTGTACATACTGTATCATGCTTGTATCTTGTCTGGTGTTCTGAGGCACTATTTCCAAGTTCACGTTTTGCCTAAAAGTTTATGGGCTTACTTTCCACTGCCCTCTTAAGTTTGGTTTTCATTCTTTTTCATCTCCTCTTCAGCAAGAGAGTTATGATTTGTGTTCACAACAGCAACTTGTGATCAGATCTCATACATTGATTTTTTTTTTTTGAATAGAAGGAATATAGTCATCCCCTGTCTTTGACCCAGTTATAGTACAAAAAGAACAAGGTGAATTTATCTGTTTCACAGGACTGGAAATGTTTATTTATTTATTTTGTGTTGGTAGTGTTTTTGAAGGTGAACTCTCAGATGTAATTCCTGTAATTCGAACATCAGTTGCAGGCGTTAGAATTGTTGGGAGACTGTGTGTTGGTGAGACCTTGTCTATTGCTTCAAGTCTACTCTACTAACATAGAAGATTTTTTAATTATGGAAATAACTATAAACATACCATGTAGCTTCATTTCAAGTGCTAAGACCAAATTATTCATTGTCATACATCTACACTGTTAAGACTTGTTGATGTAAAGTGCACTTGCCTTTTTCTTTGCATATTACTTCAGTGGAACCTCAATTTAACACACCTCTATGTAACAAAGTCCTCAGTATAATGAACAATACTCTTCAGCCTGGCAAAAGTTACAGTAAATTGTACGGGAAATAACCTTGATATAATGAACCTCTGTATAACAAAATCCTCATTATAACGAACAGAATCTAGAGGCCCAAACTTCGATATACCGTGATATAATGAACAAATGTCAACACGTGGCAAAAGACAAATGCAAGGAGACTGACAAGAATCAAAATCCATCAATTTCATAAAAATAAAACAACTTTACAGCTAAAAGTTCATTGTAAATGCAGACACTGATATTATGGACACTTCTACAGATCTGCTTTATCCTTTTTGTCTCTTATTAGTACTATTTACCCTTTAACTCCCATGAGTGACCAAGACAATTTCTCCTTACAATATCAATACAATATCAACCAGATGAGTAATGAGAATTAAGAAAAATATCAATTGGGAGATAATTAGTTGATTTAATACCAAATTCTCTGAACTAACATGATAACAATTGTATGGTTGACAGAAAGGAGAATTACAAATTTGATCTGGGAGTTAAAGGGTTAAGTTGAATTTAACCTCTTTATTTTTGACGGAATTTCCAGTGCAATGCCTTTATTTCTCCATTTGTGGCTTCCGCTGAAGTTTGTTGTCCATTCTTTACAAACAAGGTGCTGTAGCTATGTACAGACCTGTACTGTATACTATAGCTTCATATAGACCTGTGCAGTGTACTGTAGCTTCATATAGTTGTTAAAGCAGTAATCATTTCAGTCCCAAAATGCTGGGTAGCATGATGTCACATCATAAAACAAAAAAAAATTCAAAAAAATTATTATTAACTGGCCCTCAATATAACAAACATTTTGGTTGTTTTTCCTGCAAATTTTTCGAATTGAGGTTTTTGATACAACAAACCAATTTCCCTAATCCCTTGGCACTTCGTTAAATGGAGGTTTTACTGTAGTCTAAGACTTCTCTCGGCCTTCCTTTACTTCATTTCTATACACACACACAAGGTCTGGTTGTCAAATAGAAAAAGAACTGTTAAACACATGGAATTTGTTATATTTCAGGTAACAGAAATGGTCTTCTTGTACCAAATACAACAACAGATCAGGTAACTTTTAAAAACCTCTTTCTTTGTTATTTCACTCTAACAAGCATAAATGAGAAAGAAAATTCCATGATGGTGGCTTGTTGACTGACAACTTTCTGAAGAGGTATTGACTCTACTTTACTTTATATGTTAGAAACCTTTTATCTTTCTAGCACTGAGAAAGTAAGATTCTTACATTTAATTTGATACTTTACTTTTAACAACACATTCAACTTTGAATTAGTTAACACACAAATAAAAGACCTTGTTATAGGAATGGTATTTTTATTTTTATGGATTTATCACATCTGGCAAGTGTCTAAACTGTTTATTTTTTTCTCTGTGCTTTCATATAGGAACTTCAGCATATTCGAAATGCCTTGCCTGATTCAGTGAAGATAACAAGAGTGGAGGAGAGACTTTCGGCATTAGGAAATGTAATTGTCTGTAATGACTATGTTGCCCTTGTGCACCCTGATTTAGACAGGGTAAGTCTTATACAATCAATTAAGGTTGTAAACAAGCTAGCTCTTATTCTTAAAAACTGTCTGGTTAGCTTAAACTTGTTTTACAAAATGTGGAAGGGAGTTAGACTTAGAAGTGTGAACAATAAGTCATCAGCACATCTACTTTCTTGTTGCAAATAAACAGTTTTAAAAGGAACAACCAAACACTTTTGAATATTTCCCCCTCACAGACCACTCCTATTTCTGCGTGACTTACCCACACCTGGAACAACATAAACAAAGCTCTGTCCATTCCACCTGGAAAAAGAATGTTTATAGGAATGATACAAGATCATAATTTTTACTTTTCAGGAAACTGAGGAAATTTTAGCAGATACCCTGAAGGTGGAGGTCTTTCGTCAGACTGTGGCAGGGAATGTTTTAGTTGGGAGCTATTGTGCTCTTAGTAATAATGGTGGCCTAGTAAGTGTTGAATTATCAAACTCTGTTTTTCTTTTTACTGTTGCAGTCACTTTGTTAAACCAAAAAAAAAATGCACTATACACATTAATATTCTTTTGTCAATTTTATGTTACAAGAGTTTCAAAAGAAGTGTCAGCCTATGTAGAAATGATTATTTCTTGGACAAGGCTGTTGAAAATAAAGTGCTATCCACCCCGTCAAAATAAATATTCTGATATTTATAAATGTGATCATTGTATGCTACAGGTGGAAGGGAATTTAAACTTTTTTTGTAGGTCCATCCAAGAACAGCTGTTGAAGATCAAGATGAGTTGTCATCACTATTACAAGTTCCTCTGGTGGTGAGTTCATGCTTTAACTTACATTTATTTAAAAGTTCAACTGTATCAATGTTAGAAGCAAACTATGAAAGACAGTTTGATGCTCCAGACATATTAAGATTGTGGTGATAATATTCTTAATGCCAATAAATGTGCAGATGTGAAGAGACAAAGTTTTATACTTTGTCCAAGGCAGTGTTTTGTTATTCATTGATAGTGGTTGAAATTTATTTAGGCTGGGACAGTCAACAGAGGAAGTGATGTCGTTGGAGCAGGAATGGTTGTAAATGACTGGGTTTCATTTTGTGGACTGGACACTACAAGTACTGAACTGTCTGTGATAGAAAGTGTATTCAAGTTAGGAGATGCTCAACCATCAGCTATTACCAGCAGTATGAGAGCATCACTGTTTGAGAGGTGGGTAATTTAATTGTAGGCCACTCAGAAACAAAAGATGACATTTGAATTAGAGAAAAAAATCTCATGATTTCTTTGGAAAAACTTTCGTGACCACAACACAAATTTTTTAGGAGAGAGTCTTATGTAATGTAGACAAAGCAAATTTTTTAGTGGGGAAGTTTTCTCCTTTGTATAAACTAAGTTGAATGATGTGTTTTTGCATTTTATGTAGTGTATGGTCTAACATGTAAGGCTTACAAGTAATATTTTATTTTACAGCATGACATAAACTGCAGGAAAATTGAAGCATATTGAAGCACATCATATTTGTACAACAACTTCCTCTCCATGGATATGTTTAGTACAAGTTCCTATTTAATGACGCTAATAAGTTTCCCGACTCTTGAACATCAGCATCAAGGTGGTGGTTCCTGAAGAGATGTCGTGGTTGCCATAGGAATGTATGTACTCCCCCCCCCCAGTACACACACGTACACACACACACTCACAATGATCACTGCACCAGTAAGCTCTCACAAGAAAGTAAACTCTCGCTCAGAGGGTGGAGAGATAAAAGGGAAAGGAGTGTGACACAAGTCCTCTCCGTGATCAAGTGAGAACATAATGCCAACTATGAAGGAAGTGACTGTGTAAATGATGTAATGTCAAACGTGCTAATCACGAAGAATGAAATGACTAATATCTTATGTCGGTAATTAATATCGTATCAGCCATATGTCTTGTCCTCTACGGATATTTTTTAAAAAAATGTGAAAGCGCCAGTTTAATAAAACATAGTTGTATAATCATGCCATATTTTTCGTCCAACAAGTCGCTTTGCGGCTCACTTTGAAGTAGCATTCAGCCAGAATGTTCGAGGCTCCTATCCAAATCCCGTCAATGCCTGAATTTTATTTAGGATTATTTTTCTGTCATTTCTTGAAATGCCTTTCACTTGTAACTGTTGATGCTTTTGAGTCTTTAAAACAGCTTTGTAATAATAAAATACGAGGAAACGGCTTATCAGTCTGTCTGTACCATTCTTGTCAAGCAGTGAATATAATTGCGTCAAAGAAATTTTGAAATTGTAAAATGCGGTAGCTTTCTCTCATTCTTACATGATCTGATTAAGTACGCCAGTGTTTTACATTCATCTCATTAGCTTGGTGTTAATAATTGTATCAACAATAGGTGTCCTGTTGGTGCATGAAATCGTATGTTAGATTTTTGTGTTTTTAAATTTGATAAAAGTCGAGCTACGTAACTCTAGGTAATTTGATTGAATGTAATGCGCTTGTTGATACCGTGGAATAAAGAGTGCCAATTTGAAAGATAAATTTTTGTTCTAGAGTTTTGCGGCTTTCCGAACAACCTAGATGTATGGAAAGGCCGCAAACTGCCATATGCTGCTTTGAGTGATTAGGGAGATTAATATGTCTAGTGACTGGTTTGGATGCGTCCTTGTCATTTCTTTTTACGTCGTGAAGGTCTCCTCGGAATCGGTCACCAAGTCGTCTTCCTGTTTCACAAATGTCTAACTTTTCACACTAAGAGCAAGTTATGCAGTGGATGACATTGGCGGAGGTGCAACACGCTCTTCATTCAACTAATTGATTATTGTTTTCTCGTCCATATATTCCCCTGTAGAACCCCACACAATCCACAATTCCTCCAATTGCTCTGACGAAGGGCTAACGCTCGAAACGTCAGCTTTTAAATTCCTTACGGTGGCCAGTTCACGTTATCAACTCGTATGATAATACGTAATTAATCTGTTATACTCCCCCACCGACGGAGTTTCACAGTTTCTTCAGAAATTTACCCCCTTAACGTAACTCTAGGTTTGGTTAGCGTGAATTCCGGCGAGACAACTTTCGCGGGATTTGACCGTAAATCATTTCAGTTATTCTTTTGAGGGGGACATTCTAGGAAGGACGCTACCACATGGATTTGCGTGCTACTGGTTTCGCGTACAGTTTGCGTCGCCCTTAGCGCTAAAAACATTATTTATTAAAGAAAAACAAACAAGCAAACAAAAACCAAAACCAAAAAACGCTATGACTAGCATGGAGGAGAGGGTTAGGGGTGGGAAGTTGGGCTGTCATTTTTAACAATTTGTTAGTACCCTATCTGCTTATGAATGGGTGTATATGTGTTCCGCTAATTTTTCTGGGAAAAATTTTTTAGTTAAAGCGCCAAGGATGTCTCTAACCTATGCCTATGTTCAGTTCTATTGATACGCTTTTCTGATCATTTCCTTTATGGTGTATGTAGAATTTAAACGTTTTAGAGCGCATTAGAGCTTTACACTGAGCCCAATTAAGAAATATATATATATATATTGGCTTTTTATTGGACAAATTCTACGAGCTTGTGCATACTATGTTTATGTGTTTTCTAGTGTGTTGCTGAAAAACCAACATTTCCAGACAAACATCGAATATACTCAAGAGGTTTGTACAAAGTTTTCAGTGGAACTCAGTTTTTTGGTAAAAATTTCTGAAGTCTGATCAGAAGCGCACAATTAGGCTCAATTACTAAGGTAGACAACCAAGCGATGTATATTTTTGTATGCTCAAGCTCGGAAAAATTGTCCACTTAAACCAAATTAATTTTTGGAATCGCCTGACAATTCCATACCAGAATCTAGAACTCTTCAGAAATTTCGCAGGACACAACTCGCTGATGCTCGCCGTAGTAACAGCGTCAACAGGTTTCTCTAAGTATGGAAAATCGCATGCTCCGAGAGCAAAGCGTGCTCTCGAAATCTGGCCAATCAGGACACATGAGTTTCAGCTGTTTCTCGCTTTGCACGACCTCGGTTAGGAGAGGCACACCAAGGACATTTCATTGTTTGGCCCTTTTTTAGGTTATAATTATTTTTTTTATCCCCAGTCTACAGCTGCCTGCCAAGTTATAATTAGTGATAAAGTTTTTCCAGACTGGCAGATGGAAAATGTCAGCTCCACCTTGCAGTAAAATGTTCACTGGAAGCAAATATAAGCTTCTCATCAAGTTAACAATGGCAGCCGCTTTGGTGACGGCGTTAACTTCGTTTTTGGCTAATCTCTCACCAAAGTCATTAGTTAGTCTCCGCAAAAACTGTAACTCTTGGAAAGCAACTCAGTCACAACACAAAACCACTCTGATATCCAAGACTGTTTGTTTGCAGAATTATTTCCTTCTCATTTTGATATCTTCAGCACCATCACATTTCGGAAGAAGGGATTTAATTCGTCAAACTTGGGGAACGGACAAAACCAGCGTTCCTGAATGGAAGACATATTTTTTAGTTGGACAAACAAAGAATCAAACTGATTCTGATCTACTAAAGGCAGAAAATAAAATCCATGGTGATATTATTCGTGCTAATTACTCTGAACACTACTGGAATCAAAGTTTGAAAGTAGCGATGGGATTTGAGTGGGCCGCGAGATACTGCAAATTTTCATATCTTTTGAAGGCAGATGATGATGTTTTAGTGAACACCAACGATTTGATAACTCGTTTACAACGCCCATCCACACCAAAAAATGGTCTGTACATGGGGAAAATAAACAGAAACGCTGAAGTTCGTCGCTATGGCAAGTTCTCTGTTAGTCACAAAGAATATGCTGGTTCAGCTTTTCCAGATTATTGTAGCGGGGGCGGTTTTATTCTTTCTTATGATGTGGTGGAGTGTATGGTTCCTTCATTTGAGGTGATTAATCCATTTCGAATCGACGATGTTTATGTGGGGATAATAGCGCATGAATTGGGTTTAACACCAGTACATCACAGCTGGTTCCTGTTTCCAAATTCTAATTATGATGATTGCTTTTTCACACCTAATGTGCTTGTTCAACATCAGGTACTAGGTCAGTGTTTAATTCAACAGTTACACATGCACTCTGTTGATTTTTATTCTTTTTGGTTGGGGTCGCACTATTGATGTTTGAGGGAAAAGACTTGTACAGTGCAACTACCAGCTTCTACTATTGCCTGAATTGCTTACACAAAAGCAGGATCAGTCCCAGTAATAGTAATAGCACTCTAAGTTAGGTAAAATAAAACTTGCTCAGTTTTTTAGTTTCTGTGATCCTGCTTTTCTCACGTAACTCCATAGCTTGAAAAAGCTGGAGGCATCCCACACACAAAAAAGTCATTCAGAAACTATGTAATCATATTTCCTGTTCTAATTGTATTTGATGATCACCATTACCATTAAACTTCCGCTTTATTTTAACTCTTTGTCAAGTAAGTGGTGTGCTTTGCTTAGAAATCAAGAGCCAGGTGGCATAAAATTATTTTACACACAAGATTCCAATGGGTTTTCAAACCTTTCCATCTGTGAGCCCTACTTACACAGCAAAGTTTTCCATAACAGTAGCAACTCCAATTTTTTCATATTCATACTGTACACCTATTTACAACAATCCAGTTGCTGGTATTATACAGTTGACATTAACTGTGTTAAATAGGTATCTAGGAAACTCTGTTCACATAATGACTTGATAGACATGTCAACTGTGTTTTCCACAAACCCATTTCAGCTGTGGATCACCAGACCAGAGCTCTGTCAGTTTCACAACTGATTTCCATGTACACTGGCAGGCATAAGCACAGCAACCTGTCCAAAAATATCACAAATAATTGCAAAAAATGTGGTGATGGGATTGTGTTACACTGGTACAGTTTACATTTGGTTACATTTGGTTATCCTCTCCCCTTCTACTCCTCACCTTCTATGAAATAAAAACCTCTAAAACAGACACTCAACAAAACCTTCAATTGAAAATTTCATTCTCTTAAGGAGAAAAAAAAAGTAGTTATAATAGTCATAATAGTAATGATTAAGTAGCAGACATTCCATGAGATGGTCCTTCCAGTCCAAAGTTTCTGAGTTGAATTAAAAATTTGTAATGTTCATTATTGTAAAGGGAAGAAAGCTAGGTGACCTGGAGTAAGGATGGGAACCAAGGGAACACATGATGCCAGGTTCAGAAATTGAGCCTGGGCCACAGTGTTGGGAAGTGACCTCTATTTTTTAAATGAACTCTCCACAATCTCACCTCTTTTCCTTGTTAGTTTGCTTATAAGCTTGTCAAAATCTGGTATATTATTTCTGAAGAATAAATAATCACAATCTTTGTGCCACTCATAGTCATTCAGGATGACCACATTGAAATCACATGATGTACATCGTAGCTTGTCACACACCCTAAATATGAAAACAAAGATTAAAACCACCAATTCATGCAACTGATAAATCTTTTCTTGCCTCCTACTATAAAATGCCTGTCCTTAAATCATGCACGTTTTGTTGAAGTAAGAACCCAGGTCTGTCTGAATCCCTAGTAAATCCCCATTCACACCAAAGCAAACATGTTTTGTTTTGTTAAACACAGTTTAATTTTTTTTTCATCATAGAAACTATTTAACCGAACCCAGGTCTGTCTTGAATCCAATGGAAAATCAAGTTTTTCAGTTCTCTGTTTATAATTTTCATTCAATGAAAACCAGTTTAACAAAACATGTTTTGCTGGTGTGAATGGGGTATATGACTGACATTTTAGAAACCTGAGAGGTGTTGCACTTTGTTCTAAACACCACAACAGACAGAGGCTTGTTTTGGGACTAAACAGTTCATTAAATGTGTATATTCTACGTAAATAACACACTAGACTATTCCATGAGAGATATTTGATGAATACACTACACCAACAGTCCAGTAATCAAGGATAAATTACAAACACAAATGAGATTAATACACAATCAAACTGTTGATGGTGTGGGTGGGAGGGACACTAAAACTTGCTCAAAGCTAGAAATAGATCGTTGCTTGCTTGCTTGCTAGATCACTAATAACTTGTGCACAGACAACTAAGTGGTAATATACTTATTATAAGTAATTTCCCAATTAAAATGGGTTAGTGTGATGAACGGCCATTGATTCTAGCCAAGTATTATGACTTGTATGCCAAACAAATTGCCTAATCATAAGGAAAGTGAAAACACTAATATGCACCTTGCCTGTACCCAGTCCAGGCCTCTCAGTTATCGATATCTAGATTAATATTAGTAAAGATTAATAATATTCACTGCAATTCAGCTTGCTGAAAATTTTTAATCAACTTTGCATCAATATTATTGGCTGTAAGAATCATGAAGCAATAATTAGGTTTGATTTTTCTGTTGAGTTATGGTTTTCAGATAGAACACTGTTTACATTTCATTGTAATAATTTTAAACTCTAGAAAAAAAATTCTTTTTGAAGTGCAAGGGACAGGCAGTGGTTAGAGTTAGGGTTAGGAAATTTCCTCTTCCAATTTTAAACTTTCAATAAACCTCCCTATCCCAGTAGTGATCAAGAAGGAATTTCACCTTCCAATTTCAATATTTTATTAGCAGAGAGGTGAAATGAGGAAAGGTTATTAAAGCTTAGGGACACTGTTTCATTTAACACCAAAATATCAATGATGAAATTGTAAGATGTACCAGAACTTTGCCAAAAAGTTGAGATTTAAATCTTGAAGGTTAAAGGGTAAAGGCAACTAGAAGGGTTGCAAAGCTCTTGTAAAAATTATGGCACTGAGGAGTTTTTGTTGCAGAATACAAATTAGTGATGAAAAATATCTTGTATTCAATAACACACTTACCGCTCTTCCGACCCAGTGCAAAGCCCTTTTGCAAATTTAGAACCGCCTAGAAAAACTTTGACACAACGCTTTCGTGCTGAACTTAAATCTGTTGTGTTTGAGTTGGACAAAGATTTTGTTGGCTGTAATAGAAATTAATAAAAATAAGGATATATAAATAAATTTATAATTCATTCTGTGCAGTCATTCTTTCCCTTGACTTATGAAGTTGAGACAGAAGACCATTGACGGTAAGTAAGCTTAGAATTCAAAGCAGTCCCCATAAAAGTTAGACAAGAAACAATCTTTTGAAGATTTTTCAAACAGACTCCTTGATTCAATAGCTCATATCTTTGTTTAATACTCTGCTCATAGCCCATAATAGTCATACTGATTGCAACATGTGAGTATTAGTTGTATAGTATAAAACATAAACATTAGCTACTCTGATCTCTATCTCTCTCTCTTTTAACATATGCTCAATGAATGATAACCAACATCCTGCTGGAGAAGCCCATGGAGCAGTTTACATCTGAGTGACAAAAGTACTTTTAGATTGCAAGGGCTTTGCTGTTAATGGTTGAGAAACTTTATCAATCAATCAGGTGCTTAACTTTCTCAATCAAACTTTTCCAGATTTAAATTCTCCTTGATTCTTTATAATAGTTGAAGTTTTCATCATTGGTCATTGCCACTACTCCAGTCTTTTCTTTAGTAACAATAGTCATTAAAGAAGGCTTGGACTGGAGGAAGTCAGGCAATAATAATGGTAAGAATGATGACAATATGGATCATCATCAGATTAGTTTACAAGGTGAAATCGTACGAAATTTACTTTGAAAAGCTAATCTCAATATTCTTCTTACTTCGATAAACAGCCAACCGGCTTAACAAAAATCATAATCCGATTGGTTTTCATTCACGTGACCTACGCACACCCGTTGGCATGGAAACCGAATTTTCGTTCGCACTTATTAAATGAATGCTTAAAATGCCACGATCTATGCGGGAAACTCCATCAAGGAATTAGTCTTTTGATTAGTTTCTGGAAATCTAAGAAAATTAGATAGTTTACTGGTTAGTTTTACCTGTTCTCTCAGTTCAGGTATTTCTGGTCCATCATCCATACATTCTTGGATCATATCATGTAGTTCATCTCGATCAGCATTTTTAATATGTGAACTAAGAAACAAAGAGTCATTCACGCCAATTTACTCAAAATAAAAGAGTAAAAATAAGAATGCTATACTGGGGAGGGAGGGTAAAAACGTTTCTACCTTTTCGGTTTTCTGTCCTTGTACCTTGATGTCTTTCCCGTTTCTGAGCTCAAGCTGGAGTTCAATTTGGTGGTGGGTTCCTGCTTAGGTTTTTTTCCACTGTCGAAAAACTTCGTCTCACATTCGTCTAATAAATCATCGATATCGTCTGCCATAGTAAAATATTCAAAACAAAAACTCCCAATTCCTCCAACTCAACTACAAGATAATTTTTCTCCCTTATAAATGCAGCCTGGGTGATAAGAGCGAGGAGTACTGGGGAGAATCCTCAAAAGCTTGCCCGAACGAGACCGATAATTCCCGATGGTTTACGATTATTCACGGACACTTCCGAATCCACCGTTGGAGCGATTGAAATTCCTCTAGCTGTTAGCTAACAGAGCTTTCGAACATGACTGCTGCTATTGTTCCGTAAGTACTTCTTGCTTCTATTTTACTTATTGTACTATTTATTTATCATAATCTCATAAAGGCAATGAGATAACTGCTTATGGAAATCTCGTGACGCGCGATCTGCAAATAGTCGTTCCTGAGCCTAGCTTGTTCACGATCTCGCAGATCCTTCGCAAATGACAGTATATGTACGTTGATTGTGCTTCAGTTTTCTGTAATCGTATTCAGAGCTTACACAAGAGACATTTTCGGCACGATTTGTGCACAGTCCAATTGTTCATTACGTATACAAGTATTTGATAAAGAAAACAATGGCGGAAGTTATCATAATCTTTTATTGGGAAACTTTCATCACATCACTATGGTTTTCAGAAAAGGTCCTAACTTAGATTAAAAGTACTAAATTAGACTATATCAATCAATCAATCGATATCAAGAATAGTAATATCAGGTAATCTAGGGTTTAAGGTTACTTCCCACTTTTGCAGTTGTCCTTCAGGAAAACATTTGGGAAAAAATTCATACACGTGCTAGTTTCACTAAAATCTTAGCCAACTATACATCAGAAGAAAGCTTAATAACTACAGATTACAATGAAAATATAATTTAAGAGGGTGAGATAATTAGCAATTAAAAAGAAACATTTTAACTCAACAATGATACAAATGATGTGAACCTTTCATATCCCGCTAAATCTAAACCTTAATTGATGAGGCTTTTGCCAAGGCCACAAACCATTACACTTCTCAAATGAGCCCAAAACTCATTCTTTATGTCATTCTTTGTGGACAGTCCACTAATTCCATGATATCATTTACAAGAAAACAATTCCCAAATGCTGTGATTGGTGCAAGATATCCAAATGCTGTGATATGACTGGTGTGAGATACATACCCTAATGCAGCAATCTGATTGGTGTAAGATACATACCCTTATGCAGCAATCTGATTGGTGTGAGTTACATATGCAAATGTGGCGATCTGATCAGTGCAAGCAGCATACCACTCTGCACGCTAACAGAGTTATTTGTTTTTTTTGTAAAAAAAGGAAACTCAAAAATAAATCTTTATTTGTCATATTCTTCACTAAAAGTATCAATTGTGGGGGATAGCAAGTTACAGTTGTGCTATTTAACATTGTCTCTAGAAGAGAGTCGTTGTACTGTTTATTGGTAGGGCTGTGAAAATGTATTAGTAACCTTGTGTTTGTTGCCTTTCTTAAGACTTTGGTTTCCAGTTTGGTGCTGTTTTTTACAATTTCAAACCCAACAAAGGGGATCGCACCATTTACAGGAAGCTCAATAGTAAATGATAGACTTGGATATAGGTCATTCAACCTATCAAGAAATTAGTTAGCTGTATCGGTGTTAGGCAGGGTATCATCAGCATATCCTTTGCACAACTAAGGCCTTAAGCCATCTTGCACTTACTGTTCTTCGAGATGACACATAAAGACATTTGCCATTAAGTGGCCAAGAGGAGAACCCATGGCTACTCCATCAGTTTGTTCAAATAACAGTCCATCAAATTGGAGGAGTTGGTTTGTTGTGGAAAGCTCGAGCAGTCTGATGAGCTGATTCTTTTGAAGTTTGAGGCTGTAGCCTTTGTTGAACCAATCATCTGTGAAGGCTTTGTTGGCTTGGATGTTCATAGTTTTCTCCAATTGTACATTGAAGAAAGAAGCAATGATTATAAAAGACCAGAATGTCATCTTTGTTGACAGACAGATTGCGAAGCTCATTGGTGAAATCAAAGGTATCGCTGATGGTATATTCATTCAAGGAGAGTTGTTTCAGCTATTTCTCAAGCCACTTGGCAAGTTTGTTCTGTAGCATAGGCTCTATAAGTGTGTGAGTTGGAACTGTAATGAGGGAGTTTCTCTGTGATTTCATTAGGCAGTATTTCATGTAACAAGTGCAAATCTCCTCTTTTTGAAGGAGGGAGAAATACCTAGGCAGTCATCCACGGCTCTTGGGTGGCTTGTCATTGATCAGAATGAACTTTGTAGTGTTGTCAACTGATGCATCACCCAGAAGGCAAATATATTCAAATCTGTCCATCACAACAACTCCCGGGCTTTTGTCTTGCTTGGTGATAGCAATGTCATTGCATTTCTTTAAGGAATTCAGAGCTTTGACGAGAGCTCTGGGTGGATTAGAGTTTTTGCGCTCAATGTAATTTAAAGTGATTAAGCATAAAGTTGCACTAACCAGTTCCTTTCATCTGAATCTTTCAATAATGGCTCCATTTTCCAGTACACCTTCTCAAAGCTTGCCTGGATTTCTATTAGTGAGACCTTTTGAGGTAAAGAAAACTTTATTCTCCAACAGACCATGAGTTTCTTAAAGAAAGAAAGGCAGTATGAAGACTAGTCATTGATGTGCTCCTTGACTTCAAAGTTCTTTGAAATTAGGTGTGAAAGTTTGTTAAGGCAGCTTTTCATTATTTTGTTGAAAAACTGTTATGATGGATGTTCAGCATTCACAGAATGGTGACAAAGCACAGAAAGGAGCATTCTTCCTTTAGGTCTTTGTCAGAGTGGTGAAATTCTTCTCTGAGATGCTAGAACAGGGAGAGTTTGGCCCTCAATTCTTTTCTTTTCTCTTCCTTTCAGTAATTTACTGAGAACTTCCTTTAGACATGCTTGTAATTTTTCACTTGCAAAGTCTAAATATTACAATTGAACCACCACACTCTATAAAATAGAATAGTACAGTTGTTTTAATATCAATTTTCCTTTGAACATTGTATTTTAATTTCAATTTTTCTGAAAAACTAAAATGATCTTTTATTGATTTCTTCCTTATGTTAGAGATCATCCAGTAATGATAACAATATGATAATTGTACTAGGAATGAGTAGTTTGGCTAAAAAAGGATTGCCAAATTTTCAGTCATCTGCTTTTAGAGGGGTGAGAAGATTAATTTAATTAAAACAAGAATGTCCTTAATTTTATATTTTGATTTCCAGGCAACTTACTTTCATCGGCTAATATGAAATTTTAAACATAATCATAAGTATTCCTTTGTTTCTTAGGTCCTGCTTTCAGCTTGCAGCACACACTCTCTCTATTCCAGTTAGTCTACATGCAACCAATAGGAAGCGGTTATGTGAACGTCTGAAAAAAATTGAAGGTGTACCATCAGGAGCAATGGTTTTGCTACAGGGAGGAGAACAAAGTCAACGATACTGCACTGATACCGATGTTGTTTTTCGGCAGGTAAACTACACTCACAAGGACCTTACTTAAAACCAAGCCTACTTCAGGGGAGAATTACTCTGAATTTGATTATTCGCTCAGTTGTTTTCTACTTATGTATAAAATTTTCAACAGGCCGTCCAACAAGGCCACTTACATTTCAGAAACTGGCAAGAACTTCATAACAAGGCTGACTGAACACACATCCAGGGACACAAAAAAGAGGATATCAACAATCACATTGCTGAAGATCACTTCTTTTTTAAACAAAAAAAATGTGAGGAGTTGTTTGTTATTGAATAACAAACAACTCCACACATCAATCACTGTCATGGATAACAGAGCTTTTTATGAGTATATGTGCATGTACAATTGCTTGGGCAATCACATTTCTCAGTGAGGGCTATTTTGTTTTTCTAGTAAACATATGTGGAATTTATTATTTGATATTTGACTCTCAATATTGCAGATCATGTCAATTCCTATTTTCAGGAATCATATTTTCATTGGACCTTTGGTGTTCTAGAAGCTGATTGTTTTGGTGCTGTAGAGGTGGATACAGCATGTACAATCTTGTTTGTTCCACGTCTGCCTCCAGAATATGCTATATGGATGGGAAAGTGAGCATCTTAGAATGACTGTTTGTAGTATTGGCTGCTTAACCCATTTACTTCTGCACAGCTCTGTGCAGAAGTGCCCAGTTGTCCTGATTGACTCTAACTGAATGGTTGTATTGTGCATAGAAAGTTTTCAGTGACTGATGATCGCTATTAAATAAATATTAAAAGTGGCTTATAATGGCCTATTGACTGTCCTTTGAAATTGGCAGTAGTCCATGAAAGAAATGTTTTGTGCTTTTTGTTTTTCAGGATCCACAGCCAGGAGCATTTTCAGAAAAAGTACGAAGTGGGTGAGGTCTTTTTTACAGATGAGGTAATTTATGCATTTTAAATATTAGCTTGAGATGATGATGATAATTATGATTATTATTAGCATAATCATTATTGTTTTATGATGTTTTTGTTGTTGTTATTGTTATTATAATCATGACTTCTGATGCTGTTCTTCTTCTATTCCTGTATAAGATAAATATGGAGTAGAATAAATTCACAACAATACAGTCTGACTTATGATTTACTGATTCTTACTTAGATAGCTGAAGTACTACAGAAGAAGTCTCCATCTGTTCTCTTGACTCTTGTAAGTAGTTGCCATTCAACAGGAGTTATGCCCCTAGCCCTGCAGCTTAATTCTATAGAAAGATTTCAATGAATGTACAATACTAAAACTTAACATAACTTGGCTTACATTGGTATCATTCCAATTTTGTTAGTGCTTATGCATGTAAAAACTGATTTTTAAAGGACGTTCTGCAAACAAAGAGCAATCTTCATTGCATCAATTTGTAGTAGTACTCAAGTATTTTACTCTTTACTTTTCGGATACATCTGACCTCAGGTGATAAATTGATTTGCTTGTTCTTTGCAGCGAGGACTCAACTCTGATTCAGGTCATCATAGCAGAGAAGCAGCATTTGATGGCATTAGCAAGTGGGTTTGATGCTGTTAATGTTATTTTGTGGTCAGGTCTAGCTAGATATATCAAGGTAATTTGGTTTATCAACTGAGTTGATAATGTAAATTAGCCACCATAAAGAGTTTTGAAGCTGACATTTCTAGCACAGGCCCTTAATCAGAGCAAAATTTCAAACCCCTTTCAAACCCCTCTCAAAGCCCTTGGCTCTGATGAAGGGCTACTGTTCAACATGTCAGCTTTGAAACTCTTTACAGTGGCTAATTTACATTTCAACTCAGTTTGTAAACTAAATAATCTTGTTATATATTCCCTCACCAAAGCAGGTCCACAGTTTCTTTAGAAACTTACCCCCTTGATTCAGTACCCAGATATAGTTCCCTGTGTTATTAACAGTACATCCTTGTACATGCCTTAGCTCTAAGCTTTATGCCAAAACCAGTCAACTTGCACCTATGGATCTCAAAGTTCTATATATGTTGTTAGATACCCCCAGTAAGGTGTGCCCTGAGTGTTTTTTGTATCAATTCCTCTCCAGGTTCAATGTGGATAGCAAGATTTTGCATCCAGAGATTGCTGAATGGTAAGTGTTGTTAAGAATTAAGTACATATTTTGCTTGTGTTAGGCTTTCTATCTTGATTATGCAAAATACAATTTTTGTAAACAAGCAAGCTTTACAGAATACATCAAAGTTTCCTTGTTTTTTCTTTCTGTTTACCTGTTTGTTTTTGGGTCTAGTCGAGTTTTCAAGACACCTCAGGAATTAGAAGTGATGCGCTATGTTAACAGGGTCAGCAGTGAGGCACATAAAGAGGTAAACTAACATTTTATATCATCAGCTGGCTTTGCAAAGTTTAACATTCTGTTGACTTAACGTCTGAGCCAAAACATGCTTTCTAATAACTGTGACTAGATCTTATTGAAAGAAGGCCATGATGATTGTTGTTTATCTTAGGTGATGAAACGTGTCAGACCTGGGATGGCAGAATTTGAAATGGAAAGGTAAATTGAATTTTCAGTTACTTTCTCATTCATATATAGAAAAGTAGCATGGAATTTTGTGCAAGAATGTGATTCTTAGCCAATAGGGTTAATACCATAACTGTAAATTAACCCACAATATTGAAGCGTTGACTCAAATTTTATCAAAAATCATGGAGTCAGCTGATGGTTAAAGTCAATTGTACATTGCAGCTTGTTCCGGCACTTCTGCTATTCTCAGGGTGGATGTCGTCATATGTCTTACACATGTATTGGAGCAAGGTAACATTTCAGTCATTCAACCAAGAAAAAATATGTTTTTAATCAACAAATGGTGACAAGGTCCATAGAATTAACATTTCTACTGCAACCTCATGAAGAGTCTCAAATTCAGGGCAATTTTGAATACTGACAATATTATTTCCTATGAATATAAACAGAGGAGATATTGGAATATCTCAGCCTTCCCCTTGCAGAGTAAAACTTCAGTGGTTTATCGTGTTAATAATTCTCTTTCAGTGGTCATAACTGTGCTACTCTCCATTATGGCCATGCAGGAGCACCAAATGACAAGAAGATCCATGATGGAGATCTGTGGTGAGTTGAACATAATTCTAACAAATGACTATTTCATTTATTGAGAAGTCAAGCTAAAACGGTTTGAGAATAAAGAAAGCAAATAAAGAGTTCTGTTTGGGTGTGATAATGCTATTGAGGCAAGTGTCTTTCAAGGATGACTGCTCAGGTGCTGTGTAGGTTGAAAAGTCCTTTAAAGTCTTCACCATCAACTTGCTCTTACATGGTGTAGAAGACACAGAATACGTCACACTGTTGTTTTCATTGTTTTCTCATTCTCGGTTGTAATGAAATTCTATTGTGACGTATACTGTGTCTTCTACACCAAGTAATAACCCATCAACTGACAGCACCAACTCTGGTTTTGTATAAGATAGTTCAGTGTGATGCTTGTAAATAGACTTTTGGCCATGTTGTTAATCAATTTATTCAAATTGATCACTGTAATGACTGTTTTACTAATGTTATTTTGTAGCCGTTGTTGTTTATTTTCCTTTGCTCCACTTTACAGCTTGTTTGATATGGGAGGAGAATACTATTGCTATACGTCAGACATCACTTGTTCTTTTCCAGCCAATGGCAAATTCACAGATGATCAGCGTAATATTTATGAAGCCGTCTACAAAGCCAGTCGTGCAGTCATGGCAGCCGTTAAACCTGGTAAGTGCTGTTTTAAGTGCCTTTTTGTTGTTATCTAAGCTCCAGGTTCTGACGCTTTGTCATATATTCAGAGAAATAATCGTGATATATGGTGGAAAAAAAACATTTAGCGACACCTGTTTTTTTTTTTGTTTTGTTTTATGAAGGGTGAGTAATTTTTTAAATGTATCAACAAAACTGAATAAATCAAACAAGGAGGACTGGTAACAACGCAAAGCGAGTGAAAACAGTGATTTATTTTTTTGTTCAGAATTTTCTTTTGCTATTGCTGACACTGTGACATGCACATTTTAGTCTGTTCTCCCGGGAAAATTGGTCGTTGTAAGTATGTGGCCTGTTAAGAGTGTTATGCCATTATAGCATTGCATTTTTCAAAAATAGGTCGTTACCCTCAACAGGTGTAAAGTGGCCTGATATGCACCGTTTGGCAGAGCGTGTCCAGCTACGGTGTCTTAGAGACATGGGGCTCCTGAAGGGAGACCTGGATGAAATGATGAAGGTTCATCTTGGGGCTGTTTTTATGCCTCATGGCCTGGGACATTTAATGGGACTGGATGTGCACGATGTTGGAGGATACCCAGAGGTAAAAATCTTACCATTAACATAGTGAATTCAGTTACAGCAAACTGGTTCAAAGGAAGAAAAATTTCCCAATGTGACCGATGCTTCGCCATATGATAGGTTCCTGCATATCACTAGGATTTTTTTTCAATATTCTACTTAACCAGGAAGGGTGTTGTCTCTGTGAATTTGATGTATTTGTCTCCTTTGTTGTCACCTCTCCCCTATCTCTATCTCTATCTCGTCTCTGTTTTTTCTTTTTCCTGAAGCTGTAGTAGTTTTTTTTCTTTCGGTTAAACTCGTTTCATTTCTTCGCCTAGCACTATAACAGAGAAAGTTCTGAGCTAGTACTCTGCCAGAGTCTTGTCAACTCCAATTTCTTTAAATCTTACACAATTTGAGACTAGTCCGTTCATTACCATTTGAAATTTGCAGGGTACTGAACGGTTAAAAGAACCAGGCCTCCGCTCGCTCCGAACCACTCGTGTATTAGAAGAGGGAATGGTACTGACCATTGAGCCAGGACTTTATTTTATTGATGCTGTAAGTAACGACTGCTTGGTAATTACCTCGGAGGCCTTTTTACTTGCAAATATTTTTTGAAGGGAATAAGATAGTTACCAGTGAAATGAAGATTTGCTCTATTTTCAGACTTTGAATCCTGCTTTGGAAAACCCTGAGACGGCGCGATTCTTCAATCAAGAAATGCTACAGCGATTCAGGAATTCTGGAGGGGTGAGAATTTTTACCTGACTTCAAATTAGTGTTGTTTTCGTCCCAAAAATGTTTGTCACCAATGATTCTACCCCAAATGCTAAAGATGGTTAGATTTCCACAAAGAAGTACCAGGTAAAATCTTGAGATTTAAATTAGCTCTTTCGATTTAAAAACCTAACTTACCGTTTTGATTTTGTCCAGGTTCGAATTGAAGATGATATTGTGGTGACGTCAGATGGAATGGAGCTGATGACTTGTGTTCCACGTACTGTGCAAGAAATCGAGGCTTTGATGGCAGAGGGAGCCAGTCTCCCGCCCCATTTCTCCCCTTCAGTTTCATCCCAAGTAGCAAATTAAGTTCGATTAGATCTCTTTGCACAAATGTGTAACTACCGAATCATAAGCAATATCAAGCATGAATTGAACCTTACCACCAAAGTGATCCATACAAGTTAAAATGTTAATGCTCTATTGTGTGAAAACTGTTTGTGACGATTCCTTCAGTTTTATCAAATTTCATCAATCATTTATCAAATTTTATCAAATCAAAAAAACAAAAACAAAAAAACAAAAAAAAAAAATCAATCATTTTTTTGTCGTGAGTGATATGATTGTGTGAGAAATAGAGACACTACATTTATTTGACAGAAGTTAATTCTTAACCTCTTAGGGGTTAAATTTCTCCTTGCAAAATCAAAGAATCATCTACACGGTATCATACAAAAAGATGGGACAAGGAAGAAAAAATTAATCTGGCAACATAGTTCGATTAGATACCAAATTCTCCTAGCTAAAATGGTAAAAAGTGTATGGCAGAAAGAAAGGAGAATCGCAATTTTAGAAGTAAAAGATCAAGCATTGTTCATGACCAAACGAATGAGTAACCCAGAGATATTAAGCTCAACAGATGCAATTCTGTGCAAGCTAAAAGTTTGAAAATTGGTTTAGCTGGTTAGATCGAAAATTTACTATAGAAAGTTTACTAAAGTAAGAAATAGATACCTACATCAATTCAATAACTTTATGCATTCCTCGAAAGTCTTCATGAAAGAAAATTTGACAAAATTTTTTAATTAAGAAAATTTGCCAGAATAAATTAGAAATACTTTGAAATTAAATAACATATGTCTTTTTAGAGCTTATAACCGACTCCTTTAATGCCTGGGTGTCACAATAAACACTGATTTTCTTTCCTTTTTCCTTACCTTCCCTCTGACGAAGAGCTAATGCTCGAAGAGCTTTAGAATCGCTCTACGGTGGGCAATTCACATTATCAACTTAACTAGTAAAATCAAATTAAGCGTGCTTAACTCCATTTGTCTTGGTACTGGCGTCTTCTTTAAGCTGTAAACAATGGTCTTCATTTGCTGCTTTTTCTTTTGAGTGTTCCTTGGTAAAAATTTTTATGAACGAACAGATATTTCCCTTCTTCTGAAACAAACATTAAACGTTCTCTTTTCTTAAATTAGATTTAGACGAAGACTTATCATAGCGGACGTAAGGTTCGAAAATTGGGGAATATTACTTGGGTAATATCTTCAGATTTCCCGGGGGATATTCGGTCACGTAATGCGTCTAGATCAATCGCGCGCGAGCCAAAATATTTGATGGATCTTAATGGTCGATATGCAACTCCTCTAGATCCACCGTTTCCTCCAAAGATTACTCTCTCCTACCCCTTCCCCCATCGAAAAAAGAAAAAATAGGACGAGTAAATATTCTTCTTGGAGTTTTCTGTTGTCTTCCGTCTAAGTATTAAATTAATTCACAAATTTTTGATCATGCAGTGATTTTTATCACTTTAGAATTGTCCCGCAGTAAAATTTCAAATTGATAGTCAAGGGGTTTTCAAAGTTTCTAGAAACTCTCATCGTCTCAAATTAGTAGCAATTCTGGTGCAACGTTTGCAAACAGTAAAGGAACCAAAGACTTCCGGGTCCTTCATGTCTCTCCAAACTTAGAAAGTACTTGAGCTTGAAATGCTTTGGGAAGAGGACACTCCCTACATTTAGACTCTAAAAGATAATCTGACAGAGGAGTTAGCCACTGAGAATATATTTTCATGGATAGAACGACATGGTAAAGTGTTGATATTATTACCCTTAGGTTTTCATTGATAGTCAATAAACATATCACGTCGGCATGTTTAATAAAGTCCGCGTTAATTTGGGGGCACTCCTTCTGTTTCTATGAAAATACAGGACTTTTTATTTAGATTGAGGTCACACTTGGGTTATTTTTCCACCACGCTTTCACCAAACATGCTGGAAGTCATCTGACCAGATGAACACAGTCGATCGGGGGTTCCGACAACCTCTTACTTACTGCCTAGTGTGACCTCGATCATTTGCGTGACATCGTGACCTAACCATCGCGGACCTCCATCTTGGTTCCGTGTAGACATCCGGTAGCAGCTATCGCAGCTTGTAATTATGGCAACAGTCGAGACAAAGTAAGTTAAACAACATATTTAAACTTGCTTTTCTGTTATGCAGATATTTCCGTATGGCCTTAATGATGTGTTCATGACTGGGAGCATTATTTGAATTCGTGAGTTTCTTTCTCTCTTTCTCTCAATTTCAATGTGGAGCATCTCAGTCGACGTCAAAATATTACAATATAAAACGATAGGTAATAGTTCTATAATATTAAGCAATCAAATTGTTTTTAACATTGAACCAGTAACGAATTCATACAAATTATGGGGGTATTGTTTAGAAATAGCCTTAGGCATCCACAACTTGTAACATATTGATTTAAGAATTTGTATTGAAAAATTTACCCTCTAAAGTAGAACACTTCAGACTCTAGTTTGTAAGAACAAATTGATGGTATCTTCTGATCTTTGTGAAATGGAAATTGCAGTTACTGTATTACCTAACAGTTTTTATTATCAACTTAATGGCTATTATTGCCAACTTTTCTTCTTTATTTATATAAAACGAGTAGATTCCAAATTTCCACGCGTCTGTTCAGCAATAGATCAAAGATGTCAAAATGTGCCTTTTTTCGTTTTGACCACAATTTGATGTCATTTGTGATCTATTCTGAACAGGCTCATAGCAGTATGGAATTTGTCTCTTAAAAAGGTAATCAGCCAATAGTTATATATACATAATTGTATTATCAATTTGAAAATTTTAAGGTCATTTTATCAGTTTGGGAACAGCTCCCTGGCTGTTCCCTTGAGCCTTCACACTATCAACCGAAGACGACTTTGTGAGCGACTTACCGATAACAAAGCTGTTCCAAAAGGAGCAATGATATTACTTCAAGGAGGGGAGCAGCATCAAAGATATTGCACAGATGTAGATGCTGTATTTCGACAGGTTACATCATTTACATCTTACTTGCTTAAACATCTTTACAGTGAGATTTTGCAATTTTCTCTCCTTAATATTGTTAAAGGAATACAGTATTTGGATCATGTCTGTGATATGCAGCATTGGTTGTTCAGTTGATACATCACTAGATAGTCACCTGGTAGCTGAACAACACTTGAAACTTTGTGGGGGGATGTCTCAGTCAATATGTGTGCCTCCTGTCTAGAAGAGACATTTGCTAACAGCACCTTGACTGTACATATCACTTCACTACCATGCTACTTTTGACCAACTTTCAATCAGCCATGATAGGCTATGTATCAACTACTGAATGATGTATGAATAGACCATTAATGCATGTATCAGCTGATTTATTGGCTGTGGTTACCAACAGCACACATAATTCCAGCACTAATTACTTATGTAATGATAGTGGGGGTTGGTTTATTTACAATCCAGTGTTTGGTATTTAGGAGAGTGTTGTTAACTTGTTCTTTTCAAACTTTTGGTGTGCTACCAGACTAAGTGTTAATTCTCCCTTCTAGTTGTTACCCATTTCCTTAAGAATTAGTTTTGAGAATTTGGTGTTAGATCAAGACAACAACTTCTACCTGATATGTTTGAGTATTCTCATTACCTGTTTGCTGGATATTGTATAGCTTTGATAGGGAGAAGTTACATGCTTATCACTTCTGGGAGTTAAAGGGTGAAGACCAGCTGGCCATCTACATAAGGTGGTCACATGGAGAAGATTAAGAAGACCAAGCTGATGTTTGAAATGAAGTTAATGTCATTTGTTTCTCTCACTTTAGGAGTCATTTTTCCACTGGACATTTGGTGTACTAGAAGCAGGTTGTCTTGGTGCAGTTGAGGTTGGAAGCACCTGTGCTATTTTGTTTTTTCCCAAACCTCCTCCAGGGTATCATAAATGGATTGGGGTGTAAGTCAAAATTTGCTTAATTTTCAATTTATGATCATCCACAATTATCTGGGATGACTAGGGAAGAATTCACAAAAACACTTAATTTTGGTTAAAAGTTACATCAAACCAACCCTTCATCAAAATGCATACCTACTTAAGCAATAATGATACAGAGGAATGTTTCTGTTGAACACAGAACACATGTCATGACTGTATGATATTTCTCAAAAATTTCATTTGTAGGAGGAACAGTTTAGAGCACTTTAGGAAACGTTATGAAGTAGAAGAAGTCTACTACACCAACCAGGTCTGTAAATAGCCTAATGTAATCCATCCCAGTACTCTGAACATAAGTTATACATTTTCATTAGCTAGGCAGTTACAAAAGTTGGACCAGATTAACTTGGACTGCTCAACTGGGTAAAATCAACTAGGACTTACCTGGATCACTTTGTAGTGAGTAAAATTGCCTAAAACTTACTTGGATCACTGCAAACTACAGTAAAATTCTAAAAAAGTTATTTATGAAAGCCTACTTTACTTCAGAAATCATCAAATGAATGAAATATCTCCTCAATTTTTCTTTGTTACTCAGATTGCTGATGTGTTGCAAAAGAAAAATCCCTCTGTTATTCTCACATTAGTAAGTAACATTGGATCTGGGTGGAGCACCAAGGAACCCAAAATGTTTTTTATTTTATTAAATGTGTGACAGCACCAAACACAAGAGCCATGTTGAGGATCAGATTGGATCAAATTTTATTCTAATTTGCCCATATAAGGTTATATGGCATACATCCTTAATTTAAGGTTAACATCACATACATTAATATACTTATTTTATTTGCATTAAGGTTACACTTATTATGCTCCCACTAAGGTGTCATGTGTAGGAGAATTCAGAAAGTTTCTTAAACTTTTATTTGACCAAGCCTGATCAGCACATCCTTCATTTTGAGCACCTACAGTAAATTAATTATTTTAATATTTGCTTTTTAGAAAGGTGTAAACACAGATTCAAGGCACATTTGCAAAGAAGCTACATTTGAAAACATTAACAAGTAATTAGTTTTGGAATTCAATCAGGTGTTGGATACTGTATTGTAATGTAAGACAATAATGTTATGGTATTAATGTTGGAATTCAAATTTCATAATTTACCTCTCAAAGGTCTACTTTCTAATCAACTTTTAGTTATAGAGATTTTGTGAGGTTCACAATTTCCTCCTAATACCAAATACTATCAATGGTTGACCCTTTACATCCTATTGTCCATACTGTTCTTTATACATTTCTTAAGGTGCTGAAAAAAAGAATTGTTTAACAATCAAGAGCTTTTTCAGTTGGTGATCATTTCCTTAATCTTGTGACTAAAGTGTTTGATTCATAGGTGATATTGTAAGAAGAAATTTGATACCAGTCACCATCAGTAATTAAAGGGTTAATGTACTGGTAATGAATTTGAAAAAGAATTGTGTTTAAGCCTGAAGCACTTGGTATAGGGCATCATTTTCTTTTCTTATCTCCAGTTCACATCAGCCATGGAAGTTGGAAAGTAACTTAACTACACAACATTAATGTTTTTCCTGCTAGGTTCCATGTAGACAATACTATTTTACATCCAGAGATTTCTGAATGGTGAGGTGATGTTCCTCTGTTTTGTTGACTGTCTACTTTTGATACCTCTGGATAATTAATGGGGGGAGTGGCTATTGTGTAGGCTAACAAGATCTTTACAAATACCTCCAAAATTTTGTAACTCAAATTAATTGGTGTTGCTGTTTTTATGTGGGAAAATTGGTTTGTGATAAATTCCCTCCCAATAACATAAAATCATTCTCCAGGTGAGGTTCATATTTATATATCTGTATATTTTCTTAGTCGTGTATTCAAAACAGCTCAGGAACTGGAAGTGATTCGTTATGCTAACAAAATCAGCAGTAAAGCACACAAGGAGGTGAGTGCATCACTACTGGGTTATCACAAAATAATGTTTTAAAACCCAAAGCTATTCTGTGTTTTACAATTTCTGTCTGAATTTTTATTATGCAATCCCAGTTAAATGATGTTCATACTCAGAATCAGAATAAGATTTAAGAGGTTGAGATGTAAGTTTGGGGAGTATTTTGATCATTTAGTTTAAGTGAAGAGCTTATTGACCCTAACCCTGATCGTAAGTTTTTACCAACCAAGTACTCTAATTGCCTTTCATCCATAGGTGATGAAACGTATCAGACCAGGGATGTCCACATATCAATTAGAAAGGTATGTGTTTAAAGATGTTATCACAATCTTGCTAATCCTAAACTCAGCGGTGGATAAAAGTGAATCAGTAAAATAGGTTAATGGTTGGTATATGTGATATGATTGATTTTGTTTCAGTGTCAAATTTAAGGTGATCCTTCTATTAATTTCTCACAGTCTGTTCCAGCACTATTGTTTTTATCACGGGGGATGCCGCCACTTAGCCTACAACTGCTTAATGGCAAGGTACAGTCGAATAACTGATACATAAGTGACAGCACTGATCCAGCCCTCTTAGAAGCCCGTTTCTAGAGCGTTTTTTTTTTTACTAGTACGTAAATTATTTGTAGACAGTTGTCCTTTTTTTTATATATATTTCTTAGTGGTGTCGACTGTGCTTGTCCTTCTCATACAGTTGAAGTGGATAGTAAAGTTATACAGGATGGAGACATGTGGTAAGTTAGGCAATCTGAATCTCTTTACTTCCGAGAAAATTTACTATAGCTCATGATCACTAACTACCATATGAATGAATTTTATAACGGAATCTTGTTTCCGTCATTTTCCCGGATTTCCCCCAAAAAAATTAAGCGGAAATTTACTCGTGTTATTTACGTTAACTTACTAAATCTCAACTTTGTTGAATAAATAAGTAATTTTATCACGGAGTCCGCATAAGAGCAGGAAGAAAAGCCATACTAGTGATTGAAGTATGTGAAGTCTTTTTTTCATGGTTCAATGTGTGAAAGTAATTTTTGTGAGCAAAGTGTTTTTCAAACTGAAAAAATGAAAATAGAATGTACAAAAACATTTTTGCCGTACCGTATTGCTAAGGAAGGATGGCACCTGACTGATAGAGGAACTCTGAACCATGACTTGTTATCATTAAGCTTGTTACGCAATTTCTCCGGCCAGCAGAAAATAATGGCAAGAGAATTTGCGTTACAAGCCTAAGAGAATCTGTTGCAAGATTTATCAATTCACTTAGTTCCTAAATCCGTCCCTATGAGATTCCTTGGCGCATCTGAGGCTCGAAATATGTAAAATTTCATAACGTTTCTTTTTTTCTGTAGTCTATTTGACATGGGTTGTGAGTATTACTGCTATGCTTCAGACATCACGTGTTCATTTCCAGCCAATGGCAAGTTTACAGACGATCAGAGAATGATTTATGAAATTTGTCTGCGGGCAAACCGAGCAGTTATGATAGCAATAAAACCTGGTAAATAACATTGTCTGTCGTAGAGTAAGAACTATGTTTGTAGCTCTGCAAAATTACTCGCCGTTGTTTTTTAATTGGCATAATCAATGGTCATCGCTAAGAATGTAAGCTTTGTCACGTGTTATTCAGATCCCTGTTTTGTGGCACTTGTTCCCTTTACGATTGTCCCATCATCTTTCAGTTCCTGTATGGAAAACCAGCCATGTCGCCTAAACATTTGTTTTCAATGTTTAGGTGTCAGCTGGGCTGATATGCACCGTTTAGCAGACCGTGTTCAACTGGAGGGCCTCAAAGACATAGGGCTCTTACAAGGGGACATAAATGAGATGATGAAGTTACATGTGGGTGCTGTTTTTATGCCTTATGGTTTGGGACATTTGATGGGCCTTGATGTACACGATGTTGGAGGATATCCAAAGGTATGTCAAAGAAGATGGTTGAAGCGATACTTAAGCTCTCTTGATGTTGTTGTTGTTGTTTTTTTTTTATATCGGCGTGTGTACCTCTAAGTTTTGATGAATGTATCACAAGATTGCATTTGAATTAATTACTTGCTATTCATAGTTTGATAGGCTGCTATGAATAAGGATAGCAATCAACATGACGAACTAAATGATTCCACGTTTTTTTTTTTTTTTCGATCATCGCGTAGAATGCCGCGACACATTTAGCGGGACTTGTCAAGACTTAAAAATTAAAAATTAATTGGCGGAGCGCGCGCCACACAATAGAGAAAATGGCCTGAAAATCACCAGCATTTTTTTCTTGGTTTCACTCAAATCACTATGAATAAACCACTTTTACCATATGGCTTTTGAAGAAGAGAGGTTATAGAGGCTCCTTGTACCTTTGTTTTTGCTTTAGGACGTCAAGAAGACATATCCCAACGGGTATGAAAACTCGCTTCTTCTACATATTGCTAGTACAAGAAACAGCTCTTCGCCTTCTTATGGAAGTGATTTTGTGAAAGGAGAAACACTTTTTCCCAGGGTTAGGGTTAAGGTTTGGGTTAGGCGATTTTATACGCTGGTCGCAGCGACTGGCGTATAAAATCGCCGACATCTGGCAAGTCAGATATCGGCGACTACCTTTCGCTGTCATTCGTTCCCGCGATTTTCTTCTACATACATACATACATACATTCTTTATTTGATAAGTAGGTTGTGTGAAAGGCAGCCAAAGGGCTGATGTGGACCTACCGCATATATATAAAAATTGCATAATAACTTAGAACTAATCGGTGTTCTAAGACTAACATATAAATCTAAAAGTAAATGAAATGGTCAAATGAAAAATTGTCAATAGTCTTAACATGTTTACGTAAGATTTGTTTAAAAGAATAAAACAAATTCTCTTCTCTTCTCTTCTCTTCTCTTCTCTTCTCTCACCGCTGCTAATCGCTGGTGAAAGCAACCAATTAAAATAAGCGACTTTATTGTACGACTTTTCAAAACGGCTGATGGAAGCGGAACCTGGTTTTGGACAGATGAGAGGAGTAAATTAAATCGTCTAGTGTTTTGAAAAGTCCACTTTGCAGATCGCTTTCTGAAGCGCCTCGGTTACAAAAAGAAAACGCTTTTGCTTCTCTGTCATCATTTTGTCCGTTTTCATCGGTGCGCGCGAAGTATGCATAAAGCTGAAGTACCACTTTACGGCGATCGGCGAAAAAAAAACGCCAAGCTTTTTCGCATCTCAATGGCGAAGATCGCCTGCGATATTTGCTGGCGGACGAACGCGCCGCAATCGGCGATAAATCGTTAATAAGGTTGGGCGCCTTATCCTTACTTTTTGTGCCGGAAAAACATTTGCAAAACATAGCCGAGAGGTTTCCCTCTCGGCTTTGTTTTGCAGTTATAATTTCTTCCTGTCCATGATTCAGTAAAAAGCAAACTAATCGATACGTACTCTGCTGCCAAGAAGAACACCCAAGGCGCTTTTCACTGTTCAGTCCGGAAAACAGCACACATCATGTAAACCTCCTCCGTTACCAAGTGAAGCCATCCTGCAACTGAATAACGGAACTCCATGGTTACATAAACGGTTTTGCTGTTTGTTACATGATGGTTGACGTAATAACTACGGTTTACCCACGCACGCACGCGCACGCGCATGTAGATTGAATAGCTTACCTTTTATGCGCTGAAAATTAAGATATCGGAAATTAAAGAACAATTCGAAGACGTTTTAGAAGAAATTGACGAAGGAGAAGTTGATTTATTTGAGAGTTCAGTTTAATGCTGATGTTGGTGGATATTTCTCGAAGAAAGTTTTAAACCAGGTATCTCCTTGTGTGTTGCATTTATGACCCCCTCGGCTTCGGTAACTTTGACCCTTACTCGCAAATCTTCAAGTTGATAATGATGTGAAATTATCTGAAGCATCCTTGCGTGTTACATTTTTTTCCCATTTAAGATAAAATTTCCATGACTCCTTTCAAACTTAAAAAAGGAAATGTTTCATCTAACGGTTCAAACGCAATATATCATAGTCAGGACAAAACAAAGTTGGTGATCCACTTATAAAGAACCTGGGTCGAAAAATAAGTGTTCGAATGTTTTTTACAGGGAACCGAAAGAATTAATGAACCAGGCCTCTGCTCGCTCAGAACTACCCGTGTCCTGGAGGAAGGCATGGTGCTCACCATTGAACCAGGAATTCATTTCATTCGTGGAGTAAGTCAGAATTTCATGTGAAGTATCCCATTTGTGGGAAAACCAAGAATAATACTAGAACTATCGTACGATAAACAGTTCACAACGTTGTTCTGGGGGAGAGGGAAGGGGGATCGGAGAAAGAGATGCTTTATTCAAGCGGGACAGACATGGTAATGTTCAGCATATTTGTCGCCGACTGTTGATAAGAATGTACGTTCAGTTTGGTTCAAGTCGTCTTTAAATTTTTCGTTGCACATGCAATTGAAGGCCGGAAATACCACTGCACTTGACGCAAGTTCATTGATGATGATGTCACTATTGTGTGCTGGACATGTTATGTTGGTGTGCAACACAGATTTACCAACTGTCACTAACTCTGCTTATGTTTTTCGAGGTTATCGAGGAGGCACTAGAAAATCCTGAGACGGCGTGTTTCTTCAACCGAGAAGTCTTAAACCGATTTTGGAATGTTGGAGGGGTGAGATATTCTTGAGACTTAATCATTCATTGTAGGAAGGTGTTTTACAGACTCGTACCCAGTCGTTATTTACGTGTTTTGTGGGGAGAGAAGATTGGATACGAGGATGGATTGAGACACCCCTCTCAACACTCTTGTATCCAATCTTCTCTCCCCACAAAACAGGTAGATAACGAATGTTTACGAGTCTGGGTGTTTTAGTGACAACCACGTCTTTATTTTTTGACCCATGCTTTTAACTTTCAGCTGCTTCAAATGAAACGAATTTACTTTTGTTGATGTTTCCAGGTCCATATCGAAGACGACATAGTGGTGACGTCCGAAGGCGTGGAGCTGTTGACAGATGTGCCTCGTACGGTAGATGAAATCGAGGCTCTGATGGCTCAGGAATCTCAAGGATCAAACTGATATTTTCCTTATAACCTCTCGATGTAAAAATATTTTATTACGCTCAGCGAAAATTTTAGATAAGTTTGGATAGCCCTTTCAATTAAAAACTATTGTTATTTTGTAAGGTGTATGGGCAGTTCCGCATAATTGCAATATGCAACACGAGAACACCGCGATGTGTTTTAATAAAGTGGCCATTTTCATGCCCGGATTGAGCAATGGCTTTGGCTACTTCTAATAGACGAGTGCAAATTTACCGCTACACGACGTTTTTTCAAGTGAACCAAACTGAGTCTGCTGTCTTTCATTCCACTAATCTAGAAAACTTTAACTCTTGTTGTTGTTCAATGTGATATAAACCCAGATCAAGTTTCCATCTGTCCCTCTCCTATCGTCTCCAGTATTTACCGCCCCGCCCCCCCCACCCTTCCCCATACTAACCCAAAACACACCACAACCTCTTACAGAGAACAGCTGCATCTCTCCCAGGAAAAGAACGCTAAAAAACTAACGACAACGTAAAAGATGATTTATTAGAATTACTTATAAGAATTTTCCCGTCTATTTAAAAAAACACAGGGTTTTAAAATACGACCTCTGAAAAAAGGAGACCTTGGTTATGACCACGTGGAACTGTCCTCTGAAAAGTTGAAATCAGTTCACATGTCAACTGTAAGTCAGTAAATTTGTATTCTAGTCATTACGATTTCCGCGATCCTAGTAATCATTCAAAAACCACGCTTACGTTTGACCAACTGTTGAGAACTGAATGCCTCAGTAGATATCTCAAAAGCATCCGAAGTGAGTTTTTTGCTAGGAGAATTCCAGCTCAGTCAAATAAAAGAAACCAGCGAAAGGTTCTACTTTTTTCACTTCGACAATTTACCATAAAATGAAAGAAATTTGATGAGCCCTCGAAAACACTTTAACAGTACTGCATGCGAACAACGATTTTTTTTAGCCAAAAAATATACGGAAGGTAATAATATCAGCATATACAGTTTATGCATTGGTTTTAAGCGAAAAGTGAATCGCATAATCCAGAGACGTTGTAGTTCTTTGTGAATTCAAATATTAACTTACAATGCCAGAAATGAAACTTTCAAACACTTTTGCAACAGCACATCAGACTCTATCATCATTCTGCACAATTCGACATAAAAACTGCTTGCTTTCAGCATTATTCCGAGTTGCAACAGGTTCCGGTAAGTTTCGTTAGCCTTCAATATGCAAACAAAAAAATGATAAATAACCCAACTAGCAAACAAATTAACATGGAAAACCAGCAAAGCTAACCGACACTTGATGATGCACAATAATTCAATATTCGGAAAAACCCAAATGTAATTGAAAATTTTGTAATGTCAAATAATTTAATGTTAAAACTATGCCTCATATTTTTGAGTGAGCAACGATCATGAATCTATAACCATAATTTTACAGCCTTAAGTACAGCATGTCTCAACAACTACTGATCACGCGCTAAAGCGTAGCACATCAGGGTCCGAGCGTTGATAAAAATTGTTTCTTTACGCCATCAACCATTGTCAGCTGGTGTCCTGTGGCGAGGGTGGCATACTGTGGTCTTCCAAAACCCTATCTTGAATGTGCATTCTGCACATAGGGCAGTGTTGGAGTTGTACAGCGCACCTCATACAAACGTCCCTATAAGTAAAACGTACCTTAAAACGAGGATCAAGTTAAGTACAAAGATTTTAATCAGCTATTTCGAGAGGTTTCAAGTGAAGTCTGAAATTCGAAACACGAAAGGCACCTCAAGAATGGAAGGGTTAAATAATTTAATTGGTTGTAGCTAATTTTTCGACTTGCCTGTGGTTGCATGGTTCCAGTCTTGTATCAGCAGAATTCTCATAACATATTTTACAAGGATCATTGGATATACTCTCTTGGCGGATAGCAGCTAATTTCAGGTGCCTAGAGAAGAGTTTTGAATAATGTTAGACTCTTACACACCCACAGCCGGTTAAAGGACTGTTGTCGGTAGTGGTAACTGACGTTTCGACAACCTGAGCGGAAGTCATCATCAGAGTCAAGTGAAATCTTATTGTTACGACCAAGATCATAAGCTAACAACATTGGAGTGCGAGGTGTCATTCCAAATAATAATCTGAAATAAATCAAACTCAATAAGAGATTGCTCTCACTGAAAATTTCATCTGTCCTACCTGGGTAAGACTATTTTGTCCTCGGAAGACATGTTTGCATGATCGTTGAAATTGTCGAAAGGGACGTTGGGAGGAAACCTGCAATAATTCATGAGTCGAGTAAAAGGAACGTTGAGTAAAATAAGTTGAAGTATCGTGTGAAATTGAACACAAGGCGGTAACAGACAAAAGCATTTCTCAAGATAGGAGTAGACTGAAAGACTAATTTAGCTGCGATTAAAAGACTCTGAAAAGAAAGCAATCAGTAGAAGTTTTCAAGCTGACCATGGATGAAATAAAACTCTTGCCCTTAAATTCAAGGGGTTTTTATTGCTGCACAAAGAACATTTGAGGCTACAAGTAAAGCAGCAGGGATGCTTCTTTAGCTACACAAAGAGAGGTCCTCGATGTCAGGGTAAAACTCGTTGCGAAAACCTCTTTAAAACGAACGGTTAATTTTCCTCGACCAGTAGTATCAAAATATTCTCCGACAAAGGACGATCTCAGTCTCTTAGCGCTAGGGCAAATCAATATTCCACTGTATAGTAACTGTGCGTTGGTAAAGAAATAACTGCAGACTAATACTCATTGTAAAATTATCTCTATCCACTAACTGGTGGTCAAATACTTGTTTTCCATACATCCCTTTAGCACTGAAAACATACTTACATGAAGGGTTTAGCTCCAAAATTAAATATACAGTGTTGAAAAGACATAAAACTTGCCGCAGCAAAGAATCCAGCCCTAAAATAAAAACAAAGGCTTGAGAAACGATTTCTACAGTTTGAATTAAACGTTTCTGAACTGTACTCAAACTGGGAAAATTGGTCTGAAAAGTGGCACCATTGTAATTGTGATCCCTGTGTAGATTTCCCCTCACGACCGTATGGGAGGACTGTGATCTCATGCCAACTGAAGTCAAGTCATATCATCTGTACTGGTCCTTATCTACACTTCAGCACGTATGAAACCAAGATTACCTTCTTACATCTTTCTACATAGAGCTTACCCTGAAAGTGCTGCCTTAAAGTCTCTTATAATTGTATCACCGTTCATGGAAAATGCCACTTTACCACGCTCTAAATCGATAAGAAGGCCGAGAACATCACCTACAAAAAACATATCGTGATAAATTTGATAATGTATATGACAATATGATTTGTGACATTGGGGATTAAAATGGTATGATCAGGTGACCAACTGACCTGGTACCCAAGGGGGGTGGTGATGGGGGGTACTCCTGGCTCCATGCCATATCAACTGTCGGCAGCCATCATAGGCATAAGAAAACTCATCATCACCAATGCCATATCCTTCCTGGAAAAAGTGTTCATAAACAGCCATTCATAGTCAGTGTACAGTATAAAACAATAGCAAGTCAACTGTGAACTGACCAGTCAACATATATAAAGGGGTAAGTTTCTAAAGAAACTGTGGTGCTGCGTCGGTGGGAGAGTATAGCAGGTAATTTAGTGTTAACAACTGGGTTGAAAACGTAAATTAGCCACCGTAAAGGGTAAAAAAGCTGACGTTTCGAGTGAAGGGCTAACGCTCAAAACGTCAGCTTTTTTACCCTTTACGGTGGCTAATTAATGTTTTCAACCCACTTGTTAACACTAAATTACCTGAGTCAACATATATGCCTATCTAATCTCAACACCACAAACTAATTACCTTTGATGTTTGTAGTTTGATTGTCTTAAGCTGATTGACTTTATAATTAGAACACAATAAGATTCCATAAATTTTATTATTAGTTTCAACTGTTTTTTGAGCTCCAGAGTAAGTCTTAAAAGTCTAAAAAGCAATTCCTAGAAAAAATTATCAATGAGGAACACCAACAGATCAGAGAATTATTACCTAAGGCACAATGGAGCACAAAGAATATGACATCAGTAAAGTGAAAGGGGGCTTCACTCTAAACTTACATGATTAAGAAACTTGCTGTCCTTAGTAGCCCAGCCAATCTGCATCACTCCAGCTGTGAGAAGAGTCACTTCATAATACCACACACCTGAACATAACAACATGTCAATTAAACCAAATATTAATTTTTGACTTGATGAAAACTATTAGTAAGACCTTGCACTGACTTGGTTGCGAGTTAAAGAGATGCAGTGCACCTTTAAATTTCATTTGAGATTATTGAATTTATTCAAAACTTTTCGCGAAATGATTATTACATGAAGAAATTTTTTCAATCAGTGTAAGTCTAAATGTCCTACATCTTGATGAATTAACTGCTGAATGAGAGAACAGAGAACACTAAATTCCAATTTGAACCTATTTGATTTTGTGCCTTTCAACTGAGGCACAGTTATAAATCAGTGAAACAAAGAGGGTGCCGACCAATCGAAAACTATACCCTGGCTTCACTCTGATTATCACTCTAACAAACACACACAAAGAGGTTCTTCTCTTTTAGATAGGACTGGCATTATTAGGGAAAGGAATATTCAGGTCAGCAGCTCCAGGCCTTTAGAATTTTCTACTGCAACATCTAATTTCTACTGGGAGTCTCAATACATTCAAGGAAGCTTGTAAGAGACATTTACTTTAAATCTTTAAGTTCTGGTTTAGGTAATTTTTTGTTGTAAGTGTATTCCTAGTTATTGACCCTGTTATAGTTATACATCTACAGCTGTAGGTAAATCACATGCTCCATTAATATGCTTATGAACATGTGCACTTGGTAAATGTAATACAATTGGAATATTCTCTTCATTATTCTTACTACTATAATCATCATAACTATCATTGTCAAAAGACTCTTAATAAGGTTTAATCTGATTTTTGACATGAAAAGAAACTGACCAGTTGAGGCACAAAATGTACACCGCACACTTTCAAAAGAAGATGCATCACACCTTGCCTGAAACAATGATTTAAAATAGATTATTTTTTCTTTAGATAAAACACAAGATTTATGAAACAATAGCAACTACATAGACAAGTTTGTTTCAGATTTGTCAATCAAACGCATTACTCAATGTCAGGTCTAGTATCTGCATCAGCTGATCACGTCAAGACATTCACAACTTGCACTGAGTCTTCTACTCTTCATTACCAAAACACAGGCAACCAGTTAAACTATTCACCACAGTAAACATCTCACTGATGAAAAACATTTAGAGGTGACCAATCGAACAATATCTTACCTCCAGTCCTGTAGGGGATATTTTTAAATAATCGCTCACATCATTGTTATTAAGCATAACATTGATACCACTAACATCAGCTGTTTCATAAGAGTATGGGCGATTCTGTGAACAAAACCATTAAAAGTGATTAAAATTAAACCCAGCCTGAGATAGCTGAATGGGAGGGATACTGAAATCTATTATTTATTGGGATGGGAGGGATACTGAAATAAGTCATTTATTGGGATGGGAGGGATACTGAAATAAGTCATTTATTGGGATGGGAGGGATACTGAAATCAATTATTTCTATGTATTAAATGAAAGATCAACTCATCTTTGTGACTGCAACTTCAAATTGATAAAGCAAGACTCCAGTATGCCATCAAACCACTGATTCTTTTATGAAAATATGAGCTTAGTATGACTTGCTTCCCAACTTTCTTGAAAGTGTGAACTTAAACTTTGCAGTTGTAACTTTGACCCTGATTTTTAACTTTATTACAAAAAATTATTTTTAATTATAATTTCCCTTTCTGTGAAGCATTTTTGGAACAATGGGAAAAGATGCTATATAAATGTATTACTATTATTATTATCATTATTATCTGTGCCTTACCTTAAAGGAAACTATAAAAGTGGAGATAAATATGAAAAGACACAGACAATTAATAAAATGAAGCATACAAAGGAAAAACAAACAAAAACAGCAAAATCATTTGGTCACATAAGCAATAATCAGTTTTGCAGAGTAACTGATGTTCTGCTAATCAAAAGAAGAGGAAGAGGAAAGGGCTCTACCATTGAAAACTGGATATAAATGCTTGTTCAGAATGACAACAGAAGCTTCCCTGGAATGGATAAGAGAGCTACAACTTTGAAAAATTGAAACCAGTGGTTGAAGCAAACTTACATGTATTGTCAAGAAGCCACTGAGAACAAAATCCAGCCTGATGCCTCTCAAAGTCTTTGCTTCCAAGCCATTCCTTCTCCAAATTTACTAACATCTCCGCGATACCAGAATCTCTTATTGTAAGCTTGTTTTCACCTGTTAATTCCACACAATGATTTGGTCTTTTTGCATATACTAATACTATCAAAACAATAATCTAAATCATATAAAGTGAATGTAAATATTACCAATGGATTACATATTTAAGTGTTAGAGATGTTTAATTATGAACTTTCTGTACCAGATAGTGGGACAAAAGCTTACTCTGACATGCACAAAAGATTCTATGATGTATTCCTGCTTGATTAGTTTTATCCAAGACTGACTTAATGTCAATTAATGTCTTTAAGTCATTTCCTTGATTATTAGAAAAAAATTTCCAAATTAACATTGACTCTTTGCTTAAGTTATATCAAGATGACCTATATATAACAAAGTGAAATAATACAACAATAATAATACTTGTCTGGGCAAACTTTTCCAAAGCTAATATTGAATTCAGCACTACACCAGGATATTCAGCTATTGTCTATGAAAGACAAAGAAAAAACTCATTAACATTAGATTTGCATTAATCAGGCATTCATTGAGTCAAAATTATAATCTCATATGAGAAGACATTATCCAGCTATTAAAGAGAGCCTAGTAAATAGACAATCTTTTTTTCTATAAAAAATAACCATCAAAATCACAGTGCGTATTATACACAGTTTCTATTGTTTTTCAAGCATGTCCTAATTTGCATACGTTAAAAACACAACAAAGAAATTAACAAAAGCCTAGTAGTAATTGGTCTTTATTAGCTTGAGTTAAATAATCTACCGATGAAACATTTTCAATTTCGATCCACAAACACAACAAAGAAAGTAACGAAAGCCTCATAGTAATTGGTCTTTATTAGCTTGAGTTAAATAATTTACCAATGAAACATTTTCAATTTTGATCCATAAATAAATTTAGTAGAGTATTTAAGAAACAGCTGATGAGATAAACCTTACGATCGTACTGTATTACTGTAATCACAAGTGATAAGAAGTTCGAAATGGTAACAAAACTTACCACTGCAAAACGTCAGTTGTAGGAAGAATGAACTTTTTTTTTGCTGTGAAAACTTTTTTTAATGAAAAATTTGGTCAAAAATCAGGGTACATATTATACTTAACAAATAGATTCCAAGTTGGCAACTTGGAATCTATTTGTTTTATATAATAAAGAATTAAAAAAAGTTTTAATGATGACGTCATCTATACGTCTGTCCTCCAATAGATAATAAGTGAGAACCAATCAGAATGCGTGCATAACTGAGCTTATTATATAAATGAGCACGTATTATACATGGGTAAATACAGTAATGTCATTGGATCACCATGCCTTACCAGTCTTTTCAAAAGAAACTCCAGTGTACCTTGAGTCAACAATACAATACTCAGAGGACCTTAGGTTGAAAACAAATAATCCTTTTAGTTAGAGCAATTAAGTTAGTAATCAACCCAAATAGATCTTTAAATTTGAAGCAAATTAACAAACCAGCCAACTTGTCAGCCAGACATGCCAAAACAACAGCCAAGTTACGGCAAATAGAAGATGTGAGCTCATTTTGACGTTGATCTCTCTCGGTATTGAACACAAGCTTTTTCAGGCTCTTGGACAGGTTCAGCTTTGATGAGAGAGTTTTTATTGCATCCTTGAATTAAAAATCAAGAATTTAAGTGTAGTTAATGTAACAGTTTATGTTGTTTAAAAATAGTAAGCACTAGTCAAGAAACATGACTTAAAATAAACCTGTCAAAACATAATGCTATCTAGATACTAGATATAACCTCAACAAACTTTCAAGGGAATGAAGAGGAGTTTTGTGATACTTCATATGTTGTAGTTTGTAAATTTAATCAAAATGAAAATTTGAAACCAGACCACAAATATCTTAATTTCCATTAACACCTTAATATTATATTTCCACCACGTTTTTTCAAGCAATTTTACATTTGTGAGAAATTTTCAATAAAGCATTCACCCTTGTAGGAAGTGGACACTCATCAAGAAGAAGACACACAACAGCAGCTCCAAGTGAATCTTCCAGAGGAATAGCAAATATGCATGACTTGACAACATTCAGCCATCCCTCCTCTGTGTTAAGTAAAGAGCAATATAATATTCCTTATGCTTGAAATGACATTCAGTTCATTATAAAAAGTTCAAAAGTTATATAAAGAGATATCCATTTACCTTCTTCTGCCAGAGAATGTAAAATTGTCATGCATTCTGGAGGCTCCATGTTACTAAAAAAGTAAGGATAATATGTTAAGTTTTCATACAAGAAACACTGAAGGATCAAAACTATTGGTGAGTAAAAGATCATTATTTCAAATGATAGTTAAGTGAAATAACATTTTGAGGAGTGGATAAGATAAAAAGCCACAAATTTATTGTCATAATTGAACTGCAATTTTAGACACTACAGGAAGATATGCTTGAAAAATTTAAGGCTTTACATGGATTAAAGAAGTGCCTCAAAGACAATGGCTGAGTACTGTCACCAACAAGACAACATGAAGCTGCAGAAGCAACAAAACCACATGAAGGACCCAGTGAAATTTAAGAATGCTCTTTGTTCCTGATAAAGAATTAAAATCACTGCATCTGCCGACCTTTTTTATTCTTGGGATTAAAATGTTTCTTTTCAAACAAGCACATTAACATGGGTAATATTTATTTTATATCAACATTATGTTGGACTTGTTCATGTTCATATCTATGAATCAATGTTTTGGAAATTTTTTAACCTATAATTTGTACTTTCATTCTTAATTTCCAGCACTTTTTTAGCAACGATCATTTTGAAGCACAAGGAAAGCCATATATAATTTATATGAAAGCAGGGAAAATTTTACATAAAGAATTACTTTACAGATTGGATATCAGAGTAACCTGTTAATGGTAATACTGTGCCTGTTTAAGGTATTGAATAACTTCTTTTAGGAAACCAGAACATGTTTTTGCAACCATCAGTTTTAACCCCCTTATTTGGCAAAAATTATTTGAAGGATTTACATAATTCCAAGTAACAAAAATTTCAGGTGTTTTGTTTCTCTTTTAACGAATAATGTTGCAGTGGCAATTTGTACAAATTGTGCCTTGGTATGCAAGATAAAAATTCAAAAGATTACCAAGCTAAACTATATTTGAGAGCCAAACATATTGCTGTGAAAAGGAAACATTTATTTATAATCGATTCTTGGAATTCGAAAAAATAAAAATTTAATTTTTAACACATTTGTTCTCTGTCAAGTTTTAATTTGACAGCCTCGTCATGTTATTATAGTCTACTGATTGTACCTCATCATCAGGAAATTTATGCGATAAATTACTATTCGCATGCTTCCGTTACGCCAAAAGAAATTATACTGGTAGGGACTTACTTTTCTGCGAGCTTCCTGAGAGCACGGAGGGCATCCATAACAAGATCATCTGTGTAACTAGAACCACCATGACTTGTTGAGACATTTCTTCCGTAATCAACATCATAACTGTCCTGGCGCAGTGCTTCGTGAGTCTTGCAACAGCTAATTCCCATATATAACCACACGATCACCAGCCTCGAATTATCGTATACAGAAGTTCACAAAAACATGTGAAAAAGACAGCATCAATTGCATTCCAGAAACCCACAAAGATTTCCACTACCGTCCCGGGCCTCCAGTAAACATAACTATCGATATTTTAGAGCGCCTCCGTGCCTTAGCGGTCAGTGAGTCACGCTAGTTTAGAGCCCCTAATCACATTAGTATCATTTCTAGCGGTTAATCCCAAGTCTGATATGCGTACCCGCTCAATCATGCGCACTTACGTCACACCAAGGAGCCAATCAGCCGCCGTTGCGCCGTGGCGGCGAATATTCTATCCCATAATACTGTTTTACTTTTTAAGCCACTGCATCTATAGAATGGTAGTCAAATGGCGTCTTCCTTTCTAGAAGACCTATTCGAGAAAGAAGTAGATGAGAAGGAGGTCAGTGCGATGGTGGGATCGCTGGAAAGCCAGCTGGCATCGACAGCGATCCCTAGATCTCATCATAATGAAGTTAAAGCAACGGTTCCAGTCTCCAAAACTAGTCCTAAACAAAGCATCATGACTAGTAAAACCCCAAATCAATCGACCCCGATTCAAAGCCAAGCGGTGGCTGCCGTTCGTCCAGGGATTTCCTCATCGCCAGTGCTAAATGCGGGTGGTAGCACATCTATTTCTACTGTTGTGAATATTGCTCCTCGACCGACGGTTACAACTGCCGTTCCGTTAGCTCCACGACCGGCAACTATGGCTGTTCTTACTCCAAACTCTGGTTTTACGGGAGCCCCTCAATTCGTGACCACTATGATCAATGCCGATCTGGTTAACCGGAACATAAATTTGATTCCTCAGCAAATCGCTTTAGCACCAAGGGCTGTCACAAGTAATGTGACTGTCCAAGGCAATCCTCAAATAATCTCCGGGCCTCGAATTATTCCGCAAATTCAACCACGAGTTACCAACATGACAGTAGGGACAGTAGGCAATCTAAGGCCTCAAATTGTACTACAGCAGCAACCGGGAAGCACCGTAATTCAACCCGACAAGAAAATCAACATCGTACCCGTACAAACTCAAATTCGCCCTGTACCAGCGAGTGTAAGTGTATCACAGAATACAGGAATAAGAACTACTTTAACCCCCATCCGACCTCAAATAAGCTCAATACCAGGTGCAATTACTTATAGAATGCCAGTAAGCCAGATTGCTGTTGCAACAACAAACTCTGTTGCTGGTACTGTATCTGGTTCTGTGACTAAAACTTCGAACACTTCTAATGCAGCAAATGTTGGTTTGCCTGTTAGTAAACCTGTCACAAATAATGCTAATTCCAATCATTCCAAGTCGCCACAAACTTCTACTACACCACCAGTCAGTGCAGCCAATGCAACAATTATTGAACAAGTAAAAGATCAAGCCCATAAGCTTAAAAACTTCTTCAATAACTTGATAAGGCTTGCATCTGATCAAAAATCGCCAGATGTTGGTAAGACTGTAAAAGAATTGGTGCAAGGTGTTCTGGTAAGTTGAAGAAGATGGTCTTGTTCCATTGAACTTTTCTTTTTTTGTTTTATTGTTATCTGGGTAATCCAGTAACACATCTGATGCCAGCCCATCAGTAAAAAGGTTAAAACTAATGTTGCTGCCAATCCCTCCAAAACTCAGCAGTTATACATTGCACTGCCAGTCAAGTATTCACACTGATCACAAATGCTCAAGCAGTATTACCTCATTATTGTAACTTTTGAATAATTCTCTCTAAGAAGATCATTCTGATTGATTTAGGTATGATTTTTCAATTTTATTCTGTGGGAATGGGGCTTGATAGGCATATGAAAATAGACAGTTTAGATGAATGATCCACCAAGGGGTTGTCCTATGTTACATTAAAAAAATATGATTCTTTCTTGCCTTGAGATTCACATGAGATGTTTTGTGTTCTCAAAAGAGTGAGATTGGTTTGTGATTGATGTATGGGCCTGTCAGTAAAGGTTTGGTTAAGAAATATTAGTTAAATGCAATCACCACCAAAATTTTGAAATTGCAAAATTTGTTAATTTTGCTGTTGAAAAATTGGAAAATATTGGGATTCATTCCAGTGCCACCTGACCCCAATAAATCCCCCTCTTACCTCCTTTGGAGATTGAGGAAGATAAAGGTATTTTTAAAATCTGAAATCAGTAGCTAGTATCTGTGCATTACAAATTAATGTCCTGAACATTTTGCTAAATCCTCTCATTTAGGATGGAAAACTCACAGAGGAACAGTTTGCATCAAATCTGCAGACAACACTTAACTCTCCCCCTCAACCCAATCTTGTTGGCTTTTTAAAGGTAAGCTGGTATCCTTGGTGAAAAGCTTGGTTGCCAAACTGATGACTATTACCTAACTTTGTTTCTTTATGATCTGATTTTCAATTTATATCTGAAGAAGTTTCAGCTTGCTTAACTTAGACTTGATTAAACAATGCATTTTTCTCTGCAGAAAACACTTCCATTGCTACGAGCACAGTCAAGATCTCAACCAAATTTACAGCTTTTGCAACATGTCCCACAAGCAATAACTCCACAAAAGATTCTTCCTCAGCAGCATCCAGTTCAACCAAAAAATACTAGCCCTGCAAATTCAACTTCTGCACAGATACAAAAACATAACTCCCATGTGCAAAAAATCCAAATTGTTCCACCAGGACAACAGATGTTAAAGCAAGTCTTTCTGACACCAGCACAACAGGAACTTTTCAGGCAACAACATCCAATTACTAATGCCCAGAGGGTGTTTGTGAAGACTTCAATAGGTACAACTGCTGGTTCTCAGGTTGTTACTAGTGCAAGGAATGTGGTTATGGTGCGTGCACCACCAGGGTCAACAGCAGCTAAAGTTGTACCTTCAACAAAAACACAACCAGTAACGTTATCAGCTTCAGCAGTTGCTGATAAATTGAAGCCTAAAGGTTTCACTGGAATCAGCAGGTATGATACTCTGTAACACACTGAACCTGAATTAAGGAGACAACCACACGACTCTTGCTAATGTGTGCATAATACAGGGTGTTTGTGCAATGCAGAATGTTTGCTTTGGGCAATACAGGTTTTGGCAAACAGGGCAATAATGGTAAATTGTTGATTGCTGGGTAAATACGTGATAACAAATAATAATTTGCTAGCTTGTAAACAGGACCACATCTAATAGTTTTCTTACTGTCAGAAATAATCATCAACCTTGTGAACCTAATTGCTAATTTTTGGAATTGTTTTTTTTTCAACTGGTAAACACAATCATCTTACACTGCAAAAGATTTTAGTTATTAGGAAAATTTGTCTTTAGGCTATATGCTAAGTGCATGCTACTTGAAAAAAAAGCAATGAATATTGGTGTCTGCTCCCTTCACTGAATACAGGTTTCATTGCACCATGTGATTTAAAGAATTGTTTGTCATAGCTTTCAAAACAGTCCAATGAGCCAAATTAATAAATTTGTCCAATTGTTTCACTTTGAGTTAGTTCTTCAGAACTGTTTACATAAAGGTTCAATTAAAGAATAAACTAGTATGCTGCGCTTTGATTTCAGTCAGGTACACATAAACTGTGCGGCGTTGTTTCAAATAATGCAGTGCTTGTTCACAAAATGGTTGGAACATGTTGACTGAAGTTTTGTTTTGGGTTTCACATTTGCAGTAGTGGTGATGATGACATAAATGATGTTACCTCAATGGCTGGCGTTAATTTAATGGTGAGTATTTCATATTTCAACCCAGTGTATGGGGGTTGAACAATATATGGTTACTGTTTGCTGGTATAAACATAGCTTGCTGGAAGGTATGTAACATTGAAAATACATGTATTAAGTTTCTTTCCTTTTTTTTCTCTCAACAGGAAGAGAGTCAGCGGATTTTAGCAATAAACTCAGACTTACTCAGCTCTCAAACAAGAAGCTGTAAAGATGAACCTTTTTTAAATATTTCACCCTTTCAGAAAAGACTAGAGGCACTAGGTCAGTCTAAGGAAAGGCTTATTTTTGTTTATTTACATTTGGTTGCAGTCCTTTGTCAAAGAGACAAATATTTTTATTGTAGAATGACATTTGGCTGTGTTGCCAAATAGAAATTCCTTCCTGTAGTGTACATGTACTGTATATGTGCTGGTTAGATTTTAAGATTACCTCAAAAGTTCTTTGCCCATTAATTTCTTGAGACCTTGATATTAACAAAAAACAGTCAAAAACAAAACAAAGAAAGAAACCAGGAAAAAGATCCTAGAGTATGTTGTTGTGTCTCTTCTGACAACTAATGAGGCTTTGAGGCATTTACTAGGGATGAAGGCATTTATCTCTTTAAAACGTCATGTTTGGTTTTGATTTGGGGGACAAATGGTCTGTCTTGGTGAATATAAAATGAAAATAGTCTGAGAGCAAAGTTTTCTCCATCTACAACTAGTTCCTCTGTTGCATAAGCTATAGGAAGGGGTGTTATTTTATTGAAGAGGCACAAACTTTGTCATGTGTGCAAACCTTAAGATTTCCAGATGTAAAAAGCAGGAAAAGACAGCAATCTCCATCATTCCTGCCCACTCTCTTCTCACAATTATTTCAGTAAAGTTAACGAGAAATTATCTTTTCATGTTGTCGTTTGGTAGAAAATGGTTTAATACTAAGTTTCCAATGAGGCCTTAAACTACTGTAAAAAAACAACAACAAAAACAGTTAAAGACAAATCTCCGAGATCATCGCAGAATCATCAGGGATAATGTTGTGGATCAGCAAAAGCTCCGAGATGTGTTTTCAAATTTTTTTGTTAATATTATTTTTAGAGTAGTTTAAGGCCTCACTGGAAACTGTTATAACATTAAGTGAAAATCCTTTAAATCATTTTTGATGTGTGCTTCACAGCAAGGAAACATGGAGTTTCAGATGTATCGCAAGATGTTTTGAACTTAGTCTCTCATGCAACACAAGAGCGACTCCGTAACATTTTGGAAAAAGTGTCAACAATAAGTTTACACCGACTGGAAGTCTACCGGGTTTGTAAAACTTTCCTATTTGCTGTTAACAAGCTTTTTTCTCATCGGAAACCTTTTTCTCAATTTCTTACCATTTTTTACTCAAAGTTTCCTTTTTTTCCCTTTACTTTTCTGATTTTATTTCATTTTATTTTTCGGAAATACATGAACGCCCCACTAAGCTCCCGAAAAGATCTGGGGAAGGGGGGTCGAAACAAAAACTGATACAGCCTTAAAAAAGGTTTTAGTTAACTGTTAGTTTAGAGGGTTTGATTTAGTGGAAGCAGAGAGAGGTCAAGATTGAGGAGGGCTTATTAGCAAGTTTATGGTGAAATGGAATTAGATAATGAATCGCAATTGGTGAAAATTGCGATTCCATACTTTGCCCCATACATGCGACTATGAAATTGTGTCATTTGAATTGTTCACTTAATTAAATTGTTACAGAAACAACACCTATAATGATGCATGTTAACATAGTGCAAGCTCTGTTGCGTTGAGAAACTTCAAGTGAACTGTGGAAGCCAGCGAAAGTTTGTTATTTTTTATTTTTCAGGATGACCCCATGTATGAAGTAGGACTGGACATAAAGTCTCAGCTGCGAGTCTTCGAGCAAATTGATGAGGTGGAGAGAAGGAAACGTGACGCGAGAGAAAGGGATATTCTGATGCGGGCAGTGAAGGTAAGAAACTTTCAATCAATTAGTACTTGTATTTGTGGCTTGCGATTTTATGATAGTGAGAACTTATCTCAGCCGCTCTTGTTCTCAAGAATCGCTCACTCGATGCAAGATCCCAAAGATCCTCGAAGATTTACCTGTCAAAAGGTAAACAAGGGCCGCGGATCTGTCGGCTGTAGAATGACTAACTAAAAGAAAATTTAATTTTCTTATCAGAGTCGGTCAAAACAAGAAGATCCCGAGCAGGCGAGACTCAAAGAGAAAGCCAAACAGGTACCAACACTTCACATTTTCTCGCTGTTGGTTATATTTCAAATGAACTTAAGTGACCTTGAATCGTTTCCTCTCCTTAAGCTTCAACAAGAGGAGGAAGAGGTGATCCGGAAACGTGCAGCAAACTCAACGGCGCTGGCAGCCATTGGACCAAGGAAAAAACGAAAACTTGATGAAGCACTGGAAGGATCATCTACTTCGACAGTAGTAAGTATAAAAAGCACTTCAATCAAGGAGAATTTTGCGGACGGACTGTATCGTACTTTAGTCTTAAATGATCTCGTGACAAACAATCACACTGGTTTGATGTACACTATTTTATTCTCCTACTCTCCAGAAACTCCGATCTCACAACCAATCAACCCAAATCATATTTCTGTACTTCCGTCACGAACCTATCAACAAATTCAGTGTAACGCTTAGTTCACGACACTTTTACTACCGAGAAATAGGAGTCCAAGTGTACAGCTGTTTCATCAAAGAAGAATCAGACATTGTCTTTTCGTTGATTGTTACATTTAATGAAACTATTTGTTTTAATCGCGGCAAGTTTTTTTTTCTCGTCTGTTTTTAGGGATCCCCGTCGTCGTCTTCGCCATCATCTTCCAGTTTGCTGGGAAATCAAAAAGATGTACGACAGCAGGTAGGACGGAAGTGTACTTATAAATGGATAACACGAGTTAACAGACAAAAAACACTCAGACTGTAGTCATCAACTAATCGCGCTGAGTCTTGACATATAGCCTCTATTTGGCTCGAAAATTTGCACGGACATTTGTCCGCAGATATTATATCTTTCAAGACGCAAACAGTTTTCCGAGAGCGAAGCTCGAGGAAAACATTGAGTGTCGAGTAGCAGATAATATCCAAGGACAAATATACGAGAGGCAAGAGGCTATTGTGTTTAGTATCCTTCAAATATTTTGTAACGCGCGTAAAAAAATGTTTACGAACAGCCTACTATTTGCTGCATGGGATGTTTTCTTTTGAATGTTCTCTGATACGAATGTGATCAAAAAAATATTTCCTTTCTTCTGCAACAACCATTTAACGCTCTCTCATCTCTAATTGAATTTTAAACGAAGACTTATCGTTGTGGTTTCATAAACCGACATGATGTGAAAAAAAAACAATAAAATAAAAAACAAACAGGAGCTAAGAAGTTGAGTTTCTGTATATTTATATCTAAAGTTGTTAGGCAATATTACGTGAACTTCCGTAAAATAAAAGTGAAATGTTAATTCCTTAACTTTTGAATGATGCGTTGTCGTGTTCTCAACTTTTCGATTCCGCGCCATACACACCCTGATGATTTGCTTTCTGGTTAATATTTACTCCTACTTTCCTATTTCTTAGGTTCCTCGACAAAGGATGCGCAGAGTGCTTCTCAAGGATCTTATATATGTTATGGAACAAGAAAAAGAAACAACCAAATCGTTATTACTATATAAGGCGTTACTAAAATAGTAAATATCCTCTCGTCAAAATCCGCTTCGATTCTACTCCGGGCCTCTGAAAAATTTCTCCAACTGAGGAAGTTGTTGTATGACAGTGCTGGCTGCACTTCCTTCACTTGCGAACAAAAAATTTTTGAAAATAATCTGGGTAAGAAAGAAATTCTTCAGACCCCTAAGTATAACCCTTTCATAGACAGATTTGGCAAATTTTTCAGAAAACTCTTCACCGTGCGAAGTGAATAACAGTACGAAATGAACCTCTCAATTGCAGCCACCGTAATAATTTTTTAACGTGTGAGAGATGAGTAGGCGGTGGCCGCACCGCTGTGTTTTTGTACATTTTTTCTGTAATGCGGAACATTCCTGAGGCGTATTTTGTTGTGGTTGTAATTAGCTGACATTTTGCCGTGTAGACTTAGTGTAGGTAGGAAATGATTATAATATTTGTCTCAAGTCCATATTTAGGTACAATGCCTGACGTGGTTGTTAGAATATTAAAAACGCCAATTTCATTTTTAGCGGTGAGGCTATATTGTTTTTAGTGCCATGTTATTTTTTTTATCTTCTGTTGTTCATCTAAGTCCATAGTCGAAAATAATTTCTAAACATCAGGAACCGAGAGTTATTTTTGTGATGCATATATATACATATAAATGTATCTTGATATCGCAGCATACCTCAAAATCAATGTTAGGCCAAAACATACAAAAAAAGCAGAGGGTGTACCAATGATTCCACGCTTTGGCAATATCAATATTTTTTCCCCTTTGTAACGCACCCCCTCCTTGTATCAGTTGATGATGTGGAGTTAAGGTTACTTCCCACTTTCGCGGGTATCCTTCAGGAAAAAATTCGCACGCGCACTATTTTCACTAAAATCCTAGCAAACTATACATCGGAAGCAAGCTTAATAACTGCAGTTTACGATGAAAATATGATTTAAGCGATTTTTTAGAGGAAGTGTTAGGAGCCGGTAAGGCGAGAAACTACCGAGGGTTCTTCTATTGAATTTACCAGGTATCGGATGCCGCAGCACGTGCAAAATGGCTGCGCAGTCTTATTCACAAGGCATCGATCAACAAAAGTGTGTCAAGCTTTTTCGATACTCTGATTGGTTGACTAGATTTTGGCATCTAAAGTTGGAGTTGCTAAAAATATGTAAGGCGTGTTGCGTAAATGGAGGCCACGGGACAAATATTACAAATATCAAAATTTCCCGACACACTTTCGTTTGTCATTATTCTTGGAATGTTTTGGCGAAATTTGACGAAAATCGGTCAAATAAATAAACCCTAGAGATTCGCTCAAGGTCGTCGTATTCCTCCAAAATGGAGAGATTTTAAGCTCAAAAAGGCTCGCAAACAACTCGCGCCACACCAAGAGGTTATGTCGCCTCCTGAAACCGCAAACCAATGGGACAACGGGACCTCCTGGTGTCAATGACGATGGATCAAGATTTTCCGGGAAAAGCAACTCATTGCAGACACGTATTATATTTTTTATTTCGATTGCTCACTAGAGTATTGAGGAGGAAGACACAATAATAAGCAAAGTTGCCAAAGGTAAAGGAAAAACCCGCGGCAAAAATGGGAAAAACTGGAAAATGTGCTGAGGAACAAGACAACGAATCGACATACAGCTTTCAAAATTACGTTTCCAGGCGATTGTTAATGTTCTCGTATCAAGGCTAGTACTTGCATAAAGAAAAGGAAACCTCGTTTTTATCATTATGTATGGAAAATTTTGGTTCGACGGTGACTTCTTTGTTAGAAATCTAGACGCCAGCGTGGAACTGTGTCGTACCGGTCGCTTCCACAAAGGAATACAATTACAAAGGAATGTTTTCCTTTCTTAACAGAATGATACTCTTTCTTTCTTCTTTGGGCCTTCTTTATTTCTTTTATTAATTTTTTTATATAGGACTTTCTTTCGCTTTTGATTTTTCCACGAGCAAAGATTTTTCCATAAACAAAGAGCAGATCAATATCAGTATCTGGGCAACTGTCCACCTACCCCTCCCCTAACTCAACAACAGTCAATTGACAACAATGTAAGGTTAATGATGGGTTAGGGGAGGGGTAGGTGGGCAATCGCTCAGATACTGATATTGATCCCAAAGAGCTTCCAAGCGTGAATTTTGTCAAGTGCGCCATGTAAACAGAATATGGAAATAATATGAAAAACGAGCCCAAACATGAGCGGTTACCGCGAAAATTCCCCCGGGAGATTCGCACAGGTCTGTGATTATGAAACCTTCCTGATTTATGAACTTTTATTTGAAAATTCGCTTTCTAAATAATTCCACAAATTTTGTTACTGGAAACGTTAAGTTAACTGTTTGAATACAGTTTAGTCGAATAAAAGAAAAATCAATTTTTACAGCCTCGGAAGGTGGGAAGTAACCTTAAGTAAATCGTCCGATTGTGTTGGGAACTCATGAAAGGAGGAGTCCCAATTTGTCAAATATTACAAAGAAATGCATTTCCCGGGCAGAGATTTCTTTACATTGAGCTGGCCAGTTAAAGTCGTGTACTTTCGTCAGATTGCATCGGGTTCTCATAGATCCTCGCAGATTTTTCAAATTCGAAGGAGAGTTGTGAGATGACTGCTGCAGTCTTAGAATCTCGCCACTCTTTGACCAATTAAATGAGCACTATATCTGAGTAGACTTAAGGCTTTTTCCCTTTTTACGAGTGGTAAAGCATTTTTTGAGAAACAGGGGGTGACCCGACCACTCTAGATGGAGTAGCCACGTTGAAGACACTATGTGCAAATTACGTGAAAAACCAGCACAATCTCTGCGTTTGCGCGCCTTGCCCTCTGTTCGTTTCATTTTCAAAAACTTCATTTGAGAGTCGCTCTAAACCTAGCTATTTGCATCATAAATTACTTCCTAGGGGTTGTTTGCTGCTTTCAATCTATGGATAAAATGTTTTGCTTCTCAAAATGATAAGATTGCGACGGTAAGTTTGTGACGTGTCGGCGTCGTAAACGTGAAAAGCTGTAGTGTACCAAAATGGCCTTGAATGACGTGTTTAAACAAGAAACTTCCTTGCGTTCTGTTGATGAAACTCACAACACATATATCCTAAAACGAATCTCGCGAATGCGAGTCCATTCTGTTTTGACAGATGTCGTTCTTGTCGTAGAGGGAAAAGAGTTCCCTGCCCACCGAAATGTGCTAGCTGCTAACTCAGACTATTTCATGGCCATGTTTAGCGGACATATGGCCACCACGAGTGATAAAGTCTCTGTTGAAGAAATCACTGCCACTGCAATGGAAATTCTCCTGGATTTCATATATCGAGGTGAGATTTTAATCACCGAGGAAAACGTCGAAGATGTGTTCTGTGGTTCGTGTTTACTTTTGCTCGAGTTTGTTACTCAAACTTGCTGCAAATTTATTCAAGATCGTCTCGCTTTGGGTAATTGCTGGGGAATTCGTGCTCTGTCGGATAAATTCAACTGCAATGATCTAATGAACCGAGCAACTACTTTTATCGAGGAAAATTTTATGGAAGCTGTAAATTGTGAAGAGTTTTTGATGCTGCCTGCTTCAGATCTGAGCGATCTTTTGATTGATGATGAAATTGTAATAACACGTGAGCAAGACTTGTACGAACTGTTACTGAAATGGGTGGAACACAATCGAGAGGAACGGGTGAAGCACTTTCCGTCACTTTTGGAAAAGATTCGTCTCCCTCAAGTTAATCCTGAATACTTTGATGAAATTATTGCCACTGATGATTTGGTTACAGAAAACCCAGAGGTTCAGGAAATCATTTCTAAAGCAAGACAATACATCTACTCTCCCACAAAATTAGCTGAATCAATGACAGAAACTGAGCCTTTCAAATGGCAAATCCCTAGAAGATGTTTGCGAACAGTTAGTGTTCTTCTGACAGTTGCAGGACCAACATGTGCTATTTATGAAGCAGAGAGTGATGCATGGCACAACATCTCACGCCCAAGTACACGACACTGTGCAGGTCTTGAATCCATGGGCAAATTTGTGTATATAGTGGGTGGAAGTAAAGAGTGGAAGAGAATGAATACATGCGAACGTTATGATCCAGATCTTAATGAATGGAATCTCACAGCACCAATGAATGTGCCTCGCAGTAATATTGGTTTGGTAGCTCTGAATGGACTTCTTTATGCTGTTGGTGGATATGATGGGAAATCACCCATACGGTAAGGCTTGGTGCAAATGAAGTTGTTCTATAAGCTGGCCCAGAAATACATGTGTCTGAGGAGGAACCCAACCAAAGAAGTCCAGAAGAAAACAATATAAACTCAAGCCTTATATTTAGATACAATTACTTAACAGTAAATGTTCTAATAGGCCTCCTCCCTGTAATAAGCCTTCATTCAAAGCATCAAGCTTGCCCTTTTACCCTCTACCCACGCCTAGACAAATTTGGGTCAGGTCATGTTCTCGTACAAAATACAGTTTTTAATTTGTAAATTTTAGAGTATTTATTGGTTTCCATTTTGAATTTTGTACGTTTTCAACTTAGAAGGAGATACATACTGTAGGAAGTAATAAGCCATGAAACCGACTACAGTGCTATTCAAGCCTAATCAAACCATACTTAGCATGGTGGCCAACCCTTTTCTTGTAATCTCACTTTTATATATTTTTTTCATGAGAAGAACCGTGGAATGTTATGATCCAAAGAAAGACGAGTGGAGGTTTGTGGCACCAATGAACAACCAGCGTGATGGTGCCTGTGTTGTGACGGAAGGTCATTGTATCTATGTCATAAGTGGCTATGATGGAAATAATTACTTGAGTTCTGTGGAAATGTATAATCCAGGCACTGATGTTTGGTCTTTAGGAGGTAAGAAGTTGCTGGGGTTAACTATGAAATAGGCCCTGTAACATGCTACCAAACAACCTGCAAATGTATCTTTTGATAAACTTATAGTACTATTGTACAATTTTACATAGTAAGTGTATTTTAAAAGGGCATCTGGAAACTTGGATCAATGTCAGTATCTGAGCAACTGCTCAACTGCCCCTCCCCTACCCCAACAACAGTCAACTGATATCAAGCTAGGGTAAATGTTCGGCAAGGGGAGGGGTAGGTGCACATTTACCAAGATACTGATATTGATCTGGCAACTTTTAACTATACTAGTCCAATTCATGGTACACCTCATTGAACAATACTTAAAGAAAATAGCACATGAAATACCTCATAAACAATGAGTATATCTTAAAAGTCCCAGATATCTTTATATTTAAAAGTCTTTGTTTATTAACATCATCCTCAGTTGTGGCTCCAATCATAGAACGACGGGAAGATGCTATGGCTGCTGTTGTTGACAACAAGATTTATGTTATTGGTGGCTACCATGGTAACACATTCATGCCAACATGTGAAGCCCTAGATCTTGATGACAATATATGGAATTTTATGGCATCGCTGAGTGCTCCACGTTATCAAGCAGGTGTGGCTGTGTTGAATCGTAAGATCTATGTTTGTGGTGGATGGAGTGGGAATGGATTAGCCACCAGCTCTGTGGAATGTTATGATGTGGCCACAAACACATGGTCAATAATAAGGTCACTACCAACACCTGCAGCAGCCAGAACAGCTTTCTGTAACTTTCCTCGCAAAATGATTGAAAAACTGATTCCTGAAGAGTCCCAAAAGTCTGGTTCAACTGAAAATTTGGCACAGCAAATGAGGCATTCTTTTTTTAAGCATGGACAGCAGTCTTGATAACTTTTGCTCCTTTGAGGATAGAATGGGAAAACTATTTGCATTGTTGGAATCAAAAGTTTTCATGTCCCTTAAAGGAAACATATGGCAACTGCTAATTATTAACTACTGACCCATTTTACAAGTACAATTTTAGTCCTTTTTAGTACACTTGCTATCCTTTTTGATGTGGAAGTTTCCAAAACAAACATAACAATTATTTCTAGTTTAAATGGTTTGTTTAGGATCTGTTCTCCAAGATTTGAAACATCATGATGAGATTTGAACAATTTGCAGATTCCTTGATCAAGTGTGATCATGTGCAATGGTTTAAAAGTTGATAATGTTGATCTTTCAGTGAGCTGGCTCAGATCAGTGATCATTGAAAGTAGCACTTAAGCATTGAAGAAATGCAGGGAATTTTTCTACTCCTTTGTCAAATTTTGATAATTGCCTTGCAGTATTGGAAAAAATGTTAGTCTGAGTTAGTTTGATTGATTAAAAACTAGTCCACTAAAGTGCTTTTAAATTTATGTAATCTCATGTTATGGGTCTTAGATAACTTATTTCAGTTGTTATGTCATACAAGTAAACCAAATAATGCTCTGATTTTAATTCTTTCTCTCCAGGATAGTTAGTTCAGTTATACTGAAAATCTTGTGTAGATGAAAAAGGACTGCATTAAATTCTCAATATATGTTTTATGAGTTACAGAAGGTATTTCAAAGGCTTTTGATTTTCAAACATATCACATTTTTTGGATTTATTTAATGTATAAAATACTAATATTGGCTAAATCCTTTAAGGAATATGGGTATCAAAAGTATGAACTGACCACATAAATTTAAATAAGGTTTTTGATAAAGTTTTCAGTGATATCTAAAGATATAGCATATCCAATCATATAGTTTGGGGTATTTCATTATTTTGATAGCCTTAAGTTAAATTAAAAAAGTAAATTTATATGGTTGAAATAAAGCATTACAAATTTAAAAATTTGTTATTTCACTGGGTGAAATGGTGCCAGAAATATGAGAACAAGTAAAAAGTAACTAAAACTATTGTAGATTTAACTGTTGGTTCAGTGTGGTGGAGTTATTTATAATATTAACATGTAGTTTTCAGTTACTCATAGATTCGATCCAGTTTTGATCTCATAGATCAATAAGTTTTCAACAATATTGTTGGTTAAGGTTTGCTTCAAGAGTGGCAGTTTAAATTATTTTAAAATTTTTGGATTTTCATTGTGGTGAATTACATTAGTAATAAACCTAGCTAGCCTAAGTATCAGCAATTTTTTCACAATGCAATAACCTGAATTGTGAATCACGAACTCTCTCTTCCGCTTACAAAATATAGCCAGTAACCTAAGCTAAGCTGAAGGGATTTTAAAAATTCAAGAACTCGATGACAAGATTTTGGAAATTAAAGACCTCATTGGCAAGATGGTTAGAGACAGTTTACTATACTATCCGCACACTCATAAATGGCAGAAAACAGAACATATGATTTCAAACAATTGCTGCTCTGGTTATGGCCAAAAAAGGTATTTAAAAGGATCGTTAACAAATGGGTTTGTCCCTTCACACAAAAATGTGATAGGCTAACATGCAAGAAACTCCATTTGCTACTTTTCATGGGGTCTAATGTGCCATTTGACTTGCAATATTTGTGTGGAATAAGAACTTTACTTATCTCTTAGGAAACATTATACTTACAAAAGCAGGCCTTGAAAGAGATTTAAAACCTTGCTTGGGTCTTTTGTGAGTTGTAAAAATCAAATGATATTGCTATTTCAGTATTTTTGAGAAATATTTATATTACTATCATTCTTTTTGGTGATACAGTGGAACCCTGCAGACTCGAACCTAGTTAACCCCAACCCCACCCCACTAACTTCAACAATCCCAAAGATATATTGAACAAAACTACACTGTTTCGCTGATAAACGAGAACAAGCAAATCAATTTTTTTTCGGAGACGTTTCCCATTGTTTTCAGTTGTCAAATCATTCATTGATCAATTGAAGCGTTCCCTCTGACAAGCTGTTTGTCAGCCGCCTTGCGAAAGTTCTCAGTGTGCATTAAGAAATCAAGCAGCAGATTTCCTTCGTCTTATTTCTTATTTAACACTTCAATTACATCGATGAGGTATTCTTGTGTTTATACTTCGTACTTCCAGAAAAGAAATGTTATTGTAACAGTAGAGTATTGGACTGGATGATAAGTTGCACTCGTACTTCACTCCTTGAGTGTGAGTAATGCCTTGGAGGTATTTCTTGAACAAGTCATGACCCAGACCTCGGACTCCATAGTGCTCTATTTGTTTAGGAGGCACTGGTAATTTACGAGGTGGCATGCCTTCTTTAAGACAGCCCCTGTCATTATCTGTTTGTCCATGCGTTCTAAGATGTAGCCTGAAAGATTTGGAACAGCAGTTTTTGTGGAATGATGTTTGCGAAACCCTGATTGGTGTTCAGACAGAACGGCATTTTTGGTGAGGAATGAGGCCAGGTGCACTTGAACTGCTCGCTCTATCATATAATTATCAGAAGAGATAGCTCTGACTAGGCTATCGAGGCATTAGGCTTGTCTGACTTGGAAACTGTTCCAAGAAAAAGATCAAATTTATTATAGTTTTGAAATGTTTAAATAACCTAGTGCCAGAGTACCTCAGTGATTATTTTATCAAGAATAACCAATTCCAGTCATATGATACAAGAAGGAAGGACGATATTCATCTGCCCACACCAAAGCTAAGCTTGGGAAAGAGAAAATTTAGATGTTCACAACCAGCCTTGTTTAATTTGCCTCAAACCATTAAGCAAATTGAGTCCTTGCAGAATTCTAAGCATTGGATTAAAATTTACAAGTTTTAGTAACTACTATTTTTAAACTTTTTCCCTAAAGGACTGCATGCAATTTTTTTTAATATTTCATTGTACCTTAATGAGCTTTTAGTTTTTATATGTCATTTGTAATTTCTACTACTGTATTGTTAGTTTTAATATCAGGGCCCCTCTAAATACCAGCCACGTAGCTGAATGGGCTACCCTGAATAAGAAGCGTCTATCACATCATCTCACTCCAGACAATACTACAATCTCAACTTTTCGTAAATACTTAAACTAATATTATTGTTCTTGTTCATGATATACCATATGCATTGTAAGTTTAATAAATTCAAAAAAATCACAAAACATATCGAGTCCAGGAGGAGAAGTAATCGAGGAAAACTGGGTACGAAGCACGAATCTAATCATGGCGGACATGAGGATTTACCGTGTGTTTGGAGGAATCGCAATGTTGTTGGCTATAGCAATAGCTGTAACTGTAGTGATTGATCTGGAACCAAAGAAGAAGATGATCCTTTTCAGAGTTCAATTTCTTTTAGTATTTTGTTTGGTACTTGGCGCTATTTCGCGTTATGTTTGGATTAATCTAACTGTGTTACTTCCGAACCGGCATTCGAACTCAAGAGTGTTAGTCTTCACTCACTGGATTTTGTATGTTGTTCTCGCTACTTTTCTTGGGCTTGCTTTCTTCAGTTTTGTCATTGGTCGAATGCTTATCAGTGTGGAGCCTTACTTCATCAACATGCTGGCATTTACGTGTCTAGGTCTTCTTATTTTGATTTTCTTTAACTTATTGGTACTAAGCGTTGTTTTTGGATTGTTACGAATGTGCAGCTTTAGAATTCCCAATCCTGACAAGTGGAAAACCATAATAGCTACAACTTTTTCTTTACTTCTTTGCATACAAGGGTTAACAACGGCTTACAAAGGGCCAAAAATAAGATGGGTTACTGTTCCTCTTTCTAAACTACCGGCATCTTTTGATGGTACTACGGTAGTACAACTCTCAGATATTCACCTCGGGCCTTTGGTTGGATTAGATACTCTCGAAAGAGTTGTGAAGATGGTATCTGCTATGAAGCCGGATATCATCGTCATTACAGGAGATCTGGTGGATTCTACCGTGGCAAACTTGAAAAAAGTTGTATTTCCTCTCAAGAAGCTGAGATCAAAGTACGGATCATACTTTGTTACAGGTATGTAGACGTTGGCACTCTGTTGTTGTGTGTTGATCGATTATTGAGGGGGGAATATGATTGATTAGCATTAAGAGGGGATGTATTTGCACAGGGAGAAAGGACACTGGACTAAGCTTTTAGATCTGATGACACCACTACCTATGAATTGAAAAATAAACAGACTGCTGCCAAGTATTTGCACATGGTTTGTAGAGTTCACTAGCTTGTTGTCCGTAGGTCCTCTGAAATATATAATGCCTCTCGTGTCCATATGGCAGATATGAAATCTATTGCCTGAGAGAACAAACTTTTTAAAACTATGGCAGTTTTTCTTGACAATTTTTTTTTGTAGTAACTGTGATATGATACCTGTTAGGCTAGTTCTTAACCTTAGTTGGTTCCTAAGCATGAAAGTTGAGTAATCATTGAGTGTTTGTTTTAATTATTGGTAGGAAATCATGAATATTACACTGGAGATACTGATGCATGGCTTGAGGAACTCAAACAACTTGGAATTCAACCTCTTCACAACTCGCATGTTGTTATTTCAAACAAAGCCAGTCCTGGAGACAAATTATATCTTGCTGGAGTAGATGATCCAGATGCTGACCGTATGAGGTGACATTCTTACCCTTTACACTCTAACATCAAAATGCATATTCTCTGCACTGTTCTCCAAGGTGCTGACAAGGAGAGGAGCTTCTTTAATTTCTGATCATTTCCTTTATTCTCACAACCTTGTTGTGTGATTCAGGGCATTATTGTTTAATTGTTTCAAACCTTTGGTCATAATTGATAAAAAACCTCACCCCACTTCCCCCCTTCCCATGATTATAAGAGTGTATTAACCTCTTACTTGATTTCTTTGAAATTCTTAGTTAAGTGAAGTGAGATTAAAAGTCATTACAGTCTTATAGGACCTATCAGTGTAGAAGTGGAAGAAAGAAATCTGTGAAATTCTAAAGTAAAATTATGGAAAACATAATGATTGATGGTGGATGACTATTCGTATTTCATTTTTTGTGTCATTTTAGTAAAGCCAATTCTACCTTTACCAAAATTTAATTTTATAAATGCAGGTATCAGAACCATGGTATGAAGTTGTCACAAGCCCTAAATGGCAGATCCAGCAGGTTTCTCACAGTTCTCTTGGCACACCAACCAAAGGCTGCCCAGCAAGCATTGGACCAGTATCAGGACATTGATTTGATATTGTCAGGGCACACTCATGGAGGACAGTTCTTTCCCATGAACATACTGATATATTTTTTCAATCCATTTTTTGCTGGACTTTATAAATATAAAGAAAGTTATGTTTATGTTACCTCAGGAACATGTTTTGCTGCTGTACCTTTGAGAATTGGCTCTGTAGGAGAGATAACTGTGCTTTCATTAACTACCCCAAAGCTATGAATTTCTGTCAATCAGTTACTTTAGTGGGGAACCATTTGGGGTATTTATTGCAGCTGGAGCAGTGTTAAGAAAAAGTGAATCACCTTGATTTTTTGGTAAATTGGGTTTGTGCAGTTGATAGTAAAGGTAAAAAGATTCCTAACTTAAGTCTTTCACCTTCTCCCTTGGAATCTTTGGCAACAATGAAGTTTCTCCATTTAGCCGTATCTTTGCCACATATAAGATCCTAAGGGTCTTTTACCTGACTGATATCCAACACAATACTTTTAATAGTTTAATGCTTTATTTGGTAATACTTGACTAAGTTTCTCAACACTTGCTCACATGGTGCTTTGGTTCATCAGTTTTTATACTCTTATGTATCATAACATCTTTAATTAAAGTTTATTATTATTATCATTATTTATATTATTTCTATTATTTTTATAATTGTATCATTATTTATTTGACAGTGTGATTTTAGTCCACTTCACTCGAACTTATATGGATCAAGATAATGATAGTTTGTAATTTTATTTATCATTTCTGATATACTACTGATTTACTATTTCAATGTAATTAATAAACAGGTCAACATAAGCATACTCTGTAAAATGCTTCACCTTTTTTGTCTAATAATGAATATGTATTTCATCTACATTGTATTTTCTCATTCATCTTTTTATTCCTATTTTTGGGTCCTTTTTTGTGCATGGTTAGAACAATTCACTTTGAAAGAGTTTCAAGCCTATCCTTACGAAAAATTAAATGAAAGAACCAACAGTATCAAGAGTCAATAACTTCTCAAGTGGCAGAATCTCTTTTTCTAGTTTCTCTCAGAATTTTCCTTCCCATTGTAACTAACACTTCTTTGATACCAATATTTCTTTCCTAGTGACAAGTTTAGTTTACTTGTCAATTGCCCCTTACACCTTATTACAAGCAGAAGAGAGTCGTTCCATAATTTCCTCCAAAATCACTGATTAAGACTGCAGAGGGCTGAACTGCCGTCCTGTCTTCTCCTTTTCCCTAAATGACGTCGCTAAAAAAGCAAAAGTTCAGCTGATTGCAGATTGCCTGTTCTCGGTCCTCATCGATTTCATTTATTGGCTGAGGAAGATATTGCATAATAGAAAGTAATTCTTATATATAAATAGTGATATATATAGATGAACTATGTATGCGAAACAAAACAAAAATAAATTATATCGTGCACTGGCCGGGAATCGAACCCGGGCCTCCCGCGTGGCAGGCGAGAATTCTACCACTGAACCACCAGTGCAAGCACAAAAGTCTTTCGATTTTTTTTAATATATCAATGTAGTAAGCAGTGTGCAACTCTTTCCATCTGCGGCCAGGAAAGGAGGAGAGGGGATGAGACCCTGAGGAGGAAGTTGATCGATAGGAACTTGAGTACAGTATAACTACATGACCAAGCGAAAGGGATTTGACAGATCTATTGGACAGATCGTCGAATGATTATCTCTGGTACATCAAGGTCATTGAATGTCAAACATCAATCAATTCTTGGCATCTCTGGGTTAATTTTGCAACAGCAATCTCTAAATCACTTCATTTTTGTTTCCCTCCGTATGTTTTCCTGAGATTTCACGCGAGAAAAATTGCGGTAGTGGACAGAATTTCACAACAATCACACATCTGCAGAAGAGGAACATCAGGAAATCATCAACACTGGAAATAAGATACTGAAACAAAACAGATTTAAATACAAACCAAGGTAACTGGATAATAACCAGAACAGAACCTCCTCGCAAAAGTGATATTCGCACAGTCGAAGTTTCCTGACAAAAATCTCCCAGCAGTATTCAGTGGTAAGTGAGGTAATATAAGATGTTTGCGACAGATCTCTTTACTCTAGTATTTTTATGATTTTTCCGCGGAGATTTCAATATGTAAGATGTTTGGGTACCGAGCTGTCATGAAACAGATTTCAAAGTTACCATCTTCACAGCTCCCAAATTGTTTCCTGTCTACATCTCGTGGAAACTTGTTCCTTCTTAGAGAGGTTTACAGACAATGATCTCATAGCGATACAAAGGATTATCAATAACTTGGTATTTTATAGAGGAAATCTATGATCAGCTCTATTTAAATGACTGAGGAGATGTTTATTTTGGGCGGTTCTGTTCCACAAGGTTATGGAGCGTAACGCTTGTTTCATTTCCCACTGGGACACTGTCTAATCAACATTAGGAATAATTCAAAGCAAAGAAAGCTTAGAGCCACTGAAAGGTAATTTCTAATTTCTGGTATCCTGTGTATTCTTTCGGTTATCGTACACAGTTAAGTTTCCGCATATCGAAATCACCACAGAAGCGAGCGCGGAAACGAAGCCATATGGAAATGGTCTCCATTCCTTCCAGCGACGCCATTCATTTCTAATTTCTAGAGCCTTTTTTGTTTAGCGTTGTTTTGGTTTAATGTTTGTAAACGTTTTTCTTTTCAAATGATCACTTCAACAAAAAAAGCAACTTCTGTTTCCTCCTCAATTATCCATTATTTTTTGGTCTTTGGATTTAGGAGTGACCTTTGTGTCTGGTGTAACTTGCGTGACACTGGAGTGTTTTTTGTCACAGCTCCCTATGCACGGAAATAGAAGAAATATGCAGATGTAATAGATTTTTAAAGCCTATCCACCGGTTCAGTCAGATCATCAGGAGGAAATTCTGTGTCCAGTTACAACGGTCAACTCATAGCTCAGCAAGTGTTTCCTTCTCCGACAAGTATCAGATTTTCTATCGCATTTGAAATGAGCCCCACGTCTGATTGAACTGTGTCATCCGTCAATGTCACCCGACCTTCATGAACGCAAATATACTGTAATCGTTTCCACAGAACTTAACTTTCCTAAATCGTGTAAGAAAGGTCGTTATGATGGAAGAGTAAACTCACATTCCAAATAGACTGGAAAGCTCATATACTACATACGTATCTAAAATACCTTTGGTAAAACAATTTTTAACTTACCAATATACATCGGGAATTGGGGAGTGAAAAGTACAAGCGATCAAAAAAGACTCTTAATAGATCAAAGGTTTGTAACCTGCGTTCATCCGCCCTTCTTTCCACAGACAAATTGATTTCTTTTAAAGGAGGGGATGAATTCACAAAGCCATAACAAAAACAGACTTTCAGAAGTCCTCTAGTTGATAGAAATCACTTTTATTCTTCCTGACTAATGACAAAAGGTTCGAGTGGCAAAAAGCTGTTTAACTTGAGTTAAGTCGAAGGCCTCTTCGTTTGATTGATGGATACTTAGGGCCTCAGGAGAGAGATTAGACCGTGCGGAGGAAATGTTAAATTCGGAAAAAAATAGTTTTTTTTTTGCACGTTTTACCCTAATCTTCCGATTAACCAGCAGGAATTAAATCTGAACAGTTTGCAAAATGAAAACTCCTCAATCACCTCTCAAAAATGCTACGTGGAACGAGGAATGTGAGGACGATGTAGATAGTTTTATTTTGATCACGTCAGCATGAGCACAATATCTGAAAGGTCTTTTTTCTGCTTTTCAGAATCTTTCCCTGATCTTGAAAATATGTTTAGGTACGATATTTTACGAGAAAAATTCAAATGCTCCGTTTTACTCATAAAAGGGAAGTCTAGCAAAGAATAAAACGCTTCTTCTTTCCGTGAATCACATGTAACAGTTTCTTTACGCGCGATAACATAAATTTACCTTTGATATTTTAATTTTATTGCGTGATAACATGCTGTGACATTTTCTTCCGATTTTGTCAATATAAAAGAACTTGCGCAAACAAAAAAAGGATCTTTTGCGGGCATTTGCTTCATGTTAATGATATTTCCATTTTGAAATGTACACAAAAGCGTGAGTTCTTTCAAAGTCTTGGTTATGCAAATTCACGTACATTAGGCAATTTTAACCCGCTTTTCATGCAAATCATCGAAAAGTGGAAGTCGAATTTCGAGTTTGTCTACTAGCGAAGCTTTGAGCATAAGGTAATGATATGAGTGTACTGGCTTAAAAGATGGTACGATAACATCCACGTTAACTTGATCGATTTGGTTCAATTTCAAGGCCATCCCGCAAGTGAAAGAAAGGTGATATTGTTTATACCTTGAAATTTTGCGACCTATCGACAGGTTCTAGGAAATTTATTTTGGCCCAGAGACACAGCGTCAAGAATAAATTAAATCCTGTCATTGAAGCCGCTTGGTCGACGAAACCGAGGTAGGTACTTAGAAATCTTGCTGTTACTTGACTCCACAATTATCTTATCGCTTGCCTCGGACACTAATCGAGTACATGAAGTTACATTCGGTCCAAGTTGAAATATCTTGTTCGCTATACATTCAGGCGTCCTTGAATTGTCAGGCAAAGCTTAAATTAAATTCTTTGTGTGGTGCTCCACTCCTCGATTCTTCTCACCAAGTGATCGTGGACGCGCGAACTTGCATTCTCGATGAAACGTGCAGTCGTTCGTCGATTTAGAAAATTATGATGCTTAAATTTTGTTTCTTTGGCAAATGTACCGTAAAAAAGCTGACCTGCTGACCTTTTTTTCTTTGGTTTATATTCTTCTTTATTAAACACAGAAAATCATCATTACTTTTTTTCTATGACCGTTTCGTTCGGAGGATTAATTTGCAAGAAACAATCTTTTATTGAAAAATTCAGGTGTTTTCCGCTTAATTTCTCGTTTTGATACCCAGTAGTGGCTTTTTAAACAGGCTTGGGTGGTCAAGGGTAAAGGGGCTGTTTTAAAAGGAAATTCTAATTTGAGACGACATCCTCTGGATTAGCATAAACCATAATAGAAGAAATAACTGGAATAGGGCGACACTTGCGTTTCCTCTGCGGCCTGAAGTTTCAGTGTGCTACTGTTAACGATGTAAGGTTTATATACATTTCGTTATTCTGTTCAGTGACACGCAAAGTTAATTCAAGTCATTGTGTTCTGTTGATATTAAACAATCTATGGCCTCGCGGATATTTAATCGCTTTGGATCAACCCTCCCTTGAGTTCAGCCTTCTGCAAACATTCCCCATGTACATTATAACAACATACAGGCATCCATAACTGTAGGGAGATCATTAGTTCCTCTACCGCAGTTGAAAAGAAGAATAAGGAATTTCTTGGCCGTATTGTAATGCATGGAAACTTCTTGTATTGAGGTCAAGAGAAGTATTGTTTGCCTGAGTGGTTTGTTATATTCGAATGCCAGTCTTTCTTTTTCAGGGTAATGTGTACTTACACTACTCATGTATCGTACGTCTGTTATATTTGGTAATCATGTAAATTGCAGACTGAATAGGTTTGTTCGTTTTATCGGGAACAATTTAGACAAACTTCCAACTGTTTCTGAAATGAGGCGGTCAGGGTTCAGTTCCTGATTAATGTATTAACACATGGAAAACATCGCCAATTGCAAATTACTCATTTTTTTAGGGCTTCAGCGTTGTGTTCAAGTTAAAAATTCAGGTCTCTCAGAGGCAAGAGTACAAGGGAAACAAGCACAAAAATAGTACAGAAAGAGAAAATGCAGAAGTTATTCAACACTCAACTCACAAGAACGACTTCTACATGAAGAACATGAAAAGTTCGAGTCTAAAATTCTGTAGAGATAAATTTGCATAAAATGAATACAAGCTCTTATATTTCACTGATATTGGGTCGCTAAAAGTGTTTTTTTTTTTGCCTAAACAAAGTAGTGAAGATTACTCTTGACCCTCGCAGTCAATTTATGACCGCTGTGCTACAGTGAAATATACGGACTAATTTTGAAATTTCATAGAAAGTTGCTGCTGGAGCAATGATAAAAACAAACTTTTAAGTTTGAGTTTCCCGAATGTTCGATACATTTAGCCTGAAGGCGAATATAAACAAAAGAATGAGCCTAAACGTGGAATAACATAAGGGTACAGAACTTGCAAAGAGATCGCTAAGTATATCAGCGATTGGTCCATGACACATGAACCAATCAGATTTGCAGATTTGCTTACAGCACAATTGATGCCTTTAAAGAAGAAATAATTATACTGCACCCGATCGAACGCTGCAACCTGGATTCAATTTCTTTTGCGTTTTAACAAGTTTTTAAACTGTAGGTAGGTTTTTGTGTATTTTGACCCAGGCTGTACCGGTCCTCCTTGCGTTTTGTTTGCCTATTTTCTTTCTTTTTTGACTTTTTGTGTTGTCCTTGTTGTGGATTTTTTTTCTTAAATATGGTTAACACGGGAGTACATGATGTAACATAGATCTTCCATCCTTCAGGAAATAAAAATTCTTCTGACTATGGCTGACGAGATTGAGGAGATTAAGTTCCATATCATCAAGAATTCCGATAAATCCAACGGTATTGCTAACGGGATTGAGAAAGCGGACTTTAGTACCTTCAGAGGGGACATCATAGTATGCTGTGGAGGATACGAAGGGAGATTCGAGCTGGATACAGTAGAGGCATTCTGTGTGAACACAAACACCTGGGCTGATCTACCTCCAATGCCAGTCGAATGCGACAGTTTAACTGCAGGGGCTTATGGGAGTGCTGTGTTCGTGGCTGGAGGATCTGACAGGTGACGTCACTGCACTGTTGTTTTTTATTCTGAGACTTACTTCGTGGGTTAGGTAAGCCAAGAGGCTCGGTAAACCTTTTTGTCTTTCGTCCAGAGACTCTTTATAGAGAACAAAATGGTCCTTGTGTGCACATGTAAAGCCCCCCACAATCGACTTGGGTAACCTTTGATTTACTTCCTGCGATTCTCTTGGATTGAATTGACCCAAATAGCACTTATGAGCCAACAGAACAGCAACACACAAAAGGTAAAGATATTTGAGGCTGATTAGGCATTGATCCATGTCTGTATTTGGCGATAAGTCGCTTTACAGTGAAACATACATTTACAATGAAATTATAGCGTGGTGCACAATCAGATTTTTTAGGCCTCCTGATGTAACAGAGGCCATTTACATCGTCACAATAAATTGAATATAACGAGTTTTCCGGGCTGGCCATAAGCTGTAAAACCAAGAAAAAAGTTCACAGTGATCGAAACTAAACTAGGATCCTTGCTATGTTTACATTATAAACATTTTGGAACAAACGCTATGACTAAGTTTTTTTGAGAAACGTTTTCGTTTCTCTATTACAGGAAAAAGCCTCTTGATAATGTGTCAATGTTTGATTGGGAAGAACGAGCTTGGAGGAAACTGGCCCCGATGGTCACAGCTCGCTCATACTCCTGTGGAACCATGGATAAATCGCGGGCTTGTCTGCTAGTGGCAGGGGGATTTAATAACAGAGAGCTGGACTCCATGGAAATTTTTGATGTGAAGACTGAAAGATGGCTGAAAGCTCCTGCCATGCCAACAGCTCGTACAAAATCTGGGGGAGCTATCGTGGGAGATTACTTTGCTGTGGTCTGTTGAATATCATTTTTTCCTCTAAAGAGAACTCTTCACGATATTTATTGTGTCTATAACAAGCGATTGGAACTCATCCGCCAACATTCCTTTAATGATTGAGTTACGTCCACTACCTTTAATTGCTTTAACAAGGGTGTAATGGTGTAGTTTGATCTTCCGGGTGAGTATATTCCTGAGAAAGACTGTTGTCGGTAGTGGTGACTGACGTTTCGACAACCTGAGCGGAAGTCATCATCAGGAAATCATCTGCTCAGGTTATCGAAATGTGAGTCACTTCTACCGACCACAGTCCTTCTTAGGACTACACTCACCTAGACGATCAAACTACATTATTACATGTTACTCCTGGGTTCAAACCATTTACTGCATTTAACAAGAGTATCTCAAACATTTATGATGTCCATGTGTTCGATCTATTGGGTCTTTGATTAGTTTGTTGTGTTGTCTAGTTGTTTACATCTTTTCACATTATCTCATATCAGCAAGGGATACAAATGGGTTGACTAACACGCATGGTTCGTCAGTTCCCTTCTAGTCTACCCCACTTCTTTGTTATGGACTTACAGTTTTATTAATTGATACAGTAATTATTAATACTATTTTTATTAATATTATCATTATTGTTATTATCATTTTATCATGTGACGATGTAATCGCAGTAAAAATGGAATAAATTAAATGGGAATGAGCAAGCCCCGACGACCTAGTCAAAAATCAGCCCGGGAAGAAATCGAACAAATGGCTGGAGGGTCAGGATAGGAAGAAGTGATAACTTAGCATTGACTCCTCACAAATAATAACACTTCTTCGCTTAAACTCAGACTGATGCCCCTTCTGCATCGTCAAAACAATAGAATTAGTGGTCATGTTATCTTATTACCTAATAATGTGTCAATCACTGTATTTTCAGGTGGGTGGGGACGAATTTGGTCGTCCAACCGATACAATCCAATGTTTCAACTTGAAAACGGAGAAGTGGGAAACGTTTCCCGCCATGAGCACGAAACGTCGACGGTGCGCAGTCGTAGCCGTGGGTGAGAAGCTTGTTGTGGCGGGAGGTCTGACGCTTGGTGACTATTCGCTAGATACCATAGAAATGTTTGATCTGCGCAACCGGAAATGGTTTGATCTTCCCAACATGCCTTGCACGCGATTCGGCTGTGGTGCGTGCGTAATAAATTCACAAATGTTTCTCTGTGGTGGCAACGAGAAGTTGAGAATGAAGGCGTATTCAAACCGGCTTGACTCGTTTGACCTGATGACGCATACCTGGGAAATCCTTCCAAATATGGCACACCGTAGGATCCATCCTGTTGCAGTGTCCGTCAGTGTTTAAACAGCGGTCCAGACGACAGCAAAGATGGACCACGTAAAAGAATATCCACATCTGATGATGTGTCCAGGATGCTTAAAGTTCCTTTATACGGGAGGAGAACTTCGCTCCTTTTTATCTTTTTGATTAACTTTTCGTTTAAATTATTATATTTTTTAGAAGACTAAATTTCCAGAATGTGTCTTAGAAATACGACCAAGTTGATTTTTTTTAAACAAAGTCCATTTTACCGAGAGAATGTTCAAACCACCCAAAGATAAGAAGTTGAGGTGACGTGTATTGTTGAAAGAAGTAAAAGATTGATTCCAGAAAAAACAGCTCAACGCAATCATGATATTTCTTTTTCTTCTTTCTCTTTTCGAAAAGCTTTTAGCGAATCCGAGAAACTTAAGTAAGTACACTGACATACATTGCACAGCGATTCAAAAGAAAATGCCTCTACTTTTCTTGCATTTCGCAAGTGCATCTTTCATAAGAGTAACCTCCTATATCAATTTTACAGCACTCAGTCAATTTAAGTTTTCCTCCGCTCGGCTGCAGCGGCATTGTGACGGTCTTTAAAGAACATACTCCTCAGCTTAAGCGCAAAATGGAGAAATCTGAGTATTTGTCGCTCATCAAGCACCTAAGCGAGTGACCTTTCTTAGAAGACTTTTCACGCTCCTACCCTTTGATTGCCACCAACAGATGGATGGTAAAAATGATAGAAATGCGGGATTTTGAGTCGCTCCACCTCTATCCCGGACATAAGGATCCTGTCCAGTAGTTCCCAGTCCTCCCCTCCCCATCCAGTAAACTCCTGTACGTTCATTCCTCCCACGTGATCAAAGTCAGACTTATAAATTGCAAGTAGACCAAATCCAAGTGTTTCCCAGTAACCAAATGGAAGCTCAGGATAGTAACCACAACGAAGTCTTTTCACTACTGGTGCGAAAGCCATTTTCCCTTCTACGCAGTGCTAAAAAATTAAGTAATACTGATGTTAAGTGTTTGACTACGAGCAATCGAAGTTAAGTTGTAAAATCTCACTGATTCCCATTAGGCAACTCTCTAAAACCAATGTACCTTGCGGATGGTGGTAATCAGATGTGAAGGGATCTTTAAGTGAAGGTCGCACATGAAGAGTATGCTATGAGGATCCTTTACAGCCTCAGCTCCACGCTGAAGGGCCAAGGCTCTCTGGAAGTCCTGGTCCCCAGATATCTTCACCAGCGAGTACCACTGAATAGAACTCCTTTTTAGCACGGCTTCTATGTCGATGTCCTTGCTCTCATAGTCAACGATGATGACGTGTATGTTGAAGTCCTGAGTTTGACGAACTACTTCTGTAAACAGTAATAAGGGAAGAATATGTACCTACTGACTGAGTGGGAGGGGGGGAGGCCGCACGAGAAAATATGACAGAGAGAGAGAGAGAGAGAGAGAGAGAGAGAGAGAGAGAGAGAGAGAGAGAGCCAAAACTTTGTCACTGAAAAACCTCCATGGGAAGTTGTCAATAAAGTATTGTATTGTATTGTTTATTTTTTCCGTTCCGTCCTCCCACTCCTGCAGTAAATAAGTATTGTACCACATGACCACTGACTAAGTTTTGAAAAATGCGAAAACCTTGTCTTAACTTAAATAGCCTGAAATGCAATATACTAGCGCGCAAGAGAAAATCACAAAAAAGATTCTACAATAAAAACTTTTCCCGTCTTTTTTTTAGAGTCAGAATAAGAAACTCACATTTTACCGAAAAACGCGATTGACATTGATTGGCTGGGGCTGACTAAATTTACTAAAACATTTTTGTAACTCTTAACCATTACATGTGCTGGGACTGAATGAGTTAAAACAAGAGAGAATTACTTACAAGCTCCATGACTATGATGATGAAATTTAAGTAAATTCAATTTTAAAAAAGTACACGGGCTCAGGCCAAAAGGAAGCGAAAGATCCAGTGCGCGGCGCAGTACGCTCATTTTGATCTGCACTCTTTTCAATAATTTCACTCAATAAAGTATTAGATAAGTTCAACTTTTCAGCATCTCTATACAGCAACAGATCGCATAAAGTAGACCATAGTTCCTAGCCTTTCAGGAACACTGCCTCCCTCATTACCCGACATCCTACGCCGGATGTTTATAAAGGTATGCCGATATAGCCTCAGTCTAAAAATACCTGCAATGTTCTTTATAAAATAAAGTGCCCAGCGACCAGATTTTCTCACAGGAACTATAACATTCACAATAGCATTTTTCTTCCAGCGGAATCCTGCAGGATAACACAAACTGTCTCCTTCAAGGGGCTTGTACACGTATTCGGAGAACAGCACGCTCCCCCGATTTTGTCTATCAGTTAAGCGTAATTCTAGAAGGAAGCGATCGCCTTTCTGAGGGTCGAGTACGTGCTCAACTGAAACTATTTCCTGAAATGCGTAATGCCTATAAGAAGATAATGTTACATACACAAGCCTTTAGTAAGGCCTGACTAGAAGACAAAATGCTTTCTTAGCTGATTATGACACGCAAGCTGTGTAAGTGGTAGTCTTTGAGGGATTAGCATAATATTGACATGCTCATTCAGAATACGAGAAGTTGTTAAACAAATAAAGATCTTCAATGTGTGTCATTAAGGGATCTTTTTGGAAGCTAATAAATGACTTGGACACTGCTTTCTTTTTTATATTGGAAACTGGCAGTTTAGCCTTTAGATGCTGAATTCACTCAACAATAACAATATTAGCCAATAACCTTACTATTCAATCCATTAAACTGAAAAGCGGCGCAGGAAAGTTAAGCAAATATTTAACAACAGAAAACTTTTCTTTAAGCTTGCTATGATGACATAGCTACTATAAGAACATATTTTATCATCGCAAACCCTTAGAGGTACTCAGCATTTAAAGCTTATGAGCTTGAGCCCATATACTGCAACTTTGACTTACTGAGGATATTTTCTTTCTAAAGCATCCATGAACATATGGGCCACACCCTGAGCCTTGTTCGGATTTGTTAGAAGATTGCCAGCTGCATTTTCCTGCCACCAGATATCTTCATTTTCCATTAATGCGAGAGAGTTATTAGTGGTATCCGGAGGATAAACTGAGGCAAAATGTGTGTTACTTTTATTTCGAGCACCCTGTAAGGAAAAAAAACAAAAACACATCGTACCTAACATTTTTAAAATCTGACTTGAACTTTTTAAGCTGGTTCTATGTATGCTCTTTCGGGAAAAGGTTTCTCTCGATTTTTTTCCTCAGCAGTGAAGCCTTTTGCAAAACCTGACATTGTTGTCGGCCACTTGAACAAGTAAGAACAACGTTTGCTGGTCTAGATAAGTTGCCAAGGACATATTTTCAGGAAATTGTGATTGTGTCAAGGCTTCACTATTTTGTAGGCCATTTGTTGTTTATAACTCACCTGGAATCGAATCAGTTTATGTTTGACCAAATAACTTGGTTCATACAAACACTCAGGCAACACAACCTTCATATCTTCCCAAATAACAAAAGGTAGAATGAAGTCACGTGATTGTTGTGACCCTTCTTGGTAATCAGACAATCCAACAGCGTTATCAGGCACGTGACTGTCATTCATAGCAGCCCACAGATATTCACTGGTCACAATACCGAATACCGTGTCACCCTCCAATCTCCAAGTCACCAACAGATGAACTCTGCCAGAATGATGTTTGTGAAGTACGTTGATAAGATATTTCCTATTTTTTGTCAAGTAGAAAGCTGTAGAAACTTGTGTCGCGTTTTGGGAATAATTTCCAGGTTGTCCTTGACCAGGATTTTCACGAGAACCGAGAAAAGCAATTTTCCGAAGATTTGCCGAAGAATCATCGGAGCTCAACCACAGTTCCGAATTTCCACTCGAAGAAATGGCGAAGTAATACTTACCGCTAATAGATGGTGAAATAAAGCCAAACATTCGTTCCCCAAAGTTTTTTAAGTTTTCACCGTACGAAGAAGAGGAAGTCAACAACCTTCGTTTCGATGGAGCATGTGGGAATAGGATAAATTCACGCAAACTTTCCACTTGGAAGTGACACACATCATCCCAAATATGGAGATTTAAATGTCCTCGTAATAAGAACGTTTTGTTTCCATCTTGGCCCGGTTGGTTTTCTGCGCGGAATGGAGGAGGTTCACCTGAAGGATAGTTAATATTATTGGTTACGAAATCACTGTCTCCGTGTGATAGCAAACCAGTTAAATTTTTAACGCTCTTTATATCATCAATAAAAATATCCTTTTCCTTAGTAAAGGTTTCTTGCTGGTAGCTTTGAGCGCTGAGCAAACCCTTTCCTTGCTTCGGTTCAAAAAATGATGTTGTTATCAACTCTTCCGAAGAGCGATTGACATCATCAATAAAAATGAAGGACTTCCTCGGCTGTTGAAAAGCAATGTAAAAACAAACTGTAAATGACAGAAAGAAGAATAAAGTCGACAGAACTTGCTTTCTTTTCCTTTTGATGTTATTGTAGCACAAACGCAGAATTTTGACGCTCATCGTTTCTCCAAAATCCAAATTGTCGACTAGTGTTTTAGTTGATTAGCTTCCAACGAGTTAGGTTTTTTTAATGACGACCTCAATAGCGGAAAATCTCATTTAAATACCGTCCATACATTCTTCTCAGAGAAAGGTTCTCTCTTAGCAACTAAAGCAGCGTTGTGCTATAATGCTTCTAAACTATAGAATAAATCAGTATTCAGTTTTTCTTTTTTTAAAAAATAAACTCCTCATTAGTTTGCAAAGGAGAAACTTAGTAAAGAAACATGAGAATTAAATTCAACTTTGCCTACTGAGGAGAGTTCCCACTGTTCAAAACAACAGCAACTGAAGGCCAACAGACCCGAGAAAAACTTTTATGTAAACAACATGGAGGTTCTATTGGCTTCCTTTGATTAGATTACCTATAGCAGTTGTGTGGTTGGTAAGTGGAGTACTACGACTTAAGCGAGGTGAAAACTCAGAGAAGAAAGACGAAACTATGTAGGATAGACGAGGTAGACATGCCTTACAAGCGACCCTGTTGGGTTTCATGTCCCACAAGATAGGTATCTCAGAGAGCCCCATTGTTTAGTGATTCCCAGAATCCCTTGCTGCATTGTGAACATGGAGACGCTTACACGTGGAAACGTTTAATAATTACACACAAATTTACATACCAATCGTGGTGTAACTGTATTGAATAATGACTCGCGTAAGGTTCGAATAAACAGGTCTTCGCTGAATTTACAGTATTCGGTCTGTGTTTCAGCAAAAATATCCGAGTTTGCGTGAGAACTGATTTTGATCAAATTTTATCATAAGCATCTTTTGAAGATGTTGCCCTTTCTTCGCAACCCCGTCAGTCCAGGAGCTTTAGACATGGATATCTGTGAGGAAAGTCAATGAAGTGAAGAGGATTTAAGCCGCGGATAATAGGATTAATTAGCAATACAAATTGAATGGTCACTAATCTAATGAAGTAACTTTTTCTAAAAATGTTGCTTTGGTGATGAGTACAAACTACGATTTGATGAGGAAGGCAATCTGCTGATTAGCAGACGTTGAACGCGCCGAAATTAGAGGTTTTGACACGACAGGAGTCGTTTTACTGTTATTAGGTCCTAGGACTTAAATGCATAATTTATGCTAGTTGTCAGCAGGTGCGAGGACAATTAGCGAGTCAGCCAATCAGATTGCTTTATTTCTGTGATGTTTATTCTTCTTCGGGCCAGACGGAAAGCGTGTGTTATTGTTGTACTTCTGTCCTTGTCGTACTCAAATTTCAACCCGTTGACGTTCTACGCGAGTGAAGAGAGTGCAAACATAAATATAGAAGACAAGAGACATCGTCCCAGGAATATTGCTTCAGAAGAAGCAGGTGGGATGATTTCTAATCATTTTTTACATTCACCTAAGAGCGAACAGTGTTCGGCTACTTCGTACAAAGTACATAACTCTAACCTTTAGTGAATATTTGAAATCGAGGGGGATTCGCCGTAATCTCTAACTCTGTTTAACGATTGAGCCCGCAAGAAAACGCATTTTCCGTTTGTGCGAAAAGGTAAGCAGCATTTTGGCGCCACTGGTTTATCGACCAATTCGTTCGCAGTTATGGCTGACCAATTGTCGGTTTTTTTGTTTACATTTATCCCATTTTTGTCTTGTTTAATTTGGTAAAATCGAGAGCACGTGGCCGAGGCAAATTTAATTGTTAATCCACAGAGGTCCACACTAGTTTCCGTGTAAAACTCGGTTACAGTTATTAAAATTGTATATTTAAATGTGAACATGAAAGTGACGAGTTGCCTTTATCATTCACATCGAAGAGTTAACATTGAAGTGACAAATCACATCTGCATATAGCAACAAGCATATATTACAGACCAGACCAACAAAACAATGATTATATAAAGATTGAGGAAAGATGAACCCGAGGGACTGCAACAGTTTACTCACAAAGTCGAGGATTAAAACTTAAACTGTTTGAGGAACAACAGGCAGAGGTCTTTTGTCAATAGGATAAGAATTGCCCAGAAAATCTTTAAATGTGTTTATGATCAATATATTGCAGAGAAGTTCAGCATATCCTGTCTCGTCAAAATAGAACAGAGTGCACCAACTATCGACTTTCGAAAAAAGACTGCTTGCGAACGATAACCTACAAAATTTGTAGATTTGGAAAAACATAACCGGCGAATAAGGAAACTCAAAAAGATAATTTAGCACACCATCCGATTTACTTTTTCCGTAATGTTATCTCGCCTTTGGATAATTTAACCATAAAAATTGATTCGTTTGGAACAGATAGTTTGAAATTTATACCCCGCCCTGTACTTTAATTCACGAGTTTTGATCGGCGCCGCAGCAATGAAATATTCTTCGGCAACTCAAAACCCTTGGTGAAGTGAGTCATAAAGGTCAGCCAGCAGATCGCCTTGACCGCTTCATTGCCAAGGACACCACAACATCCCACGAAGTATCATTATGCGAGCCCTTGCTGTGACAAAACAAAGCTTCGATTCCTTGTTTTGTAAACATTGGCGGAATTTCACAATGTTTACGATAAGGCAGCATGAATAATAAATTTTAACTGTTATCAAATTTTGAAAGATCTTTCTCGTAAAAAGTGAGCGAAGATGTGATTTGTCTTTTTTTGTGATCTCTCTAACTGTTGGCCGTGTAAAATGTAACGTGTGCCAACTGGAAATAAGAATTTTGCATTAGTATTCGTCCCATTGTGTTACCATACATATCAAGCTGTTGCTTGTCTGTCTTGAGTTGCGCCTGCGTAACCGCCATTTAAAAAAAAATCAGATTCATTCAAGGACTGAGCCCGCGGTTCTATGTATGACCATTTGAGGTGTACTAGTACGAATTCTAATTGAAGAAAAACTGCCAGATATATTTGGAATTTGAAAGCAATTTTTCATGACACATTCGGGCGGATTCCAATCTGCTGGCTCAAATTTTTGCACGCTGGTTCCCTGCTTTATCTGTTTGTCTAACCTTAAAAAGTGTTTAGTGTCACGATATAATGCTGGCTCAAAAGGATGGCACCGATCAGCTTTGTTACCGTCATTCAAAACCTTTTCAAATACGTCTTCTAAAATGACCTAAGGAAAACTGTGTTTTGAACAAAACAAGCTACAGTTACTCATTCCTTTCAACGCTTAGTCTTTGTAATGACTTTTGCGAGAGTGATTCTTTCAAAGTATAAAAGTTTTTAGTACATTAAATACTTAGACTAGGTTAAATAAAAGTTCCTCTCCCATCTTTTTAACTCAAATTTCTGAAGACACGCATGTTAAGATACACGTTGTAAGAAATAACCACTTGACACCTGCGGGCTCAATTAACTTGCTTAATTTTACCCTCCACTTCTCCGCCCTCTGCATAAATTTTATATACAGCCTTCCATCAAACAATAACAGTAAGACTCCAAGTCTAAGATGCCATATCGGTAACAATCATATCATTACTAGAAATAGCTAATGAGCCTTAACCAGTCAACCATGATACCTTTCAGCCCGACATAACTTGAAAAGTAGTTCAGTAACAATGCAGTCCCTGTACGTCTGTTTCAACAAATCAAAAATAGCTTTTTCCGTTTTCTTTACCGACCAACCGTGACCTAAAAGATTTAAAAAACCTAAGCTTGTTTGTTGAACTATTTTTCCTTGAGAGAGTAGAAGTATCTTCGTATTGTTTCTCTCATTGTTTTGAAACTGTATCATTATTTTACCGAACTCTCGAAGGCATCACACCCAGAATGGCGCGTGACGGATCGTTCTTCTATGGTCAAAGGTGACGTTTCGTCACATGAAGACGTTGCGCCGTTGACGTCATATTTTTTTGCGTAGGTATTCACGATCACGTCGCCATTCATCATGTTGATTAACCATTAAGATGATATTAACCTTGAAAAAGGGAAATTTCATTCATTTGAACTAAGAAACTCCTGGAGAATTTAAGAACTAATAAGTGAAGACTGAAAAAATAAAAAAAATTGATTGACATTTAGAAACCACAATATCGTCTGCGTAGCTGATTGCTTCACTCGTTTTGTTTAAAATAACATTTTACGGTGTTTGAAACCAAAACTTGTCTGAAACCGAGAGAATCACAGATTTGGTCTGTAAATGGTGTAATGACGCCGGGAACGAAAGTGCTGCTGGGATATCCATTCAGTTTTGGTCTAATTATAATTGAGTGATCATTTGAGCATAGATGAATTACGCTCGGAAGTGTTAGTAATATTGCTGTCACATCACGTTATCAAAATTATCTGAGAGAGATTCTCGTTCCTGGAGAAGGTGTTAGAAGAGCGGTAATTCTGTAATATCAATACGTTTGGAGCTTCAATGAGTTTTTACTGGTAAGAGACACATTATATTTATTATACTATCAGTCACGTTACATTTCGAAGTAGCAGCTCTCTCTCAAAACGTTCTGCTTAACTAGGCTTGTCGATAACGCCATGAACTGAACTTTACACAGCCTTTTTAGACTCACTGCGTTTACGAAACAATAAAATACGTTAAATTTCCGCTTAAAATATTTCGTTTTCTAAGTAGTTTTCATTTCGACACCGGCTTGTGTATTGTAGCTTTCAGAGTTGTTTGATTTATAAGTGTTATTCAAAGCCGTCGTCGTCGTAGTGAAGAGTTTACGTATTTTACATAATTATCACTCGATGAATTGGTCCAGAAACGTATCTAGACCCCTGCTCTGTTCAAATCTATGTGCTCCTTTTAGTTAACCTACCAAGAACTATTTAGAAACGAAATTATCTAAGTAAAAATGAGATTTTTGAAGTCAGCTTCATTTTTCCCTAAACTTAAAACTGAAGTAACCTTAGCAGACACGGCCAACTTAAATTGAAGTTTCCTTAAACTTCGTTGATCAAGTTTGTGAGTATAGTGTAATCTCCTAGAGATATTCACAAGTCGATAGTGGAACAAGTTATGGCTTTTGGGGAAAACTAACAAATCTTTCTTTCCAGCAGTTTGACTCTATAATTTGTAAAGTTTCCCTGCGCAAGAGTTTTTTACAAACTGCCTGAAATCTTCATACATTGTGCAATCGAAAACTTTTTGATCACAAATGGAATACCATTCGTTATAAAAAGTTTCTTTGAGAAATTGAGATCTATATTTTTGTAATTATTTGGATCTCTGAAATGAATACCTGGGGAGATCGAATTAAGACCTTTTGTTGAGGTACTCCGAACTCTGCGAGTTGTTTATAACCGGCGGTCATTAGTGAGTTTACGTGCAGTAGCAGCCGAATGGAACAATACTCACAAGAATCGACCTTATAAAGTGATAAAACTTTTATAATCCCAATGCTTGTAATTAAGCTCTTGCGCTCATCAGTTTTCTTCTTATGGGATTTTATGCAAGCTTTTAAACTTCAATACGAACAAAGCCACCCAGAGAATTTGGGAAGAAAACGCAATTGTTGTAATGTATCTGCCATGAATCGTTTGTGCTTAATTAAGCTTCAATTAAAAATATACCGACATTGATCTTAAGCATCTTTTTCCTTTTAAATCGTAAAAGCCACGTGGTACCGAGATACGATCTGTGTCTGTCGTGTGCTAAATGATAAATAAGGATCATTGGACACTTATTAGAAAGGTGAGGCCGTGATTTATGATGATTAATGAGTTTATGAGACTTAAGTGTTATTGCAGAATGTAGTTGATTCTAGTCACGGTTTCAGAAGCCTCCCAAGCTACTCTTTTGAGATGGTTTCTTCTCGTCACGTGAAGCCACCTCTTAGATTCCTTTCAGTTTCGTTAAGCTTATTGTTGTTGACTACGAAAGTGTTGCTCTTTAGAGTGCCACTAAACCACTCTCGGCCGAGGCTTTGTTTGTTTGCGTGTATTTCCAATTAACTTTCTTTTATCGAATTTCCGCACTCCAGTCTTGAATTGTTCTCAGTTTGTCTTGTCTTGCTCGCTGAAATGTGTTGACTGATGATCTGAATACCTAACTGAGAGACACGAAAACAAAACTCGTGTACCGCAAAAGAGATTTGAGTTGTCGACTTCCTCCCGGATCGCCGCTGGCCCGGTTTACTTAGCAGCCTAGTTAATCCTATTTGCTAGAAATAGGTTCCTCGATAACCCTCCATCTATGGGAAAGACTGTTGCGCACTGTTGGCGGGCTAGTGAAATAATAACTGACTTTGACAACCACTGTAGTGGATTTTGGAAAATGGCTGACATGTTTGGCTAAGTATTTTGACCAATTATTGAATTCGGGATTCTGCTCGCGTGGTTTCGTGCAAGGATTGCGTGCGATATCTCATGGTTTACTCCGTTGACTGGAGTTTGAACACTGCTTTTTCTTTCACGTATTCAACTAATAAATAGCGCACAAAATGGAAATATCATTTTTTGAAGTACTACATTGCCCAATGATCGTCGTTGAATTCCGGTGCACTAGAGTGATGTTATTTGAACCTCCCTTTCTTCCAGCCTCAGACCCACCAGGCCAGTTTAGTTTCCGCGTTTTTAACTACTAATGTCGTTTTATTTTTACTTGCTTTTATTGGCTTAAAGCATTGAGATATCTACACAATGCATGGACATGTGTCTGCGGTAAAGATGGGCTAAATTTGTTATCTGCTAACCTGCGTTTTCTGACCTAAGTTATGTTACATAGGACCGCAAACACAATTAACTTGTTTTCAAAGTTGCAGTAGAAAAAACGGTGTTCTAAGTGACAGAACTGCAACCAGCCAATTTGTCATCTACGGCCCGGCTTCGCGGGAACAGCAAAACGGGAAACGGCGGTAACCTAACTCACTTAGTCCAGCGTAACGCTGCCCTGGCTTTCTGATACAACCCTATCTTCTGATACATCGCGTGCGAATTTCTTAGCAACGTAAACTATGAAACTGGTGTTTATACTTTCGAGCGTCATTACAGTCTTTTAGCCATGACGCTAATTGAGAAAATGTTGTTCATTTTCTTTGCCTGGGATTATTGATTAATCCCTTATTCAAGTAATATGCTCATTCCGTTCATACCAATCGAAGACCTCATAACACTGACAATCTGCGCAAAGTTGATCTCTTATACCGAAGAAAATTTTCAACTAAAATGCAAATAGAATTAAAAAACAGATTGCGAAGTCTCTGTGTAAGCTGTTCTTTGAGTTGTCATGAAACACACCCCTCAAAAGGGATCCCCTCCTTGGCATGGTAGTACCATTATGTGTATGGATTGGCTGGCACGGAGGTGAATAGAATGATAGCAAGCACTATTTACCTCTAGGCATAGCCCAGAGAAATCTATTCACCTCTGCACAACAAGCCAGATGACTTTAGTCAAATCCGATATAGGATAATGTAGTTCACGTGTTCTCTGGCCCTAACATCTCGGTACAAAACAGGTTTGGCATAGCCGGTTTAATCAAAACGGTGTCTCAAGTATTTCTCAAAGTTCCCAATATTCTTTTTTTTCAATTTCCAAAATACATTTAGTCCTATTGTTTGTGTTGCTTTCCCTCTTTTAAGCCGTAAAACAGCGTTGCCCATAAGAAAACCTGAAATTTTGATTTTGTAACATCGTAAAACCTTTTGTTTAGCTCGCTTCTTCGAATCACAACCTCTTAGGATAGGAGTTACATATTTTCTACCGTGTGCATAAATTGAGTTAAATATGAACAATAATCTTCATTCGAGTATTTAAAGAAGCAATGAAATGCGGCTATAAGTGAAAAGAACAACATATTTTTGCCGAAAAGCCGCAGATCATCAGAGGAAAGCGTTTGTTTTGCTTCCGGGCTTCTTGCCAACAATGAAGCATTTAGAAGTTCCGTCTGCGGTGAATTGCGAAGTCACTCACAAATATTTTCGAAATTGCTCTACCACTATACAAGACAAAACTTATTAGTTGTTAATGAAAAGCAAACAAGGAAAATGCTTTTACTTTAAAACACTTTCGTTGACTTTGTGTTTTGTTTCAAGAAGTAAACAAGGCCCTCAATTCACACACAAGTTACTGTAAGGTCCACTTCAGTGTTTTGTATTCAGATTAGGAGAAAGGTGTGTGAGTTCTCACATGGCATTACTACAATATCGTTATGATAAGCCTCTAGATTGTAGTGAACAGCGAGACGGGAGGTTTCTTTAGAAGAAGAATCATTTCAATTTTCACCGCCATCACTCAGTTTAGCGCTTTTAGCATATTATTATGAAAAAGTAGATTTTGATCTGTAAATTGTTAACAAAGGAGTTATTGGTTCCTGCCAGTTTTGATCATGTAAAAGGAAACTTTTTAATACCCTGATCCTTTATTTAAGTATCAGCAACTAAGTTAAGCCTAAGAGCTTAGTAGATGGCTTTTATCTCTGATTACTGTATCCGGTTTTTTTAAGTTTGTCGACAAATTAATTGAAACACAGAAAGGAAAACTTTCTATTCGATTAGACGGACCGGAAATGTATTATCGAATACTTAAAACTCTCAGAGTTGGTCTGTGTCAAATTTCAGCCGGTGTAACGATCCACGGGAAACTGTAGTAAACAGCCTAGCTTGAATTCAAGTGACTCTTTACCGCTGACAAACAACGGAGATGTCTAGTCTAAGAGGAATTCTTGACAAGTAAGGATTGTAATTTTATCACTCAATGGAAAACTTCCATATGTTAACCTTTATAAGTCACGCTTTGTCTGGAAAAGGTCGCAAATTGTGTGTTATTTTTTACAACGAAGAACACATTGTGGCTTTCACGCTCTCCATGAAGGAACTCAAACACTAAAACAGGTGTTAAGTCGTTTCAGCTGTTAGAAGAAGAACGTCTGATAGGGAACGAGATAAGTCCACCTGTCATTGTGATATTCCTTGAAGGCTGTTTAAACCCGGGCTGAACTAGCGACAAAAAATTGAATTAACTATTTCTGAATATGCCAACAGCAAGGTCAGATATTGATGGTGAATATCTTCTCTTAATTCAAAGAAGCCTATACCAGCGAGGAAAACATCGCCTGAAACCATAGCACCGATCACTAACAATGATTCAGTCATTACTTTTTTATTTGATCCCCGGAACCGGTCACGGCATTAAACTTAACCGCCATAGCTTTACAAGGCTGGATTAGACAATATAGTGGTGAAATAGAAGATAGTCTAGTCTCGTCTCGTCTGTCATTAAAAGGACTAGTAACAATAAATGCGCCAAGTGATAATGGATTGGAGGTTTACGCATTAAAGGAAGTCTTGCTCCACGAACTATTTTTGACTTACTTCGACAAATAACGTATTTAACGAATTAATCTAAATTGAACCAATTGAGCTCTCAAAATCGGTACTCTTTCTACGCGCGTTATCTGTGTTTATGTTATCAAGCGCGGTGAATAACTCGTTGATAGACCTAATGGCGGTTCTCTGTTAAGTAAGTAGGCTATTTTTTCAACGACAAGTACCAATTATAAATTGTCGAGGAGTCCTTTTGTATGCAGTGCACATTCCTGCCGTTTTTTATCACACGTTGCTTTGCTATTCAATTTTTAGTCAAGGACTAACGTGTTTGTTGATCAAAAATCGCATAGCTACAAAACTAAGGCAAACAATTGAACCTGACTGACAGACTGAAAGATTTGTTTTGACATCACGAACAGCGACAAGGCACGAAAGACTTAGAATGTCGGTAAACTTTGCCAAACAAGACGCTTTCAACTGCCAAGCGAACCTACAATTACTTGACAAAAACGAGGTTCTCTATAGGGACTGAGAAGAAAAGAATCATACAATAACTGTAGGAATTACTTCCAATTAGCTAGGGGTAAAATTTCCATAGGGTTTGTCTACACACGCGCATGCGTTATTTGCTCGATTCTTGCATGGGACAGTTTGTATTAGCGTGCTGTGATACCGAGTAAGAATTTGATCATGTGTTCTTTCGCCTCTCGCAGGATAACATTCTAAGATCGCTGATTGCTGTGGCATTATGTACTTGATGTATCACTTTTTAAAAGTCGCCGTACATCGCTCTCATGCTTCGACAGGAGGAATCGACAACGCTGCCCAATAGTGCAGGCCTACATGAAGTAAACGTAAGAGCCACTTCAGCTGGTAAATCAAGTAAGTGCGAAGCTGGTTGTTTATTTCATTCCTGCTCCCCGCGGTAATGTACACGCAAATCACTACACATTGCTATCACGAGATGTTGAGCGGCAGAGTTTGCGTCCATCAAAGGGACATTTTCCAAACAAAACAATATTCTACTCATGTAGTTCTGTAGGGGGCAGCAATGTGTATACGAGGGATTAGAATGCAAAACAGTTTTTTTATTTAACACTTTTTGTCATTTCTTCGAGGACGAATTAAGCGTCCTTTGACCCGGTCATGAGAATCTTTGATATGCGCCAAAACAAGAATCAGAGCTTACTGATTTCATGACGGCCTTCTCGTGTTACAACTAGTTACTCTCCGAATTGAAGAGGACCGACGACGAAAGTCATAAATTTTTTGTAATGCGGAGTTTAGCTCTTTATTGTGTAGCTTAATGTAGAGGAAGATGTTAATTGAAATTTGAAATATTTTTTCGGGGAATTCGGGGCAGGTTTTCACGTGCTCTTGAAAATGAAGGCAACTAAACTAATTTTCTCTTCTTGAAAGAGACCTTGCAGTGACAGAAAAATTGATTAAACAAATACTATCCAAAGAACTCATAAATGAGTTAGGTTTGTATGCATCCTTGACCAATTAGGAAACCTTCACTTAATTCAAGTCTAAACTTCTTTTCACAGCGATGTGTAAAGAATACGAGCTAAACAATAGTTCATTTACATATATAACTTAATGATAAACACCAGTGAGAATTGGCTTTAAATACTTCACTTTGCTCAGTTTTCCAAACACAGTGCCTGTATAGGTTTTAAACTGATTTTTGCTTCTCAGGGGTAATATATTTAATAGTTGTGGCGGCAACAGCGAGGGTGTTCCTAATCCAGTTTATGAAAAGGGCTAATCTTTATTTGACTCAAAGCCGCTGTTATTGAAATATACACGTCTCACCAACTCGTTTATCGCTCTACAATTCCATGACATTTGACATTTTCGTGGCTTGCTTTGTAAAGTTTGTGTCAAAAAGCCGTTTAACGACAGCATATGCTTCCGCTGTTTGTTGTATTAAGTAAAGAGTTCGCTCGCTTTGCTGTCACTTAAAAGAGTTAATGCAATCTCCGGTTTTTCTTTCTTTTTCTTTGAGAAACCTTGGCTTAATATCATTTGCATTGTGATATTCAGTTTCCATTCAGTGTCATGTTGTTTGTTTTTTGATATCAAGTTCCTCCTTTTTTTTTGTTTCGTCGAAACTTAGATTTATTAATGTTTGGCTTATGATAGCGAAAAGTGGGTATCAAAATATTCGTGTTCACATAATTTTCACACTAAGTGACTGTCACACTCCTCACCTCGTGTTGCGTGTTGCGTGAAGTAAAATACAGTCACGCTCAGAAATTTTATGCCATTCAAATCCAGGCGTCTTAATAGATTTAACTTAATCATTTCTTCTTCTGTTAAAAACCTCAAGTTTCACTTTTCCACTCTGCTAATGTGCAAGTCAGTGGGGTATGCAGAAAGTGAGCGAGTATACAATTTTATGCGCTATCATCACGCGCGTGTGATACTTGGTTCACGGATTTATCTCGAGTTTTGGATTTTTGTTTCTCACTTATCTACAGTCTATCGGAATTTAGATGGTTAACTTAAATGATTTCATTTTTTTTTTTCGAATATTATTTTGATATCATAAATACCATAAATATTCAACGAGCTCTTTGAGTCACGTGACAACTGAAGGACATGCGCCGAGCGCGAAATTTGATTTGCTAGAGCGGTGTAGTTGAAACGGCAGTACATCATTTCCTTTCAAGCAACATTTCAAGCATGTTTCTTTAAATTTCAAGGGAACTTTTAATCAGAACTCGGTGTTTAATTCTAGAGCTGTACTACTATGAGAATTCATCTACCAGGCAGAGGGAAAGGTGAGAGGAGGGACAAACTCGGCTGCGAGATTTTTTATAGTCACGTACTTCTCTCCGAATTCAGTTCGCCAAACTGCTGTAATTGAGTTTTATCTGATTGATTTGCAGAATCATCGAGCAGTGGACATGAAAGGTAAGTGTTAATATCGCCTTGTGTTGGTTATCTCTCTGGCGTAGACCTGTTTATTGCGATTCGTTAACTTTTAACTTACATTCGAGTAGTACTTAGCGCTAAAAATAACCGATTGGTGCGATAATTGAGGGCACTTTTAACGTCATCAGCCGATCATGTCCTTCCATAGTAGTATTTTGGTTTCGTGTACGTAAGCTACCACAACTATAACTTTTCCAAGCGTTAATTCTTTCACATGGCTTGCACATATATTAAACCATAGCGTTGGTGCTTGCGCAAGTCGTCTGTTGCGATAAAGTAAACAAACACTGAAAGTTTCTTTGTGAAGTGACGCGGACGGACATTTTTGATGCTCCTAGAAGCTAGAAGCAAAGCTTTATAATAGGCTTTAACGATCGGTTGTTGACATAGAATAATACCCCATAGACGTAGTGATTGAAGGATTCGAAGCTTGATGGCAATATCATTTGGATATGGAAGGTGAAACTGCATGAGCGTAATTTTATTAAGCTAATTTTTTGTAGTTTTTCGATTCAAGTTAAGCTTATGTACACTCTCTTTACGACACAGAATTTACCCTTCTTTCTCTATTATACTTTTATTGCTTATTCAAAGAAAACTTTCTTTTATGGTGAAATTTTTCCCCAAAATTAGGGAAGACATATGTTTTCACTTGGAAATAGGCATACGGCTAACTTCTTCGTAATCTCAGCTTTGGCGAGATTGTACGTAGCGTCCATTTGTTTTGGAAAAGTAACAACAGCACAAACAAACAAGCTTAAATTGTAATCAGTCTATTTACGTCCGTTTATTTATGATAATGTAGATATATTTTGATGCTAAATTGTTCCCAGAAGCTCAAAACGGTGTCAGTACAGTGCATACAGTTTATTAAAGTGTTAATTCGTGTTGAAAGCACGATATTTTCGTTTCGGAATTACTGGTTATTTCTTTGCAAACTAGTCAGTATTAGAGAAGATTAATTGGTAAAATTTTCGCACAGCATCATACTATTGTAAAACAAATCTATTTTCTCAATGGCGATGTATTTTTTTGGTCATTGTTTTCTCTATCCAAGAACTGAATGCATAATGTAGTATGGGGTTGTGCGGAAATTTTACCGTATTTTCCAATAATTGAATTTGATTTGGCCTCTCCCCTGATGTTATTTCGAGTTGCTGTTAATTCTGAACATGTATGCAACAGGTGGTCATGGAGCATTAACAAATATTGTATTTTAATTGCAGAAGACATATCTTTATGACATTATATTTATATATATGTATTATATTTTTATTAATATAGCTATGTTGTAAGCAGTGACCATTGAGTGTAGACTGTTTATCTTTTATTTATAAAGAACCAATGTGCATGAAATAAGTTGAGTATTATTGCTGCAGATACCTCCATGATTTTCATTAATTTTGCTGAAACTGCAAGCAGGGCATGAAATTGTGCCTAATACAGGCGCCAATGCTACTAAATTTTTCACTTTGGCGACTAAATCCTGAGAATTAGTCGCCAAATTGGCGACTAGAATGTTTCATCATAACTTTAGGTAGAGATACAGTGAAGTAAAAAGATTTGCAAAGACAAATCCGGGGCAAACTTCCTTGTTAAGTTTGTTTCCAAAACACAGCACATGCATCTCCATCGATAACTAGACGCCATATTGGATTTAGGTAAGCTTAAACGTTGTATATCATCCATCCTAGTGTCCACTTTGTAGCACGTTAAAGATCTTTTCCCTAACTTAGTTTCTAGAACGATGACAGTGTAAAAAAAAGGTTTTGTTTGTCTTTCAAAATGGTGACCAACTTTTTTTGAACTGGCCATCACTTTGAAGAATTTAGGAGCCAAGTGGCTATCAGAAAAAAAAATTAATTTCACGCCCTGGCAAGCATTTCATGATAAGTTATAAATAGCAAGCTGTTACCACAGCAGCATCAACATGCATGTCCATAATGGAATTGTCAACCTGCTGTCCAACTTCTACATATTGTATTGATAGAAAAGTCATTTATTTTGGAAAGAAAGAAGCATTGCTGAACAACAATTTAGAGATGCAAATCTTGCCTCACAATTTATTGGTAACAAGTTTCCTAACCTTGTTATGTTGTTTTCCACTTTACTTATATGCATTTTGAGTGTGTTAAAATGTTAATTGTACCTCAGTCTATATTTTAAAACAGGAAGGTATTTTTATGAGGTAGAATCACACAATTTTGCTTTAAAACTGAGCAGCAGGTAAATTGTGATTGACTTGTCATCCTGGTTTGTAAGCATTTGCATGGATTTGAGTCTTAATTCCAATTGCTGGAATGTAATTTGTTAATGGAACTTAATGGCTAGATGACCCTTAACTTCCAATCTTGTTGTTTATTTATCAGTTGAAGTTGGAATTTTTTTCCAATCTGGAGAGATTATAAATATAGTATTTAGATACCCACTATATCTTGAATTTACGAAGAAGTGGACATGATTTTTCTTTTGGTGAATGTGATAAAGGTGGTTTTCCACAACTGTCTTCAAACAGAATGAAATATTAAAAAAGTTTGAATATATTGGAAAGTTATGAATATATTTCCATGTTAGTTGCACCTTGCATGGTGTGTTTCCTTAGTATGTTTGCTTTACAATTCGGATGTTTTAGATTCAAAGTTCTATTCATTCAATCATTCATCCATGATTACCTTTGACGTATATTCAATTTCCACAAATATCAGTACACTCAGCCATGCATGCCACTAGTCTTGGAGAAAATTATTCATAAACAAAATCCAGCACTTCAAGGAGAGTTTTCCAAAAAACTTCTCCAAAAAGTCTTTTAAATATATTTTGTTTTGAAGTTAGATCTTGAAGGATAAATTGTTTCCAAAGTGCATGCCACATTTGCTCAATAACTTGGCTTATAATTCTCTCTCATGTATAAAGATTACAATAATATATTCTTTGTGTAGGAGGCACAAAAGAGAGGCTGTTCCCTGCAGGGGAATGGATTGTTATGGATATTATTGGCAATCTATCTTTGGATGTTGAATTGAATAGCCCCTAATAGAAATTCCAACCCATGGCGTTATAGGAGAGGATGAATAATTTTGGTGGTTATTAACACTGTGTGTAGGGAAAGCAGTTGAATTTTCCAAGGTCATGTTTTAGAGAGTAGTATTTTCAATATCACAATGAATGAAATGACCATTAAGCTGCTTTGACATGATGCTTATGGTTCCTGAACACAAATGTAGGTTTAGCAGGAGGCATAGTCACTCATTGTGTAATTTTTGTCAAAGGTAAAGTGCTATGTAGTAATCTTGAATAAGAATATCAGGCAGCAGTGAGTTGTACCTAATGTTGTAGCTTATTCAGTGGTTGAGGACATTGTTGAATCAAAATGATATTCTTTCAGGGTTTGAGTTTAAGGTTTTCTACTTTTTTGCTATCACGAGATTATACTGTTTATATTATATTGCATCCATCCTTGATGAAGTGCAAGATCACCGGTCACTTTTCTTGTTCTTCTGGACATTTTTGTTTCAGTTGTTACCACTTCAGAACTTCTATCCATTTTAAATTTGTGCCAAGATGATTTCATCATGATGATGTGGCTATAATTTTCCTAAAGAATATGGTATAAAACAAGTTTTCATAGCAGAATTGTTTTCTCCATTCTTTGATATTATGGTTCACTACTAGCCTCTGCTGTTGTATCGTGATAACTCTTTTCTCCATGGTTTTTATCAGTTGTTTATGTTGCATTGTGGTTGTATTTAATTACCATATCTGTTATTATGATATTTTCTGTGATGCTGAGAATTTGAAAGGTTAGAATAGTTTGTACTAAAGCTTTTAGTACATGGCTCTATTCTTACATGAGAACTGGCACTTTGCCAAGTGATGTACTATTTGGTTTTTTTTTTGTATATCTTACATATGTCTTAGGAATCTCTAATTGGCTTAGACTTAAAACCCTGCATTTTTAATATTTGTTTTTTGTTTAAATTTTCTGTGATCAGCATATATTTCTATTTTCATTTGTTGTCAATCTTTTTAATTTGTATTTTGCTCTTCTTTGCTTTTCAAAAATGAAATTTTTAGTGAGAATCGTAAAGCAAAACTGTTGAATTGGTATCACTTATGTATATATACCATTTAAATATTATCCCATAACTATTTGTAATACAATAGGGATACACATGGCAGATTCAAGTAAGAAATTATAGAGATTGTCTCTAAATTAAATCTTTATCCAAAACATTTTTGTGAAATGGTGCCTAAGGAACATGAATCATGAATTTCAGATAATCAGAAATAACTTCTGTGCATGAAGATTGACTTTATTAGTATAAATTATGATAAGTGTAAAAAAATCATATTTGTTATTTACTTAGATATTCTTATTTGGTTTTAGTCCTTATATTTATAATAAAGGTCTATAAAACTGTGGAAATGTTTTCCTATTTATTTTAATGCACCAATTATACTCTTGTCAGAAGTGTAGAAAGTGGCTGTTTTGATTTTCAGTGGAGAAGGAGATAACATTCGAGTGTATGTACGTGTCAGACCTCCGGCTAAAAACCTTGAAACAGATGTTGATCGCACACCATGTCTAGATGTAACATCTGGAAATACAGTTGTTCTTCAGAGCAAGCCTGATCCAAAAACATTTTCCTTTGATCATGTGGCTGATATTAACACAACTCAGGTAACTACCATTTTGTAAGTTTGCAGACAATAGTTTATGTCAAAGAAATGCTGGTAGGTTTTTTGTTTCCATTAATCTTCCATTCTGGTTAAAAAGCTTTCATCCCAGGAGTCTTAAATGTGTTCTTCCAGTTGACTACTACTGAGTACATTGGAATTACAGAACCTTTGTAATGTGTTTAAATCATGTATTTTTTAGTGTTTTGGCGCAAGTCTATATATTTGCCATCAGATGTACTTCCTGTGATATCCAAAAAAGTTCCATAAAGTTTTTCATGGATGTAAAGATGTTAGTTTGTTTGGAACTGACACAACTTTTAATATTTATTAAAACTTAAGTCATTATCCATGTAATTTTTGAACAGGAAGAGGTCTTTGGAGCAGTTGGGAAGAAGATTGTGGAGGGTTGCGTTGCAGGTTACAATGGAACAATTTTTGCCTAGTAAGTTGATCAATATATATAGCTAATGTAATACCTATGCACAGCTTTGAGTTTGTATTCCTTTATTCTTGTGATTCATTAAATTGTTTTTAGATAATTATTGGGCAATGAAGCAAGCCTCATGGTCAAGTGACTTTCACTACCTCCTACTGGGTTACTTGCTTTGTTTCAGACACTTTGATGGTGAAATTGAGTGTTGTTCTTGTTATTCTTATTTGAAATAGCTTGATAAAACAGTTTTCTTACCACTTCTGTGTTCATATATCTCTTTACTACTTTCATGTAAAAATGAAATATGTAATAACATTTGGCATGCCATCTCAAATTTGATAAACTCTCAGGTAGAAAAATTTTTTCATGGTTGATCAGCCATTTTAAGATGCCTTTTCTGTTCCCAACTCACTAATCAATTTGTTTATGATTTGCTTCCTTCCTCAGTGGCCAGACTGGCTCAGGGAAAACATTCACCATGCTTGGTAAGGCTTGGCTGCCAAACATGTTTGATTAAATAACATTCCCTGGTGTGATGCAAAAGGCACTAGAAACTTCCCATTTGTCTGAGTTGTTGTCTATCTCTGTGTGATAGGACCTGCTGAGGGAGAGGAAGAGAGCTTTACTCATCAGCTCCGTGGTGTCATACCACGTGCATTTGAATACCTATTCAGTTTGATAAACAGGGAACAGGAAAAGGTATATTATTGTGCATGCCTGAAAAAAATACCTCTTCTTAGGATATATTGTCTAAGTACATGTAGTGCTATTAACTCCCACTTTGTTGTAATAAAAAATGATATAATATTCTCATAGACTATTTTAAAGATATGTAAAGGAACTTTTCCCCTAAGCTGTCAAAAGGAAGCTTAGTTTTTAGGAAAAATTGAAAAACTGATTGTATTCGGTTTTTTTGTTTTTTGTTTTTTTTGTCTTTTTTTTCAGTATGGTGAACGAGTAGAATTCTTGTGTCGCTGCTCTTTCCTGGAGATCTACAATGAACAGATATTTGACTTGTTAGATCCTGCGTCAATGGGCCTGTCACTTAGGGAGGACATCAAGAAAGGTGTATTTGTAGATGGGTTACTAGAAAGAGATGTGGCGAGTGCAAGGGATGCTTACAGGGTATGCACATTTGTCTTATGTTAAACTTGATATCATAAGTTTTTGTCAATCATTTATAAAGATATCCCTTAAATGAGGTTTTCTCTTAACTTCCATGTACTTCAGGTTGTTCTTAAACATAAAAGATTTGAGAATTCAGTCGCTACTATGTGGGATTCTGTTGATAATTTTGATTGCCTGGCCAATGTTCTCCTGTTACCTTACCTGTTTCTCCTATTAATGAAAGGTGACATTCTTATTACGGTCGGCAACTTTATATTTGATCATTCCAAAACTCACTCAAATAATAATTCTTTCTTAGGTGTTGAATTCTGGTTGGCTGAACAGAAGAGTAGCCTCCACATCGATGAACAGAGAAAGTAGCCGCAGCCATGCAGTTTTTACAGTGACTTTAGAATCAAAGGTTCAGCAATTTTGTATAACAAACTATGTTATTTTACATAAGTACTTTATGGTGTTAATAACCTTTTATCCTAATACTTTTCAGGAACGTAAGGCAGGTATGGCTAGTATCAAAGTGTCCCGTCTTCATCTTGTGGATTTGGCAGGTTCTGAAAGACAGAAGGATACTCATGCAGAGGGCCTCAGACTTAAGGTAAACTTTAATTCACTTCCTGCAGTAGATCTGTAACAAACTTGGTAACAAAAAAGTTATAACCATTAAGTACTAAACTTGTTTACCTCAGCATCAAAATAAATGCTTTTGAGTGGCATTCTGTCAAAGTTTCATTTAGTTAGGTGTTATTAGTCACAGTTGAAGGTATGAACTAGTCAGCACTGTCATATCCTTTCTCTGATAGCTTTTACCATGTGATAGCTTTTGCTATATGGATTAATTTTTGGAGATATTGTATAATTTTTGAACCATGCAATGGGAATGACTTCTTTGGACTTAATTCACTTCATTTTGTAATTGGCATATTTGTTTTTTTTTCATCAGCATATACAGTTGTACATATACATGTAGCTGATCAGCTTTGTTTTTCTCACTTTACAGGAAGCAAGTAGTATTAACAAGTCGTTGTCAGCACTTGGTAATGTGATCATGGCCTTGGTTGATATCACTCACGGGAAGACCAGACATGTTCACTATAGAGACTCAAAACTAACGTTCCTTTTAAGAGTAAGTAATATTATGACTGTCTCTTATACAGCGCTAAAACTTAACATTAATTCTACTTCTTTCTACCTACATATGATTTTGTATCAGTGTCTTTAGCACTTAGCTTTTGCAGGGTTGTGGTGCACGTAGTATTACAGTATCATGGTACATTAATCTAACATTGATTTTTATTTCGCAGGACTCACTGGGTGGCAATGCAAAGACTTATCTTATTGCAAATGTACATCCGTCTGCTAAGTAAGTTCTTTTTGGACAAAATACAGCTTTCCCTTTATAAGTGATAATAAAAGGGCTTTATGTAGATATCTGCTGACTGGTTCCTCCTTGAAAGCTGTTTTACATGTGTAAAGGGATTTTTGTCAGGATTGAGTTGTCAACAACAATTTAACTGTGGTCATTTTTCTTTTGTAACAGGTGTTTTGGCGAAACATTATCCACTCTAAACTTTGCTAAAAGAGCAAAGATGATTAAAAACAAGGTATTGTGCTTATTCTCTTCTTGTGGTACCGTAAATAATCAGGTTATTTCGAGTGTGAGTGGTTAAGGCACAAATTGAGAGCCTTATGATGTTTCATATTGTAGGCTGTGGTGAATGAGGATGCTACTGGAAGCATTACTGCTCTTCAAGCTGAAATAAGACGACTTAGAGAGGAGCTGGAGAAAGCTCGAGGTGACAGCGCTAATTTCTTAGTTCAGAATAAGTTCAGAGACCACTCTAGGAATATTGCAATTTGTCCATGGGTAATTCATTGGGCAATAGGTTCCCTCATCCTCAATTCGACTGTTGAGGATGTTGTCTCTGAGAACTTGTTAAAATATTTCAGCTTCCTGTTCTCTTGTTCGCATAGCTTTTTCAACTATCTCCGCATCATTCTTGTCCCCAATTTACTTAGCGTGTGTTTTTTTACCCTTCTTTTAGCTGGAATTCCAAAGCAAATCACCAGACAAGGTACGATGTTAGGCATCTAAAAGCAAAATTCCGCGTCCTTAGTATGTCGTTTTAAAATTTTGCCCCATGTAGCAAGAGGAAATGCTTAGGTCAATGAAAAACGGTTAATTTGTGACAGAGAGTCATGTGTTGTAGGTGCATCTAACTCAACCGAATTTCTCATTTTCCAGAATCAACTGAAGCAGATCATAAAAATTCTCGAGGTGAAGCTTGTGTCCCTGCTGATACAAACAACAATAACAATAACAGTAACAATAACTCTGGAATAGATGTGAATCAGCAGTACCGGGAGTGGAGAGAAATGATGGTGGCAGCCACTGCGGCGAGGGATCGAGCCGAACAGGAAAAGCAGGTTTGAAACAGGCTCGACGTTTTAGTAAATCATTAATTAGTAAATCGTGAAACATGATGAAGGGAACTGCTTTCAAAGCAACGTCTTAAGAAAAATCTTGGTCATTCAATTTTAACTCCAGTTGTCATGGAGAAAGAGACTAGATTAAATGCCTTATGGTCGATCTTGCATCTGTGAGGAAGAGCTCCCCATTGACTATGGTAGCAGGATAGCATTAAAGAAACATGCATCACAGGAAAGCTTTATTTTTTATCGTCTTATCTCTCTCTTTCCAGTGCTTAGTTGAGAAGGTGCAAAAGCTCGAGGAATTGTGCAGCAAAAAGGAAAAATTCCTTCAGGTCTGTGTATAGAGATCTTATGTTTCATCAAAAATTGATATAATCTGAAATAATCGGAAGTATCGTGCAAATTTTGTACATGTAACTTTGAATTTCTTTTTTGTTCTACAGTCGACAAAGATGATCCTAAAGTTTCGAGAAAGCACAATTTCTAGACTGGAGAGACTGAGAAAACGAGATAAGGAAGGGCCTGACGGCCAAGACGACGATAAGGAGAGAGAAATTGTGAGTTCGGCAGAAACATTCCTCGATTTTATCTACTTATCAATGTTTTGTTAGCAAAATGTATACAAAATGGTTAATTAGCTCTTGGCCTTGGACGTTTTATGGTGTTTTGTTTTAGTTCGTATTTAATGAAGCTTCCAAGGATTGGAAGGAATGCAGTTGTGCTATAAAGTCAACACAGTTTCCTTCTTAATTGGTTAATACCCTTTTTCATGCTTTTATGTGCAAAATTAATAACTTCCGGTAGCTTTGAGATTTTTCAGTATCACCTTCACTGATATTGCAAAATACAGTGGTTGCTGTTTTCTTTGGTAAAAATCTCTAGAGCTGTTTTGTTTTCCTCCTACTCTAGCAACTTCTCAAAGAAGAAATCGCCGTAATGAAAGATAAACTTGAACACCACCCAGATGTCACGAGGTTCGCTATGGAAAATCTAGAGCTTAGAGGTAACGAACTACCTTCAGAAAACTGTTTGAACCTCATTTCATATTCTTTAGACCCAAGGTGTGCTATTTTGTCAGAAGAGAGTACTGCACGTGGTGCTCTCTTTTTAAAATTCGAAACTTTTGACGTCTGCTTTGCCTTTTTTTTAGCGGAGCTTAAGTGCATACGCACCCGGGATGAAGATGGGACTGATTTCACTCAAGATCTTGCTAAAAGTCAGCGCTACACGTTGCAGTTGGAGAGACAATTGAGGGAATTGCTTCAGTCACCTCAAGGAAGTGGTCAGTTTATTACATAAAACTTTATGGGGTCTTACTTTATCAGTCAGTAATAGCATACCATTTCTCAGATAGTCTAGGAATCGTCTCACTGTTGTATGGTCTTACTGTCTTGCAGTCATCCCAACTGAATTCACCCTGTGTTTGCAGCGTGACATCATCTTCTTAACTGACTTTCAATACATGCGATCTCTTTACCCTAACAAAATCCTATATGAGGCAATAGTCGGCCAGCGAACTTTGCCTTCGAGACGCGAAGTGTCTGTAATAGCGACGTTTTCAAAAGTGCTATGGGTAGTTCTAGTAGTTTGCATATTGTTGACTTTGTTCTTTTCATGTACTCATTTTACAGAACTTGAGAGAAGTTTATCCAACTCCTTGCTAAACTTGGAAGCGTCGAATGCCGAACTCGAAAAGTTCAAACTCGAAAGAGCGCAATTACACGCTCAAATGGAATCGGTGAGTAATGGAGATAAGCAGAAATCGTGACTCTGTTCAAGTTAGCAAATTTCTTCCCTGAATATGTTGACGCCAGTTCAGTTCTCAAGTTGATTAATTTTTTGTTGTCAAGTTTTTTGTATGTCATACGTCGTAGGCCGTTTTAATTGTAAGGTAAAGTCAAAGTAAGGTATCGTTTGATGTTGATTAAGGCAGAAGTTGAATTTTATTTTTTGTATTTTATCCAAGACTCGAGAGGAACTGACAGAAACCCGTGAAAGTTTACAACAGACTAAGGAAAAACTAGTGGGACAAGAGGAGAGCTTCAGAAAAAAATGCATCGACTTAGAAGCTGATGTTTTGTCACTCAGAAAGGCCAACTCTGAATTGGAGGTAAGATCCAACTACAGTCAGATATCCCTTGGTGCCTCTCGATTGTTTTAAGCCAAGATTATAGAGTGATAGTACAATTCAGAGCAAGCCATTTTCTACAACTATTGTCTCTAGGTCTAAGCTGCGTTTCATTTTTATTCTGAATTGAATGTTAGTTGACTTTTTCATAGAGAGCACTGGAAGCACATCAACTGAAAACAGCAGTGGAGCGTACGACATTAAATGACATCCACATGCAAACAATCAAGGTGAGACAACAAACAGGGCCGCGGTAAAGCTAAGCAAATGGAAATAAAGTTTTGTTTTTACTTTATTCAGATACTCAAAACTACTATTCAGGGTTATAACCAATTTGCAAAGGTCTAAAATGAGGTTTGTCTTTGACCTGTAGACTAGCAGACCTTTAGCAGCTGGTAATAAATTAGTATTTTCCGCAGAGTTTAGTTCTGTGTGATTCCTCTGCTTGATGTTTGATTCTAGTATCATTTTATCCTTTCCTTTATTTTTTCTTCAGAGTCTTACCTCCCCTCGGAAAATCCTAAACACGCCCAATCGACTGAGTCCACACAGCGCAGCAAGCACTCCTAAACGGTCCCCGGCTGTTGGTCGAAAGTCTAAGCTGTCTTCTCCCGTGATAGGGTCACCTGATGAGAAACCCAAACCACAAAATGGACTGGTAAGGAGAGACAGCTTCCACGATATTGGATCAGACAATGAAATGGATGATCCGTTCTTCAATTTTGACTCCGAAGAGATGGATGACGAGGAACTTTATGCTGAATCGCTTTTGGAGGAGCTAAAAAAGCAACAGGTGAGAAGAGGAACAAACGAAATTATAAATAGTTGATTGGTGTGGAGGATGCGCGAGTCTTTTTTATTTCTTCTTCATTTTTGAGACCATTCAAAGATAAAACTGAAGCAAAACCCTCCCGGTTTATTTTGGACACTCATTTGAAACTTGCTTTTTGAGGCATGAAGAGTAGTACCAGCTCATAATTCAGTGGTTATTTTTTCCTTGACGTTTCCCAGGAAATGAATAACGTCCAGTTACAACAGCTCCAGACAGAAGAGGCGACAAGAATTCGACTGAATCAAACCGTCAACAAACTTGAACACCAAGTGCAGAATCTCACGTCGGTGAGTAACTTTACCCGGGAGGTTAATATTTATACAATATTATCGGAGAACGCTGCTCAACCCACCTGCCAAGACCGAGGAATAAAGAAAGAATCTTTGCAAGTAACGGGTTGAACTGTAAATCCCCACGTTATTGATATGTGACGAGGTGCAATAACTTTTGGTTGGATGGCCTTGTTACTTGATCAGATAGCGCGTAGCAACGTCCAATCAGACTGCATACGAGCTAAAGTGTTTTTGTACTTTTCAGGTTCTTGTAGCACGACCATCATTATAACATTTATTTGTTGACCGATGTAATCACGCTCGATGATGTCTTTTAGTTCCCCTTAAAAATAGAGCCATGGTTATTTTTTCATTAAAATTAACATATCGTTGTATTTTCTGTGCTTATTATGCAACAATCAATTTTTTTGGACTTACCTTTTTAAGTTTTGAACAGCAAATGCGAATTCGTTTCATTTTCTTTTAGGTTCTAACCAGTGAGCGGGAAAAGCATGCTGCAACTGAGACTGAGCTAAACATGAGGAACCTGGGTCTTGCTGACAAGCTGAAGGAGGCCCGGGGAGAACTTACTGGTATGTTAAAAATGTGTTTTTCAGAGCAATTACTAGTTATCTCAACCATTACTACATGAAGATGAACTTATTACAAACACGCCAGACCATACTACTGTGTATATCAAATACTAACATTGTTTACTGTTGTTCTCGATGCAGTACTCCGAAGTGAAATAGAAGATTTGAAATGCTCAATGCAAGCTTCACAGAGACAAGTTGATTCGCTGAAGAAGGAACGAGACATGGAAAGTATTGAGTCTGGCAGAAGACTTGCCACATTGGAGAGTAAGGTATAGGAAACATAAATCTTATGTATTTTTAGTTTAGTTTTGTTGTCATCATCAGGCGTAGAAAGTTTGCTTAAACAAGAAAACAACACAGTACACCTGCCTAAGGGGGGGAGAGGACATAGTCGAATATCAACCGGCTACTAATTCAATCGCATAAACATGCAGCACCGCATTTTTTTATAGAAGTTAATCACTATGTTTATTTGATTTCAGTTAACAAGGCTTGAAATAGAGAACTACAATCAACAGACAGAAATGGAGAGCTCTATAGAGATGAACCAGCACTTACAGGTGAGGCGCGCAGTATTCGTGTTACTTCCCGGACTTGCTATTTGCTGCAAAGGAAAGGGAAAGGGTAGAGACAACTGGCTTTGTTTTCCGATGCAATACTTCAACAATTTGAAGTTTTGCAATTAGAGAAATTAAGACGGCTGTTGCAAAGCAGATTGGATTATTACAAGTAACTTGATTGTTTGATCTGCTCCAGGCGGATGTAGAGACACTCAGAGATGAACTGGAATTCAAGAATCACAAAATTGAAGAGGTCGAGAGCATGTTACAAGCAGAAAGACAGAGACTCAAGGACATGGGACAAGAATTGCAGGTACAAAAGCAACAAGTTAGGGTTAGACAGTTTTTCGCCGTTTTTTTTTTTTTTTAACTCCACCGGCGTTCATACCATAAATGGTGAGTACGAAAGAAAAGGCCATTGGGTTTAAGGTTGGCGATGACAACACTGCAATAATTATCAAGAACAAGTCTTGATTCAGTGTTAGCAAAGATATCAGAATCATTTTCAGTTGCCATGATATATTGAGATGATTTTATTGAATGTTACTTTTTTGTTTCTAGGGAACTTTGGAGAAGTTAGACATTCAAACTGAGACAAATAACAAGTTGCTGGCTCAACAAGATAAACAACAGGTAGATTACTCTGTACTGAACTTTAACATTCTTGGTGAGTTATTGACACTTGATTACTTATCGTATTGTATTGTAGGATATGGTGAGGGCTCTGGAACAGCTTGTGGCCTTGAGGACAGAGCTACAAGAAAGCAACTTGACTTGTGAACAACAGGTGAGACAGCTTGCGCCAAAAGGCTGGCCGCCATGTTGTATTCTGTAGCTGAGGAAGGTTCTTACCGAGAGGGGAAAGGGTGTCGGGCGATGGGCGTGAGAAAAAATCTTTGCTAAAATTTAATATGGCGGCTTAGCTAACTGTCGGTAGTGAATACTGTGTTCCCTGTGCATTCAATGAAATGTGAAACTGAGATAAAATTCCGCAACTTTTATCATTTTTGTACAAAATGAGATTTGGTTCCATACCACTAATGCGATGGGTTTTGTTTTCACAGGCTCAGAAAATACACTCTTTGTCAGAGGAACTCGATGAAGCAAAGACCAGCATTAGAACGTTGAACAAACGAAACGAATCCGACATCGTGAGTGACTTGGTGTTAGTTTTGTTTCCTCGGAAAGCTGTTATAATATTCTTACAGTAATAAATAAATATAACTGTCGATTATTTTCTCTCTTTCAGGATTGTGTTAACAATTTAATGGAGTCTGTCAAAGGTCTAAAAAAGAACCTTGGCGATAAAGAGGTGAGACTGTCTGTTAATATTCCTCCGTCACTTTACTACTGCGAATCTCAAGAGAATTTGTAAACACTCTACTTGTACATTGATTTTGCTAAAAAGTGACATTTATATTGCTTTATATCTTGTCGTGGCTGTTTCTCTCGAAGGCTTGTCTCCATTTCAAGTTTTTTTTCCTCTTCTACTTGACAGAGGAACCTTTTCGCTTATTCACGTGATTTGTTAAACCATGGGACTATACATTATTTTTTTTGTTCTTTTTCTACAGAGTGAACTCTCATTTATCAGAAATCAACTAGAGGAGAGCAAACTTCAGCAACAGGAGTTGACAGATAGTATAGAAGAAAAGGTAAATTGTTGTTGTACACATTGGGGCTTTTGAGAACAGTGCTTTGTATGGTGCTAGTGTCGATGGGTTTTTCAGTGTCCCAAAGGTAGGCTAACGCGAATGTCATTCTTTTTCAATAGAAACGAACCATCGAGAAACTGAAGGAAAAACTTGACCGAGAAACGGAGAAGTTTAACAAAGAAAGATTGGATCGCGAAACTGAAGTAAGTTGTCACTCTATTTGTGTCGTTATTACTTCTCTAATTCTGTGGCATTCTTCCTCGTTCAATATTTTTTATCATCAACAACGAATACACACAACACAACGGGGTAACGAGAACTTAAATGAACAAGTGTACTCACTAAATATCAAATCCCGTACAGGCCTGAATTTTTTTCAGGCCTTATTTTCACTACTACTCAAGTAGTGTTCATTACTGCGAAGATCGCTTTCATACTCATGTAAATAATTTTTGTCGCAGATGAGTCAGTTGAGAGATGATCTTCGTCGTACCACTGAGCAATACAGAGAACTTAACCAGGCCCTGGCTCAACAACAGCAACAGATCACATGTTTGCAGGTGAGTTGCAACTTATTTCTTATTCATGAAATTCAAGCCGAAGTGAATAATTGATGTGGTTGCTTTAAGAGCTTTCTCACACTATTTTTACTAAGCCGGAAACTTGAAGGAGTAAGGCCATGACATCTTTCCCGATCACTACTCGCGTATTTGTTGTGAAGAGCTGAAACTGAAGAACAGAATTTGCCTAGAGTGTGTATAACTATCGTATTGTAGCCGAAGCATCAACACTTTCGTAGATTGGAAGATGTTCTGTGGCAGGCAGAAACAAAGCAGACTTTCCTTCAAGCTCAGTTACGTCAAGATTTCGTTTGTCAAGGATTAACCGGCGGTTGTAGTTTGAAGACATTTAGAGTTGGAGGAGCGTAACCTGGTGCTAGTGAACCATTAAACACGTCACCATTACCATCATTATAAGAAAGGGAGTGCTTCTAGGCACTGTTATGTACCCTTTTATGTTTTATCCTGTTAGTGTTTAGCTGTCCCCAATTTGACTAACCAGCCCCACAAGACTAAACGACTTGTAATGTTAAATTCTTTTTTTCTTGGAAAGTTGATCCGCACTGGGGAGTGCTTTTCAGCGCTATCTTAAACCCCAGTTTGGATTGCTTTTTGGTGGTTTTCCTCTTTCAATCCTATATCAGCGTGAAAAGTCATTTAACACTTTCCCAATGTTTTATTTTAGAGCTGAACTCTTTACTTTTCTGTACGGCGAGTGCCTCTAGGTGCTGTATTAACGCCGTGAATGGTAAAAGGCCCAACCACAAGAGAGTGCTTTTGAGTGCCGATTATCCAAAAATGTGATTGAACATTTTACCACAACTTGTGGCTTTTAAAGTTATTTCATCATACGAACTCTGAGAGTTACGATTCTCTTTGGAGCCTTTTGAGAACAAACTTTTATTATTTTATCAGCAACAGATTCGTCCTCTCTGCCATGGCTTACACAAAGGGAATTTTATTTTTAAACGTTTTAGATGTCTTGGACTGCATCACCTCTTTAAGTTGGGCCTAAACTTACCACTCCTTTCTGAGCCCCTTAGCTAATTACCTTCTTGTCTTCTGGTTCAAGGCCATCAGCTGACATAGATCCCGGATGTACTCTTCTTGACACAATTCCCATTTATGCAACCCACATCACGTGATCCAGCGCCCATGTGAAGGTCATGGAACTGACGTTATCGGCGCGTTAAGATGGTTTACAAGATTCAGCATCATACGACATGGCTTTCTCTTATTAACATTCTTTTGCCACTCAAAACTGATCTTATTTTAAGCGTCTATTTATAAGCCTTATATTTATGATCAGGCTTTAATTTGGCCTCTGGCTAAGGTTTGTAGTTTTTATTTTTACCCACGGACGCATCTCAAGCGTACCACTTTCGTTATTCTGTATCCTGAACTCATACCTCTTCAAACGGTTTTATGGATTTTATTTAGTGTAGGTTTATTTACCTATCAGTATATTTATCTTATCTGTATAACTGGTGAGTATGCGTATCTTGTGTGTATCAAACATCTTAGACTGACTCAGAAGATGATCTCTGAGCTATTGTCCCGTTTTTTATGTGGCTTCTGTAGGGTATAATGAAAATAGTATTGTCTCACAATCTCTGATCAGGGAATAAGGGACTGAAGTTTTGATTAATTAGTATAAACGGTTTTCTGTGCGGTTTTTTCTTAAATATCTTTTTATAGCCAGTATTCATACGTGGGTTTAAATATTATACGAGAACGCAAGGTATTTTTTTATACAATATTTAATATATTGATCCAAGGCAACTTGTACATATTTATAGCTAAGAGTATTTTACTAAAGCCATGGCTGCGGTGTGCTTATGGTGTTCATTGGTTTTATATTTGGTCTCTTGTATATAGGCTTACAGAAAGTAATAATTTATATCAAACAAATGCCAGTGAAGACTGCTTTGTCTCTCGCAGTGCTTCAGCTCATACTCAGCTCAATGTTTGTAGGCTCCCGGAACAATATGACATTCATTGGATAGATCCTCTTTTACATATACATTTAACGTTTTGAAATGTAGCGTCAAAGTTGTACTGATATTTTTACACCAAAGGGATTTTCAAAGTCGTATTTCATCTAACATAAAGGGGCGAGAAATAACATGACGCAAAGCTTATTAAACGAATAAGTCACGAATGAGGCAATGACAGTAGAAAACACCTCTCATTGTAAGATATGAATTTTAAGGATCCAGAGACCACGAGAGCTCAATGGCCTCTTGCAGTGCCCGTATTTTGTAATCCAATTTACATTGTCAAGAGCTTGAATCTTGAGTCGATGCACTGTATTAACCAATAGTGTGTTGTTAGATAGGTACAGTCGCATTGTGTATATATATATGAAATACATGATCACATTGCAAACAGTGAATTTTCAAGGGTGTTTGTTCTTGATGCATTATTGTAATGCAGTTGATTACGACAATACTCCCCCATCTCACCCCCTCTCTTTGGTTGATGTTATCTAACTGCGAAATAACAAGGGAGAGGTAAGAAAAAACGCTGACAACACCTCAAATTTTTCCCCTCTGCATTTAGCTGGTGTAGAGTAGCCAGCATGTGTGTACACTGTACACTGAACGGGAGGCGTTGGCAGTATTTTACAGACAGAATGAATGAAAGAAAAAACTGGGCTTTTTTCACAATAGGTTGTAATTACAGGCTTTGTTTGCATATTGTGATGTACGAGGTTGTAACGTGATAAGCAGTTCCCAAACCCATCAGTTGTCTTTCTTAACATTTCCACTGAATAAACGCAAACTCCCCCAAAGAAAGTAACAAGTCTAAGGGTCCTGACTGCCGTAGGAAGAGAAACAATGTCGGGGAAGAAGTCTTTGGCTGAAATGAATCGGATTGGGACGTTTACAACTATCTTAGAACTGTTAGCGTCCGGTTAAAAGTTACTCTTTACAATTAAAACAAAAGTTTAAAATAATATTCCTCTCCTTCACGGTGTTTTTAATCAGCCAAGGCCCATGCTTCTCAGTAGACAGAGGCTAAATGTTCATTGCAAATAGTTACGTTTCCTATGCTGAACTTGTAACTATTTTTTGGTAGAACGTATTTAGTTTTCCTCCCAAGAAATATCGTAAAAAGTAATCGAGAGAGGAGCTGTAACAGTTTATACCAAGTTAGTGGCCTGAAAGCTCACTGCAACCAATGGGATGGATAGCAACTCGAAATGGGAAAAAAAGTATAGGCATAACTTATTGTGTGAAGGATTTACATTCCCTGAACATTTAAATGTCCATTTTTAACGCAGTCTGATTTGAAAGACAAGAAGACTACAGTGGTGACCTTAGAAGACAAGGTAAGAGAATTTTGCTGGAAACTGAAGTTATTTTTTTATGTCCTACTTTGGAGTTATCCGGTTGGTCTAACAGCTGGGACCTCTACATACTCAATTTGACATCAAAGAGGAATTTTTATTTATGATATCTCCATCGCGATTGGCTACGATTAGTTGTCATTTATCATTTTATGTTTTGTTTACCCTGAGTCAGAATTAAATGCCCGCATTGATCAAGTACGAAGCACGAATAAATGAGTCATTGTGTTATTTTCAAGTGGACTCCTCAAAGAATTATCGATAGGAATGTTTTCCCAAGCGTGGTAACTCTTTTACAGACTTCCTCAAAAATCCCCTTTTATTCGTATTCAAATCTACCCTTTACATTAAAAAAAGAAAACGTACTCTAGCTATAACGGTAATATATAGCTTGTTTGATATTCCTTTTGTTTAAAATTGTTTGATTCGGGCGATAATGTAAAGCAAAGGAAAAATTTACTTCAGTTCTACCCTTTTGTCCGTGATTATCCCGGTTTTAAGGGTAGTGGACAATCGATCCGACAGGTTGCCATGGAATCGTCTCGATCACTTCAGCGTTATCCGAAACGATCGGGGCATTCCGAACGATCCATGAGGACCAAGGCTAATGCAACTTTTGGTAGGAAGGGTAAATCTGCTCGGTTGTCCATTATAACTTTTTTCTTTTTTAAACCAAGCTATTTGAAGAGCGGGAAGTATAAATTTTTTGTAAGCCTCGCAAGGTTTTCTACCTAATCTGGGATTGCTTTACTTCTGATAACGTTTCTACAGGTGCGAGAAATCGAACAATCCAAGGCCGAGCTGGAGTCTCGATACGAGAGTCGGCTGAATCAGTTCCAACATTTGAACGAATCACTGGACGCATCTGGAATGATTGAATCACATGAAGCTGAGTTGGACAAACTGCGCACCACACAGGTATTTATCAAACGGAAATACACTTGGTCAAATAATATGCAGAAAGATACTTCCTCGTCGATTTATAAACATGTTTCAAACCAGTGCCCTGGTGGAACTATGGGTCTGGTTCAGATATGGGAAAAAAACATTTGTATGAAACGTTGAACTCGTGTTGTTACCGCTGTTTTTTGTTTTTTTCCGAGCCTCATTACAAAGCTAGAAAACGTTTCTCGAGGGACGAAATGTCGCACGACAATTTGTAATCTAGTTTTCGACCAGTTTAGCTCAAAGTTAACTCAATTTTCCAGGGATTTTCTATTTTATCTAAATCATGTATGTGTTAGTTCCAACAGCAATGTTTCGTTTCTGTAACTTTCATCACGTTTCATTCCAGTCCATTGGTTTGATAACTAATCATGGAGGTAGCAAGTTCCTTCCATGTTGCCTTTCCTTCACCTTTATTCACTCTTATTTCTTGTAGTTCAGTATGTCAAAAGTGATCGATAACTTGGAGGCTCATCGTCAAGAAAGAAATGAAGAAATTGAATTATTACGAGGTCAACTGGAGGAGATGGATGAACTGAAAAGAAATAACGACCTGCTGGAAACACACTGCAAGACACTCACTTATCAACTGGAGGCTGAGAGGAACGAAGCCAGAGAAAAGTAAATACTGTAGTCTTTATGTTAATTATAGAGAGACCTCAGCGTAAGCGGATTCGTCGTTTAAGTTCATAAGGCGTCCTCTTTCAGGGGATTATGACGAAGCCCGCTGTTAAGCCTACTGTTTTGTCATTTTCAGAGAGGAAAAGTTCAAAACTGAAGCTGATGAGTCAAAGAAGCAATTAGAGGCCGCCAATGAGAATGAAAGAAGTGCCACGGCGCTGAAGGTCAGTCACTGACTTATGATAAGTCGGTTTAGAGAAACTTGAACTTCTACTATAGAGAATTTCCAGCGTTTCATTGCGACTTAGGGTGCTTTCGCGGTTCAAAAGGGACGTGTGCTTTTCAAGATTTTCTAAAAATGTGGCGGCAATTTTTTTTGCCAGCGAAACTATCGAAATGGCTGTCACAATTATTGTTTCAAAATTCATTGGTTTGCTGCTTTGCTTTCAGGACCAGATTTTATCGGAGAAAGCAGCCATCGAATCAGTGTAAGTATTCTGTCACTCGTCACAATGGGAAGAATGTGGGTAAACAGGTTAAAGACATGTCATGTGATTTTATTGGTATACTACCTTTCTAGGAATATCCTCGGAATGGAAAACGTAAGTTTCGTGTGGTTTTCCATTGAACTGACATTCGGCTGTCGCCCTTTTTCTTGGGTTGTGTTATGTTCAGTCACCTAACCAATTTACGGTTTCTTTTCTCAAGTCCATTACTTTTTAACTTGACACAAACGATTATCAGAGCTCTTTCCGTAATCAGGTTAGTCCTGTCTGGTGTACACGTGTATCACATGAATGAGGAGAAGGCTGAGTAGAATATGTTAATTCATGGACGAGAAAAAGATGTTTGTTACTGAAATATCGCAATGAAGTGCTCTGATTCTACAGCACTCCTGTTTTCGTCCTTTCCAGCGAGGGTTTATAGCCTGCTTGTTTCTTTACACAGGTTGGCTGCAGCGAAGCTAAACATGGAGACAGCACTAGAGGATGCTGAATACATGGCCGAAGAACTTGAAAGGTGAAAAAAAGAGAGATTTGACATTGATAAGAAACAATGAATACATGCCCAATCCAATTTGACAGTCTGAGTTTACGTCAACTTGGGTCCATCAGTAAGAGGCTCTTAGCTTCTTTTAGAGCGATTCAGGTACAAGATAATAGTAGATTGTTATTATGATCCATTGTCAGGAACTAGTGACTTAAATACAGAAACGAGGGTCACGAACTACCCGCGAGTTGTCGTCCCCTAAATAAATACACTTGAAGCCATCTGATAACGCGTAACTTTTTTATTAAGAATGAAAATTTTCAACTGTGAAAGAGTTTTTGAGATTGTTTTAAAGATTATTTTTCCATGATATATCATTTTTATAAGTATCATTTGTTTTATTTTGATGTTTTGTTTTGACGAGTAGAAGAGATGGGAGGGAAATCCAAGGTCATATTTGCTGTTACTGCATTTTTAAACTCGTCCTGATATTTCGCATTTTAGAACTCGACAGCTTGAGAAGCAAGGATTTGAAGAAAAAGAAGAACTGAAATCTAAACTTGAATCCGCCATGGAAGAGAAGTTCAAACTGGAGAAGGTAAGAAATGTTATATCGGTATTTAAGGTAAATTTTCCTTTCTCAGTAAATGCATTTCCTTCGTCGCCAAAAACTTGAGAAGCATTCTTGAGTACGATTTGACTCTCCCCAATTAAGGAGTGTAGGGTGAGTTTGCTTCAGAACAAATTTATACAAGTGTTAATTAAGAGTTTCTTTGTTATTTTTTTTCTTGCTTGGCCCTTTAAATTTTGCGTGTTGTAAAATTCTTTTCGAATGTATGGTGAAAGATGCGAATATTGTGCATGTAACGATTATTGTGCCTTTTCTTTTGCGGTTTGTTTGTGGTAGGTATTGAAAAAAATTGAAGAAGAGAATGCTCGATTGAAGGGCCATCAGAACCCACAACAGAAAGTACAGCACTTGTTGGCAATTAAAAAGGAAAATAATGCTCTTAAAGAGGTAAGATACTTTCGATTAGCAAGGCCATTTAAAGCTCAAAACGTTCTGGACAATATTCTTGAGGCTTTCTGCTCACACTGAGGCACACAGCTCTCCCAACGGCTACGTGCGAAAGTATTTTTAAACGGCGCGCAATGACACCTTGGATCACTCAAAGGCCGCGAAGAGAAATCTATGTTTATGTTCCATATTACTTCCCTCGTCTCTTAAATTAGAAACGCAAACCGTCAATTTTACTCATGATGACCTCCTAAGGCCATATATTTGTTTCGCTTTTTTTAATTTCTTTATTAATTATGTCACAGTCAGACCCCAGTTGTTCGAAGAGTAGACAACACTACCTACTGGATAAATCTCCGGTCGGTAGGGCAGTATACGTTTTGTCAACAATTATCCTTTGGATAGTGTTTCCCACCCTTGCTTGATCTGAGTCTCCAGGAAGAATCCAACACGCTCCAGTGCAGAATACTCGTTCGTGGGCTAGGCCACTTCAAGGTTAAGTTTTTATATCGCCATATTTCTTTTAATAAGATAACAGTTTGTTTTGTTTCTTTTTCTATTCAGCAAGTGAACAAGCTGATTAAAGAAACCCAGAAGTGCAGTTGTAAAGGGAAGAAAGCGCCACTTAACAGCAAAAATGGAGGAGGTGAGGGCAAGAAAGAAGGAAAATCAAAGACAAGTTCATCAAGCGAGGAAGAAGGGACATCGGATATAAAAGATGCGATGGACAAGGAAAATGTGTTTTCTGCTGCTACTTGAAAACTTTTGCGTTACTTGCTATCTAGTGGGTCAAGGTTTTAACGTTCAGTCAATGATTACAAAGGAAGAAATTGCGTTTTACCTGTGACTTCATCTGCTTTGTAAAGGAGCAGTTACACGAGTCTGAAACACGATTGTACGACGAATACAGACTGATTATTAAGCAAGTTATTTTAGTTTAGAACTGAAGTTGGTTTGTGTCTTGGGGCGAGATGAGAAAACATCCATGAAGCCACGAATATGGCTTCTTTTTAACAAAAAGCGGTGTTCTCTCTAGGCCTGCCTAGGAATATGCTAAGTAGTCACTTATGTTTTAGGGTTTTAAACGGGACCCGATGGGGAACCGCGTATATTTCTATATATTTTGTATAACTGTGGCTATGATCTATAAGTATAGCTTTCATTACAGCGAGGTGTTTAGGTTCAAAACAGTGAATTAGCAGCCGGCATTGTCAGCTTGTTAAATTCGCTTATCTTGTGAACCGATCCACGGGCTTTTGATATGTACAAGAATATCTAACATATTCTTCAATTTCAGGAGATCGACGAGTACTTGTAGTCTAGAATTTCAAATATCTCTATCATAGTTTGATTGTAACGCATGCCGTGCTCAGCATCATACAGTATATGCACTATCAGCAGTCATTCTGCTATTTTTAAAGAACTCAGTAACAAAACCTCATCTTATCCTAAGTCTATTTCATGTTTTATTCATTATCAGAGCTTTTTCCATGGTACACACGTATTATTTTTGTGGCACTCTTGATCCCTATGTATCAACGAACGCTTTCCATTTCTTCAATTCATTCTTGTTTTTCTCGTTAACCAATAGCGTGACCCCATCTTTCTTTAAAAAAAAAACCACCAACTCACCTTAAAAATTTCTTGACGGTGACCAATAATGGCATAATCGATTCAGTTAATGAAAAAAATTATCTAGCAAAACCTTTCACAGACGTATCACCACAGTTTCTTTGCAGACTCATCCCCTTCATTCAGTTGTTGATAAACACATGCTTACTTTGAACTAGGTAATTTAGTGTTAACAACTGGGTTGAAAACGTAAATTAGCCACCGTAAAGGGTAAAAAAGCTGACGTTTCGAGCGTTAGCCCTTCGTCCAATCGCTTTGACGAAGGGCTAACGCTCGAAACGTCAGCTTTTTTACCCTTTACGGTGGCTAATTTACGTTTTCAACCCAGTTGTTAACACTAAATTACCTGCTATACTCTCCCACCGACGCAGCACCACAGTTTCTTTAGAAACTTACCCCTTTATTCACTTACTTTGAACTGTTACTATCGCTTAACACTGGGTTACTAGTAGAAGATTTTTTCTTTTAATTGAACGCATAATCTTACTGTTTTCAGTTTTATAATTGATTGACTGGTCTATCAGTCGACAAACTAATTATTTTCTAAATAGCAATTTAAGAATAACAAATCATTACAACGAAAGATGACTGACAGGCGAAGACATAATAATGAAGCCTAAAAATCACGGAACTATTTTTTACCTTATTGACTACACGTGAATTAACGAACAAAGCTGTACACAAGGAGCAAGTAGCCTAATCTGAGAAAAAAAATTCAAGAAAATAAAGGCTCGAAATATTCCACGACGTGCTCTCCACTATTGAAGCACCATGAGTTAAATAAGGGTCCGTCAGAGGTAAAAAGGTACATCAAAAAGAGGCTATTTACATTAATTTGGCACGCCTACAATGACTAAGAATTTCACCGAAAATACTACCTAGATTTCATATTATGAGGTAACTGACAAAAGACCCGTTGATGGTAGGCAGTTAAATTTAATAGGAAATGTCAAGATTGGCTCATTGTAAGGTACGAAAGTTACACCAAATAGGGGCTGTCCAGATTGGCCCGTCCTGAAGAAACCCCTCCATCTTGATGTGCGGTGCTTTTGGTTCGCATGAGATGTCCAACCTCTCTGTTCACTAACACTTCATCACCACGACTGAAAAAAATGAAAAAGAGAAGATTATACAATGGTAACAGTCTTTCTCTCCGATAACCTTCAGCAAAAATGGACAATTCCTCCTTCTGAAGCTACCATAATTAGAAACTCAAACTTTTGACCACCCTGGTAAACGAATACCCCTTTAACAGAAAATTTAGGTGATCTCTTGCGGATTATTTCTTCCCATTTTCATCCTGAGAGCAGGGGCAGCACCAGTTGGCGCTCCGGCAAGGGTGGCAAAGCCCGTAAGAAGGAGGACTCTCCTCGCTCGTCGGCTAGAGTCTCCCATACTTCGCTGCTTGTGCCGCACCGCCAAATGAGAGCCTTGCCCGAAGGCCCTGAAGTGGCGGCAGAGGTGGCTTGGTCACATGACTTACTTTAAAAGTATTCCAAAACATCCAATCTCACTGAGTACGTCAGCTAAGACTGGTTTAGGAAGTTCTGCACGAACTATGTAGTTCTTGACGATGGGTGGTTTGATTTTTTCCATCAAAATGAATTTGGATCTTTCCTTCACATCAACTGTTGAAGTAAGGGTCTTGACAATGTCGTCTCCAAATATGTTATTCCCTTCAATTGGAAAGTAAACAACAACAATCAAATTATTACTGAAGGTTTTCAGTTTAACAGAGAAACAAAATTTGAATCATTTGCTACAGCAACAAGGCATTCCCCCCACTTTTAATAGGTCACCGGTCAAGAGCTTCAAATTTCTCGCGGAAGAATAGCATGTCTCGCGTTTCGGCTGTCATCATTAAGATTTTACTAAGATTCCTCTCTACGAAGCTTTCCATCTGGAAAGCCAGAAAACTGACCAGCCCCGGGCTCAGAGTAGCTGAAGAGACCTATTGTAAAGCCAAAAGAATTTCTCTCTAATTCTATAGACTTTTAGACGGATAGCTAGTCGCTTGTAAGGATAAACATCTCCGGTAAGATTTCGGATAAAAAAACTTCAGTATTTTAAACAAAGCCAAAGTTGTTATAAATGAGAAAGCCCTACCTCCTCCTTCTAGTTGTGGCTTCAAAACAAATCTCTCGGGATCAGCTAGAGCCATTTGAACGGTTTTATCTCCTTCAGGTCCCTGTATCGTAAACAAATACTTCATGAGCTTTGTCAGGGAGGGTTATTTGGATCAATAACTCTTGGAATCAAAGACAATGGTAACAGTATCACGTCCGACACTTTGTTTTCTCGTATTTGTAGGTTTGTGTCCTATCTGTTTTCATTCTTTTTTTATATCGCTGCCAGCCGGCATCACTGAATCCTTAAAAATCATTAACCACCCACCTTTCGAACTAAGTAAGCTGGTCTATAATTAGGCTGGCAATTGCACTCTTCCAAAGTAAACAAATCGAATTTTACGTTAAGGACGTGCTTTAATCGTTGAAAGAGAGATTACTCTTCAAATTGGGATTAAAACAACCAACAAGGCTATTTTGGATTCATTAACACTGGATGGATTCAGTTACAGGTAAAGAAGTGATAGAGTTCAATTTAAATTACAGTTTAACTTCCCTCACCTCATCCAGTGTAAAGAGTCCAGTGAAGGTTCTACGTATCCTGTTTAACATATCCTCATCTGATATGAATCTGGATCAAATAAATCACAGACAGAATCAAATAGGATGCAAAGCACCAAAACAACTTCCCTCCTTAAGTAATTAATCCTGGTGGCCAATGTCTTCCCTGTGGGAAATACTTAGACCCAATTTATTTGACCAGGTTGAACTACATAGAAACAAATTACCAAAAAAACTGACTTGTACTTTATTAGCAATTCTTATTATTTGTAAACCCAACATAAGTGGTATATGGATTGTAAGCTACCTGACAGTGGAGTTATCAATTTGGTAATGAGGATAAAAAACACTTTACCAGGAGACATGGCATCTAAACCAAGTAAATATATAAACAGTGAAACTGTTCCCCTCCATAACAATGTTAATTTTTAGGGAAATGCCCCCTGACCTATAACCCCCCCCCTTGCCAAAGTGCTGTTGAAGTACACCTTGTTTTATCATGCATGAAGTACTTAGATGCACATGGTCATACTGGATTTCTGATTATCTAATTCAGGTCTGAAGTAATACCATAAGTTTCAATATGACTTGAGAATATAAACCTTCCCTTTCCCAATTGATTTCTTTTGTCCATTCCACCCTTGAGCATCCCCTTACTCAATTTTATACTGAAAGAATACAGATCCAAATGAGAACATTCACAACTCATACTACTGACCTTTCCAATGCCCCAGGTGAAGCTAGCACTTGTTGAACTTTCTTTGTACCAGCAAGATGAATTGCAGCTGATGGACACTTGATAGCTCTGGATTTTTCCATCATCAGACGAGTGTTCCAGTCCTGTGTAGGGAAAAAAATCAGATGTCAAATAGATGTTAAACATAGGGTTTAGATATGTGATAAAAAACATGAGACCTCCAGCCAACCACTGAAAAGCTCCTTAAACCCTACCACCATTTGGAGAAACTGCATCAAGTAATTTATTTCAATGGTTTAAAATAAATTTCAGCAGAGATGACATGAATGAGGAAATACATCAAATGGTTGATAGTTTGATAAGTATCAACTTCACAGAGCTATAATTTTATGGAATGTACTGAGGAAAGTAAAGGTTATTGGGGTTAGGGTAAGAAGAAATTTGAACTGCTAAGTGGTTGAGAGCAATGTTGCTAATGTGTAAGAAAGCATTTTTAAGGTGAACACGTCCAACTTCCCTACAAGGGACTGTGTAAGTTGCTGGTGATTGCAGAAGACTTGGGCCATCATTAAGGCTATGCAATAGGTTTTGCAAGTGGCATATATAAAAAGGAGACAATGAAAGTTTCCCAATAAAAGATGATAACTTTTTCAAGGTGAGCTCATAATAACTTCTCCTCCTGAGATCTCATGATCAATTCTCCTTACCATCTGCCACATATTTCTCATAATTCTAGCCCTGAGGAATTAGATTTTAAATCAAACAATAACTCTACCATGGTATTTTTTTTTTGTAATCACTCCTCTGTTTAAAAATGTATATGATAATAAAATATTCCTTTTTAGTCACAACTAAAGGAGAAAAAATTGACATTTTTACAAACCACTTCTGATTTATAATTATCTGGATCATATCCAGCCCTGAAATAAACAACAGCAACTTCATATCCATCCCTGTAAACAAACACAAAGAGCTCGTTATCAAAACCAAAGTCCTCTGTCCATGGTGAGTCTTCGGAAATAAGTCTAAGATGGAACATTTGTACAAGTACTGCTAACCTACAATAATGAGCAATATTGTGTTGAAAGTGAAAGAGATACAACAGTAAGAAGGGAAAATTCAGAAAAACATAAACAAACAATTCAGGTAGAAGACAAAGTGCTTACACAATCAGCGATTTATCATCCTTTAGTTCCCCTGTTTGGCCAATGTCGTTGAAGGTTTTTCTTATCATACGTGCAGATGGGTGGCTAAAATGTAATCACAAATAATACCAAATATGGATGTGAACAACTTGAAACAAATTTTGTGTAGATATAAGAGAACCTTTTTCTTTTTTTTCCAATGGCTACAAACACTAACAGAAAGTTTTTGTGAGTTCAGAGGAACAATTAATCAAAAGTAATTTCAAAAAGTAGTTCAAAAAGCTTTATGGAAGCATCTTTGGAAATCCAACAGGATCTTCACAATTGCCAGACAGCTTTATTTACAAAAATAGCTGCATTAGTCATACAAAGCTACAAAGACCAACATTTAAAACCACAATAACAAGATAAAATGTTATAGGTGAAGTTTTATGTACACTTACATTTCTCTCATAAGGTGCTGTATCCATCTCTGATCAAATCTGTTTTTCTCATTTTCACTAACAACCATCATCACGACTGCCCTAATATGAGTTAAAAAACTAAAAATGTAAAACTTATCCATGCCTTTGACTGAATGCCCCAAGAAATAAACTTGGAAGTTAAAAAATATTGGCTTGTAAGTCTTAGAGTTAACCCTTGATTCTGTGATATAAAGTAGCTAGAAGCCTTATTACCTCTACCCTAAAGAGAGGCAAATTCCTTGTATATGCCCTCCCTCCCTTCATTTCCTCAAGTTCACTGGTACTCTTTTATAATTCAGGGGGAGATAAGCACTGTGAGGGTGGAGAATCTGGCCTAATAATGCAACACAGTGACTGGACTTCAGCAAGCCAACTACTGATAATTTGTTCCCCATTGGCTGACTTGGTTCAAAAACGATTATTTTCTTATTTGCTCTGAACACATGCTTACTTTTCACTTCCATAGAGTTTCCAGGCATCCACAAATCCTTCAGCCACACCAATAGCAGAGGTATTTTCAGGAAGCTAGAGAAAGAAAATGAAAAAATAAGTTCATCAGTGTAGGCTTCATAAAAAAGTTCACCACAGAATCTATATGATAAGATCAATGGCACATCTAAAGCCTTCTCAATAGGATGAGAAACCAGTGTTTGTTTACCTTGGAGTAGGCCATTATGACCAGTAAATAAACCATGAAGGGCAAAGCAAGTCATACATCCTATTAAGAATTATTAAGTAGGCAATGATCAATTGCCACAAGCTGCTTTCTGTTGAACTCAACAAAAAGAAGCATAGATGCACAATTTTCCACAAGCAATGAACTATGTAAAAGATAAATTTGCAAATCTTCAGTTTATGAATTAACTTTTTACACCCTATCATCCTGAATATTCTCCATACTGTTCTCGATACATTTCCTGAGGTGCTGACAAGGAGAATTTGTTTAACAATAAAGAGCTTCTCTAGTTGGTGATCACTTTCTTTATTCTTATGACATGAATGTGTGATTCAGGGCTAAGGGTTATACAGAAATTTGAAAAAAAAACACAAGCTACAATGGTCACAAAATCTATAAAACTGTACCCTTTCTTTGTTACTTGGTTCCAGACCATTTTGAAGATCTAAAATAAAACTGGAAAATAAATTCAGAAACAATAAACATTTCAATATCGCAAAAGAGGTTACTGCTCATTGTGGTGGTAGGTAACAATAAACTTCATTACAACTCAGTAGACAAAACCAAGTTATACATTACTGTTGTGATTAAGTTTTGACATGTAAACCTAAATGTGAAGGGCCATGAATGCAGATGGAAGCATTGCATTCTTTCAGTAAAAAATTTAAAATCAGTTGAAATAATAATAATTTTCTTTTACTAACATAAACATAGTTCAAGTAATCTTACTTGTGAAGCCCTGGCATCTGTGCACTTAGTCCACCAAATGAAGAAGCAATTGTGTTGATTTCAACCTGCTTAATGGTAAGATTTTCTGACCATCCATTGGTACCATCCAGCATGTAGTCGGATCGAAATATCCCCAATGAGATTGGCTGTGAAGTAACCATAGAAGATAGAGCTATAGGTATCAGTTGTTAAAAAGAGGGAAATAAAATCCTCTCCTCGGCAAATTTTTCCAACAAATTGTGCCAAATTGCATCAGAACACTCTAAAAGTTTCACAATTTTATTTGTAAACATGTCCCCTAGACCACCCCTCCCCCATTCTTTAACCAATTTAAGTATAACACAGTTGGTGCCAATTGATCGTCCCTCTCACTTTAAAATTTAAAGTTATTCCAAGAGTTAAAATTTTAAATCACTTTGTCAGCAAAACTAAATACAAAAGGAAACATTAACTAAATTTTTATTCTCCAAATTTTAAATCAGTACATCTTTGGTGACTATTCTAGCTTGAAACAGTACCTATTTCAATTTAAACCCCAGAACCAAAAAGCTTTACCAGAGATATTTATCAATGACCATACATTGCATGCTCTGTATTAACTATGAATAAAATATTTGCCCCACAATCTTTTAAAATTGAATTAAGAAAGTGAATGTATTGCAAGGAAATGTCTGAGTAGGGGTCAATTTACCTGTACAAGTCCCTCCTTCCTTGTCTTTTCATATATTTCATATATTTTGGCTGTGAATGCATCAACTTCAATGGTGCTTGAGACAAAAAATGGATATATTTTTTAAAAAAAATTTCCCCTAATTATGCAAAATATCAGAGGCCCAACAGAGTTTTCCCAACAAGATACATAGGTTGTGGTTCAGCATATATTTCTTGGTTCAGACATCATAGTTCATCTAGACAGACTAATTTACAACTTACATTTCCTCAGAGTATAACAAGGGACACATGGGGAGAGGATTTAAATTTGCTTAAGAACTCTAAACCAAGAAAAAAATTTAATCACGATATGATATGCAGCTCATATTTCTTAAAGTTTTGCAGAGAAACAAACAAGCAGAGTCTTTATGTATTGGATAAATTTTACAAACTATCTCATAATTTTTAACCCACCCCTTTAAAGCTGGAGAGATTTAGTTGTTTTCAAAAGGATCATGCAGCTGCTTATATTTACTTGAAACAGAAGCTTACCTTTGAAGAGCTCCCTTAAGGAATTCGTGATCTTGACTTACTCTGTGAACCAGCAAGTTGAAATCTTTCTGCACCTCTTTCGCTAGCGCAAACAATCGCTTCGGAAACGGTGTTGGAAGAAGAGTAAAGGGGGCATGATGGACTGCATGGTAAGAATCCTTCGCTCCCATTACGATGCCATGAGTTACACAGTAATCCTTCCCTTCTTCGGCCAAATAACTCACAAGTTCTTCAGGGGGGAGTTGTTGTGCCGCCATTTAAAGAAAATAACTGCGCCTGAGCCTGAGCTGGACACTTATTTGTAAGATGTGAAGCACCACGTCATATATAATTTGTAATTTATATGAGATAGGTGTTATTTTTAAGGAATCCGAGGATCTTTATTTGGCAATGACTTAACACTTTTCTACGCCAATTGCTCTTACCACCTGTCCACCATTTTGTTTGAGCGGCATAAACAACCCTAATACCCTAACCCCAAACCTCCGCATTCGCTAGGCGTGGTCGCTCAACAGTAAAATATCAGAATTCCCCTGAGTTTAAAAAAAAGAGAAATAACGATCAAGCGCGCTTTTCCTTAGGAAGCTTTTTCCAAATTCTTTTAATAATCGTGCAGGAATTTCATTCTATTGCTTGCTGACAATTATCGTTAGATCTATCACGCCATGTAACGGGCGTGGGCTGTCAATTTACTGGTTTGTCATGAACCCCGTTATCTTGTGTGGATCAACATGTTAAAATAGAAAACAAAGACAAAAATGGACAGAAAAAAAATTTGAAAATTTGAATTGGGAAAAGAATTCACAAAGTTCAAGAATTTTTACAAAGATAATCAAACTTTAAGAAAAAGCCGCACTGTTGTATTAAAATGTACGGCTGAGAGTTGGGAGGGGCTTAAAGGGCAGAGCCTTTTTCCTTTTTCGATGGTGCACCAAGTGAATAAACCTGTTAAGCTTGGCTCTCAACCGAGCCACCTGTTTCCGAAGATTACGTATCTTCAGGGTAGGACTAAGTTTTGGGAAGATCGTGTTGTGCCCGTAAGCCTTCAGTAACATTCGGCTAACGGGCTGCACCTTGTATCTAAATTTACGTTGCGATCCTCTTTCGAGACCCCTTCCTTTGTTCGTTGTCCCAAGTCTTAATTTTAGTTTTTCCCTTTTTTCATGTTTAAATGAAGAAAGCGAAGGCAAATAATTATTCCGAGTTCTATGACGGTGAACTTTAATCCTTGATCGGGAAACTCTCCATTGTGTTGTCTCTCTCAAATCGTGGTTAATTTGGATTCTATGGTTTCTTAAAGGATCATTTCGTTTCAAAAATGTATCATTTCCTCCAAAATCTTGAAATATTGTCGATAATTTCCCGAGCTGACTATCTTGGCTATGTTTTTCATTTGATGAAATCTTCCCTTGTGAAGCCATATAAGCGTTTGAAGCCGTGATATTTGTTGCTGAAGCAATGCTGATGATTTTAGTTGTGTTCTTTCTTTCTCCCCATTTAAAGAGACGGTGTTTCAGTATACGAGAAAGAACATCTGACAGGGTGTGAAACCCTTTACCATACCCTGGTCCGTCAATCATGTCTTGCCTTGGAATGGGTTTCGTCTGACGCTGTTGATTGGCTGTATCCCAATGAGTGACCATGTCAGGGAATGGAATAAGTGATGCTTTTCTTATCTTTGAGACTGAAGTTTCCCCTAAATACAGACATAAAGGAAGACGAACGATTTCAAATTTCAGAGCGCGCTTTCATGGCTTATGGGTAAAATCAAACCAGGCGTTAGGTAAAATTATTACAAGGGAAGGTCAAATCATCTCAGCTAAGATTATCGATCAAGAAATAAAAGCAAATTTCTAACAGGCGTGTCAAGAAAATAAGGAAATGTTTTTTAACCTTTTATCATTTTTTTTTATCAGTGCTCGATACAGAGGCTTGTTAGACTTAGTGGAGACGAAATCTTTTAGTAATTTATCTGGCAAAGGAAAAAGGAGGGTCTCGGAAACCTGTCACAGCGACAAGAGTGTTTCAACTGAAATTATTTCGCCTACGCTAGCGATTAGCAGGCATCGGCACGACTTCAGCTCCAGACCCAAGGGTAGCTGTTGAAGGTGAATATGAAAACCTTAAATAAATTTGAACCTCCCATACTTTTTATGTCATCAAAACAAACAGCACGATACCCAATTAACAATTACCCCCGACCTTCACTTACCCTTGAACTTATTATTCAGCCATTTGACAGCTTGAAAAGCTCCGCCTCCTGAGCCTGCGGTGTAATAATTGACCGCTATAAAATTTGCCCAATAACCAAATTTGTCATGGCAAGTGTTTAACTTCTCTCTTATCTCCTCGAAAGAATTAAGACATGGCTGAAGAGGATTGGCCAGGGTATTAAACCAATTTACCAACACCAGGCTCCAGTGGTCATTCCAGTCAACATTCCACCGAGACTCTCCGCGGTCTACACATTCCTTTAAGGAGCAAACAGAGATCAGCGAAAAACGAGGTCTTCGAAAAAGAGAAATTAAGATCTGAGAAAGTTCAGCCGAAACACAATTTCCTGCACGAGATTTTATGGCACGTTGAAAAAGAAAAGATTTCATTTGTTGTGCTTAACTTACAAACCCATTGTGACAACGAGTAAGACGAAAGAGACAAAAGGTTACTAAAAAAAAGGGACAAAATTATCAAACCTTCCAACAGTCAAGAGGTGTCAAGCAGAACTTAGGAGTCCACTCTCTACAGTAACTGTACATTTTAAGAGAAATTTGTATCTTCGCTAGGGGTGGGAGACACGGTGGCCCTAGTGCACTACTGACTCCGGGTAACCCTAACCCTAAACCCTATGATGGTTCATTGTCCAGAGGTCCGGGTCTCACAGCACCTCTCTTTACCCAGGAGTATAAATGGGTACCGGCAAATTGTCCGGGAAACTTGATGAAATGCTGGGGGGTAACCTTGCAATGAACTAACATCCCGTCCAGGAAAGAGTGCTAATACTCTGAGTCGCTTCTTGCTATTGAAACCGGGATAAACTCCGCCTGGGTGGGCCATTTGACTCGTGTACAGATTTTTCCCTTGCATATTTGATAGTGAATTGTTAGTTTGGTATAAAACTTTCACGCGAGAACATACCCTCTTTTTTCTACTTGGGGTTCCATAGCGGTTCTCTCTAACATATCTCCACATGTTGAACTCAGTATAAGGGAATCCGTGAAGGCCATTATTGTTGAACACAACCAGTCTACCTAGTCTGCGCATGTCGTTTAGAGTGGGCCAATCGGTGAACCCGTCACCCCAATTGTCCTTCAGTAGCACATACGGAGAAATTCCTGCCTGGTCAAAAACGTTTTTCAAGATCGTGGGGTTTTTTAAGTAATCCTCAAAGATAATTGTAATGACCACTCGGATGTCACTCTCCAGGAATTTTCTGATTTCAATCAGTGTGCTTAACAAGTCTGTTGAACCACTCCAGAAACAAGACGAGTGGCAAAGACGAACCTCCGCCGCGCCCCACCCTAAAGAGGAAAGTAACGAAGAAGAACAACGAGAACACTCAAGCTTAGATTTTACGGGATATTTTCCTTTGTCTGTGAATGTCTTAGCTACCTCATCGTTCTTTTCCCTATGTGTCTAACAAAGAAAACATCAAAGAAGCAAAACAAAACAAGGTGTGAGGTGATTTTACCTGGATATATGTCTAACATGAAACCACGCACACCATCCTTTAACTGCTGACTGACGCTAAAACGTTGATTGCGTGCCCATACAGCAAAATTTGGAGAATGCGAAAAGGAGTTATGGGTAACAAGGAATGCCACTTTGTTAAAGGGTCTGCCATAGTCCTAGGGAACACGTGCAATCGATGAATACATATTTTGGATCTATGTAATATTTTCCTTGGTCCAGTCTTTACGATTTCTCTTTGTAATTCAAATTCTCGAAAACCAGCTGCCTTGAAGCTCATTACCTTATCATCGATGTACTTTTTTCAAACATATGATTGTTATGCAAATCATATAAGTTTAATTCTGTATATGAATACCCAGTACCTGCTCTGTCAAAGAGGGTACGCGTGACAGCTGACAAGTAGCATATGGCTTGTCGCACAGTCTACAGTCCAGACCATCAGCGCATGTGTATCCTGCTGAACATCTCTCATTTTCCAGCCTCGGGTGATGCAAGCATCTCTGATAACCTGGTTGGCAGCTGAGTCCCGGGGCACAGGGATATCCCGCAGAACAAGGCTCCTCGTATTGGCGAGGATGGTGAAAACAGGCCTGAAAAATTATTTCATCTCATAAATTAGATTCAAATTGAAAGAATTGAACCTGCCAGTTCTACCTTGTAGTAAGGTACTGTTTGGTTTAACCAACCTGAACTCCTGGCTCACAAGAAAGCCCGCTGCCACATGCATAACCCATTACACACGGTTCACCATGACGACGAGGCACGTGGAAGCATTTCTGAACTCCCGGATGACAACTGAGCCCAGTCGCGCACGGTCTCGTCGCATGACAGCGGTCTCTGTACCTTCCAGGTGGCGCGCATTTCTGTATTCCCGCCTCGCAAGTGTTTGAAGGATGGCAACGACAGAAAGCTGAGCAAACATCACCGGCGTGTCCAAGACCGTTACCATGGGGACAAGAGAAGAACCAAAAACCATCGATGCGCGAACAACAGGTGGCAATTAGAATCATTGAAACAAAAACCCAGAAACGGGACAAAAACATTTACACGGGACTGTCAGCAAAATATTTTTCCAGATAAAGATAGGCATCAAAACAGATGTAAAGACACTACACAAAGCTAATTCGTGCGCCACCAGCAGACTTCTTTACCCTTCATATCACCATCTTATTGGTGTTATCTGACCTGCAGTTTGTCAAGATTTGAGTGGAAACCGTCAAATATTAGTCCAGTATCCACAAACATAACGTGTTTCCTGAAGCACCTGACACAGTCTTACAGTCGTACACCCGTGCATGAAACATTTTAGTGATGGCGGTAACGACCTGCGGTCATACCGGAAATCTTAACACTCCGGTTATCTGCCGGCGTTGTTTAACTTTCTGTCAGGTTGTGTGATGTAATCACTGCCTTTTTTAGGCAAGAATTTTTATGACCAAACTATTGAAATTTACTTATACCTAAATTAAGAACGTTAGATTACAGGCATTAATATCTTCTTTCTTACATTTAATTTTAGTATTTGATGGATATGATTCAATTTTATTCCAAACGCTGGAGGTAACTGGATTCTGGTCTTATAAGGGCTGTTAGCGCGTCGGCTACCAGGTTAGCCGACAAAATTGACTTTCTTTTAAATGTGATCGAAACCCTGATGACATATCTTAACTAATAGTAATATAACATACGTGTAAACATTTTATTGCACATTCGCCCACTTTTCATACATTTATACTAAAATCTACTCTCTTTTGTCTCGTTATCAGTTACAGAAATCTAGGTTTTTAAGGGCAGTTTAACTTCCCCATTTTCAATGGAAAAATTAGTTATTTACAATTACATCCGCTTATTACGTCATACTACTTTTCTCGTACATCATGGTGCTGCTGAAATCTAAAAAGACTACAGAAATCACACCAAATACCATTTGGGTCTGCAGTTAAATACCTTCCAAGTTAACGAAGTTAAATACCGAGTTTGCTATAAATAGCTTTGTAAAATACGCTCCTTATAATCAACACTAATTACTGTGTTGAATAAATACGGAAATCGATAAATCGATTGAGCGGGTAATTGTGCAGAATTATGAGTTAAATAGTTTGCCAAAAAAAAGTCTACTAAACTAACCAGACCGAATCATCTCAGTCTCCTCTATTTAAAAAGCCAGTTCAAATTGTTTAACGTACATTGACGAAGCATAAACATTCTCAACATATACTATAAGTACAGTACCAAACGATGAAATACAAAACTCTCCTAGCTTAAAACAGGAATGGATAATTGCAAGTTGCACCTGAAAAACATTTTTTTCACCAAATTCCAGGGTACATCATCTACCTTGGAAAGCATCTGCATTAAGAAATGGGGGAGGGAAGGTGGCGTAAAAAGAGCCTTCTGCTACCAGAAAGCACCCACCCCTCCCACTTGTGCTCCATTTCTCACAGTCCCACCGCTTGTTGCCCGTGCAACAACTGTGGCATCTCCCTTCAAAGTTGGTAACACATTCGTTTTGGAGACTCTTTTCTTGAGAAGCTTTTCGTGTTCATCCTTCAGTGCATTGTAATCCCGTTTAAGATGGACAAAGTCAACAAATGTGTGTTTCTCCGGTGTTTGTGACTTCATAGCTGCTATTTCATTGAGAAGTCCTGTAATCCTGTTTTTAAGCAAGTCTCTTTCTTTGTACATGTGCTTCAAGGTCTGAGCAGAATCCTGAATATTGAACTCCAAAAGTTTGTTGTCGTTTTCTAGTTTTTCGTTAGCTTCTGTAAGGGCTTCATTTTTACTCTCTAGTTTCTGAATAAGTCCTTTCAACTTAGCTATTTCAGCCTCATCCTGTTCTTTTAGCTTATTAGTTTCCATGGCTTTACCCTGCTCCTCAGCTTTAGCTTCTCGTGAAAGTTTTGTCTGCATTTCCAGAACAGCTATCCTAGATTTCAAACTGTCTACCTCTGATGAGAGAGTTTGATTTTTCATACTCAAATCCTTTACTGTCTTCTCTAGGACCCCTTTTTCTTGTTTCAACTGTTCACAGTTTTGTTTCAGTAACTCAATGGCTGCCTTTGATTCTTGAAGAGCTGAATTCAGTTTCTACAAAAATTAAAACCAACACACTCCTTAAAACAATTCCTTAATTACTTAATAAACACCAAAGTTTGACTTAATGCAGAAAAGTTTACCACTGAAAAACAACCACTCTTGTTACTTACGACAGTATCACATCCTGTTCTTTTTAAAATCTCCAGTTCTTCTTTCAGAAACTTGTTTTCTTTCTGAAGATCTTCAATTTTCTTGGTAACCTTTAATTTAATAAAAACCTTTATTTTAAAATTGAATAATTGTATAATTAACCTAACTGGCTTAACCCTTTACCTCCCATGAGTGACTGAGAATTTCTCCTTACAATATCAATACAAAAGCAAGCATAGAAGAGACGAGAATAAAATATAATATCAATTAGGGGATTATTAGTTGATCCAGTACCAAATTATCCAAATTGACATCATAAGAATTGTATGGCAGACAGAAAGGAGAATTACTAATGAGATCTTGGGAGTTAAAGGGTTAATGTGTTCCAATATGGTTCCACATCTTTCAACCACGGCCTTGTTGAGGAAAACAGTAATTTTTAATTACATCCTCACAAGAGGCTTCTGCTTTGTTCCATAAACTAATCAAAGGCAGTTTTTATACACTATCACACCTTCTATGCCCCCTGAAAATCTAAAGATTAGCTACTGAAAATGGGATGTTACCTTCAGAGAAGGCATTCAAGTGATTAATGACTGGAGCAATAATTAGTATTGATTAGAACAAGACATAATTATCAAAGAACCACTCAGTTTCTCAACATACCTGTTGCTTCTCAATTGTCCAGCAATTTTCAGCTTCAAGTTTTTCTGACACAATTCTCATGATCTGAAGAGAAAATGACCATCATTTCCTTTATTTTGTTTTAAAAGTATCTCAGTGGGCTGGAATTTTAAATCATCAAATCTGATTGGCTACTTGCATGCTAGTAACCAGTGCAGCTTTTGAAAATATCAACCATAGTTCAGAAACTTTACAAAAATAAGTAAGTTATTTACCACCCTTTGTTGGTCCATATGGAAAAATTCTGGAATTGGTCTCAAGTACAGCCCTTTGCCTTCAGCCTTGGGCGGTACTGAAGACCTCTGACACATTTTCCCCCAAACAGACCTTCTGCCCACTAAATACCAGTAATGTAGATATATCTACTTACATTACATTTCACAACCCAAGGTCTTAAGTGCTACATTCCAAAGTTGAGGACGAAAGTTTTTTTTTAGCCCGAGAAACCTAGTTTTGCTACCTCAATCAAAGATGACAAGCTGGCATGGTAAATTTGGCTACCCACACTGTCAACTCAAATTGTCAAGAAATCTTTTCATTCTAATCATAACTCAATAAAAATTGATAAATTAAATGCAGGACCTTAAAAGATAGGGTCAACGATGCACAATTTTTCAGGTCTTCACAGCAAACACTTGTCACAGCTATGTAGCTCACTTTTATATAATTTCTTAAACATCTTTGTACTTTGTAATCAAAGATTTAATTACATTCTACAGCTATATTGTTGCATGTAATTACCCACCTCTACTTTGTGCTTTTCTGTCAAAGCTGCACAGTTTTCATCAATCTTCATCAAACAGTCTCTTTGCATTTGCTGGAACTTATCCTTTGCTTCCTTAGCAATCTGATGAAGCTCTTCACACTTCAATAATTCACCCTGCAGAACATTTGACAAAGTAATGACAAAAAAATACTCATATAGGAAATTTCATTTAACTCTCTATCCCCATAAAGTTCACAAGAATAAAGAAGATTCCATTGGAACATTATTGTATCATGGATGTGAGTGATGGATGATAGGTACCTTACTTTCAGAAAGAAATATGCTGTAATGATATGAAAATGTTCTTTTGCTGGAATTTCAACTTTTTTTTTGATTCAACTGCAACTGATCACTAAATTAAGAAGACTGCAACAGCGAAAATCATTTTGGTTTTGACATAATTTGTGCTAGACTTTCAACAACTCTCTAGTATTTAATTAAGTCTTCTTGACAGTTCAACAGTTTGTGTACATTGGTAAACTGTTCAGTGTAAACATGGTCTTTACTACTGTCATTCATAAAATGGGTCATAAATCTCTTAAAAACAATAACTTACTGAAAACCAACATGATTGCTACAACTGCTATGGCAAATGAAAAATGCTAATGAGAAATAAAATGAGAACCAGCCACCATGATTAGTTTCAAATTATGACCACATCTCACACTGATGGAAGTGATGGTCTAGATTTTGGGGGACAAAGGATTTAGTTGCACAACAGATAGTGCTTCATGAGTGATATATCTAAGCGAATATCTTTGTGAGGTGAAGGCAGCTGGATATTGACAAAGAACTCTCTAGTATTATCTAGAAGGACATTAGTATTTGCAGTGTTGTTCATTTGTTCATGTGGTAATTCAGTGATCCCTAATCCTGTAGTGTGCATTCTTTGTGTTAAGAAAGCTCCAGTGTATGGCCAAACAAAAAAATGTAATATGGTGGTTTCTTGATCGGTGAACCTGTGTTCCACAATCACTGACCCTTGACACTCTCTTCAGAACTATTTGATCAAGTGTCAAAAATTCTAAAACATCCTAAAGAGGATATGAAACAAACTGATCAATGGTTGCAAACTTTATTCAAGACTCAAAATCAACATATTGGTGAAGAGTGACTAGCACAAGTAACATGTATGCAAGCACCCATAAGGCCTAAATAATGAGTAGCAAACAGACTTTATGACCACATTCTATGCAAGAATGTAGTATAGCTTTATGATGCATCCAACTGTGTGTGAAAAACATGAGTGGGAATGAAACTTGATGCCTAGTCCACGTTCCTTTATTTTTTTGCGCAGTAATATGTTGTTTTTTAATTTCTTTGCAGCAATGTGGCAGTCAGAGCTCCTTAAAGTCACTTTTATCACTATTCCCACATTTGGACTTTGAGTCAGTCTTGGTTCGTTGAATTTCAGAATTTCCAATAAGCAGACATCTTGTCTGAACAAGTATGATCGATAGAGATTAATGAGAGTAAAATTTCATTACTTACAATACCAGGTAAATTATGAAATGTTAGTCTTAAATAAAAATGGCCTTGACTGTATACTTTAATCACAACTGATCCCCTGTGCTGTGTGCGCTATAGTTAGGTCTGTTATTGAAATTAACCTGCAGCAGAGAGAGAAACTTCACAAAGTCTTACCCGTAACTTCTCTACTTCACGCTCCAGAAGATCACATCTGGCAGCTTTTGCCTCATCAAGCTCCAGTTCAGCAATTCTAGCTTTCAAAAGATCGTTTTCGGTGTGTAAATCTTGCAGGTGTAACAAAGTTCGTATGTGTTTGCCTGTCAATCGGCCGTCTTGGTCCGCTCTGTCCTCGTAGCTTGCCCTGCGATGTGCCTTTGATGACATCGTCAGTAAAATTTGCTGTTTCTTTCAAATCTTGACTCATATAAAAGTCATAAAGCAATGATATCATTCGACTTTCAGCTGTTTATGTTGTATTAACCGCATTATGTTGCTACTTGTTTATTCGTCGGCAAAGGAACCAGTTATTTGCATCTCTGAATTTGGGTCCCAGTTCTCTCCTCTGCGGTGTTCGCCTGGGGGAAAATATGGTGGCCGAGGATTTAGGTGCAATGTGGCCTATGATTGTGGCGATTTTAGCTGCAGTTATCTTAAACGCAGTGATTTTTACTCTATTGAAGGGATACAAAGCGCGAAAAGAGCAGAATGAGCGGAAAAAGTGGTGGAAAGAGAACGTAATTTATCATATATATCCTCGATCTTTCCAAGACTCGAGTGGCGATGGAAATGGCGACTTACGGGGAATAATGAACAGGCTGGACTATTTTGAATACATGGGGATCAAAATCTTATATCTGAGCCCAATATTCAAATCTCCTATGGTGGACAATGGCTACGACATCTCAGACTTCACAGACATTGATCCTCTCTTTGGAGATTTGAATGACTTTGATGAACTCTTAAAAGCGATGCATGTAAGGGACATGAAACTTGTGCTGGATTTTGTACCTAACCACACTTCAGATGAACACCCATGGTTCCTTGAGAGTCGCGCCAGTAGAGAGAGTCCTAAAAGAGACTGGTATGTCTGGAATGACCCTTCCCCAGGGGGTGGGGTACCTAATAACTGGGTCAGTGTATTTGGGGGAAGCGCATGGAGCTACGATACCAGAACAGGACAGTATTATTTGCACCAGTTTTGTCCTGAACAACCCGATCTGAACCTCAGAAACGCTGAAGTGCGCCAGGCTTTGAAGGAAGTGCTAATGTTTTGGCTTGACAAAGGAGTTGATGGATTTAGAGTTGATGCAGTTCCTCATCTTGTTGAGGATTCAAAATTTCTTGATGAACCCACTAAGCCTGAGTATGATCCCTTACGTCCCAACTATGATCACTTGGAGCACATTTACACGAAAAACTTGTGGGATAATCACAAAATTGTTCAGGAATGGAGAACACTTCTCAATCAGTACAAGGTGCCATACAGAATACTCATAGGGGAGATAATGGCAGATCTTCCAGATGTTATGAAGTATTATGGTGGGAGATACAGTGAATTTGATTTCCCCTTTAACTTTGGGTTTTTGGGGCTTTCCAAATCAACAACTGCACAAGATTTGTATAAACTAATCATTGATTACCTTACTGCCCTTCCCAGGGGGAAGTGGCCCAACTGGTTATTAGGAAACCATGATGTATCCAGAATTGGTACCAAAGTTGGCCATGGGTACTCCCGTGCACTAAACGTCCTCCTTCTTACACTTCCTGGAACTGCTGTCACTTATTATGGGGAAGAAATTGGAATGACAGATGCTGAAGTGCCTCTTAAAACCAGCAAAGATTTCCGTGATCCTCAACGATCACCTATGCAGTGGTGCAGTAAACAAAATGCTGGTTTTACCCATGGAGTGAAACCATGGCTACCTGTTGCAAAAAATTTTAAAACAGTGAATGTAGAGGATCAAATGGCAGATCCAACTTCAGCTTTACAGCTGTATCGAGAACTACTGAGGATAAGGTCTTCTTCACAATGCCTTAAAGAACTTGGATTCAAAGTTGTTCATGTAGATAGCTCAATTCTTGCTTATACCAGGTCAGCCAAACACTGCAAATTTCTCATAATAGTAAACTTTGGGCAGGAGAGTTGGACAGGGTCACTTGATAACATCAGTGGTTCAGGAGTGGTTGAAGTTGACAGTGAAATGAAGATGAGGGGAGCAAAAATTCTCTTTGATAACATTAAATTAAGTAAAGCTCAGGCTCTTGTTGTGAAAATACCATAACAGACTTTCTATTGAATTTGAACTTTATTGCCCTTATAAATATGTAGTTACCTGTTTTAGAACTCTATACAGAATGTTAAATAGTACTAGAATGTATGCCAATGTTAAATCAAATAAAACTGGGTAAGAAATACCCACCCTTGGTGTATTTTATTTAAAAACAACCTAATTACTAATTAAAAGTATTAAAATGCATGCATTGTTTTCTAAAACATGAATGTTGTGATATGACAAATTCCTGTGAACAAGTGAGATTTACAACCCAAGAACAAAATAGGTGCTGCAGCACACAGAGAAACATGTGGCCTGTGGTGGCTTGTCTCTTTATGTTCTACAGTGCCTGCTTGTAGGTCAGTTGCTTATTAATCAATATGACTTGTTCAAAGGAAGTAATGTGGCAATTGCATAGATTTCATTTTGCTTGTTGCTAGAGCACTGCTTTCTGCAAATTTTATTCTCTTGTTAAAATAGCTGTTATTTGCTGTTTTGAAATTAGGATAATTTAAAACCATAAATTTTACTGTTGTAAAAATTTGGTAAGAAATGAAATTTTGTAAATAAAAATATTAAAATACACTTCCTTGTACAGAGAACAATAGGTGTGTTTGAAGTAAATACTCATCTAGCTCTATGTTTTAAACATTTGGGTCATTTATGCCATTTCTGTGGAAATATTATTCCCTTCACTCAATTTGAAGCACATGTTTGTGCTGCCTTATTGTGATACTTTGAGAACAAACAAAGCATCATCCAGAATGTAAAAATCCTTATACAAATCACCCTCACATAAATATGGAACTCTTGTAAACAGTTCCACAGTAAATCCACTTGGCTCAAACACATCTTCAACAAGACTTTGTACTTGTTCTTCCCATGAATTTCCATGAACTGTTATAACTTCACTTGGCTGAATCATCTTTGTGCCTAAAGAATAATACAGACTTCAATTTCTTTATATATAAAACAAATTTATATTCTATTTCTTTTTTTTTCTCTTTGAAGACAGAGATAGCTTACACCTTGTACAAAAGCTGCTTATTTGCCTACACTGCAGAAACTCATCAGACTTTCATAGCATAACTTACAGAATGTAGCTTAGAGGATAGGTACCCTCTCTGGATAGGATGTTAGTGTACCACAGGTTACTATCAACATTTCAACAGAGATGACCCAAACTGCTGCAAAATACTCACAGATGCCTTAACCATCATTTGATGATGGAGCATTTGAATCACCTGTTCTAGGCCTTTGGAGTACTCTTAGTAACTGCCATATGTAACTTCCATTAAAGTCCTTCCTTAATTAAAGGCATAGTTTTCATTTTAAATTAGCTTCTGTAAGACAAAAAAAAAAACAAAACAAAAATTATAGACTCAAGCATACCTGATTCCACAAGGGGTCTAAATGGAAGAACAACTGCAACAATCAGGCGGCCTGTTTCAGGATGTAGAGTTTCCTTAATGTCACTGAGCAGTGTGAGAGGTTTGTCACACCTATCCAACAGGTTTAGGCATGCAATCACATCAAACTTGAAATCAACCTTCATCCATTCACTTTCATCAAGTAACCTGACATTGACAGAGAGATTTGATGCCTTGCATTAAAACCCTTTCTCAGATTTTAAACTTCTCGATTTGCTTTTTAGTGACAGACAGCAAACCTGGTTATTTACAGAAAGGCTAGGAAGAAAATATCACAGCATTTATGTTTGTTACGAGATCTCATCAACTTAAAAAGGTAATCATAAAAACAAAGATATGGAAAGACATTCAGCAGCGAAGTTCAGCTGTAGGCCTTGTGTTGTGCACTTTAACATACTTTAAGATTTGGGTCCTAGGGATTCTAAAAAGAGAGAATTAACAATTAATGCTAAAGCTGTTGAGGTGGCAGGCAGTTACAAACTGTCAACTGAATCAGGAAATCCACATTCATGCTCTGATCAGATCATTGCCTTGTAATAGAGAACTTAAGCAAAGATGTTTTTGAGATGCAGATGATAGCTGGAGGAAATTAACTCTGGCCCACTTTGACACAAAAGTATCAACCACAAGGTTGTCGTTTTAGCATTTTGTGGCTCACGGTGCTGATCAGAAAGGTGGAGCGAGCACTAGGAATGAAAATGGGTACTTGCCAACCAGTAGGGAAACTAGACAAAGCAAAGGAGGGAAAGAGGGGGAGAAGAAGACATACTCATCCTTGATTCATGTTACAGAAACCAGAGTGAGCAGTAGCAGTAATGGGCTGACTTACTTGAAGCCCTTGTCTTGGAGTCTCCACCTCATAGATGGAGACTGCTCTGTAGCGTAAACTTCATCAAAGTGATGTTTTATAACACTTGTTACTTTGCCATCACCAGCTCCTAAGTCTAACATAGTCCCTGTCTTCCATGACCCATCTACATTCATGAGTCTTTGAAACTGGGCATCAGAAAATACAAACATTGATCCTCGATCCAAAATTCTACAAAACAGAATAACAAATAAATCTAATTGTTTGCTGAACTCAGGAAATTAAAAGTTATACAGGTGAAGTAACTTTTATAGGAATGTTATTTTTTTCACAAATAATTGATTTACAGATCTTTGCATTCCAAGTTCCTGTGTTCTACTACTGAGTCTAAGAGACTCTATGGTAAGCTGGACCATTGATATGTTCATAAGTGAAAGACATCCTGCATACTGCTTGTTTCAGCAATGACAAAAGCATTAAGTAAGTAAATAGAATGAGAAAGGTGATCAATTTTGGGTTTCATCACAAAAAACAATGTTATTTCTCTTGCCATGAGCATGGGGCAAAGAAAGTGCGTGACAGTCATCTTTGGTCTACACTTGAGTCAAAATGAAATTGTGCACATAAATTATACATAATACAAATCTTTCAGACTAATTACCCATTTGCTGTAGTCACAGACATAAAGAAACCAAAGAACCCTTTGAATAGAAGATGTCCAATCTGTGTGAACACTGCATCAGCTTTCTCATGACAGTTTTGTAAGAAAGCTTCAGTTTCTTGATCCAGTGAGCTCTCTACAAACTTAGCTTGTAGCTCTTCCAGCAAAGCTACATTTTCACATTTGTACCACTGTAAGCATTACAAAATCACACAAAAAACCATCAATGTAAGAGTTTGTAAAATTCTTTCATTTTCATTTCTATAGACTAATGAGACTAAAAATGTTCTTCACAGAACAAGATCAATGGAAACTTTCACAACTGCTTGAATCATTTTTTCTCTGTTAATTACTTTATTATTGAAATATCAAAATTATTATTTTGTTTAAGCCCTCTTATGGATGGTTGTCAATGAAACCCATCTGTCATCAAACAGGTATTACAAGTTTTAAAGCAACTTCTGAGGTGAAAAAGTCATATTACCTAAAATGCATGTTTAATGATACAAAATTTGTATTAACATAAACAAAATTTCACAAAGAAGTCTTAAAATTCATCATCATACAGTAAAACAATCTGAAGCATGACATATTAAGTTATTTCTGATTGAAAGCTAGTTACTTCTATCCAAGAGCCCTGTATCCCTAACAATCACAGAACACCATAAAGAAACTCACTGATGTTTTCTCTGTTTCCAGTTCTTGGCAGTCATTTTCAGCAAGTCTCTCTAATAACAACCTTCCAGTTCTGCTTCTGACATATGGACTGACCCACATGTATTTATGACCATTAGCCTCCTTCCTCACAGACAGAAGTGACGCTTTACAAGAGATAAAATAATAATAAAAAAACAATAACAAGAGAAATCAGTGCCATGTAATTACACCATGCCAGATATACTACCAGGCTTGACACCCTACCACTGAGTTGGGAGAAACTCATACTATCATAGGTTTATTGTGAAACTCAGAAAAACCTGGACACCTGAAATGTTAATGAAATTTTACTGTGATCTTCAGATAAGGCCTATCGAGCAGATAAAAATAAATAACAAACAGCTGTAGGTAATTAATTTGTGGTTTTGGGGTTTGATTGCATGTCCTGAACTTATTTGGGATTGGTCGCTACAAAATGTATTTGTCAGTATCAAATCAAAGTGTTTACTGTCTTCTGAGTCTAAACATAATACTGTATGCCTTATATCATATTTCATGTGAACAGAGTATACACAAATGTTCATCAGAATAACTTACTTCATACAAATAGTGATGATGTATGAGATTTACCTATTTTACAAGAAATTTCAACAATGCTGCAAAGAAATTCTGCATGATGATGTTGCAAGTAACCTCTCCTTTAAGTTTTATATCATATACATGATGTTGTAAGGAAATTTTCAGTTTGAGGATGGCAACACAGAGGGCAACATGAGCCATGGACCAATGAGCTGAGGGTCCAAGGTTACAAAAAACAAAAACAAAATATACACTTCTATTCATCAATAGCACAAGAACAATACCCCATTCAAGAGTAATATCATCAACTTCATTCATACCTGTGAGAAAAAGTCTGATTACCGCTGTGTGATACACGGTGAAGAATACCCCAAGGGAAACAGTGATAAAGCTTGGCTACCAAGCACTTCGAAGCGATTGAGTTTGTAAGTAATCAGGTTCGTCTTCGAAAGCTTAGTAGTGAGTAACGAGATCTATATAATCATTTGAAATAATGCGGACGAAATTTGTAATACTCCAACCTGACACAATATATTTTTTTGTGCGCCTTCTTCTTAGAAAAACTAGGACCCCAACAGAAATAAAAGGCTTGGTTACAAAGTGCTTAAGAGTCCGCTGACAAGAAAAGCTTACTCAATACTTTGACATTCGGACACAGTCGACACTGGGCGTTAGCGAAGTATATTATATTACCATGGATTGATTTCACAGGAAGTCACGCTTTTTGAGGTGGTTTTCGGTCTTACACAACAGCGAAGTGTACTGATCGTCCTTATTTTCACAGATTATCGACTGACCTTACGAGTTGGGTTAGGTCGGTCGAAAAATGGTGTTCAAATATGGGCAAAAGTGCACAGAACAAATTCAGTCGAGCGCGCAAAAGTGTCTTGGCGAAACAACAAAGTTTGACCAAGTTGTTAGCAAACGAACACAACCCAGATGCTATCAGATCTCTGGTACAGCTCTAATCTTCCTAATCATTGGACTAGTCTTGGTCATTTTGTGTCGCCGATACATCAAAGACGTTTTGGAAGCGCTACAGAATTTGGATGAATGGCAAGGGATTCTGTTGTTTGTAATCATGTTTACGGTTGTTTCTTTCCCAATGACATGGGGTTACATCTTTCTTAACGTAGCAGCGGGTTATTTGTATGGATTTGTGCTTGGATTTATCGTCGTTATATTTTCCGTACTGTGTGGTTTATCCATTGCATTCATTGTTTGTAGACGATATTTACGAGATTTCGTACGCTCAAAATTGGAGTCGGATAGTTTAAAAGCTATTATGCGTGTTGTGGAGGGCAAACGTGGTATCAAAGTCATTGCATTAACTCGGCTTACACCGGTACCCTTTGGACTGCAAAATGGATTGTTTTCGGTAAGTAATCAGCAGTATTTTTTGCTATCACATGATCAATCGTAAGGTTGTCTTTCTCCTTGTATCCGTTGGTGATTGTGAGTAAACACCTTTTTCGACTCGAGAGCTTTCTCAACTTTCTGTGGCGTCCATCTGCTTCTTATGTCAATGTCTCTGTATAAACTAGTCAAACACTACTCCTTACTCATGTAGGCGTTGATTACTTTTCAATGGGAGGGGTTTTGAGTAACCTTTTGCTGGCATCGTCAGGTTGTTTTACAGTTATATTTTAGTTATCGCATGTTCTTGACATGAATTCAGAATTATGTAAAGCCATGAGGCGTCCCTTAGCATGTCCGTTCATAGCATGATAAATACTTCTTTCTGGTAATTTCAAAGCCATTGTCATTTGATGCAAATTATATATTTACCTCCTTTCATCACCATTAGAAATAAAGTATTGATTTGTGCGTAAAGCAGATGGCAAAGACTGTAATCGTAGCTTAAAAAAAGTTTATAAATTAGGGATATGTCATTTAATTTTTGTCCAACCGACCTTCACTAGCTCAAAAATATGAAAAAGTTATTGAGGGCTATGTCACGTTAGTAAGGCTCTTAAGGGGGAGAAATCAGTGTAATAGATATGGACAAATGGAAGCATTTTGGTACCTCTTAAATAGAGACAGTGGCTTCTTATTAGACCATATCTATGAAACTGTTTTGGCCCTTTTGAAACCCTAATACACTGTATCTAATCTCTCTTGAAATGCAAATTTTTGGATGTGCCAAATTACATTGAGGCAAATGATATTTTCTGATCCCAGTATTTGACGTTTTTAATCTTCTTAAGCTCTGAGAAAAGGGAGTGATTACTAGTTTTTTTTCTATTTAATTATAATTCTAGAGTAGAAAAACAATACTTTTGACCTTTTTTCAACTTTTTTAAGTAGTTTAGGAATCAGCAACAAGCCTCAGTAAACCAATGTACTATATGATGTGATAACTTCTGGCTGGTGATACTTTGTTTTTTTTTTTTAATTTTTAAACAGACTTTCAAAACTTTCTCTTCTATAAAAAATGCATAAATTTTGTTAATAATAGTACTTTGTTTGTTATGAAAATATGATCATATGTTAGGAACAAGAAAAATCTAGGGTTTCATCCTAATTATGTTTATTAATCGTAATTAACTTGTATTTTCCTTCTTCCTACAGGTAACTAATGTTAGTACAGCTAAATATGTAATTGCATCTACAATTGGCCTTCTTCCTACACAAGCATTAAATTCATACATGGGATCTACATTTCGTTCTTTGGAAGATCTGGTTGAAGAGCAATCTGGAGGATACATTATCCTGTTTGTTCAATTCATCATTAGTATACTTTTAATGACATATGTTATACGCCGAGCAAGAAGGGAGTTGAATAGAACTTGCGATGAGACAGAGCCTGAAGTTCTTGCTAATGGTCATATAATAGTGGCTGTACCAGAAGAATTTCAACTGATCCCAGAAGAAAAGAATTTTAAAATGGATTTTGACTTAGAGGCACAGCTGGAAGAGAAAGAGTTCATTGATCACAAAACAGCTAAAAAAGGCCACAAGAGGTCAAAATCTGCATCAGCTGTGTTAACTGCAGTCAATGAAATTGCCAAAGGAGCCCAAACTCCATAGCTATTGTTCATGAACTATCATTTGTATTTTTTATTTCCTTGTGGATGATTATGTTGTTGTTTGAAACTAATTCTAGGTCAAAATGGTTTTTAATTAAACTATTTTTATTTGGTTTTTAATGTCGATTGATTTGCCTTTGTTCCAAACACTGGTTTATTATCACAGTGTTCATACAAAGTCAAATACAAGGTTGTCTTGCTTTAAATCATTTTTACTCAAAAAATTCAAATGTCATCGGCTACACTTGGTTTAGTTTTCTGTTATTAGGCTTACAGTGTATGTTTAGGATGATTTGGGATGATCAGAGATTTCAAACTTTTTGCCATCCTTAATGTCTCTGATATTAGCTTAGGGGCAATAAAGGCGATAAAGAGTGCTCTTGTAAATCTGTGACTTCTTGTTTCCATAAGTTGGAAACATCCAGATGTGGGGGTACAGCAAATTAAGGTCATTTGTATTTTATGTAATGGTGGAAAGAGGGCTTTTTAATGAAGTCTTATATTTAAACCAAGAATTAGAGGAAAAGGTGATAATTGCAAATTGCAGTACAGTACCTATTAAAAATGCACATACAAGCATTTAAAGAACAAGAGCGAGATTTCCCCTCAGATTAGGCTTTCCCTGGTCTCTTAGACTGCAAACAACTTGGCATAGTCATTACATAGTGCAAAATTGTTAGGTAGATCAATTTAGGAAATATTTTTTTTTAAGAGAGGAACATGATAAGTATTTGCTACAAACAGCACCAAAGTCTTCCCATCAAAGCTTAAGACCAAAGTAACAATCCTTTGCACTTATTACTGTACATTTTAATGACAAGTTAATGGCAATTCTGTTTCTGATAAAGTATTCCCAATAAACTGCAAGTGGGTCAGAGGTGATTAACTTTCCTTGTTTATTTAAGAATTTTGAAATTAATGGTATTTCTAGATTGGTTGGGATTTTATTGGGATGTTAATTATTTTAACAATTCAGGTGCCTGAACCCATGCATTTACCAGGCATATTTATTTAATCTAGGGCTTCAAATTATTCCATTCTTCAGTGGGCCTCGTCTGAAGGCAGATTTTATTAGAAAATAAATATATTTAGCCTATTTTCAAATTAATACTTAATCTGGATTCCTTTCATCTTGGAACAGCTGTCAATTATGGTTTTCTGGCTTTGTAACAGTTTCAAGTTTCTCTGCAGTTTACAGTGTCTGACTAAAGCAGTGTTCTTCAGAACCACAGGTGGCCAGGATTTTCCTTGGCTACTTCCTTCTGAGGCTGCAGCTAACTGTTGTGATCAGGAAAATAATTCTTCCTGCTAGCTTGGTTTTTTTAATGTATTTGTTTGTCTGGTATTTTTGAAAAAAAAAAAAAAAGAAAAAATCTCTGGAGAACACTGGTTGGAGATTAAATTTGATCAGAGAGTGTTTTGACATTTTTTGTTATTATGTGAAAATTTATTTAATAATCTAATATCCTCATTTTTAGTACTATTTTGATATTATTTTACTCAGTTCAGAGAATATGACCATTATCTTCTCAGTCAGATGATTTCAAGTACAAATTTAGCCAAAATTCCTTCTTCATTGACTGTACAGAAGGGAGTAATAAAAATCACAGTACATGAAAATTGAGTAATGCTTGTACCTACTTGTGTTAATTTAAAGACACGAGAGCTATAGGGCAATGACCATTTGGTTGCAAATTGCAGAAACTGGTCCATGCATCATGTTGCAGAGACAAATCATAGTCAATGATTAAACAAACCAAATCAAACCCAGTGTTGCTGCAAATTGCCATTTAGCTTATCTTGGTCTCCTCCATGATCAATGTCTTCCCTTAAGGTTTGTGAGAACCTCATTTGAGAACAGCACTTTGTCCAACTGATAACACTCTGCTTAATTTAAAATCATTGACATTCACTTCTTCTTAGATTAGGGTACTTATGAGAAGGTATAGAGGAAGGCTATTAAAATCTCACTGAAAGCAAAATGGAGCTCATCATTCTTCATACGAACCATCACCCAGCTTTAATGGATACTATAAAAAATGTATTTCTTTGCTTGAAAAACTTCCAATATTTGAATACTACAACACACTAGTTTCCTTTCTTTCTTCAAATCAATTGACTTTTAAGTAGATGTATGGTACAAAAAAAACGCTTTTTGAGACTTTTCTTGTTCATGCTCTAAATTTAGGAGTTCAACTAAAATCTGTTTATCAATGGTGTACTTTCACTTGAAAGCCTCTTACCACTTTGTCAAGATTTTATTTATAAGATATATGAAACCCTATAGTGCTCAATGCCCCACATTCAACCATTAAAACATTGATTAAAAATTCTTGCCTTATACAGACACAAATGTTCTTGTATGGTGTCACTGCTTATTTCACCACTATTAATCTATATGTCAGATCAAAAATTGTCAGTTTAAAAGAAAACTATGTAGACAATATTTATAAACAAGGCTTAAACTATTTCATTTTATAATAAATAAGAATGTTATCTGCTATCCATTAATCTCAGTAATTAACAAAACAATGCCAACCCAAGATCTCATAGCACTTTCTTGTTCCACTAATAATTCTTTCAAACTAATAATTGTACTTGTAAAAACTTGTATAGATAATACACTAGTACCTAAACTGATAATTGAACAGACCAACACTGACTGAGATTGAAGAACAGGGAACTGAAACTGTCCAACAATCAGGCTAACTAGTGAACAATACTTTTATCGTCAACTTTTTTTTTAGTCTCTGGGTTTCATAAATCCATGTTTCATTTTCTTTGATGGTTGGTTTGAACATGGACTGTCAGGTTCACAAGTCGTGCCAATTGATGATCTTTTCCTTTTTGTTGTAAATTTCTTGGTTACTGTTCCCACAAGGTTTTCATATCTGTTAAAAAAAAAACAGCAACAACAACAAAGACAGATGGTTAATTCAGGTAGCATCCCATTTAGGAGTGAGTGATTGTCACCTCTGATGTTGAAGGTAAACTTATTAGCTACTACTGCTACTTTACAGGCATCTCTCAAATGAAATTATTACAAACAAATAATTATTATCAAACGATCATCGAGATTACAATTAACTGTAAAGTCTTCTATTATCTTTCACTTTTCAAACAAAGTGAAATTACTTTAGGGCAACCAAAATACTTGTAAAAAAAATTGTGATAAGAGCAGTAATTACCTTTGAGCCATCTCCTCATCAGAGACAGTTTCTTCCCTTTCTCTTGCCTCTGATTGTGCTAAATCTTCTTCAGCTATCATTTCTTTAAACATTTTCTGTTGGCAGAATTTGCAATCTATATTTCATTGTTTGTGACAATTTTTTATTGTTTATCCATGAAGAGATCTACAGTCTTCTTATTCTTCTTTTATTTTGCAAAGAGGGAAACTCATGCAAATCAATCAGAAGCCCAAGTCCAATCCTATCAAAATTTATTAAAATCAAGATAGTTAGAGCCTCAATTTAAAAAGCAAACTAAGGTAAATGTCCACAAAATCCAGCTGATGTTATCTGTCTGGTGACCTCTCTCAACTTCATTGAATATTTATATCACTAAATGACCTCAATTGTTTTCTCCAAATTATTGAGTTGACAAAGAGATCTTTGTGAATGACTGTTTCTTGCATAACAACTGAACTTTAATTAGCTTGTGAGTAAGGACATCTTTCTCCCAGGTATTCACCATTGTCAACAATTTACAGCTTGCATCTTCTTCAAAGGAAATAGGGACTAATGAGCTAAATACTTCGACATAAGGTTTGAATTTTGTATCTGGAGTACTATTTCCTCATGTTGACAAAAAAATATAGATATGGAAGAGACTCACTTCAACTGTTGGGTTAAAGTTTTTAAAAGACATCCTTCCATTTGGGTAAAGGTCTTCACATTGTACATAACTTGGTTCAAATTCAATGCAACTTCTGAAAAAAAATTTCAAATGTTCATGGTAAATTTAAATAGTGTAAAACACTTGGGTTCATCAAAAGTAAGTTGATGAAAACTTCTCTTCTGCTAGAAACTCTTAATTGGCCAATAACAGTTACTGATGATATTAGTTTTCTAAAAAAGTAATACAATATGACTAGAATTGATATTGAAATATTTTTATTAACAAAATGTCTCAATACCACCCCTTTCCATCAAAATAATTATCATTACAATTTTCCTAAAACAATTGCTCATTCCTAAGCAGGTTCTCTAGAGAGCCAGCAATTCATAACTAAATGTGCAGCTCGAGTCAACTATGACATTTTGCTCAGAGGCACCTTTGGGTTCCAAGATCGATTCAGTAATTCTCCTATAAAGCTGCTATACATTTATTTGTAAATTAGATAGGAGAATGAACAAATGATGAAATTTATATCCACCAACCGATAATTTTGACTATTCTCGTCGCCTTATCATTGATTAGCGTAATGAATTTTTGAGGAGATGGCACATTTTCATCATTCACAGGAGTTCGTGGTTTAATTTGAAGTAGCCACGGGGGTGTCAACCTATCATCTAGTGAGGGAGAAAGCGCGTTGCGACTGAGATCCAGACCAAACAACGGTTGCGGAGGAGACTACCCATTGCCAACTCAGCACAAAACAGCAGCCTTTGACATCCTTACGAAAAATTCAGAAATGGAAAATCTCTTTCCTCTATTCGATATTCAATCCTAACCTATCTTCTTGTTCTTGTCCATTCAGCACCCAATGTGATTCTTCGATGGCACGCTGTCGTTCTTCTTCGAGCTGGCGACGATAGTCTGTTTCTGCTTTCCTTTTCATGAACTAAATATAATGAAACAGAGAGTAGAAATAAATTTGAACATCTCACAGACACCTTGAGGTATGTAAGGGTGCATTACCTTCATTTCCATGAGATTTTTTGATAAAGTTTTTTTCACCGGTTGTTGTGAAACTCCGGCCGCCATGTTGGATTTTAGCTTAGTTACCAATCTCTCCGAGTTGTACTAAGATATCAGGCTCATCTCCAGGACATGCCGCGTTGCTTATAGGTGCGTTAAGGAAAGTCCTTTCAGTACTGAATTAAAATGGCATTAAATGGAATTAAATGAAATAGACTTCGTTGCTTTAAAGGACTTCTTAAACCTGTTTTCCCTGGCTTGATTTTAAAGAGGGTTGGAGCAAACTTGCTTTCACTCAGACCACGCAACAATATGGCCATTTCTTCATTTTAAAATTATTTGATCTCCTCTCCTTTGTTTTAAAACGCCTTCTGTTTCTTTATATTTTCATTATTTAAGCAATAGGCATTTTTCATCCCCGTTAATAGCAGTGAGTGCGCATGTCCCAACTCTCCTCATTTGGCCATGGGCGATAAAAACATTTCAACGCGCGCGCTATACGCAATTATAAGCGTCACAAACAAAAACAGTCATCAAAGGGTTTGCTTAATTTTGCTGTGTTTTATCCAAAGTCTTGCATGTGTCATGGACCAATCGCGAGCGAAAGGCTGTCTGAGGTCTAACTATGGACTGAAAACTTACACTCCTGAACAAACCAAGGAACAATGGCGAGAGAGCATGAGGGTAACAGATGTTCAGGGAAGTTTCTTTGGATATGACTAACATTTTCTGATTACGAAACTGTTTCATTTCGTTTTCAATTCAGGGAGAAAAACGCCTTTCAGACTCGCATCTTCTAACGTCGAAATGCAGTGAGGCACTTTCCAAGGCCTGGAAAACAAATTTTTCAAGACATATATGTTCAGATGTTCCATTAAACTACTTCAACACAAACAAAAAGGTTAGTACCTGAGATCCTTCCACGCTGTGACTCTACAGATCAGTCCTGTTGAGATGGAAATGTTCTAATTTATTAGCCTTCTTATACCCTATTCACACCAGCAAAACATGGTTTGTTAAACTGGTTTTTACTGAATGAAAATCATAAACAGAGAACTGAAAAACTTAATTTTCCATAGGATTCAAGTACCTGCTAACTTGCATGTATAATGTGCCACATTTAAGTAAAAAATATTAGGTTCAGTAGTTTCTACGAAGAAAAAAAATTAAACATGTTTAAGCTTTGGTGTGAATGGGGTATTTCATTTCATTTATTTCATTTTATTTTTATTTAAACACGCTCAATTCATCAGCCTAAAAAATACATATCACATACGCTAGAATATTTAAGACTCAAACTATATACTATAACACTAAAAGCTGTTTTCCGTGAGTGCCGTGCGTTAGACTTAAAGAATGTCATTGATCTTACGTTTAAATACTCCCAGAGACTCTGTGTTCCTTATATCGCATGGTAGACTGTTCCATAATGTGGCGCCATTGTAGCTAAAGCTTTTTCGGTAATACTTAGTGCGCGGTAAGGGAACATTGAGCTTATTTTCTGAGTCCCTGAGGTCATAAGCAGAGTCACGCCACGTAAACTTTGAACACAGATACTCTGGAGCTAGCCCGTGCAGACATCTAAACATCATGGTGGCTTTGTGAATTTCCTGCTGGCGTGTAAGATTTTTCCACCTTAAAAACTCGAGTAGCTCAGTTGCATCAGCATCATAGTTAGAGAATGTCAACACACGGGCTGCTCTATTCTGCAATTTCTGCAGTTTGTCTTGTAGCGTTTTCCCACAGTTACCCCAAACAATGTCACAGTAATCAAAGTGAGGTTTTACTAAGGCTTGATATTATGGGTATTAGTCTTGTTAGTCTTTCGGACGCCTTTAACACACTTGATAGACAATGATATTCTGGGTATTAGTCTTGTTAGTCTTTCGGACGCCTTTAACACACTTGATAGACAATGAATGAGACGTTTTGAAGAAGTTCCCTTAGAAAACGATGGTGTTACACTTCACTAGCCTTGATTTGGGCATTATTCATCAGTCAACCATCAGAAGCAGTTTATTTTTTGAGTGTAAAATAACATTATATCATTATTTAATGAGTCACATGGGTAAGAACAAATAATTGAGTGTTCCTGGTTCAAACCTCTTCAGCCTCGCTTTAGCAAATCCTTCAAACAAAAGGTATGAAGTTAAGTACAGAAAGCAACTGACAAAACAACTCTTCACTTGATTCTGATAATGACTTCCGCTAAGGTTGTCGAAGCGCTGGTAACTGTCACCAATAACGGTCATTTTTGGGACTCTCTATGACCTGCACGATAAGGCTACACGATTAGACTGAGGATACCTTACTGCAAGTTGCCCTTGACTGAGACAGGTTGTCGGTAGATATTAGTCAGTCATTCGCTCTAACGAAGGACTTATATTCGAAACGTCATCTTTAGAAACCTTAACGATGGCAATTTACATATTAATAGATTTACTAAGATGATAAAACCAAAGTGATTTGTGTTTAGTTATGTTGCGTTAAGTTTCCCTCCCATACCCGTCTCAAATGCTCTTTCTTCCTTAGCATGACAGGATATCAACTTACGACAGAACATTTCATATAAAGACAGGTTATTGCAGTAAGCTTCACCGGGACGACAGAGAACATACTCGAGGACTCAATGTTAATTCTGAGGTAAAGAGATTTTTGACCAAAGTTTTAAACAATTTTCTCAGAATACAAAATTCACCAATCTCTATGACATAATTTCCCCAAAACGTTCGTCGTATCCGTCTGGTTAGCTCAGGTTGGAGAGAGATTGGGATCGGGGGCTAAAGCCTCAGACTTCACCAACACTCAGGATCTCCGCTACAGCTAACGGTGGAACTGAAAAGTGCTGCCTTTGCTATGACGTCTGCATATAGTTAGACGTTCTCGTCTTTTCGTCAACGACGATAAAACCGTAGGCTCCGTCGTCTGTAACTTTTCCGTACTGGTCATTAGCAGGGGACATTCAAGAAGCCACACGGTTAGAATCTCAATCAATAGGGAACGTAGCTCCCGGTGTTGTGGTCTGACCTTGTTTCCGAAATTTGGGACATCTGCAAATTTTTCTCAAAAATTGTAAACAGCACAATGCGAGGTGATCAAAGTACCTAGCAAAATGTTACAAAGCGCTAAGAGTTCTTGGATATGGCGCTATGAAATTACTTCATCATATGTTTCACATTTTGCGATCTTTCATTGTACGACATTATTCTCCTCGGAATTTTCCCAGCTCAACCGAAGCATAACTTGCGTCCCATATTGCAGAGCATGCTAGAAAGCAATTTAGTGTCAGCTTAACTAGTTTTCTAACTGGATCTTTCCCCAGGAACAAACAAAGTCCGTTCCAGTCCTCAGTTCTTCTCTGTATGGACACCGCCCTCCTCTCGAGATTCCTTCTCGGAGACACGTCCGAGTGGCAACTGTTAAACGAGATTTCTTTCGTGATAGTGGAACAAACATTCCTCTTCTTTAACAAGTTTATCCCCGGCCAACGGCCACAGATAGAGAAAATGAATAAAATGTTTCAAAAGGTTTCAGCACGTCTAAGCGCCTTTGGATAGTAAACCGCTTTAAAACTATCGTTAAAAAATTTAGCAATGGCTTAAGTATCTCTTTGTTATTAAGTATCACGTACGTCCTGCCCACCGAAGAGGCAGCAGCTCTAAGTTTGAATCCATTTACGAATCACCTATGGGGTTTGTGCATGGAAGTAGGTAACAGAGAAATTTTCAAACAAGTATCTCAGTAAAGAAATTCAGGGCTCTGGTAGTTTCGATTCATTTCTCTCAACGATGGGTCAACTGAGAAAAATCGCACCAAACTTTTAAACAATCAGATACAAAACGAAAAAACATCACTCAGACACATCCTTTTGCTTTGCGGAGCCGAGTCTTGAGACACATTTGAAGGTTTCACTTGGAGTTCACGGCTTCTGGTGATTTTTTGGCTATCATGCCTGACATGGTTTAAAAATGCGAAGCGGAAAAATACACTTAATCAGTACCTTTCTGAAGAGCTATCTCTTTACAATGTCATTCGGATGAGCTCTCAAACAGGAATTAATTAACTAACGGAAATAACAAACGCCTGATAACATCAGCTCTGTTCTAAAGAAGTTTAAAGCAGTATAATATCCTTTGATACCTTTAATCAAAACACTCTGCCTTTGCTTAGCGACACGTATGTTTTATTGTAAGCAATATCCAATAGTTACACTAAAAACTGATCGATCACAGGATTTGTGTTCTGTCACGTGTAGGGTGGAGCAACTATAGCGTTTGTACTTTTCTGTGAGTCGAGGTTAGTGTCAAGCATTTATTGGCAGAACTCTGTACGGCCAGTTTTCATTCTCTCGAAGAAGGAAAGATTTTATATTATTCATATCTTCAGGCAGATGTATTCGAATTTAAGATTGGACCCCGCGCGCGCCGATGAGCTCGTATGATCTGCGATTCTCATAAATTATTCGATATATGTTGTTGCACCGGTACTTGGAGAACGGATTCCTCGATATCATCTTTTGTAACTAGGCAACAGCACCATGAGTGCTCTCATTAGAAATTGGCCTTGGATCCTCGACATCGATCGTCCATTTATCCTTTTATAATGATGCACATTAATTGCTAAGTATGCCACACTGATAATGTGTTCAGATATGATTGTCACGTACAAATTTTCAGGTGTAGAATTTACTGAAAGGAAACAAGTTCGCACGGATGGAACAAGACAATGAACTGTTCATATATGGTTTGTCGAGATCGAGCACTTCAGTTTAGGTTACTGATCGTCAGTAAATGTTCCCACGAAGCTTTGCAAAATCTTGGTGCACGTTTTGGCGAATGATCAGCCCAAGACAAATCTTTGATGAGTTTTACTTTCTCTTAGCAACATCAAATATCGCTTCAATAACAAAGACAAGATACTATATATTAACCTTTTCACTCCCACAAGTGACCAAGACAGAATTTCTCCTTACAATATCGGTACGATATCAAGCAGGCAGGTGATGAGAATAGAGAAGAATATCAATTATGGGATTATTAGTTGATCCAATACCAAATTCTCTGAACTAACAACATAAGAATTGTATGGCAGATAGTAAGGAGAATTACTAATTGGATCTTGGGAGTGAAAGGGTTAAGAACATTCATGCGCAATATTACCTCTCTCTGCAGTCTAAATAAGGAGTTCAAATTCCTTAATCAAAATTATCTGATATTCGTTAGTACAAAAATACTGAAGTATTCTAAAGTGGTTCTTGAATTGGAACCAAACCACGCCAACAGAGATCGTCATAACATGCGATCTTACATATCCTTAAATGAATACCCTTTCTAAATGAAACCAGATGTAACGAAGAAAGAAAACTTTGACGATGACAGAAGTTTAACGAAAAAATGATTTTTTTTGTGTAACTCAAAGGTTGCAAAATGGAAGAAAAGTATTATGGCATAGGTATGTACTATTGACAAGAGATAATCTCTTGCTTTTTACAAATAGATGTGACTTTGAAAATTATTCATATTGGGCATTTTGTCTGACTTATTCCTTGTAGAGAAAAAAATTACAAACGATATCGGACTCTCCACTTGCAATAAACAGCACAAATGAGTGATCAGACTCGAACAGAAGTATTCAAGCACTAGTTCAATTCGACCAGGGCTTATCTGTAGGCAAATAATTTAAGAAGTTCAAGATACAGCGAATATCTGATTAGTGAGAGGTCAGTTAAGGTATGGTATAGTGCCACGCGGCCATGGGAGAAGTTCAAATCAGCTACACGACAGCTGACAAAAAACGTTATTGTTTGAGTTAGGAGGTTTATTTTGCATGTTGTAGCCGAGCACCAGAAAACGTACTGTCTACGGAAAAAAACCTGTAAAATACAAATGATGCGGAGTAAACAAAGATATATCTCTACTCTATAGCTCTATCCACTAACCACCATCAGAGCACGTGACAGTGGATTGAAGAGTGAGAGCTGGGTGACCACTGACGAAAAGTTGGTCACAAAAAGGTAATTTAGTGTTAGCAACTGAGTTGAAAACGTAAACGTAACGAGATTAAAGGCTGACGTTTCGAGTGTAAGCCCTTCGTCAGAGCGATTGAATCGATTGAATCGATGGAATCACTCTGACGAAGGGCTAACGGTCGAAACTTCAGCCTTTAATCTCGTTATAATGGTCAATTTACGTTTTCAACTCAGTTGTTAACACTAAATTACCTGTCCTACTCTCCCACCGACGCAGCACCACAGTTTCTTTAGAAACCTACCCCCTTTATTCGTTGATCACAGAAAGCCTACCAAAATAAACAGCCTTGAGGGAAAAATAGCAAAAAAATTTGGATAGAAACGGGATTTGCTTAAGTTCTTTCAGCCCATCCTAAGGGGCAAGACTGAATTAAAATAGTTTTTGTAAAAAATGGAGCTCTTGTTGTCCGTCTAAAAAGATCAACCACGTAAAAACTCAATCGCCGTTACCCATAGTTCCACTCCACTCGTAAGCCATGGCTCAGGGCCTGTTGTTGTTCGATTGTCGCAGAAATATTTCATTTCCGGTCAACTCAAAGGCATGTAAAGGACGGAAATTCCACTTGTTCGACGGCTCGTGAAAGAGTCTACTTAATAAAATATATTGATTCCAAAACACTGAAACAAGAAGAATCTCTCGTCCGGAAAGAAAAAGATTGATTATGCTAGTGTCACGTTTGCAATATCCTCCGCCGTTTGTCTATTCGTTTTCACAAGGAAAAATATTGTCGGATTGACCGACAACTCAGTGCCATGACTACATCATGTGTGCTGCATATTACTAGTGACAGCAACCTTTCTCCTTTACCAATGAGTTTGTTTTCAATGGCTGGCTCAATTTAATCACAGAAGGGGTTCAAGTTAGAAGATGATGAGGGGCCAAGAAAGCCATTAGGTCATCAGAACTGTCAGTTTGGAACCAAACCGGAATAGCGGTGCTTATGATGTTTGTATAATTAAGTTACTCGCTAAACGGATCAAGTTGGAGCGAAACAGGGGGTGGGGGAGGGTGGGAGAATGTTTTTTTTTTGTTCCGTTTGTGTGGGCGGAAGAGGCTGACTTATTCGCGGTCATGATCAGATGCGGTGCCGAAAGGAATTTGAGCTGATTTATAAACTTACGATTGTCAATGCAACAGAAAGTTAGAATTACATTTCAGAGTTTGGTGTTAGATATGTCCTAGAACCTAGGATCGTCAAGTCAGCAGTGTCTTCAGAGTGGGCGACTAAGCGGGCGGAGTCGGAGTGAGGTGTGAAGAGTATTGAGCGCATTCCCTCAAATGCAATATTTAAAAAATATCCTCTCATTTTCACGAAGGAGTAATTGACGGTATGTTTCACTTTTAATCCTCTTAATGATGCCTTTTTTTTTTTGAGTAGGTACTCATTTTGGATGAAAAGTTTTACTTTTAACAGACGATGCTCTATCAGTGGCATAATATAAATGCCACTTATATCCCGGACGAGAATTGTTTCTAGTTGGAACGTAGGCAAATTTTGTCTCGAGTAATCGCTAAACTGAGGAACTACCTAAGGAGTATCCTGCAAACACTAAAGTGAATGGAATAAGTCTTTAAAGAAAAAAACAACAAACAAACAAATAAAAAAAGAAAGGAATAAGGGGGTAAGCGCAATTTGCGAATGAGAAACTTCGTGGTAATTTAAGATTCGCTACACCCAGTGAAATACATTTTCATATTCGAATCTTGTATTTCTTATTTTTCTAACGTCAATTTTAAAGGCGTTTTTCTGGGAGTCTTGTGAAACTTGGACTAGGGAAATAACATGGTTCCTGTGCGTGCAGCTTGATTCATGGTTGCATAGCAACTTAACGAACCGTTTGCTAAACATTCAAGCCACAAGTACTAAAGGTCACGAGAAGAAATTGTGTGAATGGTATTACCTCCATGTTTGCGGCGGGTGTGGGTAAAAAGCGAATCTGAACAAGGTCTTCCCTCGTCGATGGTGTTAATGTTCCTAACACGTGCAAATCACGGTGTAAAGTTAAAACGGTTTCAAATTTAACATCTTCGCGTGACAGTGATGACACAATCGTAGAGATCTCATACCGATATTTCTCAATCAACACTTGATATAACTTGTGTAATGAGTGTGTGAGTTGAAACAAAATACGCAAAAAGATCGTCTTCCGAAAACATGCTAATCTGCGATAATGGGACCTAGGAATTTATATGGCGAGCCGTCTGCGTGAACATTCCTTGTATAACCCAAAATATTACCGGCTCAAGAGGCGACAACAACAGCGTGAACAGGAGAGCTGGAGCAGTGATGCCTTCGCATGCGCTGCATATCACCCGCTCCAATAAGCGTTTATTGAGGAGAATTGCCGGTGTTTTCTACGTGGCAGTCACAATTGCAATAATAACAGTTTGTCTCCGCGACTGGTCCCAGACTTGGCGAATTGTTTCGTCTCCTCCAGCGAGACAATTACGTTCGGTAAATGTCCACACAGAGGTACAGCATTTAAAGGCACCGACACCAGCAAGTGTGGAAAAGACAGGAGCTACTACAATAACAACAGAAATTACAAAGAGTTCGCCAGTGGAGTTAGAAGGCACTCACAGAACAGTCAGAGCATCTACAATTGAGGACCGACTTCCTCTTGAGCACAAAACAACTCTTACCTCCACAACAAAATGCAATCAGCATTATTTCCTTCTTATTCTTGTCTCTTCTGCTCCAGCGTATTTCGACAGACGTAGATCAATACGACAAACGTGGGCCGTTGACAGCTCCATCAACACGCGCTGGAAAACAGTGTTTCTGCTCGGCCAGTCCCGAGACAAAAATCACACTGAGCTACTTCAACGTGAAGATGCGTTTTACGGCGATCTGATACGTGCAAACTATTACGAACACTATTGGAACCAAACGCTCAAGATTGAAATGGGTTTTGAGTGGGCAGCCAGGTATTGTAGCTTTAAATTTCTACTCAAAGCGGATGATGATGTTTTTATTAATCCCCCGGCCGTCATCGCCGTCCTAAACAGAGCAGCAACTCCAAAAGATAAACTCTATATGGGACATGTGTACAGAAATCCCCGGGTCCAAAGGACCGGGAAATGGTCGTTAAGTCAAGAGGAGTATAAAATGACAAATTATCCTGACTTTTGTGCCGGGCCAGGGTATATTTTATCCACCGACGTTGTGACTTCGTTCGTCAGTATCTTTGGTCGTATTCCGCAGTTTAAATTTGACGATGTTTATGTCGGGATGCTCGCCGCAAAAATGGGGCTTAATGCCGTTCACGTCAGGGGGTTTCAAACACCGCCATATTTATCTAAAACGTGTGTTTTATATGACAACACTTTAGTCCGACATGGGGCCGTGGGGCAATGTTTAATTGACCTTTTCCAAAAATCTCAAATCAAAGGAATGTCACCCTAACTAATGGTTCAGCCTGATTATTTATGTTCTTAATGATCGTTAACTACCTTTGACATGGATAGACTGCGATTAAGCGTCACGATTGCGGAAAAAGCGTCGTTTTGAAACGACTCTCGTAAAAAGAAGAACACGCGGTGCATTTTTATCCCAGAAATTACGGAGCACATTCTTTGGAATTTGTGTCTGATTCTCTCGAGTAGAAGTTAATCTGCGCCGGTTGATATTAAAAGATGACCTATTTTGAGCCCATTGGCTGGTTCATTCAGGTAAGAGCAGACTTCATCATAAAATTGTGCTTGGAATACCTTGTAATTTAAATAGAAGTTACAAGGGGGGCGGGGATCTACCCCTGTCATACTGTAAGACATCCAGTGAGGCAGACATTGATCTTTCTTTAGTGTCTTTGCTTCTTATCTTAAAACTTTGTTTGCGTGTGATCAAAATGGTGTCATTATTATCAATCAATGACATTTCTGAATCCTATATTGCCTTAATCGTCTCTTTCTATGTGTAAATAATGACAAATATTTAATGACAATTGCCAATTGCGGAACTAATGAACTAATTTTATGACTTCCGTTCGATAACCGTTGGGAGTCTAGAAAAAGGCAGAATATTCTAAATGAAAGACTATCGAAGCAAGCAACCATAGACAAATAATTCTGCTGGTTTACGTTGGATCAAACTAGTGATCATAGCGGTGTAAAGCAATAATGGAGAGATTGTAAGAGGGTCTCAATGAGGTGACGGCTTCCATGGCGAACGGTTAAAATTTTGGCTAATTTACGGCCAACGGTTAAGATTTTTCCGTTGTTTTTACAGAAATATTCTTTTCGATGAACTTTTTCACAACTAACGGATAAATTTGTCAATTTTGACGCCTAACGGTTATATTTTTGAGCCGTTTTACACTCTTAGACATTACAATATGCCGAACGTATAATTATTATTTAAAGAAAAGATGAAAATAAAATTGCTAACTGTGAAAAAACAAATTGGTGGAAAAAGTCGTATTTAATACAACCTTGAATAAGCCGTTTCCGGAACAGCTCCGGAGCCTGCACCAGTGACTCCCCCTGCTCCTATCAGGAACTGAGGTCGTCTTTGATATATTGTATGTTATCCTGTCCTGCTCCGTCATTATCCATTATCATGATAGCACTTTAAATGGCATCTCCTTGAATAAAATGTCACGAAATCTCCATTTTGACTTGGCTTACGAGAGCTTGTCGGCATCGGCTCTGGATATAACTCATAACGTTTTACTGTAGATTTAGAATCTTTTTAGATACCGAGGAATTTCATAATCACGGATATCCCCTTTATTCCAACACCCCACATAGAAGGAGTAACGTAATCTAATTACCACCGAACTATTTGAGACATGGACAAATAAAACAAAATTAGTCATCAATAGAGCACTGTTTGAAAAATGCAGACGTGTTGAAATGAAGGATATTATGCTTTAGCGGTGTCAAACACGAAAGAACATTCCCATCATATATTTGGGGTTTTAGATCTACAGCATAGGGTCACTCTTCCCTTTCATAACAAGTGGTGTTCATGTCTTCTAACAACTTAAGTATATGAGGTCGTGATTCGGGTCTGAACACGTCAAAACATCAACATACTGTAACCTATAATCCGGAAGTTCGTAAAAGGTGACACTCTGAGGATCGCTGTTGATCCGCGAAAAAAGAAACAGCTCCAGCATGACAGAAAAAGCCCACTAAATGAAAAGCTGAAACAAAAAAACGGTCGAATTGAAAAATTTACTCCACGGGAGGGAAGTAGGCACTAAGCTGATTGTTTCATTCCGGTGTTCTGTCAGCTCATTTAGGCTGTAAGGATTAACTTCGAAGAATTCATAGAATTTATTAAAACATTTCCTAAGTGTAGAGTCTTGTTACTTGACAATTCATCGATTAATTATTACGTCCCCTCCCTTGTCCAATGTCTGCTGCATGAAAAATAGATCGCCAAAATTAGTAAGTGGCGGAAATTGCCTTCAAGACAATTAAATTCGCTAAACCGCTGTACGGTATTTTCGACACAGAAATGAAGATATTGATACCTAGGCTTAACATAGGCCTTTTCACCTGATAACCCCTAAGTGATGCTCTTGTTTTAATTGAAGAAAAAATTGACGGCAAATTTAAGCCATAAACTGCACCACCGTTCAGCTGATCCAGTAAAAACGCGATACACGAGTGGTCTTCGTTTGAGAGTCTTTTATGTATGTTGTTTTGGGGGCAGAAAAAAAGCTCATATTTAGTGAAAGGGTTCCAGATGATATGTGATCCAATATTCAGTAGGGGCCTGTATCATTTTCAGTTGATTCAGACGTGCTGAAATATGCTTATGATCAAATATTACATCAGATCGACTGCCGCGACTTCCCACAAACAAAATAGCCATCTTCCAACGGTAAAATTGTGGCGTAAGATGCTTTGCAAGATAGCCTCTTTGAAATCAAGTAGAATACTCAAATTAACAGTTAGTCCTGTGCAGCGATTTGCCAGGTTCAGTCCTCTATGTGCTTAAGAGGAGATTTTCGTCCCTTGAAGCTTAATCAAAAATTAATAACGTGTCAAACATGAGCTGACCGCTTTGCAGGCCCTGCTCAGAGTTAATTTGTCCACGTGACCGAAAATCATCTTGACTACCCTGAAAAGCACTGCATAAAAACGGAAGTGAAAAATCGACGTTCAACGAAGACAACTCTGACCGTACAGTTCATAACCTTTACCCAATAAAATCCCAAAGACGAGGCTCTCCCTCCAGGAACCTGGTTTCCAGGATGTCTCTCTTATTTCCGCCCCTTGCGAAGGACGAGAGCCAGAGAACGAGGTTTCCCACTTTCTCGCGCCCCACTTTGAGCTCTCATCAGCTCCTTACACAAATGATACATTCTTTATGTTCTGACTGGCCTTCGAGACTATAAATTTAGTTTTGGTTCCGTGACACTCAGTCGAAATGCCAGTCTTGATGACCTCATGAATCAGTAAGGACGGGGTAATCATCCTTCTTCTTCTTGTAAGAGAGGTTTTAGGGTAATGTTGACGTTTTCACAGCGGGTCACGTTTATTTTTAGAAGACAAATAACGCATCACACTGGTTCATAAATTACGATTCACGCATCACGTATTAAACTTTTGCTACCCTCATCATAAGCAACTTGACTATAAGAGCTCTGTCAAACCCACTGATTTCAAGTTGGGCGACGCTTTTAGCGGATAATTATGCGCCGATCAATTCGGAGCGTCAACGACTTCCTCCGGCACGACTTTACTCGGCACAACTTTTACCGGCAAGACTTTTCCCCGCACGATTTTTTTTGGCTCGACTTTTTCTAGGAAGAATTTTTCCGGCACGACTTTTTTTTTGGGCACGAATTTTTCCTGCAAGATATTTTTTGGACATTTTCTGGTCTGTTATTCACCAACATCTAAAAATGTTTACCTTATGATTAAATCTCATCTTGTCCAAAATTTATGGCTATGGTTTTAACAGTTAATTTTTTAATTCCAAAAATTAACTTATAAGCTTTAAAAGAGCGATTTTTGATTTTTTCTCAAGGCCATAGGTAAAGCAGTTTTCAGACGGTACAAACAGGAACAGCCATTGCGTATACAGGAACAGATTAGAAGAAAACGAACCAATGATGCAGATTTGAACGAGCGAGTTGGCCATGTCAGAATTCACTACCTTTTCTTCATTGGTGAGACAGGGAAACACCCCAACTCAAGTCAACGCAAATATTAAATCCTCAATTGAAAACTAATCTATTTTTTCTAGCAATTAAGTACAAGACAAACCTAGTACGCATAATTTAACGGAGTAAACTTGTCCCATTTAGCTTCACGAAAGTGTTACAGTGAGTAAACTACGAAGGGTCGGCAGTGACCTGCCGCGCGGATTATTAGTTGAGTCTTACGGTAAAGGAAGTAGAGTCGTGCCGCGAAAAAGCTAAGGTGGTAAAAAATAAAGTTAAGATGGTGAAAAATAAAATTGAGGTGGTGAAAAATAAAGTTGATGAGAAATATAAGATGGCTCTAACTGGGCTTCGTACTTATCTTGCTGGTTGTAGTTTGATAATCTGCTTTTCTTGTTCACACGTCACTTCTATTTTGAAGGCGAAAAGGATCGGTTCTCAATATCTTAGGGCATCTTAAGCTCTGTTGCCGAGTGATTTTTTTTCCTTCAATTCGCGCCGTGTTTATGGCTGTGTCAGCATAGGGGAATAAACGACTGGATTGGAAAAAGAATTCAAATAATTCAAGACGTCGACTATGAAATAAAACCTCAGCGATATTGAATTGAGCAAAGGGGAAAGGGATTTTTCGGATTTATTGATTTCTTATTAAGAGCTTACTAACAATTAAATACAAAATCGAAGGACTTTAAAAACCCTCGAACTAAAAAACTTAAATGCTTCTTAACAAACCACGTAGCTTCCTTTACTTTTACAAAGAATTCTCCAAAGTTAGAGAGCAACGCTCTCCAATAAACACAATTTTCATTAATCGAATAGAAAGACCAGTAAGCCAAGTGTGGCTTATTGGCACCGGTTTCCAAGTTTTTGTTGTTTCTCACGCTGGGCATCAGTAAACAAGGGGTGAGTAGAGGTTCATAAAGCTTCATAAAAACTAAACAATTTTATCATTACTGAGTCAGTTGCGCTTTGAGAAACAGCATGTACATAAGTGTCATGAAAAAACAAAATGCTTTCGTGAAGACAATGTCAAAAATCGCTCTTTTAAAGCTCATAAGTTAATTTTTGGAATTAAAACCTTTAGAGGTCTCCTTTTTTTTAACAGCTGAAAAAAGGGAAAAAAGAAAGAAAAAATGTGTTGTATCTTCTCTACAATGATGCAACACACCAACAAATAATACAAAATGGACCAATAATGGTTAACCTTTTAACCACAATACACAATGTTGATCAAAAGCACTGTCCAGCCTCTTATGAAGTGCAAAGCGACCTTTTCCGCGATTTAGATTAGTACTGTTACCGGTCACCTTCAAAGCAAAAAATTTTCGATTTTCATCTGCAGAAAAAGTGTTAATATTTCATCCAAAAACAAAAAAGTTAGAAAAGTTGTGGCTTCAAATATCACAGCAAAAGAACTTGTGGTTTCAAACGTAAATGGTTAGATCATGTACATGAAGTATTCCAAACCAGAACACACTTGCACGGTACACTGGAAAGTTTGCAATATTGTTACTAAGGTTACCAATCTTGTTGCCCAGGCACAAATTGCAAACCTGCACCCTCCGCCGCTTACGATTTCCGTCACTAACGCTAATCGTTAGCGACAGTAATTCTCTGTAACCCTCCAGGTTCAGGGTTACTAATCGTTTATGGTGTTCTTTCGTGATTAGCTTCTCGAAGACTTCTTCTGTCTCCGTTCACACTTGGGACACACACCACCTTTGAAACAGATCCTGCCAAAAGGAAGAAAAGTTAAAAATTTTAAGCGCACATTATAAATAAGGAAGTCATCAAACTCTTTTACTAATAAATGTAGCATGACAGGTCATCAGGAAGAGACAAGAATAAAGAGATGAGCGCCAGTCATTCTTACTTGTGAAATACAGCTCGGCACTCATTACATTGTGCGGCATGTGGGTCGAAGGCAAAAATGACTTCATCTTTTCCACAAATTTCGCACATGAAACCCTTGGCTTCACAGAGCTGAATTATAAAGAAATAAGAAAGATCACCAAATGTAACCATATTAAACGCAGAGTAAGACAAAGCAGTCTTATCAAACCGTCTATCCAACCTGAAAAGAATGCATGTAGATGATTATTGACCCTCTTCTTAGCAGCATAGAGTAAACTAAATTACCACTAAATCAACTCAGAAAAGAGGAATGGAATATTTGTTTCAAAATTAACCTAAATTGTACTGAGTACGTTATCGTCGTCAAATGACTTCACATGCATGGTTAACTCGCCATATCACCACAGTTTAAAAGCTAATAAAAAAAATTTCTGGCAGCACAAATCCTCTCTCGATTTTTACACTGGCGCTATCTCTTTCTAAGCTTCACCTCGTCCCAGCTTACAATACCTTGTACGTTAGGCTCTGTTAATAGGACTTATCACCGAAGTAGTTGCTAAAAATTCGTCCATGTCTCTGACATAAGTCACCTTGAATAAGCTACTATTTTCACCATGACACATTCAATGTTAGACTTGTTATATTACCTAAGAAGAGACAACAATGGTAAGGCTTCAAACCTGACATTCCGTCTTGATGTGTGTGAGAAAGAGAGAGTGAGTCTTTGTCAGGAAAGCCAAAAGAGAACCGGAGTTTATATCAATGAGATCTTGGAGAGAGTAAATGTTGTCACTGTCCACAAAGTGCTGTTTATCCTTCAGCTACAAAATGAAAAAAAAAATGAGATGGAGAGAAAACTGACATAGCTTTAAGGAATAACTGCTTTCATTTACTCTCAACCTAATATGGTAGACCAGTTTTTTCTAAGTATGTTCTCCTTTTTTTATAGTATCACAATTTTATAAATACATATTTACTTACCTGCAACAACAACTTTCTTTCCAGCGCCTCACGACACGTAACAAAGTACTTCTTCATGATAAGAATCTCTTCTCTCAAACGCTATGAACAAGTAGAGACTATCTTGTTGTATCAGTGATTTTCAATAATCACGGTTTTATTGTTATGTAAAAAAATGCTATGAAATATTGAAAACTGCAAACAGACCTCCTGAAAAATTACCAGAGGATGTTACCAGCTCCTCCAATAGCATTAATTTGAGTAACAAAAAATTGCCCTCTTTCAACTTACTGCGTTCAATTTCCGCTGCATATTTACACTGCAGGTACACCCACGTTTTCAATTTCGTCTCTCAAACTTAAAACAACAACAGGCAAAAACATCCAAGATCACTTGCACATAGTTTTTTCCTTTTATCTTACCTTAATTTCTCTCAATTCCACCACAAATTTAAACAACGCCGGATTTAGTTTTTCAATCTTTAACAAAGGTCTTGTCAGCATAAGGTCCAAGAACTGTTTCCACTGTCTTGAAACCTACGAGAAACAAGTGAAAAACTGTTTAGAATCGACTGAATAAAAAAACTTCTCGGGTAGCACAATTCCACATTATGGTTCCATCACCTGAACATAACATGGTGGATTCCATAAGAACGCGACTATTAATTTAAGTAATAATTTTTATATATTAACCATATGGACGTGAGTATTTTGCCGAGAACTAAAACTCTCGTAAAAAAAATACGACAATCACATCTGGGAACCGAGTGGCGCATAGTTTGTATGTAACACAAGTGGCTATATTGAACAAGAGGTCACAATTCCCGCCTTCTTTGTTGTGGTAAGCGACGAAGATATAAATACATTTTCCGAACAAGAAGAGAACAAGAACACCAAAATGATGACGTTGTGTGATTAAAAGATTTTCTAGGAATTCCTCAAAAGTAACGACGAGACAAAGGTAAATTTTTGTTGTGTTCGTGCTGAACAGCCTTCAGAGGTTCGTAGAGAAAAAAGGCTGAAAATAACAGTATTTGATGATTCAAGTCAGAGTCAGTAATCGTACTTTCATTAAGCTTATAAAACCAGTTCACAAGTATTTTGGCCCAGCTGATGGTGTTACATAAAAACCTTTTTATAATTTGGGCACCAGATAGTTTGTTTCTGTTAATATCCGGTAGTTATATTAAAGCCAGCTTTTTAATCTCTCCATGTATATTTATTGTCCATATAATGAAAAGAAATTGCACGTCAGCTCAAAGATATGAATTTTATGTCCTTGTGGCACGAGTAACATTTCACTCATCCGCTACGCTCACTCGTGATATTGTTCTTGCCACTCGAACATAAAATTCATATCTTTTGCCAACGTGAAATATCCTCTCTACATCTTGTTGATTAACCAAGCGCGAGGGCCACACAGTGAGAATACAGCCATGGGCAAGTGCATTTGTTTCAATACGCGGTCCGTTAATGGAAAATATCCGCTCTCCGATTGGTTGAATGCAGCTCAGTATTAGCCCTTTACCGCGTACGTCAAGTCATTTCATACCTTGTAGGTAGAGAAGTCCCAGTTATGAACCACTCGAGCAGGAATGACCACCATATCATTCCAATGACACTCTTCACAAAAATACTGACCAGAATAATCGCAAAGGCGCGCTTCAGATCGTTCACCTCCTAAAATCAAAATACGACAGTTATTCCAGCTTGATTATGGAGAAAAAAAAACTTCAATACTTTATTCAAAGTGGTCAGTGCTCTTAGCTGAACAACTAGTCTTCAGGTGGGCCACATCCCAATGTCACAGTGTGTAGCAGTTCCACCACTCACTTGTTAGTCCAATCTGTTTCCTGCACTCTGCACACTTATATTGCTGTGATGCCATTCCTGTTTCCGGACAAATTTTCAAATTGTACATGCTGACTGACACCTGTCAATAAATGGATAGGGATATCGAATTGATAATAAAGATATTTACTTCGTTAGAAAATTAAACGGTCGAATTAGTATTTAGAGTGACGCGAGGAGAAACAGAAAAGCCGAAGTACAAATTTTGATGCGAGGACGAGACTTGGTGCAAGGACGAGAGGAATTTAGAGAATCTGTGTCGCTGAGCTGGGAAGCGAGCGTTCATATTGAAAATTCATTGAGGTCAGTGGCAGGTGTGGAAGTATACCTTTTTTAAAGTACATTTTCTCCGGCGGGATTATGTTTTTTTTAAAACAAGGAAAATAATATTGATAGTCAGGGAACTTATTAACGCTGTTTCAAACAAATCTTTCAAATAAGCATAACAATTGGTGCGTGCAGTTAATGTCGCCAATGTAACCCACAAAGTTGCTTTGTAAAATGACCGCAAAAACTGCAGGTTTGTGGTAGTTGGCACCAATCCCCTGACTGTACGATTCAGTTCTAACCTTGCGACTGGCACATGGTCGGCGAATGAGCTCCAGGCAACGTCTGTGAGAGTGATAATTACAAGCTAAAAACAAAAGGAAACTGCTTCTTAGTGAGGTTACCACTAAAGACGATTACCATCCATAATCACTTCTCACCTAGACTGAGTTGTAGGAAGCACGATTAACAGCTATTTTACGCCGTTAACTAAGGCTGAATTTATAGATTACTTTACGATCGTGCACTCTGATCGTCCGGGTGAGAATAGTCCTGAAAGTGACTGTTTTCCGTAAGAGTGACTGACGTTTCAACAACCTGAGCGGAAGTTATTCAAATAAAGAACCCATGTTAAGTAAAGCATTGTTGTTAAAAATTTGCCCCTTCAGCAGAGATTGATATAATCATTATTACAATCTACAAATGCTGAAATTTCTATTATGCAATAAAGCAAAAATAAAACTAAATACCTTTACAGGTGAAAAGAGACTGCCACATCCAGATTGCTTTACCACATTTATCACAGTTATACTTTTTTCCTGGGTCATCTTCCTTAACGAAAAG